TTAAAGTCCTATATCTTTTTATTTAAGATCTATTTCTTAGGAGTATATAACGCGGATAGTTTTAGAGGGTAAAAAGGCTAATTAAAGAATTCCTTAGTTATTAGCTTATTTAAAGCTACGAGAGAACGAAGATTAGGATATACTATAGTCTATAGGACCTTTTAATCTAAAAAGTAACGCAGTCCCTTAATCTATATAAGGGAAGCTTCCGGATACTTCTTATATAAATTACTAAGAATCTAAATAAGTAAACAAGGGTAATTGTTCTATTTCTTATTATAATCTATAAGAATATTAATAATATTATATATTAATAGAAAAGAAGCGAACTTACGAAAAGAGTAATTAACGGCCTACGAGTTAAAGTAGTAATATATATATATATTATTAGCCACGATTCTATTATTAGTTATAACGATAATATAGGATTTAAAAGATCCGCGGTAGTTAGTATACTAATCGTATAATTATCTAAAAGACGCGATTTTACCTATATATTAGCTATAAACGGCGATATACTAAATAGTGTTTCGAATAACTTTTATATCGCCGCGTTAGTTAATATTGTAGAAGGTAATAAAGGCGTAGATAGTTTTTTTTTATAGGATCCTATAGTTAAGGCTAGTTAGGTTATTATTACTATCTATATTATATATATCTATAAAGGACTATTAATCACGTTATATTTATAAAATAATATATTAATATATCTTAAAGGGAGCGTCTAGTAATAGTAGCTTTCGCCTAGCGAGGAGGATAACTAGATATCTTAGTAAGAATACGCGAGAAGTTATAATAAGAAAGAAATAGATAGATATACGTAAAAGGATAGAAGAGATTATAAAAAGAGAAATAAAATAGTAGATAGGAGTTAGAGGGGAGAGGGCTATATTTATACTCTTTCTTTACGCGTAAAATTATAAATAAATAAGATTAGGTAGCTAAATCTAGATATAATTATAAAATAAATAAGTTTTTTAAGAATTATTATACTAAATCAGGTAAAAAGCCTAATTTATTAGAAGATTATAAGATTATATTTAGAAATAAAGCGATCTCGCGATTAGGCGTAATCTTAATATAAACGAATCTTTAAGGATTACTATATTAAATTAGATAAAAAGCCTAATTTATTAGAAGACTATAAAAATATACTTAGAAATAAAGCGATCTCTAGTTTTATCGCGAAATATTATATTTTATTATTCGAAATAAACTAATTATATATTTATTATTTATATAGAGATATTCTACTATTTAGTTATAGGTATTATTGAGCCTTTTATAATATTACTATTTATCTTGATTATATAAAACGATAAAATTATATAAAAAGACCTTATTTAAGATTTAATAATTCTTATATAACTATAATATATCTAGCTATAACCATATTTTTTATTTCTTTTATTTCTTTTATAATAAATTCTAGTAAAGGCTCGGACGGACCTTAGTCTATTATCTATTATTTCTTTAAAACGGATATATTAGAACCTTCGCGGAAGTCCAAGGACTAACTTTAGTTTAGTAAGGGAGGATATAATATCTAAGACCTAGTTATATCCCTATAATATCTCTTATACGAGTAGTCACGCATGAACGCACGTGACTTCACGTGGATATATTTAGATATATATACTTGTACAGCCCCGTACCTTATATAGTTCATGTGATCCTTTCCTGAATCTCACTATTTAATAGTAACCCTATAATAAAGTCTATTAATAATTCGTTAAAAGACTATAATAGTATTAGTAGCGATTCTAGTTTACTATTGTGATATCGCTGCTATATATATCCACCATAACATTCCGCTGACTAGTCAGCAGAATTGTTGGACTTTTGGTCTATGTGGTTATGCACGGATGGTGGCCCATGATACCACACTATATAGATGATATCTTAATATTATTATTTTTTAATATATTATATATATCTAAATATATTATTTTATATTATTCTAAAGTCTAATCTAGTAAAACTTCTTTTTTAGTAGCGTTTTAGTCCTATTTTGCCTAAAATAGCCTATTAAGAGATTATTATAATAAATATTTAATAATTTCTTTTTAAATTTCTCCTTTATTAGGATAAAGAATTAATTCTTAAATTAAAGATCTTTAAGGTTAATATCTTAATTCTTAAAGTTTTTAAATATCTGATTTAATATGGTTTTTAGCCTTTATATTTTTAGGTCCTTATCTTAGATCTATTTAATTATTATCTATAATTTAGTGCTAGTTTCTATTAAATAAATATACTCTTTTTTATAAATACCCTATATCTTATATTAAGGTATTCTTTTATTCTTTATAAGTTTTTCTTAGATAGCCTAATTAACTATTTCTATATTAATAGACTCTTCTCTACTTTTTACTATATAGATACTAAACTAAGGAGTATTTTCCTCTAGAAATATTTTATTAGATTTAAACTAAGACTTTTTGGCGATAAGGTCTATAACTATAATTATTTAGATACTAGCTTTCCGTAGATTAGATAATAGCTCTTTAGTTATAATCTATTTTTATAATAATATAAATAATTCTTTTCTTATAGCGTCCTTTTAAATAGAATTAAGTTTTTTTAAAAGTCTATCTATAAGATTATTTTTTCCTAATTAATATTTAACTATAAAATTAAATAGCTTAAAATATATATACTAATATATCTATCTTCTATTTAGTTTAGTTTATTTTATAAAAGATTAAAAATTTAACTAGTCCGATAATATTTCAATAGTAAATTAGCTATTTTCTAAATATTATTTCTAATATTTAAAGAAATATATAATTATAAAAAGTTCTTAGTCTAATATACTATAGTTTAATTTTACCCTAAAAATAATTTTAACTAAAAAGCGACTAGATAATACTAATCTTAGTTATCTAGCTAAAAAAGGATATTAGCTATTCCTTAATTTAATATATCTAATTTATTACCTTTTTATCTTACTTTCTTTACATAATCGATAGGCTTTATACCCTACCAAGTATATTCCTTATAATAGGACTTTAATAGTATATGGTTATAATATATATATATACAGGGTTCATAGTAGCTAAGTAGAATTATAGATTAGTCTAGTCCTAATCTGGTCTAAACATAAATGATAAGATTATATCTATATACTATACGTCTACAATTTATTATCTATTGAGTAATATAATAAAATATTTTTAAATAAAATCGATAGCTACTACTATAAAATCCTAGAATATAGGATCGCTACTAAACAAGATCTAGTGACTATCTATACAGTTGCCATAGATATCCTATATATATAGTCTACTAACTTCATAGTTATAGTATATATAGGTATAGTACTATGCCCTCTTGCCAAAAGAAATTACAGAAAGAGGGTAGAAATAAAGATAAAAAAAGCCAAAAGAGATTACTATAGAGAGTCTATTTGAAATAGATACTAAAGTATCCCTAAAAAGAATAAAAGTCTAGGAATAACTAAGATCTGATATTTACTCTTTAGTATGCCTCTCAAAGCCACCCGAGCGAAGCGAGGGTCAGCGGCTGGCAATATTCATATAAAGACTAGTTATCGTGCTGTCCAGACAAAGGGGTTACGTGAAAGCTGCCGCAAATCTGTTAATGACATGCTTGCATGTACGTTCCACCGCTTATCGTCTAGGTTGAGGCTAGGACCCAAGTTGATCCACGTGATGACGAGAGCCAGGGCCTGCTTACTGAGTTCACATAAGTTAATCTCGAAGTCAGTACTGCATCGGCTGCATGTTTTTATGTGAAGTGATGCCATTTAGTGAGCACAATAGGCCTCAATCACAGGCCTAATCAAATCCCAGAGCTGACGGTATGGATATAGGGGCAGGTGAAAACATATGGAGAATATATATAGTGTCCAGGATCTGGGTGTGGAGTAAGGGGATCAACCGTTCGATAGTCAAATAGCATTACACTCCGGATACGCAAGCGGAGACCCAGTGGCTTAGAACAAACCTGTGCCTCGATTGAAAATAGTATGATTATCCTGTCGCGGGACTGCACTTCGGTATGTGATAGACATTCGGTACTCATACCAAGCCCAGGGCCATAGTGACACCGTCTCATGGTGAGGTAAAGGTGGAAGAAGGACAAACCATAGTGAAGTCGTAAATCATAATCTTCGATGACGATATCCATTGGTAATCTCGTATATATGGAATGCGAGGTGTCCATTCGATAGACCGTCCCGATAGACCAAAACTCCCCGACCCATCATATCTGCGAAGAAGGAAGCAAGAATGGCAAACAAAGTAAATAGGCCGATCACGTTTAAGCTGGTAAAGAATCGGCAGCTTATCTCTTTCTATCCTGGATGGGAGATGCTGTGTCTAACAGTCAAGTATCTTAAATAGTGGACAGCTGCACAGTGAAAGACAAAAGAGCTCGCCCAGAGAGAGAAAATCAGACATTAAAGACAGTAGTTCGATAGGAAGGCCATTTGATGTATTTAAGTAGAAGGTCTATAAGGCGCTATATGGTTATCGAAACGGGGAGCAAGTCCCAAAAAAAGACCAAGTAGTTTGCATAACGGCAATAGTAGCAGTAGTAGTAGCAGTAGCAGTGGTAATTGATGACCGAGGGACTATTGGAACATTAATGACAATTAGCATTAAGAGGCTAGTACTAGATAAGTAGGTGAAACATCATCATCGATCCATCCATGGGATGGATATCATAGATTTAGCCATATTATATCATTCCCTATAGATATTAACACTTGCTAGTTTAATTGATGAAGTACATAAAAAACCTGTTAAATTACCAAGGCTTTATTGTGGATCTCTCTTAGAGCGCTATACTAGGCAAAAATTAAGGTGAGTGGAGTTTCCCCGCATTCTCTTAGGAATGAGGTCACGAGTGCACTACATCACCTTCCAAGTTGAATATATAATCCCTTCTCTTCCCATATCTGCCTAGTATTAAAGCCATCTGCACCAGTGAGCACATCCCTAATAAAAATAGGGTCATGTAAGAATATATCACTCATGACCTTCACAGTGACCCGCTCTCACAAACTAAACGACCGTGACCACGCCATCGAAGATCTCTCAGGTGCTCAAGATCACCTGCCACGTTACTTTGCAAAATCTGGCCCTACCGATGCTGATCCTCGCAAGACAAAGAAGGATGGGGGTGGCAAAGGGAACTGGTGGGCACACTCGACCCTCACCGTGCTTTTATGACCTATGACTTAGCTGATATTCTCTAGGGGGCGCTCCGGAGATGAAATGCAAGACTATGGATACAAATTCACCAACACTCGTCGTCGCTCAAACAGCAGCACGCAAGGGCTTGCCGACTTCAGAACTAAATTCGAGATAGACGACCATGAGCCTGTTTCTGAAGAGCAGCTCCACGGCCTTGCCGATGTCACGGTGAATGAAGGCACCATAACCAAAGTCGACAGTACTAGCAGTAGTCATGACAGCGAGATTGAGCAGGGAGCGTCTAAGTAATAAGGCTGGATATCAACCCTGATTGTATGGCAGAGGCCTCTGAAACATCTGTGAAGGAAAGAAAAACATGAACCGAGATGGATCATGGACCACAGTTGCCCCAGTAAAAATGGAGTCGAAATTAAGCCATCTGATATTAGTGTAGACTAGTACCGCCAGACAGTGAAGAAGCTCTCGAGTGGCACGCTGTCATGAATCAAGACAGGCAATTCATTGATTTCCCATTTCCACATAAACTCCAACCAAGCGCGCCCGTTAGTTCATACAGGAAGCCAGCATAACCGGGCTTGACCAAAAGACTTGCTGGCTATTGAGCCCCTGCCACCGCCAGAAGATTTTGAAACCAGAAATCAAGTTTTCCCGCCTCGATGTATCGGCGCAGAATCGCATCTTCTCTCTTGAGATCAAGGACTACCCGAGCTCTTTGCTCAGGCCGAAAGCGCGATGCCAGAATATCAGATTCAGAATCAGCCATCAACGCCTCGGCCGGAGAAAGAGGTGCGTAGAAAGACGGTGAACCGGATCCTATTTGCCATGAGACAACGTTAGACCTTCCCGTAGATGATCGCGGGACCCACTCACCAATGCACGAATTCAAAGCACCGCTTAGAGCTGTGTTGCGAGCAAGGAAGTCCGAATCTCCGTTGTATTCTTCTGCACTTTTCCCATGAGCCTCCCAATCATCCTTGATCATGCACCGTCGCCATATGAGCTTTCGCAACACTGCAAGGTAAGCTGGATCTCGCTGGGCATAGTGGCCATAATCGAGAACCCGAAGCGCTTGGTGAAATTCGTCGTCTGAAGACTCGTAACTCCGATCCTCCGACTGATTAGGAATCATCAGCGTCAACACATCAATCAAGTCATCAGTACTCATGACCTGCTGGTTGACCAAGACGCCAAGTGCTCCATTAAGGATCTCATGAAGCGAGGGCCGATCCTCGGAAAGCTGTGCTCCGAAATACTCAAGCGCAAGCTCAACTTCAGCTTTGCGGTCAATTGCGCCCTCTATAAAGGGTTCAATCTGGCGGTAGAGAGTTTCCTGGATCGCATCGATCTTGGCAAAATCATCGAGACGTTGAACACCCTCCAAGGAAGAAGGATGGCCTTTCAAGTGCCCCTTCTCCCATGATGCCAATTCGCTTAGCTTCGCCAGCGAGATTTGCACCTGATGGCTCCATAGCTTTGTTTCACTGCCCAGTGCCAAGTTTTCCAAAGAGACCGCAGCGGTATCGTAGTCGGCCTCACCCATCACGTCATTGATCCAGCTCAGCCGGGAATATATGGGATTCTTTCGCAGGAACCGAGTCACCGAAGATTGATACTTCCGCAATGAAAGCAGTGCTGCTGAATGCCCCATCGATATCTGTCGTGAGAAATAGGCATCTGCCCACGGTTCACCGAACTTTTCAAAATACTGTGAGATCCGGTGCCCGACGTCTGCATCGCCACCACTGATGCAGGGGGAAGCCTCCAGTGATTCCTGGTTCGGTTGGCCTTTGACTTGATCTTGAAGCTCAATGACGAGCTCGACTAGAGCTCCCATATCTCGGAACTTCTCTGCCAGACTAAGAGCATCGTGGAGATGCCCAATACCCGCAAGCTTAAAAAGTTGCCATTTCCGCTCTTTGACATGCGCCTGCTCAATCGAAGCACTTTCATCTACCAGCTTGGGACTTCCTTGCGCAGAAAGCCAGCGGGTTCGCTCTTGGTGCATCTGACCCAGAATGCGGAGGTGCCGGGCGCTGTTTTCCGCAATCTTGTTCAGAACTTGGCTGTCAGGCGCATCTGCGGTGGACGTTCGTTGCTGAATCCAAGCCCGGCAGCTGTCCAGCTCCCAATCCAGAAGATGCCCTGTTTCGGTGTATCCCATTCCCCTGGACGTCCAGAACTCGGGTAGGTCTTCATAGCCATCGGCGAGAACACCATCTTCCATAAATTCTGCGCTCAATCCATACAAAGCAGCGTGTTCGTCGCGATATCGAAAAGCAGTTTCCATGACTGCCAGGAAGAGCTCACTAGCTTCCAGTATCTGCTCGGACAGCTTCCGCGCTTGTTTGGAAGAATTGCCCCGACGGGGCTTGATTGCGTTCTTGATCCACGGAATGATATGTTCCATATGATAGGAATCTATCAGGAACCATTGACGCACTGGGTCTGTTCCTCTGTGGTCCGCGTCAGTTCGCGTTTTGAACTTGTCGCTCATCGACTCTATGACATGACCAAGAAAAAGAGTCTCAGTCTTGGTTTTGAACGACTCTTCAACTTTCCACATGGCTCTCTGTGCTGCAAGCTTCTCTGCGCCCCATAGCAACTCCCATCTTGCCGGTCGACTTAATGGGTTGCCGTTGCGCGACAGCAAGGACGCGAGATCATCCAGCGCTTTTGCTCGCAATCGCAAATTCTGATCAAGGGAGATCGCAGTGGTGGGGATAAATCGCGTATCCGATCGAAGTAACTCATTACAGATCTCCAAGGCCGCTTGCTCGATCTCCAGCGCGGGAAAATCTAAACCACCCGGGCCTCCGAGATTCAACGGGTTCTTTGCCATAGTACCAAAGAAAATCGCCTGTTCGAGCTTGTGTTTGGAAGTAATCTGGGCTTCCTCCACCTCACTTTCTGCGCCTTGCTGGGGAAACACAGTCACCCGGATAACCCCAAAGTTTCGGACCATCAATACGCATGTTGCGCAAGTGGTATTGTCTGGTCGCTCCTCCGAGTCACAGCCCAGTATTTCATATTCTTTGCCCGATCGCAAATGGATGGTATCCTGAAAAGGCAGCGGCAATTTCTTGGAGTCAAGGAGGAGTTGCGAGCTTGGTGTTTCCTCAACACCCGTCAGCGAAAGGATAATAAGAGACTGCTCAAGGAGAATGAAAGCTGTATCCTCGGGTTTTGGAACGAAAATCCTGGGCTTCGAGTCCGCCTGGATGGCTGGAAAGCTGCGCAGATCCACGGGATATGTCGACAAGACACGAGAGTCGCTCCCGGACAGTTGGAGCTGGATCACGAACAACTTTTTATATTCCAACCACTGGGATGAGCCAACGACCATGAATAACCTCCACGAATCTTCCGAGGCCGAGGACTCGACAGACCCGTGCTGGGTAGGGTATGCAAAATCCATAACTTTGAGATCTGACTCGGTCGTTGTCTTCTCATCGTCTCGGGGAATGGCAGCCGCAATGTCATCTCTAGCATCATAACGCTTCTTGAGCGCATTCCCATGGTTCCAGTGGGCATCCCATATCTCAACGAGACCAGTGGATGTTGCAATGATCACATCTCGTTGACCTCGCTGATGGGATCCGCCCGCCCGTACGGCAGCGACTTCTTTTCTCCAGTAACCCCCCCCAAGGGCATTCTTGATCCCCCCAAAAATACCACCAACACTGGCGCCTGCAGTGCTCTTGAAAAAATTGACGAGCACGGAAGGTCTCCCTTGAGAGTCCCTCAATGTGATGTGTGCTGTGCGCCCAGATGAGAGTGCGACGATGATGCCAGAAGGCTCGCCATTCATTATCTCCGTTACGTATTCACCGGAGAGTAAACCAGGGATAGACCCTTGGATTCCACTCTGCCTCTGCCGAGACAGCCCCAGCGACGCGGCGCTAGACACAGTCTCCCAGTATACGAGTTTACCAGTCGACGGTATGACAACCAGCAGACCAGGATGTTCTCCTGTGGCAGTAGATAGCAAAACACCGAGTGGAGCTGGACCATTCGGATCCCTGCATGACTCGGGAATCGGTATTGTGAACGTTTCCGAAGGGGACGGCGAGGAAGCGGGAACAGAGTAAGGCCATACAATGGCATGTGAGCGCGTCAAGGCCAGCGCATGATCGTGGCCAGCTCCGAAGAAGCATTTCAAGGGCTCTGTGCATGTGTCAGTCGAGAAAGCATAGGCGGCATCCTAGACAAATATTCACCTGTTTGGGAGCCTCGGATTTGGTCTGGTAAGGCCGGTAGTTGATCCACCGTGTAATGATCTGTGCTTGACTGTTGTTTTTGAAAGGCATTAGTGACCTGGATTGGCACTCCAAGGTTGCCGCTGTCAAGCTGAAAGGCCCACTCACAAGGACCACCGTTCCCTCAATATCATGGGCAAGGCCTTCGCTTGGCTTTGTGTTTCGAATCGGCAGATGTGACTCGGCTGCCATCCGATCCCCAGTCACGTCGTCGTGATCGTTCGGCCGCGCGGGCGCTGCCAGTTCGTGTCCATGGTCACGGCTCAAGCTGACATCCGGAGGCGAGCCCTCCGTCTGGCGTAGAACAGAGCGCTGCCGCTTTGCCTTGGGTGGTTTGACAGAGTCGTCGGAGCCCGTTCGTTGGCGTCTCCGAGGGTTGCGCGCTGTAGCTTTGGGGACGAACATTTTTCGGTTTTCGCAGGTAGCCGCGTGTATGTCAGGCACACGGGTTGGCCGATCTAGGCCAGTAAGAAACCAATTTAGACAACTTATGTGACCCAAGATGAACCTTTATGGCAGGACAAGGTCTCGAAAACAGACAGGGTCTTTCGCATTGGAGGTGGGAAGGATGATCGAAGTAAATAACAAAGCAGAAGGGTGTTTGTCCAAAGGCGGTGAAGAGTCGACCTCTCCAGGTATGTGACTACACACCAAATTTTAGGTAGATACACAGTTGTGTAGGCATTTCTTCCATATTTCTTTAACGTTTAATGTTATTTACAATCAATAGCATTGAAAGCCGACCCGAGACCCTTCAGCTCTCATTTCTTACAATCAAGTGCGGTAGGTGTTCCCCTTTTTCGCTCCACGCGAATTTCTTGGCACTTATGCTGTAAATATGTATGTCTGACCTACTAGGTAGCTTGTGGTGGGTATAGAAAGTACACATACCAATATAATACCCAGGTTTTTATCATATATGTAGAGCCGTGGTGATACACTCTGAGACCATATGGAGTGGGAACACGCGGTCACGTGAATACCTTGAAATCAGCCCCACGCGGAATTGCTCCCGTTGCAAAAGCATCGTCGAGTAAACGTCCATATTTCTGTTGGATGGCTTGGTCTTCCAATCATTATGTTTATGTGTTACGTTGGTATGGTCATTCTCAAGGCCCGTAGGGTTGCCGTGTGCCCACAGACTTAAAATATGCTCTCGATGAAACCCGCCGCCTGCGCCGCACCTCGGTTGTCGGCTGCGACCCCGAAACCAGCTTACTTGCCGATTCGATTTCGCAGACGAGGTTTGCATACTGCTTTGTTCTTCCCAGGTTCGTCATGACGATCTGTAACCATCAACCCTCGCTGACATCTGTGGTAGGCCATGGGGTCCAACGCGTGGGCATGGCGAACGCATGGGTTGATAGCTTTCCCCGCACCGCCGGCAGGGTCTTGGATGAAATGGATACGATTCTGGGATTTAAACTGTCGAATATCATCGCCGACGGCCCTAACTCAAAACTGAACAGAACCGAGAATTCACAGCCCGCCGTCATGGCAATCTCGGTCCTAATTCTTCGCATTTTGGAGCATGAGTTTGGATTCGACATCAAATCCCGGGTCGATGTCACTCTGGGACACAGTCTCGGGGAGTTTTCTGCGTTGGTCGCCGGAGGCTATCTCCGTTTTGGCGAAGCACTTGGACTAGTTCGACGCCGGGCCGAGGTGATGGCTCATTGTACGCGCCATATTGCGGAGAAGTTTGGTGAAAGCTACGGGATGGTGGCGTTGATCTGCGAACCCGCTCACCTGGAAGGTTTACTGGGGACGGTACATGAATTTCTCGGACTGCGAGCGCCCGGCCTGGACGATGCAAGCCACACAATGCCTCCTATTCAACAGGTGATGGTGGCAAATATCAACTCTAAGAACCAAATTGTGCTCAGTGGCAGTCTTGAAAGGATCAAAACTCTTCTTGTGCAGCTTCGCCAGTTTGGGGGACACGATCCGCGTGCTGTCCGCTTGAAAAGCGACAGCCCTTTCCATAGCTCGGTCATGGCGCCCGCTACCGGTTACATGAGAAACGCAATCGAGAATGTGAATATCACCTTCCCGGCATCAATGCCGTGCATATCAAACGTTTCGGCGTTACCATTTCAGTCCAAAGAAGACCTCAAGAATCTGCTCTCAAGGCAATGCATTGATACTGTGAGATGGTGGGATAGCATTCGCTATCTTCATCAAGAACGAGGCGTGAGACGTTGGATTGGCATTGGCCCCGGGAAAGTTGGCAGAAACTTGGTTGGGAAGGAGGTTGGGAGGGTCAACACCAAGGGAGGCGGCGTGTGGGCTGTTTGTGACCCTCGTGAGATGCAAGACATCATGGTTGCTCTGGAGAAGACCGAGGAGGAATCTATCGATGGCTCCTAGTCTCGCAGCTGTACTTCCATTCATGTTGGAGTCGAGGGGATCAGGTACCCGAATCTATGTTGATAGAAGACTGTTTCATTACAAGCTTCAGTGCCTGCATTGCATTCCTTTCACTAAATAGGTTGCTAAATGAATCCCTATGAAACCTTGCCAGGAGCCCATGATTCCCCGATACGCTTGACATGTGCAATGAATTTCGGGTTAAAAATGGGCTGGCAGGTGGACGGGGACGCGGCAGTGTTTCCAGAGACAGGGGCATGGTCATCTGGGGAGTAGAAGGGATTCTGCAGCAGCTGGATATATGCACTTTGCAATGCTCGAAATGCCTGTACTCGACAGATCAGTGGGTGCTGAGAGAGGCAAAAGGTATAATTACACACTGGTTTTAACTCGGAGTCCCTTAAGCCACTGATCGCAGGGCCTGTTGGTTTTCCAGCTTCCTCTTGCCCGAACAGATCCACAATGATCACCAGTTTGACGCCCGTTGTAGTTAACCAGCCATAGGCGGCAAGTCTCTCGTCAATTGCGTGAAGCAAGCCCAGATCCTGATCAACAGAGGTTTGCTTGCCCCGAATCTCAAAGATATCAAGACATGAATTTAGAAGAAAGGAGAATTCGATGCTGGAATCTGAGTACGGGGGGAACAGGGAAATGTGAAGGGGGGCATCCTGCAACAGTTAGCCAGCGAAAACCACACCTGTTTTACTTGGACCTACCGCTTTCCCGATGACTCCAATGCAGGCAATCTTAGGGCCTGCCATGATGAGGGAAGATGCCCAGGATGGAATATCAACCTGGGCAGACGTTACTGCTCCATGCTCTTAATGGGATAATCTGGTCCGCCAGTGGGGAGCTTCAAGTCCCTAAATCAGGTATCAAGGCAGCCATCAGGCCTGAGCCAATGACAAACCAGACAATTCCCTTTACGCCTAGCTCACCGCCTTTACCATACCAGTTTGTCGGATACGGAATATTCCCGGTTTCCAACCAATAGGAAACGCTAGAATAGCTGACATTATCATCAGCAAACTTGTCCATACCGTCATTTTGACTGCCCGTTCACCCTCGAAAGTTCCTCCTGGTCTGCGTCTGCTTGCTTCAAGTCCGCCACCTTCTGTACGCTTGCTACAATTGGACTCACCTCTCCTTCCCGTGGGCTGAGACTTGATTTGATTCCCCATCAGGGAGCTGTTCGCATAATGCTGCTACGCATGGCAAAACCCGCCATCTCTGGCGCTCTGTGCGGTAGGCTCTCGGTGACCCTCGACTCCCGTTCATGACCAACCCACTTACCCTTCCCAGCAGCAGTGCGCCCTCGGCTGGCTCTCAGTGCCCCCCGCGCCCAACCCATCGCCGCCCTTTCGACTTCATCGATCAAATCAGCGACAGCCCTTGAACGCCAATCATCAACGGGGCAACAGTTGACTGCATCGGGCAAGGCCCGGAGAGAAGTGCCTTTGCCGAGCCAGGAGAAGAAGGAGGGTGCCATGCAATATGTCCTGTTCGTGTTTCTGGGGTTTCATTTTTGTTTGGCTCTTGGGGCATCTGCTGACTGACTCTTGTAGGACTACTCTTGACCAAGTTACCAACTGGGCCCGCCAAAGCTCATTGTGGCCGATGACTTTCGGTCTTGCATGCTGCGCCCTTGAGATGATGCACCTTTCCACCCCCCGATATGACCAAGATCGACTTGGTATTATTTTCCGAGCTTCCCCGCGTCAGTCCGATGTGATGATTGTGGCTGGTACGCTGACGAACAAGATGGCCCCGGCGTTGCGCCAGGTCTATGACCAAATGCCTGATCCCCGGTGGGTCATCAGTATGGGCAGCTGTGCGAACGGTGGTGGATACTACCACTACAGCTACTCGGTCGTTCGGGGTTGTGATCGGATTGTGCCAGTGGATATCTATGTTCCTGGATGTGAGTATCTCGAGCCGAACTTGGGTATGCGGTAGACTGACCAAATCAAGGCCCACCCACTTCCGAGGCGTTGATGTATGGGATCTTCCAGTTACAAAAGAAGATGAGACATACCAGAATTACCCGCATGTGGTACCGGCGTTAGTTTCATTCCAGGATGGATGATATGCGGTGTCGTTATTTGCCTTTTTTTAAGCACTCTGCACCGTCAAGCCAAAACTGCCTACCTAGTCATTTCATTGCGGAGTCTCTGTGTCTTATTATTTTGTATATCAATATCAGGCTTCAGGTTTTGGTCCTTGGCTCTGAATTTGTCCCGTGGGTTTATGCCTTACTCATTCTATTTGGTTCTTTTTCTTTTCTTTGCCTGTCATGATAGAGATAAAGACTATCCGCCAGCTACTTTCCCTGTATTGAACAGTATTGATGCTGGGGCCTACTGATAGAAGCTTATCTGGTTCTACATCCTCTACTTTCCCTACTATAGCGGTATATTATGGTATGCCTAGTATATAATAACTTAGAGTCTTCCATGGCATTGCTGTAGATAGGTACAAGCCGCTGACCTTCGCTTCGCTTAGGCAGCTTTGAAAGATAGTAGAGAATAAAAATTGGATTTAAAAGGCTTGTTAACTAGATTCTATTGTATTTTAAGAGGTTTTATTCTCGACTAAATATATAGATAGCTATTTTACTAGGACTATTATTATTTTGTTAATATTTGTTTTCTCTTAAATTAATTAATTAGTTTTCTTTATTTCATATTCTACTTCCTAGTCCTTTTTCTAGTCCATCCTTTAATTTATTTCTATAATTCTCTCTTTGTTCTCTTCTCCCCCCTCCTCTTTTTTCTTTTCTTTTCTTTTCTTTTTTAATTAAATATTTACAACTGTGCATGTATAAAGGGTAGGGAGGTCACATAGGGGGTAGCGAAGTCGAATCCCCCTAGACAGTTACGACCTACTTTTACATCTTCTTGTATTATTAAAATCAACTTATATCATTTCTTATACTGTTATACTACTTCTACTCAAAGTCTCTTACTCGGGTAGGTGGAATATCAAGTATCTATACATCCTACCCATTTCAACCCTCTCTATGGATCTTTTGTCAAGCCAATGTTGATTCCAATGAAATGAATCACTTAGCCATTGACCATGACACCACCGTTGGGATGCAGACACTGCCCCGAGATATAGCTGCTGTCTTGACTTGCAAGAAAAACAAAGCACGTTGCCACTTCGCTTGGCTGTCCTGGCCGTCCAATCGGTACTGCGTGAAATTGTTCCATCGCAGCCGTCTGCATTGTTGATGGAATCAGAGGGGTCCAGACTATCACACTGAATTAGCTATCTATTTCACGGAAAGAAAAAAAAAAGAAAGAAAGAGCTTGATAGCGTACTAGGCCCCGGGCAGACGCAATTGACTCGTATGCCGTTTTTGACTTGCTGGTTTGACAGGGCGCGAGTGAAGGCCACAATAGCACCCTTGGTCGAGGTATAGTCCAGAAGATCACCTCGACCAATGTACGGGTTGACGGATGCACAATTGATGATAGTAGAACCGTTTTTCATGTGCGGTAGAGAGTATTTGGAGAGGTAGTAGAAGGGGTGGATATTTGTGTCGAAGGTCCGCTCCCATTGCTCTCTATCCCAACCGATTAGCACCATGACCCCGAACAGAAGGGAGACGCCCGCATACTCCTTGAGCTCACTGATATCGCTCAGCATGTTCTGATAGGCAGCATTGTTCACCAAGATATCGATACCACCTAGAGTTTGAACCGCTGTATCGATCACCTTTTGGCAGTTCTCCTTCTTGCGAAGGTCGATGGCCAAGCAGTGACAATGGCGCCCTGTCTCTTCCACCTTCTTCTTGGTCTCTTGTGCATCTGATTCCTCTTCGGGCAGGTACACAATTAAGCTCGATGCACCCTCCATTGCAAACAGAATTGCAATGGCACGGCCAATTCCGGAATCGCCGCCAGTGATGATGGCTCTTTTCCCCTCCAGCTTACCGGCAGCCTTATAGATTTGGTACCCGCCATCCTCCGTGGGAAGATGAGTAGAGACCGGCTTGGGGTTCTCCATATCCGACTGTAATCCAGGCGGTGTCAAGTGCTGAATAGGGATCTTGTGACCTGCCATGATTATTTGGTTAGATCAGACTCCTTTCCCTTTCGCCGCAGACTTACCCGGTTGGAACTGGGACTGGGCACCGCTGGCCGGTCTCTCGGTATATTGAGCAACTGGCATCCTGACTGATTTGGGGCTTTTGATCCAGTGAATGAAAGTAGCAACCATGAACAAGGGGAGGGGGGGTAGCAATATCTGCGAAATCAACGCCTGTGGGTAGGTGGAAAATAGTTGCATTGGGAACCCGCTATTTAAGCTTGTTCTCTGGAAGGGTAGCTTTTGCCTGTGGGCCCTGCGTCACCATGACTCCTCATCTTGCCTTATTATCGATTCCGGCGCCTATGGCTGATCTGTCGGGTCTTTTGGACGTGGCCAAAGGAAGCCAGAGCCACCAATGACGTCTGCGTCCCGACTTTCCTCCATGAGTGGGATCTCACATGGGACCGGTTCTCAGCCTGTATGTCCCATAGAGCAGGATTGATGCCCAAGTGACGTTGGTGATTTGCCGATGTAGAGTCGTGATGTTTGTATGCTGTCATATTTTCAGGATAAGCAGAAGAACACCTGACTGTGGACCTCGGGAAGTAGATCAATAAGGGCAGTATAATAAATTAGTAAATGGAAGGACAGGGAAGTAAAACAAGTAAGATCTCGTAAATCAAGGAGCTATCCATAGATAGTATTATATAGACAGACGTGAAGGGCGATTTCTATACTTGATAAGTATTCCCAAGTTGCTACTTATTCGAAGAACGCCCAAGAGTACTCTGGAAGGTACTTGGAAGGTACTTGGAAGGTACTTGTAGGTCGTGGCCCTATCTTATCACCCGCCATGGTGATTCGCTCCCGCAGGACCCATTTGCCGATGAGTTTTTTTTCTCTTTTTTTCGCCAAACCCCCCAAAGCTGTCAACATCTTCACAGCTCCAATTCCGTTTTTCTCGGCCTCTAGTCTGCTCCGACAGAATGCCAAAACGGCAGACTGGGCCTACCATGGAAACCTCATCATCTCAACCTGGCCTGACGGCCCTCTCTTCCGCTCTGTCTTCGCCCTGGGATTTCCTTCGACCTACGAGAGATCTACATGCGACCGTCACGAACTCTGCAAAGCACATTTTGGATCCCCTCGCTGCCTCGGTTGTGGATGCGCAATCCACTCGTCGCCAGATAAATAAAAAACGCAAGAGATCAGAGCCCGAATTGGATTCAAATTATCCGCAATTACAGCTGAAGAGCCTCTATGTGAATGGGTTTACCTCTAACCAAATCTGGGAGCAGGCCACAAGGATTCTCGAGTCCGCGGGGGATGAACTCGAACGGGATATCACTTTAATCGCAACCCCCGACGACCTTTCATCGACAGCCGAAGGACAGGAGATCTCGGATCCTGAAGGCACGGGCTCTGATATTGAAAGTCTTGACAACCTGCCAGAAGATATCTCAGAGGGTGCAAGCGAGGACGGTGACACGGGTACCGAGGACATATCGGACACTGGGTCCAATCAATCGGACCAAGAAGAAGCCGGAATTGCGAGTGAGATCGACGATGAAGAATTGAGTGAAGGGGAAAACTCGAATGCCTCTGCTGGGGAGCCTGAAACCTACACTGAGGATCGATTTGGACTGAACGATGGTTTCTTCTCTATCGATGATTTTAACCGCCAATCCGAGTTACTCGAGAGACAAGACGCGAAAGGAGAGCCAGAAGAAGAGGACAGCAGTGATGAGGAAGTCGACTGGCATACAGATCCACTCATTGCTGGAAACGCACGGTCAACCGGTAAAAATAACACATCGAAGCAATCACACAGACCGGAAGAGGACGATGATCCTATGGATGACAGTAGCGAGGAGGAAGGACCGACGTTTGGTAATGCCAATCTCCAAGGCGACTCCGACTCCGACTCCGACGATGCCTCGAATGATGGGGATGCGACTGCTTGGGTAAATACCAGCGATATCAAATATGCGGATTTCTTTGCCCCCCCGCCGCGCAAGGTCTCATCCAAGAAGGCACGAGCACTCCCGAAGACCCAACCAGATGAAAAACCCACGGATGATGATGTTGACCGCGCCATGGCTGATGTTCGGCGCGACCTGTTTGACGATGAGTCTTCTGTGGGAGATGAAGACGAGGGTCTTGACGACTCTGCCGAGCCCCATGCCCAACGATCTACCCATGAAAAGCAACGGGCACGAATTGCGGATGAGATTCGACGCTTAGAAGCAGCCAACGTGGCAAAGAAGGAATGGATGTTCGCTGGTGAAGCTAGGGCTGTGGAGAGACCCGTCAATTCTCTCATCGAGGAGGATCTCGATTTTGAGCGGATTGGCAAACCTGTCCCCATTGTTACGAATGAGACCACCGAGGACATCGAGGAATTGGTCAAGCGTCGCATTCTTGCCAAGGAGTTCGATGAAGTGATCCGTCGTCGACCAGGCGCCTCGGATACACAGGCCACAAGGCGCAGTCGGTTTGAATTGGATGACAGCAAGCCACAGCAAAGCCTTGCCGAACTTTATGAGACCGACCATCTTCGTGCGAATGATCCCAATTATGTTGACACCAAGGATCGTAAATTGATGCGAGAGCACGCCGAAATCGCCAATCTCTGGCAGGACATCAGTTCCCAGTTGGATACTCTATCCAACTGGCACTACAAGCCCAAGGCTCCGCAAGCAAGCATCAACGTTGTTACCGACACACCGACGATCATGATGGAAGAGGCGCGTCCTACAGCAGGCAGTGCCGCCGGTGGAGCAGCAGCGCTCGCCCCACAGGAGGTCTACACCCCTGGTGATGATGGCCGAGTGGCTGGAGAATTGGTGCTGAGGAGTGGTGCGGCTATGTCCAAGGAGGAGATGAGCCGCGAAGAGAAGGCCCGGCTGAGGCGGCAGAATAAGAAGAACCAGAAGAAGGCCAATGCCGAACCTACACGACAACTGCCCGGCAAGACAGCCGACAAACAGCAGATTGTGTCGGACTTGAAGAAGGGTGGAGTGAAGGTGGTTGGCAAGGACGGTCAAATGACGGATGTCAATGGGGGCAAGGTTGGAGCAGGCGCAAGAAGCACCGCCGATACGCTGAAGTTGTGAAAGAGGTCCGTCGGGCGAGGTACTCGAGGACTACTCTTTGGTCTCATATCTCGAATTTTATTATTGTTCTTTATCTTCTAGCATAGCAACTTTATTATGGGGCGTTTTCGCCGATTCTAGGGTGATGACTTTTGGTGGCCTCTGGGGAATTTGGCGCGGAGGGTGTAGAGGAAGATATTCTCTCGGTTGTAGGTTTTCGCATCGGGGTCGTCATCGATCTCTTGGATATCGAATACTTTCTTTGCCATCTTCATGAATCGTAGATCAGCACGTCTGCGTCGCTTGAAACAGAAATAGCACACCGAGCGAGGGCCCAGGAGACCCTTGAGCGTGGAGATCAGAAGAGGAAACGCCGGTTCGAAATAGACACAGTCGGCCGCGAGGATGACATCCGGCTCTGGGAAATTTTCTGGTTCGGGTTCTCCCCAGTTGAAAACAGTCGCGGACACAGTCGAGGAGAGGCAGTTTAGTTGAATATTGGCTTCCATCAAGGGTAGCATGGGTTCTTGATCCGTGACATAGATCGGTGGCTGTCCAATTTCACACCCACGGGCAACGGCGAGTCCAACGAGACCACCCCCGGCTCCAAGTTCGACACTATTCAACAAACCAAAGTCAGTTACGAAAATTCCGGGAGCCGTGGACAGAAGAGGCATCGTGACAAGCTGGGGAACATGCACAGTACTGACATGGTTTTATCGGAAAGATTCGACCTGTGTTGGCATAAGAGATACTTGGCTAGGACCATACCCGCGGGCCATAATTGACCTCCACATCCCTCTTTGAGATCTTCCTTCAGGAGCAGGGGTTCTTTGAGGAGTCCATCAAATGAGATTGATGTGACCACTGCGGTTTTGGTATCTCGGTGAGGAGCCAGTGACTCGCTCACGGTGAGATCACAACAATCCGGGTCTGACGCTGGACTCTCGCGCGAGTCTGCCATTGATGCCAACAAAGCACGTTTCCCTGGTAATAAAGTTGGATTTTCGAGGGATGCTTAGGGGAGAATAGGGTAAGTGCAGGGTTGAAAGAAGAGCGAAGTGCGCAGAGAGAAATCATCTGAGTGGGGTTCACCTTATCGCCATTGCCCACACTGAAGCTTACACTGAAGCTTCTCTGTCTCTCTCTCCTTCTATTCGACATCGACATTGACGAGCCCGAAGATTTTGATATTCTTGATATTTCTATCAAGAATAATCTATATATTTCATTGGGACAGCCTACCCATTGTGCATCTCGAAAACAAAAAATAAAATAAAAAATAAAAAATTTCCCAGGCCCAGGTGCAATAGCAGACCAAAATAGAAAGATGGTGCAGAATAGAGAATCGACAATTAAAGCTGCAGTCCGTGCAGATAGCCAGCGGGATGATCGACATCTCATCTTCGCACCCGAGCTGCTCCAAATGCCCGCGACAGACGTCGACACTGGATCTATATCCGAACACCCCACACTCCATTAACCTACCTGGATTGCAACGAGCCCAGAACCCAAGAACACCCCTCAAAAACGAGAAACGAAAAACGGGAAATTAAGCAAAAAGAACAAGAACAAGAAAAAAAAAAAAAAAAACATGCCAATGCCGCTTGACGTCACCCCCCACTCTATCGCTGAATCATGACGACGTCACTAAACCCGGAATTCATTCATAAAGCATGCGATCCTTCTTACACCTGAAATGTCTCCTCGACAATCCTATACTAGATTTCAACAGCTTTCTCCAACACTTTCATCATGACGACCTTGCACTGTGAGTTGGCTGGAGCCTTTTTGTCCCAGCCGTTACCTATATCAATGCGCTCACAAACTGTTAGATTTGCCCCCGGTGAAGCCCTCCGCAATTGCGATGGGTACTATTTTCACCCACACTGCCTCACTTGGCATTCTTGCCCCGGTATTTGGTGACACCTACCACCGCGCGCAAGCCGCAAACTCCAAGGAAGAGTTTGTCAAGTCGAAGGAGGCTGCCGGCGCGGCTGCCGCCTGGGGAAGCTCCTTCGTGGGAAGCACCGTGCAGACATACGGAGTCGCGGCGCTGATCAACGCCACGGGCACTCTCAGCTACAAGGGCGCAGCGTATCTGGGTACCTTGATATTCATGGCCAGTTCGGCCCCGAGTGTATGTCATCTTGCATCGAACTCATTCATTTATTCCCCCCACACTTTCCAAGGCCCTTGGTCTAATGTCGTGCTATAGTTTGTCAGCCAAGTCTTTGCAGAGAAGAGGCCTTTGGATACCGTCGCCGTTGGTGCTGTCTCGCGGGTGTTCGAAACTGTCGGGCTCAGCTTGTTCCTCACTTGGTGGGGGACGCGAACTCACCCATTCGATTAATTTTCCCATTCGAGGGCAAGCGAAGGAAATGACCTTTGGCTGCTGACGCTGAAAGCGCCATTTCACGCCAACTTGATCAGACGAAAACCCTTTACCTCAGGATAGGGCGCGATGCGTGTATATGTGCATCTTTTTGGTTTCTGGGTTCCTTTATGTAAATGTATACGAACATGAATTCCAATTCTGTTTCCTGTCGAGGTAAGCCAGCTGGACGGCGAGAACCAGTTATTGCCACTTGACTCCAACGGTGCAGCGTCGTGTGAGTTGTAAAGGAGTTGCCCGCAAGCCAATGTAAACGAGGGCATACGAAACAGGTCTATATGAATTGGTCGAAAGACCCCGGTTCATTGGTAGATAGATATATCCAGGAATTGGACCAACTCAAGATACATAATGAATAGAATGATATTGGGATGACAAAACTAGCAGGCCATTCGAGGCAAATCAAGGTCTTTCCGAGTAAAATCTAATCAAACAAAAGTACGGCAGGGGTACCTTTGAGAAATCGAGGCCATGTCAGCATTGACAAAGTCATTAGCACACAATGGGGACGAGTCACATACACCTCTGGGTAGCCATGCTCTGGATCAATCTCGTACTTGGATTGTGACGACTGCGGGATGGTGTTCAAGTTGCAAGGCGAAGGTGGCAGGCCATTGGCACCCAGCACGCCCTGGACGGCGTTTTTGTCCTTCTCAAAGAGGGCGGCTAAGCCCCGTTCTTGACCCTGTTCCTTCACAGCAACCAATTGTTTTTCTCCGGCCTCACCAATCTTCAGAACATCATCCTTCGGGGCGGCCTGGCTGCCAACCGTGAGCAGGCCCACAGCATCGGCTTGGCTGACGGTGCTCAGCTGGGGGTAGTTCCTGCGAGTGTCTCGCTTCCAGTAAGGGTTGTCGGCAATATCGCCGGCCGGAATGGTAACGGGGTCATCGTATGACAGAGGAGGCAATGCTCCAGGAGTCGGCAGACGATACTGAGAATTCAAGGGAATACCGGTAGAGCGTTCTGGTGCAATGGCGAGAAGACGGCGAATGCGTTCCCAGACACCCGTGGACTGGACCGTATATTTCTAGAGAATAGTTGAGACTTCGAACTGGGCAAACAACACGCTAACTTCTTGAATGAGCATACCTTATGGACAGCAATGGCACTCGAAGCCGACTTGGCGGCTTTCAGGATATCGCGAGCCATGACGAAAAAGACTCTCACCTAGCAATTTCACACCCAACGTTAGTTAATTATTGTTGTATCACACAGGATGAGAGTATTGTGGATGCGGGCTTGGAGTTTAATCTTTCAAGAAACTTACCTGAAACCTCGGGGACTCCTTGAGGCGTTCGATGGCTTGGGCGATGCGGGCAATGCCAGGATAACGGAGGTGCGACGACGGATGCGGATTATATGTTTTTCCGAGGCCAAGGACGTACTGCATATTACTAACACATACATTGGCTTCTGCTTATAGATGATGGATGTATGGAAATCCCCAAGGTCTTTATTTAGGTTCAATTTCGTGATGATTTTTATGAATTAATAACACATATGCCATAAGTGGCCTCTAAGTAGATCTTCATGGCCAGGTATCTAGGTATACAGTATATAGGGACCGCCACCGGTTGGATCAAGCCGATTCACCCAGGTTTACTGTGCTTCGCTAGGACTGGCATCCCGGGACTCCTGCACTGAGTCTTTAGGAATCAGTTTCTCTACTGCGTCCACCGTTGCATCAGGGCCACCGGCTTCTCGAAGCAGAACCTTGCCAGCCTTGTCCACGGCAAAGACTCCTCGGATTGTGCCCTTGGGTGTTTTCTTGAGCCCAATTGCCGCAATTAGGGTGGCAGTGGGGTTGCAGAGAAGAGGATAGGGAAGCTTTTGCTTTGTTTTGAAGGTGGTGTTGGCTTTGGGAGAATCTGCCGATAGCCCATAGATGGAAAGTCCAGTCGACGTGAGATGGGTATGATTGTCGCGGAATGAACAAGCTTGCTTGGTACCTGGAGTAACTTGATAAGCGTCGTTTTTGACAAAGATAGTCGGCAGAAGAATCTGCACTCACATCCTGGAGTAGAAGCCTTTGGATATGTGAATAGAACCACTCCAGACTGACTTTCCTCGACAAGCTTCTTCAGAGTAGTTTTCACGCCCTCATTGGTTTCAATCTCGCCACCAAAGGTCTCGAGATCAATGGTATCATCCACATTGGGGATCGAGGCCGTTTCGGTGTTGGTGTCTGCATCTGCATCTGTCGACTTGGGTTGGGCCTGTTTGGTTTTCTTGTCTGCAGATGGAGGTTGTGTTGGTGCTTTGCGCTTTCTGAGCTCTACCATTGTGAGATGAGATAGTGAGATAGGGATGTTGAATGTATTTTGAAGGAAAGATCCCAGTTCTCCAAGAGCTCGAGCTCGAGGAACAACCGGGATTATGTCAGCGAGGGTACCGGGAAAACCCGATCCATGGGGCGCGCCGTGCCCTGATCCGCGCAGGGAAAAAAAAAAGAAAATTCCCCCTCTTGACGTTCCTCACGATCGCCCTTTTAATCCACCTTCCCCATCTTCTCAATATTGGCCTCTGACTCATCTGTCGCTTCTATCTTTGCCATCTTTCATCTCGAGTCTGAATTCATCTGATCCTCGCCTCCTGTTTCTCGCTTTTGCTCTGTGCCTCCCGCCCCCATCCGACCAATCTCTTCAGACTGCCGCACTCACTACATCGAAAAAAATCACATTCGTCTGCGCTTTTCTACTTTCAAAAAGCTTGGGATCCCATCACTCGAGAGCGACCTACAGCGTCGTGACTCGCTATGAAGGTCTTTTCCTCGACATGCACCTTCGACTATTCGTGGGACGAGGTGTCGACGGCGAACTGGCGAAAGTATTGTCCATGGAATGACAAGGCGACGCATGTCGTGGGAGTCGACACCATTTCCCGCACGGTTGACCCCAAAACTGGCATCGTGAGTACCTTTGGGGATGGAATCGGGGATGGATCGATGCTGACTTTGCTTCAACTCTAGTTGCGGACCGAGCGTCTCATCACTTGCGACCAGTCGGTACCACAGTGGGTTCTCTCGCTATTTGGTGGAAGTGCTACGTCTCACGTTTATGAAATTTCCTACGTCGACCCTATGGCGAAGAAAGTCACCATGTGCTCCAGCAATCTCACATGGTCGAACGTGCTCAATGTCCGCGAAACTGTTGTGTACCAGCCCTCTTCGGTGTTGTCTGCCGCGACCGAATTTTCCCAGGAAGCGAAGATTACCGCCTTGTGCGGCGGGTGGCAAAAGATCAAAAATAAGGTTGAGGAGGCAAGCGTGGAGAGATTCCGAGAAAATGCCAAGCGTGGCCGCGAAGGGTTCGAAACCGTCCTCGAGATGAGCCGCCGAGTGTTTGGGGAGCAGCGTGCTCTCGAGAACCAACGGCTGCAGGCATAAGATGCCATCCCGTGGCCGCTGCCGCCGATATTGAAAAACACCCCTACCGACATTCATTTCTTGCATCGAGCGATCGCATGTCCTGGCGTCTATGTTCTTTTGGTTTTGCATTCGGAAGCCTGCGGTGCGAATTGGAGTTTTAGTGCAAGATCTCTTGATTTGATTTTTTTTTGTCTGCTTCTGCGTTCGAGGCGACTCTGCTCTGCTAATACCATACACTCTTGGTTGTTCATGAAGGTTCCCGAAAAAAAGTTCCATGATCAGTTGCTGAGCGAGCGATGTGATGTTTCTCTTCAAAAGCCTATTATTGCAGTAGAGTCTGTTGTTATCCCAAAAAGCTCATTCTCCCATGGTATTTATCTGAACCAGCTATTTTCCTATATGAGCCGCGAACTCCCAAACTCCATGCGCATCTCGTCATTTCTCAGTAATCGCCGTGACGGGACAACCCCATGCTATCCCAGTAAGCCGCCAAGAACCACTCGGCTGACTCCAGCTACTTCGTTTTTGACGCCATTCCGACTCGCGTCCTCAAACTCCCGCACGGCACCGGCTACCATAATCTTCCGCAACTTGGCATCGGCTTTGGAGAACATCTCGCCCAATGCCACTGTACACACGGATGGTGATGATACTAGTGTCGTGAGTCGACTGTAGCAGTCAATCAAGACGTCACAAAGAGTCGCGAATGTCTCAAAGAAGTCTGGGTCGAAGGGTAAAGAAGGAGTGAGAAGGTAGGAATATTCTTCCCCCGGAAGAAGATCAGATGATTCGGTGAGCGGAAAGGAGATCACCGAGGCTGCCGCGGTGGAAGGGGCGGTGATATTCCCCGCCGAGCTTTTGAGGTCGGTCGGGTCACTGGTTTGCATCGGGAGACCGATTTCGGTTGCCGAGCTACCTCGTCGGGTTTTGGTGCCGGCATGGGCTGCTCTTTTGAACATTTGGGGTATGCGTGCTCGGGCGAGGCTCGAGGAAGAGCCACCATCGGGTGGATGTACTTGCTGGTAGGCTTCAAACTCCAGCAACAAGGCATTTAAGGCTCGTAAATACTCGACTGGGGTTGAATTGACGTCGAGGATCGGGGGCAAGGACAGACCCAGAAGGAGATAGTTGATTGCTCGACGCGACAGCTTCCTGTGGTCGAAGTACGGGAGACGGTTGATATCGGCGCGGGAGAAATGCACAGTATTGAACCAGTAAACCCGACCCTCATGGCTATGAGCGCGTGAGACACGTTAGTTAGTTCTTGCTCCATAGTAGCTGAGACAATGTACGCACGCCTTTCTCAAGTAATCCAGTGTTGAGATTCGCTTCGCTGCCATCTCATGGATCTGTTGATAGATTGCACCAGCACTCTGTGGTCCAAATGGGCCGCCGGTGATCACAGGAGGCGGAATGCTGCCATGTGCGCTTTCATATCCACCACTGGATTTGGCCGTATCCCGTCGCGTAAGGCTCGGCGCAAAAGTAGACGAAATCATTGAGGGCACTCTGTTCACATTCACAGCCCCTCAAGGAAACTAAAGGTGATATGACGTCGGGTGAGGGACAGGGGTAATGGATATAGGCTTCGAGACAAGGGGGCAGTGCTCTAGAGAAAGCTGCACAAAGCACCGAGTCCAACAGAAAGCGTGTGGAAAGGTGGAAAATCGGCAGGATTCAGGAGAGTTTGGAGTCAGGGTCTCCACAACCCCTCATGGGTGCAAGGACATCGAGGATTGGAGGCGCCATTTCTGCCGGATGGTACCGCGTGAATGATTCTCCCCGTCATTGGCGGGATGCCACCAGTTAAATTGCGAGTTGAATAGGCGGTGTGCGCATATCAGGAAGGCGGTGGAGAAAAGATACCTTGTAGGTTTCAACCTTATAGGGCCCCCACTAACCCCTACTTGGCAATGTAATTTATTACCCACGCGACACCCCTGAGATCTTCCCCCCACTCTTCCCTTTCACACCGTGGGACAAGGCAATTGTCACATTATTGACTTCTTTTTGCAATGGTTTCGACTGAAGAGCAAATTCCCTCGCCGGGCCAATGGCCCGTTGACCCTCAGGAAGATGAACCGATCTTGGAAGACCGAGTTTGGGTTGATGGATGTTTCGACTTTACCCACCATGGTGAGAACCCTATGTAATGCCCGATTTGAGGTCATTTGCCTAATTGCCTTGCTCTCGGTGGGATATAGGTCATGCCGGTGCCATGCTTCAAGCCCGTCGGCTTGGAAAAGAGCTGTATGTTGGAGTTCACTCCGATCAAGCAATTCTCGAAAACAAAGGCCCCACGGTCATGTCTCTGGACGAACGGTGAGTTTGATCTGATTCACCACCCCCCCTTACTCTTTCCTATCCGATTGACTGACAATTCGTCTTTACTTTGTCTAGTGTCGGGGCCGTCGATGCCTGCCGGTGGGCGACCCGAAGCATTCCCCACGCACCCTATGTGACTTCCCTGCCCTGGGTCTCGCACTATGGCTGTAAGTACGTCGTTCATGGGGACGATATTACGTCCGACAGCGACGGAAATGATTGTTATCGGTTTGTCAAAGCTGCTGGTCGCTTCCGGGTGGTCAAGCGAACTCCTGGAATCTCTACCACCGACCTCGTTGGCCGCATGCTCCTGTGCACCAAGAACCATTACATCAAATCCCCCAAGCAGACGCTCGCCGGGGAAGAGGGATCGGGAAGCCCAGAAGAGCTCAAGAAATCCGCCGCAGACCTCTTGCAGAGAATCCAGGACTATGCGACCGACGAGAGCGGTCTGCGTCCGGGATCCCAGGTATGGAGTTGGTCTGGTTCCGGTACTGCGAAGCTGGACCATACGGCCGAGGAAGCTGGCTTGTTTGAGAAGCTCGTAGACGGCAAGGGTCCCCGACCGGGACAGCGGCTTGTCTATGTGGATGGCGGCTTCGATCTTTTCTCGTCTGGTCACATCCAGTTTCTGCGAAAGGTCATGGACCTTGAAGAATCAGAAGGGCGTCAGCGAGGCTGGTTCGATCCTGAGCAAAAGGAACAAAGACTGAAGGAGCATGGCGAAGACTATGCCTCTGCCTATATCATCGCAGGTATTCATGATGACGATGTGATCAACCACTGGAAAGGATTGAACTATCCGATCATGAACATCTTTGAGCGCAGCCTTTGCGTTCTCCAGTGCCGTGTAAGTTTTAGCATCCCCTCGCACTTGAGGCGCGCGTGTGTGCATCCTCCACTGACTTCCCTTAGTATATCCATGCTATTGTGCTTTCGGCGCCCTTTACGCCCAGCCAGTCTTACCTGGAGAATATTCCCTGGGGCACTCCAAATGTTGTTTACCACGGTCCCACGACCTTCATCCCGCTCACTTATGATCCCTATACCGCCCCGAAGAAGATGGGGATCTTCCGTGAAATCGACCAGCATGACTTCCAGCATGTCAATGCTGGCGAGATTGTGGGCAGAATCCTGAAAAGCCGAGAAGCTTACGAGGCTAGACAGCGTGCCAAACTGGACAAGGGTGTTGCCGAGGACCTGGTGAAGTCGAAGGAAGAATCAACCGCCTGAGGGAGATCGATGCTGTGATGAAGGTCAACTGTACATATGCCTGACTTCCGTGAGGCTGGTTTGGAGTGTTGATCCCATCACTCCATTGGACCCGAGGTCGCACCAGGTGGGGTTTCCGTCGTAAACTGACAATATGTATATAGGTCAGCGTTGTCTAACGCAGCTAGTTTACATACGAGATAGCATTGCAAGCGCTTATATCGGTATAAAATGGTATTTTCCAACCAAACGAACAAGTAATTTTACAAAGCTATATTTGATGCAATCGCATCGACCTTATTCACTGATCCGCCGCCACCAAGACACCCTTGCCTTCCAATAATTTGGCAAGTTCTCCATTCTGGTGCATGGACATCAAAATATCGCATCCACCGACAAACTCCTTCTCGAGGTAGAGCTGCGGGATCGTGGGCCAGTCCGAGTACTCTTTCACGCCTGCCAAGGGTTTTAGCATTGTGGAATCGCACCGAAGAGATGGAGAAAAGAAAGTTGGCGGGCTCGAAACATACCTTGACGCAGCTCTGAATCTTCGAGCACGTTGAAGGCAACAAATTTCCTAGGATCAACCCCCTGCAGACCCAGGATCTGGATACTCGCACGCGAGAAGCCGCATTGTGGGGTCTCGGGGGTGCCCTTCATGAAAAGAACGACCGGGGCCGAGGCAACCGCTTTATCGATAGCCGCCCGGGTTTCCGAGGACAGAAAGCGTGCATGGAAGATCGAGGGCAACGGAACGGCTGCGGAGCGAACTGGGCGCAGAGCCGTTGGCCGTGAAATCGGGCGGAACGCCTGGTACGGTTGGACTGCGTCAGCTGTGTAGTAAGGAAATGAAGAGACGACGAACGTACCGAGAATATCGTCCTGGGAAGCATGTTTTCAATTTGTAGTGAATGGATGAAGGAGCCAGGGAATGAGGAGGGAGGATGATTCCACTCGGCAAGGCGCGTTAGTAATTCTTAAATGCACTGGTTACGTCGATGGGGCTCCACAACCACTTTTTCCTTGAATGGATGCATGTTCTACTACTTCTGCCAAAAACTATGGCCTAATCTGGGAGTCACCGACAATCTCTTGATTTCTTACCCTCGGTGATTATCCATACCATCGAAAGACTACAAAACTAATAGACGGCGAGACAAGTTCCTGATGGCCCGTTGAGCATCATTATGCCGACTCCAACTCTAAGGGCCCAGTGCTATCGTACAGACCAAGGGATTGTGTTGCATACTCGCCGAGCAATCCCAAGGAGATACCTCCACCCGTCAACAGACAACCGTATTTGAACCACCACCAACAGTTCTGAACATTTTTCAGTTGAACCTTCCAAATCATGAGCCCGAGTGAAAGAAGGGCGCTGCCGCAACTGCCGGCGAAAAAGACAGGCCCGCAACCCGCCGCAACTCCGGCCGCAGCAAGGAGCGACACCTGAGTCGCCGCCAGCCCACTCAGCACGGCCTTGGTGTTGTGTTCATGGCGGAGAGCAATTGATTTGATCCCGGCTGCTACATCATCCTTGATGTCCATATACGCATATATCATATCGTACAGAACTGTCCAGGCCACACAACTCGAATAAAGGGCCCCGGCAGCCATGAGTGCATCCCGGTTGGCTAGTAGATCCACGCCCAGCGCGGGAAACCCCATCATCGCACCCCAGGAGAAGGCGAGGCCCAAAACAAACTGGGGGTAGTTGGTGACCCGTTTGGCCAGCGGATACGCGACCACGACAGGCAAGCTGGGAATCCCATACCAGAGGCATTGGGTAGGGAATTGGAGAAGTACTGTAAGCCCAGCCAGCAATTGGGTACCGGTGAAAAGGACAGCCTTGGGTGGTGAGAGCGCGCCTCGAGCAATAGGCCGAAACTTGGTACGCTCAACGTGAGGGTCCAGGTTCCTGTCCCACAGGTCATTGATCGCGCACCCTGCGCCTCGCATGATCACTGCCCCAGTAAAGAAGAGCCCCGTTGTCCCAAGAACTTGAAGCGGAGCCACCTGGACCATTGGCGCGGCGAGGAGGGTAGAGAAGAGGGTCGGAAAGAAAAGGTAGTATGTGCCCGTCGGCTTATCCAACCGCAGCAGCTCTGCATAGGGAATCCATGAATTGGGCAGAGACGCAATCAAGCCTCTTGTGGGTGGCGCATAGTGTGTCGCTGGGTTTGCTTTTCCCTCAAACTCGACGGGCTGCACCGCAGGAGAGGGTGACTGGGAGTTGTGCCGGAGAGAGGTCTTAGGTTTTATCCCTGGCGCGGCAACTGCAGAGTCTGGGGAATCGCGGCCGTTCGTAGGTGCTAGAGAAGGACGAGTGTGTATTGGCGACAAGAAGCGCTTAGTTCGAAGGCCGAGCATGGGCTTTCCCCTACACGGAGGAAATCGCACGCGGCGGAGCAGGGAACCGGTGGAGAGGGTCATGATTGGGGATGTAATCGCGGAGGAGAGAGGGTCAATTTCATGCTGAACATGCACTGGTTTTCTTGCCCATCAACTGTCATGGCATGACGAGTTGGTCCCCAAGAGCAGTAGGGAAAAAAGGCTCGGAGACCCTAAACCCATTCGGGTATCCGGATCTTATCGTCCTCGCAGAAGAGAACAAAAGAAAAAGAAACTGCAGAAAATAAAAATGATTTTGAAAGTGGATGAGAATTAGAGAACTAGAGTCCAAAGAGATATTCTTGAGGATATAAGCATATCTGGTTATATTTGTTAATAGTCGCGTTGGTATACCCTCTTGGTAGCCGTACATCTACGCGTGGGATTTCTGCCTGAGGCCACAGAAACGCCGATGCTCTCCGCGTTCGCGGATCCGGGGATCATCACTTTGCGATATGAGGGAGCAGGCGCAGCCCACCATCTCTGCTTTGAACTGGAAACCTTGGTTGGATTATCGTCCCACACTATTCTGGTGAGTCCATGTGGCAGCTTCTCTTAGTGATTCTGTTGACTCAACCCGGGATCATTCATCTTGGACCAGCTTCTCACTTACGCTCTCTGTAACTAGTGCTTTTGCTCGCAGCTTCCTTCAACAACCTCGAGCATTCACCCGGCGCATACAATCACGTTTTGGTAATATTCTCCCGCGTGTCGCCTCGACCCTCCCACCTTGACCGAATCAGAACCCTCTGCAATTTTGGTTTTTTCTTGGACGCACCCATTCAGTCACCTCCCTGGGGAGCTGGCCATGGGCAATGCCGACCCAGCGCACCCGCGCGGTCTTTGAGCCGTTTCCTCCAAACCTGGACATTGGCGACCTTGTTGATTCGACCCCTAAATTCAACTTCGCGTGGAGAATCACTTGTGATTCGATCGATGAAAACCCTCGGGAAGATTTTGAGCAATTGGTTTTGTTCCATGTGATTTTGTCCGGACGTCCTCTCGTCATCGAAGGATTCCAAAAGCGGTTGGACAAGTTCCTGTTCTCGGAGAAATGGCTGAGACAGAATTGCGCCGGGAAGAGTAAGTTAGCCCTTGGGAGATGTACGTCTCGTTCGAGCCGCCTCTGACTGTCTAAACAGAGGAGAATGCGCGAGACTTGGTCAAGGGCACTAACCTGCTGCTCACCATCGGGCATTACTTGAAAAACCTGCCTCTCTTGACTGAACAATGGACCCCATACAACTACACGGATCGAGATCGCCAAAGATTGTATCTGAAAGATATCGATTGCCCCCCTGAGTGGTGCAATTCTCTTGGGAAATTGATTCCTCCCTGTCTGTTTTACTTGAATGAGTTCCCGAAGCCTTTCGATGGCCCCGGTTCCCAGCTGTCCGACTCATCCCCACCTCCCAACTCCGCACAAGGCGTGCCTATCGCCCGGGCGGGCGATTTGATGAGCTGTCTCCCTGAAAGAATGCGTGCAGAAAATCTGATGTGCTATGTTGGACACGAAGGGACCTACACGCCGGCACACCAAGAGATGTGTGCTAGTCTCGGCCAAAACATCATGGTCGAAGCATCGGATGGATCTGTTGAACATGGGAAGCAGACAAGACCGGGTTCCTCAATTTGGTTCATGACTGAGACCAAAGACCGCCATGCCGTGGCGGAGTATTGGATGTCTTTTCTTGGACATGATATTGACATCGAAGATCACTTCGCCCAATTGAACGCATGGACAAACGCTCCGTTCAAGACATTCGTTGTTGAGCAGAGGCCCGGCGACTTGGTTCTCATTCCTCCCTTGGCTGCCCATCAGGTGTGGAACCGCGGTACCAGGACAATGAAAGTGGCCTGGAACCGCACGACTGTTGACACCCTGGAGATGGCATTGTGTGAAGCGCTACCCCATGCGCGGATGGTCTGTCGCGATGAACAATACAAGAACAAGGCCATCGTTTACTACACACTCGAAAAATATTCCAACCTATTGTGGCGGGCGCACAAGGAGGAGAAGAAGGAGCACCCGGAAGTCAAGCAACTGTTGCAGGATTTCAAACGACTCTTCATGTTGTACACGGAAGTTTTGCTTTCAGAAACTTTCCCGCCGAGGAAGCTCGTGGAAAAGGAGGTCGAGTATGTTGAATTCGAGGGCAATGTCACTTGTTCTTACTGTCGGTGCAACATTTTTAACCGATTTCTTACCTGCCCCTGGTGTGTGGAAACGTTCAATGTTGATGGCGAAGAAATATCCGACACCTACGACATTTGCATGGATTGCTTTGTGATGGGTAGAAGTTGCCGTTGCGTTTCCAGGCTCAAATGGGCCGAGCAATTCCGGTGGAAGGAGATCCTCGGGCGATATGAACATTGGCGACAGCTTATTCTTACTCTTGACGAAGGAAGTCAAGACGAAAAACAGCAACAAAAGCTCAAGACCCAGTTTCCGGCGTTCACCATCGCACGAGGCCAAATGGGCCGGAAGTCTCTGGCTGAAATCTGCCAGGAGGAATTGATCCGACGGCCGTGGATTGATATCAAAAAACCCAATCCGGCTGCTGCCAAGAAGCTGGAGGCATCAAGCGACTCCGAGGACAATGGTCAGTCTCGCAAACGGAGGAAAGTGCGACATCGAGCCAAGGCTCACGCCGAGGAGACTGGCCGTTGTCATGTTTGCAGAGAACCTGAAGCCTCTTGGAAACGGGCTTCGTGCTCACGCTCGACCTGCGAAGAACAGTACTGTTATAGCTGTCTGTTCCGTGCTTTCGATATATCACCCCGGGATGTGATGGAAAAGCATCACTGGTGGTGCCCAAAATGTCAGAAGATTTGCAGCTGCAATAACTGTCGACGAGATCCGACCATGAGCCCACATGAACCTCGCGGCACTCTCTTGGGGCATGACACCAGAAAGATTGCCGATCCCCGTAGCGTCGAGTCTCTGGTGAATTTGCGTCTCACCAATTTCCGCTGGCTCAACCAGTTTGGGAGTGACAACGCAAGCCGGGTTGAAAAACGCCTGAAAGAAGCGGAGGAAAAACGTACGCAAGCATTGCGTGTTTATGAGATCGACCTGGAATCAAGCCCCCTTCCGATGAATACACACACAGGCGACTTCTTGGCAAATTACGAGGCTGAAATTCCGGTTGACCCGGGCCTGGAACTGGACAATACTCTTCGCATGCTTGTATGAGCAGGAAAAAAAGCGCCTTATGCCACGGTCGGCTGTATTGCTTACAAGCGAGTTAGAGGGCTGGGAGCTTACGGAGTGAGATTGTTGCATTACTTGTCAGGCTTTAGCGATACGAGTTCACGAATCTAGCTGCACTACATTAATGACCATATCATGGACTGGAAGAAGTTGAAGGTCGAATCCATCTCCGAAGCTAATTGGCCCTAAGCGCCTTTGTATTCGTACTGGAGATCTTTGAGAGATGTGAGGTCGACCGAGAGCATGACCTGTTGTGCGAGAAGAATGGTCACGAGCATGGCTGGGTACATGGTCAGAGCGGATGTTGTAGACACCAATAAGTGAAGAAAATAAAACACAACGAGAGAGGAACCCACCCCCTGGGATTAAATACAGCACCGGCCGAGACCCATACGAGGATCCAGCCCCGATGAAGCAATACAGGACAGCCAGCAGCAAGCAAACCGCGCCGTTGGCAGGCACCAGGACTGCGCGGATCCGAGCAAGTCGTTCGTCTGCTACCGACATGGGTTTCTTGCCCTTGGGATCGAGACGGAGAGGAGAGGTCCTCATGATATAGGCCGTCACGGACAGCGAGGCAAGACCCACGAGCGAGAGGAACCGCTCAGCTACACTGGCTGCAGACAGCACCGATGGTAGAAAGATAGTTGCGGAGAGCAGTGGGATGATGGTGAAGATCAACTAAAACCCCGTGAGCTTTCATTTGGGAACCCGATGAGGAACTGGTGTTTACACTGTATTGAGCGTTGCGCGCATCATTCTGTCCCTGCAACCGCTGGATGACCCGCTCCTGTTCCACCTCATCAAGTTCCTCGTGCTCCTCGTCCGAGTCCTCTGGATATCGGAACGCTTTGCGCAGTCGGACGGCCGCCATTTTGGGGGACTATTAATTCTACTAAGACAAAAGAGAAGAACACCGAAGCGCTGTGACGTTGTTTGTCTTGTTTGGCTGGCTTGCTTTCTCTCACCCCGACAGAAAAAAGAGACCCAACCAAGTCTCCCCATCCCCACGCGTCTTTGTCCCACCATGCTTTTCGCCTCGTTTTCCCGGCGCGCCGGGCTCATGCGGCCCTCATTGCGTCGAAATTGCCCACCACGTCGCACGATCATCCCCGCCCCGGGCCCCAACACAGGACCGCTGATGGAGCGACGCGCGGACCGAGAACTGCCATCCGTCAATCAAGGACGGCGCTGGACACGCACTCTCCCGATCTTCGTGGTGGCCGTTGGGGCGGCGATGTTGGGAATCTTCAATTACCAGAAGTCGTCGTCAAGCGTGGTCAACAGCACGCTGTACGCACTGCGGACATCTCCGCAGGCTCGGGAGCTCCTTGGTGATGAAATCTACTTTGCGCAGCAAATCCCCTGGATCAGCGGCGAGATTAATCAGCTTCACGGCCGGATCAATATCTCGTTTTGGGTCAAGGGCACCAAGAGCCAGGGCAAAATGCGGTTCCGAAGTATTCGGCCGGACCGAATGAGCTTTGTGAGTGATCCGCACAAGCCATGTCCAATTCCATTGTGTCGCTAATTGTATTCTAGTTCCACACCGAGGAATGGAGCTTGGAGACGGAGGATGGAAAGGTGGTGCAGCTGCTCAGTGATAACGATCCTTTCCGACAGTGAAGCCCGAGATGCGACAGCTTGTACAGATAGAAAGTGGTTCTCATGCATGGATCAGGCGTTTTGTGTTGATGGTGACCTTTGTTTATCAACCGAGGGGCAAGGCTGGAAAACCACCAAGAAAAGGATATCAAATTGTATCATATACAGACGCCGCTCAAATCAACCCAATTATTGGGCGTATGGTGTTAATAGTACATGCTGTCCCACATCCAAAAACCCTTTTTCGGCTTGAGTTAAGCAGCCGCAGTCGCAGCCGGCTCTTCTGTCAGTGCGATCTCGGATTCTGCCGTTGCTGCCGGCCCAATCTCTGGCCACGGCTTCTTGATCGCATCCTGAATCCTGACCACACATCCCTTGGGACCACTGACCGATCCTAAAGAGGAAAAGAAAACCACAAAGTCAGCAACGGAGAAAGCAAAGCGACGGGTTGAAACGAAGCGAAAGGGGAGTAATTCATACCGGTGACAACCACAATCCCATTCTCAGCGTCCACCTTGAGAACCTTCAGGTTCTGTACTGTACTTTGATGATTACCCATGTTTCCAGCCATTTTCTTGCCGGGGTAGACTCGGGAACCACCGCCTTGACCAGGACCGGAAGAACCGAGCGAACGATGCGTCAAACTGACACCGTGACTGCGGTCCTGACCACCGAAGCCGTGTCGCTTCATGACACCAGCAAATCCTTTACCCTTTGAGTTGGAACGGGCGTCAACAAACTGGCCCTCTTGGAACCAGGAAGCATCGATGGTCTGGCCGACGGGAACCAGGCCGGACTCGTTCTTGACGCGGAACTCGCAGACATGGCGTTTGGGCGAAAGGCCATGAGCGGAGAAGTGGCCGAGAAGTGATTTGGTCATGTTCTCAGGGTGCTTCCAGCCGGCTCCGATCTGGACGGCGTAGTAACCGTGCTGTTTGGGGGTCTTGTGAGAGACGACCTCGACGCGGTCCAGTTGAAGGACGGTGCATGGGGTGCGTTTGCCGGTTTCCTGGTCATAGATGGCAGTCATGCCCTTCTTGATTGTGATGGCGCCGGTTCGATGAGGTGTGGTTCTGGCTTTGCGCCGGAGAGCCGCCTCTGGTGCTGACTCGAGGACGGGCAGGCCAGGGCCGGTATCGTACTTGCTGGGTTTGGGAGGGTTAAGCGATCTGATACCAAGTGACCGCACAGGCATCCATTGAACGCCCCAGAGAGGCGTGGAAAGCTGCAACAGCTTCCCAAGGCGCGGGTTCATGGTGCTGGATTTGGGGCTAAGGTCGATCTGGAGAATTCAGGATATGGGAGTTTTTGGGCGGTTGGATGAGTCAGCATATGCCGTGGGCCCAATTTGCGAAGTATGAAATGGCGATCTGCTCAGTAGGATATCATCAACTCGGGTATGCATCGGACAGGTCTCCTGAATATGCAGAAACTTCTACAATCTCTCACACATACAACTATTTCATTTTCTGTATACCCTTGGCGACCTGAATCCTAGAATCTTCTAACTCCGTCTCACCCGATCGGACCGGAGCGGCCGAACAAAAGATCCCGATAGAAAAAAAAATAGACCCATCCCTTCCGACCTTCTCTTCGTCCCAACCTCAATATAATTGTTTCTTCACCTAGGAACATGCCTCTTCGGCACTTGCTTCGATCACGATGGAACTCATCGGCTGAGCTCCTGCAGCCCGCTCTCACATCCGGCTCCCATCTTCCCTCGACCCGGCCAATGGGCGTGCGGAACAGCCCCATTCTCTCCTTCGCATCCAGAGCAACACGACGCACCCTGACGACGGTCAATTCTACGAGCCGAGTCACGACGCGGACCCGGCCGGGGCCTACCTCCCACCAGTTTCTGAAGCAGCGACTCAACCGACGGTTTAATTCCGGATCGTCGGGCAGCGGCCCGCAGCCAGAGCCGGAGCACGCATCGCTGTCGCAGCGGCTGCGCAAGCTATCGCGCGAGTACGGCTGGGCCACACTCGGAGTGTACCTGGCCCTGTCGGCGTTGGATTTCCCGTTCTGCTTCGCGGCGGTACGGCTGCTGGGGGTGGACCGCATCGGACACTATGAACATGTTGTGGTCGAGTCCGTGAAGCAGGCTGTCTCGTCAGTGTGGCCTCGCACGGAGGACTCAACCCCCCAGGATGGCGGTGACGATGCCCAGGGCAGACTAGCCCAAGCGGAGGAGAGGAACAAGGAAGAAGCCAGTATGTCTCCTCTCTTCATCTGCCCTCCCCTTACTCCGCAAGAGAGCACCATCTCACCAGCTTTACGTAGGTATATGGACGCAGTTGGCTCTCGCGTATGCTATCCACAAGAGCTTCATTTTCATTCGGGTCCCCTTGACTGCCGCCGTGACACCCAAGGTCGTGAAGATGTTACGGCGCTGGGGATGGGATATTGGGAAGCGCAAACCCAAGAGTCCATGAGCCATGGACTTGCATAGCATAGCGAGGATTGGTGTGTTTTTTTGTGGGGTGAATTGTACATTAACCATTTAGAGATTTAATCCGGCACATCGCCTTCTCCCTCCATCGTTCCCTCATCTATAGATATCATACAGACCAGAGCAAACTCTCAGACACAAGAAAAGCCCATATCTATCACCAGCGCCATAAGACAGGAAACGACATGTGCGGTTGCAATTAGCTGAGGGGAAATATAAAAAAAGATCCACTCCCTTCAAGTATGGTATAGCTGGCCCAAAGCAAATCGTAAATATGAAATATCGGCATAACATGACCACTCAGTCTCGTAATCTTCGTCTCGGAAACAAATTGAAATGCGAAGGTGGAGGGCGTCAAAAGAAAACTAATCCCCGACAATCAGGTCACATATCGATCATGTCGTTGAATCTCAGGATGCCGTTGGCCCTCATCACGCCATTGACCCCGTCAGGCATTCGGTATGCCCAGTCTGCGACGCCCATGGAATCGGCTGCGGGTAGGGCGTCGCCCGGGTTCGGTTGCCCAGATTCATCAGAAGTGTCGGCCACAAGAACGAGACCAAGTTCCTTGATAGTTTCCACCAGAGCAGGAACAACGTTCTGTGTGAAAAGAAAAATGTCAGCATCCAAGACAGGACCCAAAGAAGACCTGATAGAGGAAAACATACCAATAGACTCGACCGGCAGATGAGGCCCATAAAGTTGTTACTTTGAGCAATCCGCGCAGACTCCTTAATCGACATGGAGGCTCGTCCGCTGCTATTCACATGAGGCAACGAGTCTACGTTGCGGGCTAGGTCACGGATCTGCCCCAAATCATTGCACAGAAGTACCGGGTCTTGAGAGAGAAAAAGAATGTTAGCAAAAGACGCCAGAGATATTTGACCGAAGGGCGAGAAAACTTACAGTTTGGTTGCTTCCAGTTGAGTGCCGTGCAGATATTTGGATTGTAAGAGGTGAAAACCACAGAACGCATGAAGTCGGGGTTCTTGTCTCGCGCCACACGGGCATGATCGAAAACCTCGGTGAGAATAGCATCGGCAAAGGTGTTGACATCGGCCAGGGAAGTCATGTCAAGGGCCCTCTCCTCAACGGCCGATGGGTAAAGAATGGAGAGGTTCACATTCAGGTCAATAGGCAATTGCCGCAGAACCTCCTGTAGAGACAAGAAAGATGCGGCCAAGATTCGATGGGTCTGGGGCATGTCATTGACAGCCTGAGTGGCCAGGAAGTGTGAAATGTCCTGTTGCTTGACGCCCCGTTCCGCACCAATCTTCTGGAATTGGATATACGTCAAGTGAGATACGGGAATCTCAATTCCATGGTGATTGATCATGAACTGGGGGTAAAGCACTGGCACCCGATCCCGGGTGAGCTGAATGAAGAGCTGCACATAATCTCCCGACAAGCTGGAGCCAGTGACCAGTCCATTATGTTCCGAGTCCAGCGCGTTGGTCGCCTTCCAATATGTGGCAAAGTGGGTGATTTCCAAGGGATCGCCGTGGTAAGGCTTGATGACCTGGAAGTTGAAGCGCAGTTGGCCAATGGCACGCAGACGAGGGTCAAAGAGAGGGAGGCAGCATGAGCCAGTGCTCGAGGTCTCAGCCCGGAAGTTCACAGGCAAGGCCACGCTTTTCGCAATGACCTTGGAACCAAAAGTGGGGAAGATCTCAAAGTCCACTGCAAAGGTGTCCAAATTGTCGACATGGAAGGATATTATCCGGGAGTCATCTTGGATGGGTAACACAATGGTGCGAGGGATGAGGTCCGACAGCTTGGACGAGATGGTCAATCGAGCCGCCGGGTGACGTCCCGCCTGGTCAAAAGCAATCGACGCTGTATTCCCTTGATCAAACAACAGCTGCACGAAAACCTTCTTGTCAAGGAAGTTGTGACCGTACCGCCTCAGCGGGATTATGGGCGGAGGTAGTGATAGGTCAGGGATACCGTCGGCCATGTCCATTTCAGCGGAGCTAGTCTGCTCTGTAGACATTTGGTCATCCACAAAACCAGGCTCTTGTAGCTGCAAGCCATTGAGAACATCCAGCGGTCTCTGTGCTGGCTGTTCGTTTGAGGGCTGAGCCCAGAGGAGGAGCATACACTCCAAATGGCCCTCCCATGCGGCATAGTACATTGCCGAGAGGCCCTTCTCATCGGCGACCTTGGAATCCACACCCGACTCGAGGAGGGTTCGCAGGCATGGGACACATCCTTCGCTTGCCGCATGGAATAAGGGCGTCCACTGATACAGCTTGTCTTTCTGGTCCAGATCGGCACCATGTTGTTTCAAGAGCAACAGCAACTGCGGAGATTGAGAGGCGCGGGCCACCATATGCTGAGGGTAAAGGCCCTCAGCATCTGGCAACAACTTGGCATTTCGCTCGAGAAGCATCTTCACAATGGGCAGTGAACCATACTGGCAGGCCAGATTCAGTGGGATATGATCCGACTCTGAATCAGGGTCAATGCGCGCATTGCTGTAGAGCACCTGCTCTGCGCACGCCAGCTGGCCTTTGACGATACTGTGAATCAGGGGAGCAAAGTTGTCGTGATCCATCATATCCACCGTTTCGGGCCCCACGGCCAGTAGCTCCCGCACCATGTCCACGCGGCCGTGCATACAGGCGTAGTGAAGAGGGATTCGGCCATAAACATCGGACCGGAAGAAATCAACCTCTGCCGCAAGGCCGGCCTTAAAAACCAAGTCTCGCCCTGAGATTGCCGCTTCGTGCAGGCAGTTTCGTTCGTTGATATCGTCTTCTGCGTGTAGGTCGACCAGTCCACTTTCCAGGAGGAGGCCAAGGACCTCATCGGCGCACCCATTGATAGCCGCCAGAAAAGCACGAGTCGCCCGATCACGAGCGTCCGGAAACGAATGCAACCGAGCGACCCATTCACGCAGGGTCTGCAGATTACCGGTAGAGGCCGATTGCAAAACTTGGAGGTCTATCTCGTCTTCTTCGGTGCCAAAGGCGGGTCCCATGGCACGGTCCAACGGCCGTGAGGTGTCAAACTGAATGTTCTCTCCCTCGGCCCAGGCCTCCAGCTCCAGTCGGGCAGTCGTAGCCCGGTCTGAAAGATCCCGGAGAACCTCGCGATTGAAACAGGGCTGCACCTCGACGGCCCGATGCAGATACAGCTCCTTCATGCGTGACTTGGAAGTTTTATCCCACTTCTTCAAAATTTTGGACATGGCCGTCTCATTGATCTCGACGAATTGCTGCAGTTTGTTCAGATCGCCATCGAACTGTTGGAATCCTTCAAAGAGTGCCACGAAATTCGACGGTGTCTTTGAGTTGGAGCTGGTTCGAGATTGGACGACTCTCTTCTTGTCAACCAGTGTTTTCAGGCGCAGGGAAAACTACACTCATCATGAGCCATACGGTTCATTATAGTTCAGGGACAACAGGAAGGGTTACCTCTGATTCTTTCTGGAGATAAAAAGTGTTGACTTTTTCAATCTCTCGTTCCTGTGATATCTCGCATCAGTACCCCGAGAGAAAGCAACTGGAGGAAGTCTCCATTTTGCGCTTACCAGACGGAAGAAGAACACATCCTTGTTTGCCCGCAGGGATGACTGCGGGTCCGGAGTGCCATCTTGGGCAATATCCTCCGCTGTTCTCTGCGCCGGAATGGTTGGGGTGGCACTGAGTTGCTTGATAAGCTGTCATTGGCAATGTTAGCTAGACCCGGTAGGTTTTACGAGAGAAGAGTCCCCGCACCTTTTTCAACGCCTTGTAGTTGACAAAACTCGCGGCATATTCAGGGAGATCGAGCTGTCTGCGTTGGATCTGTTTGCCGAACTTCCTACAGAACGAGGCAAGTCAGTATCAGCATCCCTCGAGCTACAAGTGAGCATGGGCCTATGACTCCCAGAATAGGGTAAAGGCCAGGTGATGGAGCACGTACATTTTCTCGGACTCTCAGAGAGAGCTTCAGCTCTCCCGAGCTCTGGTGAGTAATCCGGGGCAACAACTGGTTTCAGCAAGAAGCTGAGAATGGAAAGACGTCAGCTCGGGGCCGAGGTGGACGAGCACGATCGAGGACGAAGAGCGTTGCAGGATAGACGAACAAGGTCCAGAGGAAGGAGAAAACTCCTCGAAGGCCACAAGTCGAGTAAAGAGGGGGGGAGGGGCTGCGCGATGGAGTGGGGACCAATGCCAGTGGGACAGGGCGACTCGAATGTCACCGGGAGGGATGACGGATAGGATGTGTGACAGTGTTCCTTTGAGGGGTCCTGGAATGGCGGGATGGCGGGGCTTTTTCGGAGTAGGATAAGCTGACCAGGGGAAGATGTCGCAAAGTAGACAGAGCAATCACCAGGACGTTTTCGGGGATCGGAGCCGAAGGGACGATAGAATACCCGGCTCGGAAGGTAGCCAGGGAGGTACCGGGTACCTGAGAGAGAGAGAGCGTCTCTCAGAAACGCAGCATCTAGTGACACACAATGCAATTGAAGGGGGAGCCCAGTGCTGGCGAAGGGGAAAAAAAGGTGAGGTGCAGTTAAAGAGAGTGGGGAGCTGCCGATCGCCAATCACCGCGAACAGCGGGCGCACGTTGACCATTCACTGGGCATCACCGAGGTACCTGGTACTTGGCCCCCCCTAATGTCCACGGTACCGCTTCGGTAGATATACTTGGATCCACCTATGACAGCATGACTATTTGGATATACAAAAATATAGGACCCAGGGACATCAGAGAATAATACAACTTCACGGCTACCTAGTTCTTCGCTCCAAGAGCTCATGCCAACGATGTCCATGGCTCTGCAGCCGCAAATGTACAACATCCATGCCAGAATGAAATCAACACAATGAAACAGTGCAGCTGTTGGACCAGATGCGAGGGATATATCACACAAACCACACCAAGTCGCCAAGTCGGGGTACCGACAGGCTGATGGGCAAAACATTCAAAGGAAAAAGAAACTTGCGAAAAGGAGCAAAGAGAAAAAGAAAAGATGAAGATAAGATAAAAGATATAGGTCAATACAAACATGGTGAATCGAAGGTCCATCGCGCCGGGGGAGAAAACAAAAATCGAGACATTGGGCCTGTAAAGGCCGGCATCAAGGAATGGAAGTCGGCGGTGGTCAAGACATAGCGGGAGAGAGTGAACTTTCCGCAAACGGAATGGGAAAACTGGATGTTTTGTTGAAGATAATGATGGGATTCAACGGGGTTCCGTTTAGAAATTCTGGGCAATGCCAGCGTTCCCTTGTCGTGGGAAGACACCGGGATTCTCAATGCGCGTGTTGCGGCGCGCCTGGACATCGCGGATCACAGGTTGATAATCATCACCATATGAACCTTGGCCCTCGCCGTAATATGCGTTGTCACCATAGTAGCCACCCGATGGGTGCCCTGTCGACATATGGCTCTCATCCGATGCCTCGGAACGGTTAGCGGCCGAGTAGGCCGACGACGCATTGGAGGGACCACGGTGAATGTCACCGGTGCGGTTTTGGGACGCTGTCGGGGCGGCCCCCAGGACTCCGACCGGTTCCACTTCACCCGAGTTCGGTCGTCCTGCTCCATCCGAGTACTGAACGGTGCCCTCACTGGGAGTGGCCCCGTGGTGATAGCCTGCGCCGCTCCCTGATTCCGACATGGCCATGCCCATGCCGCTAGACAGGTTCGTCGATGCCTTGCGTCCTGCAGACGTTGTTCCCCAGCCACGGTAGCCTGACGAGGTGTCATCCTTGGGCGCCACAACACCTCCCACACCAGGGAGGGTAGGGTCATTGTTCGGGTTGAAGCCATACTCCTCCACTTCCTTCCGGCGCTCATCCTCAGCCGCCTTGTTTGCCTTTCGCTTACGCCAGAAGAAGATGGCGGCCACAATGATCAATGCCACCGAAACGACGGGCACAACAACGGCCACTGCGATCTTCCCCCCCTGACTAAGGCCACCGCTGTCTGATGCAGCACTCCCTGACAGCGCAGCAGAGTTGGATGCCGACTGAGACGCGCTTGAGCCCGAGGTCGAGCTCGCGCCGGTTGTGGCGGTTGCGGAATCGGTAGACGTCAAAACTACCGTCGTCGAGGTTGAACTGCCATCGGAAGAACTGCTGATCACGGTGGAGCTGGTGGTCGGCGTGGGGCTGTCTGAAGAAGTCGAGTCGGATTTGGAAGTCGTGGTGGAGGGCTCTGAAGTGGTGGATGGAGCTGAGGTACTAGACTCGGATGAAGACGAGCTGGAAGTGGTAGGGTTTTCCGTTGATGTCGTGGGAGCCGGCGTGGACGAAGTCGATGGTGCTTCGGACGATGATCCAGACGTCGGTTGCGATGATGATTCGGTCGTGCTGTCAGTAGTGCTGCCGGTGGTGCTGCCGGTGGTGTTGTTGGTCGGGGTTGGATCCGCCGCAGAGCTGGCGGTGGTCGCCTCGGCCGGCACATTGGAAGACGGCTTAGCCTGGTTCGTCATTATGGCTGTTGTGTCGAGCAGAAACTAGAATGGGTTCGATGCGATCGTGGACCGGGCAGACGATTTTGAAGAGACCACACGTCGGGGCTGAAAGCAATTTCACCGGACTCGTGTTCAAGATGAGAATAAAGGATCAATAATTAAATCACGAGCGTCTGGAAAACAGATTAAACGAAAGACGGGTTCAGACGCGTTTAAAGAGAATCCGGAGAGTTGATTAGGATGCCTCAGGGGGATTGGCGATAATCCAGTGAAAGTGAAGGGAAGAAAAAAAAGAACAAAAAATAAAAAATAGAATAAAAAGCGGATCAGAAGAGAATTGAAAAAAAAAAAGAATCCGGAGGCAACTTCACACTCAACCCGAAACTAGTCGGGAGCCATGAGAGAAGGGAAGAGAGAGAGAGAGAGAGAGAAAGGCGAGGGAGAAAGCGAGAAAGCGAGAGAGTGTGGGAAGTGGAGTCGCTCGTATCTGCATTCCTAGTGGTATTAATAGAATCGCTGCAAGCAGGCTCTTTGATGATGCATATCTCTTTTTTCTCTGATATCCATCTTAATTATGGTTATCTACTAGAAGTGCCTCTACTCTCCTTTTGATTGTTTTTGTTTTACTCCCTGGATTGGCCATGTGTGTCTCCCTTTGTAGTGTGTCTAGGGGGCGACTTCAACCATGTGGAATTATCTTGGGGTGACTAGTACACAGGGTCCATTTGAAAACACCAAATAGCCCACTGCACATATATACAAAATCGCTGATGTTCGAGGTTCGGGAGAGAAAATTCAATGAGAACTGTACCGTTGGTTCTGTGGATGCGACCTTGGTATCTTTCGATTGTCGATAACTCTGACAATACCAAACTACCCTGATCGGCGGTAATCTTGTTTCTGGCTGGACTTTTACCCCCCCCCCCTGAGAGATCTGGCAATTCTCAAGTTTCCCATGTTTCTATGAAAATATGAAAACATCCCTAGAAACAATGAATTGATGGATGCATGCTTGCTAGCCGACATTCCACGGGGAAAAAAAAGAAAAGAAAAGAAAAGCCTTGACTCTGAACCACAGGCTGAACGCGGCTAACTTACCCAAACCGTCAAGGCCCGAGTGGGTTCCTTTGTCAGTCTCGTCCCGTCTAAGGATTCTCTGGTCGACTAGGGACTTTACTTGTCAACGTCATCACACACCCGAGGTAATGACATGTTCGGGGAACAAAGATTTAGGAGAAAGAGAACAAATAGAACCGGCGCAATTGGCCTAGACTGATGTGGTCCGTTTCAGGGTAGATGTATATATACAGCCCCGACAAATTGCCTGGGCAAACAAAATGAAAAATAAAAAAAATCAAGGTCACGAAACAGGATCCGACCATGATATATTTACGCCAGAAGAGACAGTACATGTCCAGAAACAAATTAAACAAAAAAAAAAAAAAAAAAAAAAAGGGGGGGAGATATCCAAACCGTGAGCACCGAGGGCACCAAGAACAAAACACAATCGACAAGTCATCACGGGTGCAAAGCCCCAACAAGAGTCATGACATGGGACGGCGGACCACGCCGAGGCTTTTAGTTGCGCATGTCCCAGTTTGGACGCAGGGTGGACATCAAGTCCTGCTTGGTGCCGACCATGTCCGAAGGCAACCGACTAACGCGATAGTTACCCATGCGGATGTTGTTCATGTGCGTGTTCGAGATCCCCGTGCGGTTGCTGCGAATACTGCCCGCATCGCTGCCCGCATCATTGTTCTTGAACCGGGGCGGAGGCGCGAAGTCCAGGTTGGTATATGTCCCCGATTTCCGCAGGGCGTGCGCACTCGGGATCACCGAGAGTTCATCAAACGGAGAAGCCAGCGGGGTGTGGGCGCGCACAGCCGGGCTGTAGGGCCGTACCTCGCCGATGGGCGTTTCCGGACGACCCGCACGTTGATCCCGGAAGTTCTTCCCAGGAGCAAAATCGAGCGCGGTCATGATGGAATCGTCCTTCAGCATGTGAGGGGTAGGCAGGGTTTGCAATGGTGCCGGGGGAGGCATCGGCTTGCGCGGACCCCGGGCTCCGGGCAGCCGGCCGGAGGCGGACGAGAATGCCCGCGGTCCCGGAGCAAAACCATTAAAGCCAGCGGAACTGGTCGCCATGTGACGGCCACCGCCTTGGAAACGCGGCGGAGCACGAGGCGGCGGAGTCATGGCTCGACGACCCATCGGCTCGGCAAACGGTGCAAGAGCGGCATCGTAATATTCCCCGGTGACCGGATCATAGACAAACCCACCATCTTCGTAGAACTCTGGACCAAAGTCTTCATAGTAGGTAGTTTCCCGTCCTGTCTTGCTTTCGTCAAAGTATTCCTTGTAGAACGACCGAATCCGGTTGGCGCGCTGCTCTGGGTTGTCTGACGGGTCTTCCGGCGGGAGCGGACGCAACCCAAGAGTCAGGCGGCGAGTATCCCGGCGGTTGTCATAGGCCAGGTCCAAATTCTGGGGCTCTTCGGGGAGATCGGGCAACGGGGGGTGGCTTGGGATTGCGTCGTGTTGCGATGCATACGGCCCGTTGACATTCACCGCGGGGATCGAGGGATCCGACTTTCGCTCATCCTCGTAATCACTGGTCGCATCACTCGATGGCAGAGAAATGCGAGGGAGCTGCACCGAAGACTGGGCATGTTCGGACTCTCGCGATGGCGCAGATTCCGGGAGCGGGAAGTTCAGCTGGTCTTGGTGGGGGTTTGAGTTATGCGTGTCGTCAAGTTCGAATTGGAAACCTGTGTGGTTCGACTGGGGCTCCTGGGGCCGGGTGTCCCTGCTCTGGTCGTTGGCCATGGGGCCACCGGCGGTCATAAGCTCACCACGATCGGTAGGAGTTGCAGAAAATCCAGGGAATGGCGCAAGGCGATCTTGGGGGGAGTTGGCATGTCCATTGGCTTCGTCGGGGGTATTGTATAGCGGAGGAGACGAACGAGACATCCGCTGTGCGTTTCGCAGAAGACCCGAGTTAGGCTCCTCAGCATGTCCAAAGCGTGTTGTGGACCCAGCCAGGCTGGATGCATCATCCCGGGGTGCTCTGGGGAACGACCGAACAGAGCCTGTGTCCTGAGAAAAGATAGTGGCAGGCCGGTACTTGTCATCTTCACCAGTCATTGATCGGGACAGTGAATGCAGCGAATCTGTGGAGCCGTGGATTCCTGGGGGCATCAGATAAGGCTGGCCGATGTCGAGAGATAGTCCCTTGGTATGATTATGCTCAGCCGTCTGAGGCATTGGTGGATGTAGTTTCTGCTTCTTCCCCTTGGGCTCCACCTCATCGAGTCCAAAGTCGAGGGACCTGTGCTTATCATCGGCGTCTTCCCGAACTAATCTCTTGACGTGTCTTCGGTGAAGCAAAAAAAGCACAACGATGGCACAGCAGATGGGAACACTAATTTAGGATCAGTCTCAGGGTTCCCTTGTGTGGGATGGGGATTTCAAGTATCACATACCATGCACCTAGTACCACGGGCAGAACCGTCGTGGTCATTTCACTGGTGGACTTTTCACAATTGTCTCCATCGTTGCAGGTTGATGTCGAGTCTGGATTCGGGGCTCTTGCTACCAGGGCTGGAGTGCTGGAAGCGAAGGATGGGATCTCGGGTACGGGAAGTGGCAATTCATCAGCAGGAATCACCTCCCGTCGAACTGGTGCATGATGCCCCATCCCAGCATGGTGATGAGCGTGAGGCATTTTGGATGGCACCGAGTAAAGGAGCTGGCGAGAGCTGTTGGCTGTGGATACTCGGACTCATTTAAGATCACGTCACAAGAATCAGAGCAGACATCCACACGAGACTGATTCTCGCCAGAAAAAAAAAATCAATAGAATGGCAATGCTGGATATAAGTCAAGGAATGAATAGGATAACGAATATCCCAAGGGGAAAAGAAGGAATGGCGGCCAGCAGCCAACAATGAAATGAGGGTCGAAGCCAAAAAGCCAAAGAGTGTGCGAAGGAGAAGAGAAAGAGAGGAAGATGGGAAGAGGAGAAGGGGGTTCTAGATGGGGTCCGTTTGTGCTAGCTGATTACAAGTACATTGTGAGACCCTGCGTTGTATGGGCCACTGTGCGGCTGTGGATGTACCCTAGAGGTCACTGTGCGCCCTGTATGGTACAAAGATACGGGGGTCCCCCCTGGATGCTATTTTGAGTCTCCTGAATCCTGACATTTCTAACCTTATTATTTTCCACCTAGAGGTGATTAAAGTGATTATTTACATCTTTACTAAAAGAGAGACAGAGAAAACAAGATTCCCTACATACTCTGGTCTCTCTATATTTGTTTTGATTTCCAGAGAGAAAGCTGTAGCAAGCAAGGCGGGTGTGAAACGGGCCAAATAGAGGATCCTTCGCAGCCAATCACCACCGGGCTGCCCCTGAATGGAGGTCCACAGCGGAGGCTGCTCGTACAGTACTCCACACGGTATGTAATGTATGTAATGTATATATTGATGGTATTGAGTGTATGTTGGTAATATTAAATTACATCAAAGATGGATGTAAATCAAACGAGTCCCTAGCATTTAAACCCGCCTTGGCCTCTGTACATTGCAGATGCTTGTTTCACTCAAGAGAAATGTTGTTGTTTTGCATCCATGCAGGTACCAAGTTACCAGGATCCTGGTGGCCTCGGGGCCCCGAGACATTTCCATCTCTTGGCAGAACAATCCCAGATAAGCCCTTTGGCTGCAAGTGGTCTAGTCAGGCTTGGGATTGATTGCTTGAAATGAATTGGTGGTCAAGATGGGGACCCTACGAAGATGCCCGATGCCCATCCTCAACCCGCTTCACCATCAACAAGACGCTCTGTGACTCTCACTTTGACTCTTTCCTCGCCTGGTAACACTCCAGCCTCATACAGCAGACGGGCAATTTGCCCTCGGATCATCTTGACCACATCCTTTTCTGTCCCAGCTTGGTCGGGATGAGCCTGTCGCCATCGCGTCACCGGGCTAGCGGCTCTGATGACTGCTTCGAGCGTGTCCAGGTTGATTGCTTGCTGAATAGCAATACCAATTTCTTAATCTATGGCTTCTGCATCATCCTGGCTCGGGGTGCCCCATTCCTTTCGGAAAAATGAGCCAGGGTCACACCCACTCACGGGGTTCGACGTGAGAGACCAGGGCAGCGCAAGGTCGGTATACAAGGAACAGACGAGCAGCTTCCCGGGCTCTTTATATGACTGAAGCTCCTGTTCCTCTTGTTAATTGCTAGAGCATTGGACACTGGAGGATAAACTCCCTGTTGATTCATCGTCAACAATGCTACCGTGCCGCCTGGTCGCAGCAACTCGGCCGCGCGAGGCCAAAATCGGCTCATGTCGAACCAATGCGCCGCAGTGGCCGCGATGATCAGGTCCACGGTACCGTTGGGAATCATGTTTGTGTCCGCTCCCAGGTCCTCGGCGGACGAAGATTCGAACCGAATGGGTTGATTGTTGGCTGAAGTGCCACCCAGTTGTCTAGCAGTAGCGATCATACCCTCGGAGGCGTCCAACCCAATAGCGTAGTCGAAGCGGGGGGCCAGGGTTCGAATTGCGGTCCCTGGTCCGCAGCCAACATCGACAAGGGTACCGAGCTGTCCCCCGGTCGACACATGGTGATCGACGATCCGCTTGAACAAATTGGAGTGATAAGCTGAGCGTGCCTGCACGTAGGTGGCACCTTGATCTTTGGTGTACGCGCTGAAAGTCTTTTCGGGGTGTGTGGTGCCCAAGGGGACCAGCGGGGAGAGTAAGAGAGGGAGAGAGAGATTCTGTTGAGCTTATATTGTTCAATTGAACTCCCAACACTCTTATACGGAATGTGGGAGGTCCACGATACCGAGTCATGTCCACTTCCTATCTAGGTAATGTGGAGCTCAATGCCACTAAGATCTCACATATAGTAGGTAGATATAAACAGCAGTCTCAAGCCTTGTCTGTGATTGAAGTCTCGGATTGTTCGATTGTGCTGTTTATGGGGCTTGGGATCTCAATTTCTTGATATATACTTGGTACCTTCCAAAGTTGTATATACACAACAGACTATGGGACGGATAATTTATCCATATATTTTTATTTGGCTGCATCCTTGGCTTATATATTTCCTGTAAACAATTTTCTGGTTGGAAAATAAGGCAATGCTCCTAGAGTAGTCAGTATAGTGTATATATATTCATGCATCCTCATGGTCAGGCTGACGTCAGGCCTTGAATAACCGAGACCCTGGGACTATAGCCCGAGTATAGCCTTGCCCGTTGATAAGAGACTCAATTTTACCTGGCATAGATATTGTTGGGTATTTTGGTCACCAATTACTTGGGAGTTGCGAGTATGTGGGAAGCATCAAGTAGAAGAGAAGTAGACAGCTCGAGTGGCTCGAGCTAAATATCGGGAAGCTGTCCGATTATCTGAGATCATCGTGGCTCTATTTTGCCTCTGGAGCTGCCAAGGGACTATGACAGCCGAACCTGGCTGGAGGAAATTTTATCTAATTAGAAAGAAAACACTGTTCTCTATTTTTCACTTGGTCTCTCTTTTCCTGTCCTTCTCGCTCCTCTCTCTCCTTTCAATACTATCGTACTACTACGCCTTCCATTCATCATGGAGTCCGCATCCACATCGCGAGACCCGGAGAAAGCAGAATTGGATGCTAATCGTGTAGGAAGCCAAAGCCTAGACAGCAATCCTGACCACCCAAACTTGACTTCCTCCTCAGATACCTCGTCGTTTTCTTCGTCCCAGGATGCGATGGACTATATGTCTCGAGTCCAGACGGCACATTCCCTGCGCGGAACAGGCCTGGAACGACATCCGACAGCACTCAGTCGGATCGCAACCCAGCGGAGCCAGCATAGTGCAACAGTTGGCGCTGGCCTGAAGCCGCAAGTGCCGCGGAAACCTCTCCCCGAGTTCGGTGCGGGCAAACCATACCCGCCTCCGCTACCTGCAAAGGAAGAGTATGTCGTGGAGTTTGTAGGGCCTGACGATCCTTTGCATCCGCAGAATTGGTCCAGCAAGAAGAAGTAAGTACAAAGGAAAGAAACAAGTCTTGGAGAACATGGTACATGGCACAGAGGGCCGGCACTCATACGGCGATATGTAGGATCGCGACAGCCATGATGCTTGCATATACAACGTTCAATGCCACCTTCACCAGCAGTATATACTCTACCGCAACCTCCGTCATATCCCCTCAATTCCATGTCTCAACCGAAGTTGGAACCCTGGGCTTGTCATTATATGTACTGGGATTTGCGACGGGGCCGGTGCTATGGGCACCATTCTCTGAACTGAGCGGTCGACGTCTTCCGATTCTGATTGCCATGTTTGGGTTCACGTTATTTCAGTTTGCCGTCGCAACTGCCAAGGACCTCCAGACCATCATGCTGTGCCGTTTCTTTGGGGGGTTCTTCGGAGCGTGCCCTATCGCAGTTGTTGCCGCCGTCTTCTCCGACATTTTCGATAATCGCATCCGTGGCCTTGCCATCACCCTATTTACCATGACAGTCTTTACGGGTCCGCTGTTTGCCTCGACAATCGGCGGCTTTATTGTACAGAGTCATCTCGGCTGGCGCTGGACAGAGTATCTCACAGGGATCATGGGCGCCTCGGCCTTGATCATGGATCTCTTCTTTATGCACGAGACCTACCCACCGGTGGTATTGATCGAAAAGGCCGCGGAACTACGCCGGCGCACCAAGAACTGGGGGATCCATGCGAAGCAGGAAGAAATCGAAGTAGATCTTCGCGAACTACTGCAGAAGAATTTCAGCCGGCCGATCAAAATCCTCTTCACCGAGCCCATCGTCTTATCTTTGAGTATCTACATGGCCTTTCTGTATGGCCTACTCTACCTCTTCCTGACGGCCTATCCAATTGTCTTCCAGAAAATCCACGGGTTCGGAAAGGGTGTGAGTGGGCTCCCATACCTGGGCATCATTATCGGCGAGTTCATTGGCGGCATCTTCATCATCCTCACACAGCCCTGGTACAATGGAAAACTCGATTCCAACAATGGCATCCCGATCCCCGAGTGGCGGCTGCCCCCGGCCATCGTGGGGAGCGTGGCTTTCGCTGGTGGACTTTTCTGGTTTGGCTGGTCCGGGTTCAAAGCCGATATCCACTGGATTGTGCCTACATTGTCTGGTCTCTTGACGGGATTTGGCTTGCTGTGTATCTTTCTCCAGGCCCTGAATTATATTGTCGACGCATATCTCCTCTTGTGAGTACCTCTCAAGGGCTTTCCCCTCTCCCCTCGAGAGAAATCGCACTGACAACCACCATTCAAACCAGTGCTGCCTCTGCCCTGGCTGCTAACAGTATCCTGCGGTCGTCGGCCGGCGCAGGCTTCCCGCTCTTTGCATCTTACATGGTATGTGATGATTTTCAAGTACACTTGTAGTAGAAGCAGCTGCTGATCGACAGTCTAGTTCAATTCCCTTGGCGTCAACTGGGCCGGGACGCTGCTTGGCTGCGTGGCCGCCGTATTGATCCCTATGCCCGTGCTCTTCTATCTCTATGGGCCTAAGATCCGGGCTAAGAGCAAGTTTGCCACCGACTACATGATGACAATCCAAGCCCACAATGACGAGTGGACCGAGTAACAAGCGTGCGTGGTTTGAGTATTTATTGCCTGTTGATGAGCGTGTTTGCTACTCTTAGATATACCGTTCAGCGCCTCCGCTGCTTCAAGTTATACCTAGGGTTCTGAGGAAATACCGAATTTAAACTGAAATTTTTAATGTCTTTGCATCAGACTGAATTGTGCCATTTTCATTCAAAATTCTTCGGTCCTTGGGTATGACCCGAGGCACAAACAATATGCATGACATTATACCTCATTGCTCTTCATCTTTTGGAGCATTCGTTTTTGAACATCAGTGCAGATCATCCACCTTGATCAGAAACCCTCCGTGAGTATTACAGCGCAATTATGGAATATGAGCTGCGCAAATATGAAACAGAGACGAAAGGAATGAAAGGATGATGAAGGGGTAAAGAAATAGACATGGGCCCGTAGGCGCTCGTGCAAGCTGAAAAGGTGTGGTCTTCACACGCAAGGGGAAAAAAGAGATAAGAAAACAAACGTACGGATGGGCAATGTACATGAGGAAAGAAACTGTACAGGGGAGGAATGGGCGTAACTAATGGAACCTCGGATATGGGGTATCTGCTCACAGGAGAGCATGGAGGAAAGGAAGGGAAAATCGACAAGTCAAGGAAAATGAGAGATGCTCATGCACATGGTTTTCAAGTGTCGTTCGTGTCATCTCGTAGGGAGAGTCATCGTAGGGGTGTCCGGTGTGACAATAGCCGGGAAGGTTACTGCATCTCGGCCAATGCAGCCTCGAAACTGGCCAGGTCATCATGAGAAGATTGGTCGAAAATGCGTCGAAAGGGTGGGTCGGAAGGGAACATGTCTTGCGGACTGGTGGCCACTCCTTCAGCTTTGCGGATCACTTCCTTGAGAGCGCGGGTGACCACCCCAGCACGCACAACGAGATCTCGAAGTGATTGTGTATCAAAGGGAAGCTTCTGGCTGCGCGGGGCTGGGTTGAGCTCGGGAAAGGATGAGTGATCACTGCGCTTGGGCTGAAGGATATCGAGTACAGATTTTGACTTGGGAGAGTCCTTGGAAAGCTGTTGCTCAAATGGTGGATTGGAAGGGGTCCGTTCTCGCGGTGAAATGCCTTGCCATGAGCCTTCGCTGTTTCGCTTGGACGCATTGATGCCCTCTTCATCAGACTCGTCAAAACTGAAAGTGAGAGAGGAGGGTGACCCTGGAGGGGAGCGGCGATCGTCTTCTTCATCAATCGTAGCAAGATTGACAATGCCTTCCGCTTCTTTCCACAGTTCACTGGAGGGGCCACTCAGAAGATCCAACACGCCGGCTTGATGTCGCAAGCGTTTGAGCTCTTCCACCAGCAATGTCAGCTCCTGGACCTGTCCAAATTGACCACGAAGGCTTGCTTGGCGCTCCAGAATGGCCCGTGGAACCGTCATGCTTTGGGTTGCGATGGCCGCGTCCGCCGGCTTTGGATCTTGGCTTGCGGTCACCTCTTCTGTGTCATCAAAGTCAAAATCGCTGTCCCAGTCTTCACTGACGCCTTTGCTACCCAAGCCCCAGGTACCAAATTTCCCGGAACTCTGACGAGAATCACTCGCCGGAAGGTCTCTTGCCACCGGAACGCTTTGGCTGCGAAGGTGGACAGTCGATGGTGCTTTTCGACACGCTGCGCGGCTCCCTCGATTGACACCAATTTGTTTACCATGCACGGTTCTGGGCCGGGTCTCGGAATCTGACATGTCACGATCCGGTCGTGCCTGTTCAGACCAGTCAAAAATGTTCATTTTCTGATTTGGCCCTGACACATCAACCAACGAATCCGGGGGATTCTTGACCACAGAGAGCTGGGATTCCGGTGCATCAGGATTGCTTGATGATGAATATGCTATCGGTGACGGGAACGAAGGGCCATCGGGTTCGCCAGGCAGGGCCCCAATCATACTGCACGCATCTTCGTCTGGCACGTCGGACAGAACTGACGCATTGTCATTCATCGGAGCCGGGGGCAAGGGAGGCGAGGCAAGAAGGGTGTCGGTGAAGAGCTGGGGATCCTTTTCTAATGATCGGGAAGCAAAAGAGCCACGCGGGAGGAGCTCCTCCAGCGTTGCGACTTCCTCCTCGGACAGCTGCGCGCCTGCCTTGTCGAACATCGTCTCAATGCACAGGCCCTTCAGACCGCTGGTGCTGGTCTCGCGAGTGCGAACGGAGTCCCAATAATCACTCATGATATCGGTTTCATATTCATCACTGGACGTGAAGACCCGCGTATCATCGGAGCCGATAATGGTGGAAGAGGGATCCGATGCGGCAATTGAATGTCGTTTAGGTCGACGGCGGAGAGAAGAGTAGGTATAGCTCTCAGGACGAGTGACATGTTGCCACGTAGAGAGTGTGACCGCGTCCGACGTAAGCGGACGCTGTCGACGAAGTCCAATATTGTAATCGTGAGATACTGACCGAGGAGCGGCTCGAAAACCTCTGTTATCTGGTGCAGCCAAAGCCCAGTCGGACAGCGGAACAGCCTGTGGATGATGGGAAACGGTGGGATCGGTGACGTGACGCCGTTGCAGCGGCTGTGGTGAACTTGGTACAGACTTTCCTAGGGAGAGCTCTGAACGGGGGATTGAGAATGTCCTTCCCTTCACGCGTTTCAACGAACCACCACGGGGCCGTCCTGGAATCGGTGTGCCCGAAGCTGTCACCGTGTTGGTCACGATGGTGTTTTTCGGATTGGCATCATTGAGAGAGTACGAGTGTTTGTGAGTCGGCCTTTCGACTGGCCTTTCAGAAGAAGTGTTGGCAGCTTGAAAAGGGTTGTATAAGTCAACTGGGGTTTCCGGTACAGAATGGTTTCCCCGAGGTGCCGTTGTGGTGTTGGTTGTGATAGCTGAAGCTAGAACCAAGGCCGGTAGTGTGTCATGATTCGAGATGATCCGTCCCATCCCTTGCACATTGGGGCCTCCTGCAGTAGGCAGCTTGCGGGCCAGCTTCTCTGAGAATTTCTCGGATTTTGGCAGTAGGTATGAAACCCATTCGTCCCGCTTGTCGACGTCGAAATCGCCCACCGCGGGCGATTCCACATCAAAGCGTTCCGAGAAACGAGAGGCAAACTCCGTGGCCAAGGGGGACTGAAGGCGCATGGACTCCGACCTCTGATAGCTGGTCGCCGGTCTGCGTAATGCGGATGAGGACGGGGAGGAAGTGGTGTTGACAAAGAGAGGATGGGAGTTAGAATGTTGGGAGGGCGAGCGCTTGACTAGTTTGTTTGGCGCTCTCCGTTGGCTGGACGGACGGGGGAGAATTGGGCTTGCGGAACCGTTAAATGAAGGCGTCACGGGGCTGCTGGCCGAGGGAGTCTCTGTCTGGAAAGAAGCTATTGACAGCCGTCGTAACCAACCAGTGGATGGCCGTCGCGTGTGGGAATCGGCCGGTTCATTCTCCGGAATTCGCAACGGCGGACTGGTCAAGGTTTGACCCCGACGTCGAAGCCTCGCAGCGCTAAAAGACAACGATGCTCTTCGGAGGTCTGAATTCTGGTGCGCACGCGCAAGGTCCGCATCCTTGTCCTGGTCGAGGGCCCAACCCCGGCCCGCATTGGGCCCGGCCGGTCGCGAGGTTTGTGGCCGGACATCGGTGGGTTGGGTGTGGGCAAGTGGCTGATCATGAGGGGTTCGAGAGGTGGCAGGTTTCTGTGTTCGTTCGACGCGACCGAGTGCAAGACCGCTGGGTGCTATTCCTACCGTGCTCAATGCACAGAGCTGAGTTCCAACCATGTTAGCGCCTCCGCCCTCGCATGGAGATCTGGGATGATTCTCCCCCATTTCGAATTCAAGGTCTTACCGTCGATACGTGATCCATCCTCAGAGGATGCCAGGAGTGTTACGCACCCTCAAGCACAGCTCCGAGTCGAGGTTCTTTGTGAGTGACATCCCATTTGGATCAGGATTTCCAGATGGTTTCAAGGAGGGATATCGGGACCAGAAAAGAAAGAAAGAGAGAATCCAGAACAAGAAAAAAGAAAAAAACAAAACAAAACAAAAACAAACATCAAAAAGAGAAGAGTTTCAAGGAGTGGTAAACCTGCCCGAGAGGACAGGCCGTGAGGGAAAGGGAAAAACAAGGGAAAAAAACAACCGAGCGTCTCGGCTTTGCACGCGAGGAGCGAATCGATAGGCGGGCCCTTGTTTATGAATATTATATATATATATATATATATATCTATTTCTACTTATTTTCTATTTATTTTCTATTTACTTCCTATTATCTTCTCTTCTATCTTCTCTCTTTACTCTTCCACTCATTTCAGCCATATAGAGACACCATATAGAGACACTCTGATATCCATCTCAATCCTCCCAAGCGCCCTGCTGCCAGGCGGGCTACTGTCATCCCTTGCGGCTCACATTGCAGCTTTCTCGTGTCGTGGCTGTGGAAGCCAGAACAATTCCCCACACCTCCCTCTCTTTCGTTTCGTCTTTCAGCCCCCCTAGCTCGCACTAGTATCTTAGTCGCAAGATCGCATGGGCCGATCGGTGCCCACTTTACAGGTTTCCAACTCTCTGAAAGTCCTGACTTCTGGTTTCATGTGTCGCCTTTTTCATCCTCTCGATTGGCCTTTGGATGTCAGCATGCACGAGGCAATATCAACATACAGGAAGGATCCATGAATATCCTTTGAAGGCTGTTTTCTCCAGTCCCTGGCTTCTCTTTCATCTCCAAGCTCAACACGGCACAGAAACCCACGTCATTCCAGCTCCACTTGGTAAAATGAACCGGAAATCTCAGTCGAGAACCACTCTCGGCTCTTCCGATTTCGATCTTTTTTTTTTCGAATGTTTCCATGGAAGCTTGAAAACCAAATGAAATGAAATAAAATAAAATAAATCCCTCGTGGACCTATCCTTTTCTCCTTGTTGTCTGTGGGTACCTGTATTTCTTCGGTTCCTACACTCAACCCCTGTTCTCGTCTACCTCAGGTCTAAATATCTCATTGGGGACCATCATCTCTCACGGATCCAGTATGAATCTTTCATGGAAGCCAGAATGATAGCTTGCTCAATCCTGAGCCATCTCGATTTCTCTATTTTTGTCAACCGCCCAAATTGAAACCGGCCAACGTCCGTTGCGTCGGTCTGACCTGCGTCATATCTGCAGAGAGCGTGCAATGCCCGGTGCCCTTGAAATTCGCTATTGAAGTGGCTTGCGAAGAAAAGCGTTGCGAGAGACCTGGACGGGAAGTTGACGGCTGGCCCGGCTGGCAGTATCTAGTCCCCCGTCAAGGAATTTATGCCAGAGAAATCAAACGTTTCTGGATTGACAAAACGTTATAGCATGCCATACCTAGTGTGTCTGTACTCTAAATGCTTCTGCTCTGCCAAAATAGAAAGCGTTCGCAAAGCGATTGGATTTCGAAGTCAACAGTCGCTTCGTCATAACCAACGACACATCCTGCAGTGGACAGTTGCCCGTTGGGTTCTTTCAAGTCATGCGACCTCGGAGTATACCAGCCTGGAAAGCCGCATCCTTCAAAGTCGTTCCAGTCTACCATATTCTCTGGCTGTGACTCAAATCAATTCGAATCGTCGAGAGACATTTCTGGACAAAATGCCATTTGCCCATGTAAGGCTCATCCCATAAGGCGAGTGCCCCCAAACAAATGGGATCTCTATATGTCAGTGTAACGAATCGGGTGATCTTATGCTTGTTTCCAGCAGGTTCATACAAAAGCAAACGCCCCGATGCAATTTGAAATCTGACTGCCGACGGTCAATCAATTTCACCGACGCTTCAGGAGCTGAAGCGACCATGTCAAGCTAGCGATCATGACATTAGCTCAGAGGGTTGACTTGGCAAAACCAAGCTGGATCGATTCGGTGTTAACCAAGATATGTGAGAAGCTTCGACTTGGAGATGCCTGTGGTCATTATAGGTGGCTGGACATCAGTCAAAAGGCCAACATACATCTGGAAAGCCAGAAAATATTATTGAGCTCCGCCGCCAACCAGTAGGGAAAATGAGAATGAGAAACGTTGAAAAACAGAGAAAGAGAGACCAGAACATGTTCAATGCTGTAAGTTGTGCCTTGGGCATATACATATCACGTGGTCTTATCGACAACCCACCTCGAAAAAACACGCCACGCTCTGCTTCACCTCCGAGCCTCGGGATCTCAGAGCCAGTCAATTCATTCTCGAGTCAGAGCATCTCGGTTCTTTGGTGCAATTATCACTCCAGAGTCGGCATCATGGAGGCGGAAATCCAGGCACAGATCCCTGGCCTGGATCACGTTATATCCGAATACTCGGTGGTATGTTCCCCACATCGCGGATCGTCTTGGGTAGAAATTGACGATTGTCGTAGGGCTACCTGACACATGCCTCAAATCTTTATGTGGAGGATGCCAATGCTCAGTCCCCGTTAGCGGAAGCCGCCGAAACGGTGACGGAACTGCTGGTCTCTGCTTCTGGGGATTTCTCCCCTCAGAACCAAGAGGCGATTGGCAACCTCGTCGAAAAGTTCATTACCGGACTGAGCTCCTCAGATGGTGTCGATCCGGAGCGAAGGCAGATGCCCTTCACGGCCAAAAAGCTGGACCAGGCGATCAGTGTTGGCTCCCAACGGAATATGTCCTCCACTTTGGGATTGACTGGAGGCAACGTGGACTTGGAGTCTGCCAATGCTAGAAAGGTCGAATCGCGTGTGGATCGAAAGAAACTTGAAAAGGCTGAACGCAAGATTCGCGCCAAGCAGGAGAAGAAGCAGATGAAGACTGTCCACTACGAGTCCTCCCGCTTGCTTAACCAGCCGGATGAAGCAATGTCCTATGAGGAGTTCTTTATGGCTGTCAATCCTCTTCAACTGGGCTCCGAGTCTCAATCCAAGAGCAAGGATATCAAACTCGACAACATCGACATTTCGATCAGCGGCAAACGTATTCTGTCTGATGCTGCTTTTACGCTCTCTTATGGGCGTCGCTTTGGTCTTGTGGGTCAAAATGGTATCGGTAAGAGTACGCTCTTACGGGCATTGAGTCGCAGAGAAATTGCTATTCCCACCCACATCTCGATTCTTCACGTCGAACAAGAGGTATGGATCTAAATTCATTTCTATTTCTACTCGCATTTGCTGACTGTCCATGCTAGATCACGGGTGATGACACCCCGGCACTTCAAGCTGTCTTGGATGCCGATGTATGGCGGAAGCATCTTCTCGCTGAACAAGAGGTTGGTCCGCTTGCCAAAAATTGTATCGGGAACTCTTCGCTGACAAATAATAATTTTTTTCTTTACAGAAAATCACAAAACATTTGCAAGCCATTGAAGATGAGAGGTCTTCGATGGCAGACACCTCAAAAGATGCTGCCAGGTTGGATCACGAAAGGGAAGGCTTGGATATCACTCTGAGTGATATTTACTCCAAGCTCTCTGAGATGGAATCCGACAAGGCAGAGTCTCGTGCGGCTAGCATTTTGGCTGGTCTTGGATTCTCCCAAGAAAGACAGCAATACCCGACCAGGACTTTCTCTGGAGGATGGCGAATGAGATTGGCATTGGCACGGGCTCTGTTCTGCGAGCCAGATCTTCTTTTGCTTGACGGTACGTAAATAACTATCCTTTGGTTTTTTAATGACGAGTGCCTTGCTGATTTGTCTTAGAACCCTCGAACATGTTGGACGTCCCGTCTATTACTTTCCTATCCAACTACCTGCAGTCATACCCGAGCACCGTTCTGGTGGTCTCCCACGACCGTGCGTTCTTGAACGAAGTTGCAACGGATATTATCCATCAACATTCGGAGAGACTGGACTACTACAAGGGAGCCAACTTTGGTCAGTTTCACTGGTATAGAAACCGCGGGCGTTGCTAATAGTGTGTAGATGCATTTTACGCAACCAAGGAGGAGCGAAGGAAGATGGCGAAGCGCGAGTACGAGAAGCAAATGGCCGAAAGAGCACACTTGCAAGGTTTGTCGCTGTCGCTTTTGCTCGTCTTGTGTCCCCTACTAATATTGGCCACCCATCAGCTTTCATTGACAAGTTCCGATACAACGCCGCCAAGTCCTCCGAAGCTCAGTCACGAATCAAGAAACTGGAGCGCATGCCGGTTCTTGAAGCTCCTGAGGGAGAATATGTTGTGCACTTCCAGTTCCCCGAAGTTGAGAAGCTCTCGCCCCCTATTGTCCAGATGTCCGAGGTTTGTTTCGGCTACACCCCGGACAAACCCCTTCTCAAGGATGTCGACCTTGATGTTCAGCTAGACTCGCGTATTGGCATTGTTGGACCCAACGGTGCCGGTAAAACTACCGTGCTAAAACTGTTAACCAACCAACTCCAGCCGACCAAGGGTCTGATCTCGGCTAACTCGAGACTACGTATTGGGTTCTTCGCCCAACACCACGTGGACGCCTTGGATATGACTACTAGTCCAGTCAGTTTTATGGCGAGAACATACCCCGGCAAGACCGATGAGGAGTACCGGCGTCACTTGGGCGCGTAAGTCGAGTTCCGATCTCTTCACATGGAACCAGAACTGATTCAGTTGTTTCCCATTTAGGTTTGGTATCACCGGCATGACGGGTCTCCAGCGGATGGAGCTTCTATCCGGAGGTCAGAAATCGCGTGTGGCCTTTGCCTGTCTCTCCCTGACCAACCCTCATATCCTGGTTCTGGACGAGCCCTCTAACCACTTGGATATCGAGGGTATGGATGCGCTTTCCGAAGCGCTGCAGAGATTCGAGGGAGGCGTGGTGATGGTATCACACGATGTGACCATGCTGCAGAAAGTCTGTACTAGTCTCTGGGTCTGCGACAAGGGCACCGTGCACATGTTCGATGGCAACGTAAAGGCCTATAAGAAGATGATCACTGAGCAAGCTGATGCGGCCGGTGTCGCGGCTCCTCAGTAAAATTCGGAGCTTGAACTGTCAAATAGCCAAATAAAAACGAATATGAACATAAAAGAGCATGCAAATAAACATGAGAACGAAAACAGGTCAATAAACCCATGCGACGGTATGGAGTTTCATTCCGGTGGGTCTCTTATCGACTTATCGACTTATCGACTTATCGCAACCCCCGACTTCACACGACAGCATCTCCCGATGCCACCGAGCTTTATGCCATGGCATTAGGTGACGACCAGGACCTTTCGGGTCCTCACGCTCCATTGCTCGCTTCTCATGCCTCTCCTGATCACAACGTCGACACACCTACGCCTGAACGACAGTACTCCGGTGGCTGGTTTATCTGGGCTCTGACGTTTTCAGCTGGCATCAGTGGTCTTTTGTTTGGATATGAGTATGTCCCCGATCAGACCCCGGCCACGAAACCACCGTTCCTCGCGGTCGCCTCTGACAATCTTTTTTCGGACTTGAAGTACTGGCGTCATTTCTTCCACCCTGGTCACTGTCGGCCCAGACCTTTCGAATCGGCCCCTGACAACCCTCGATGAAAGCCTGATCACGTCTTGCACTAGTCTTTTCGCCTTGGTTGCGAGCCCATTTACCGGGATTTTAGCCGATAAGCTTGGTCGTCGGAGAGTCATCCTCGGTGCAGATGTCCTGTTTGCTCTTGGGGCATTAATCCAGGCGTTTACGAGCCATGTGTGGGGTATGATTGCTGGGCGGAGCATTGTTGGGCTTGCAGTTGGCAGTGCAAGCGCAGTAACTCCATTGTAGGTCATCCTCGTCAAGGCCTGGAGGATACAGATAAGAAAATGGCTGATCCACTCGCTCTTCGATAGGTATATATCTGAGTTGGCCCCATCGCATGCAAGAGGCAGGCTTGTCACCATCATGTGCCTTCTCATTACAGGCGGCCAAGTTGTGGCATACATTGTCGGCTGGCTATTTTCTCATGCATCCGGAGGCTGGCGATGGATCGTGGGTCTCGGGGCACTGCCGGCCTTTCTGCAGTTTGCCACTCTCACGGCTCTGCCAGAAACTCCGCGGTGGCTCATCCAGGCTGGATTCGATGCCCGCGCAAAGACAGTTCTGACTCGGATTTACCAAGAGTGTCCTGGGTGTAATCAAGTCGTGGAGCAAGTTATGTGTGATATTCGAGGGGAGATTTCCCAAGAGGTATTGTTGTCGAGGCAGGCTATATCCTCGGGCACCAAGTTTCAGTGGTTACATGATGCCACCCAGCGCGCCCAAGACCTATTCCATGATCATGGCAATCGGAGAGCACTGACAATAGCAGTGATGCTTCAGGGGCTGCAGCAATTGTGTGGATTCAATAGCCTGATGTATTTCTCTGCTACTATCTTCAAGGTGCTTTCGTTCTCCTCGCCAACATTAACAGCTCTCTCGGTGGCTTTGACAAACTTTGTCTTCACACTTGTTGCGTTTGTGCTGATTGATAAGATTGGCCGGCGACGCATTTTGCTGTACTCGATCCCTGTGATGATACTCGCTTTGGTTGTCTGCGCCTTCTCGTTTTCCTTGTCAGAACTCACCTGGAATTCTCACTCTTCAACCAGTCGCCACGATGCTGACAAAACCCACAATTCGCTTGTACCGCTTTCGATCTTGCTGTGCATGATCGTCTACACAGCAGCCTATGCATTTGGGCTCGGCAATGTTCCATGGCAGCAGTCCGAGCTATTCCCTCTGAACGTGCGTTCACTAGGTTCTGCCTTGGCCACGGCAACGAACTGGGGCTCCAATTTTATTGTTGGTTTGACATTTTTGCCTCTGATGGAATGGATCTCTCCCACGTGGACCTTTACTCTCTATGCCATTGTCTGTGTGGCTGGATGGGTTGCAGTGTGGGCGATCTACCCTGAGATGAGCGGGCTGGAATTGGAAGAAGTCAAAGGTCTACTCGCAGATGGTTGGGGAGTCACGGAAAGCTTACGACAATGTGTCCAGAGGCACCAATAATGGAAATTTAGAATACTATCTACTCGAATCGAGGTTACTATAACACTGCATGTCAATCTACTTTGGTCTTGTATCATAGCCATGGTCAGCTTTTTCCCTCCACCCTACTATATCCTACAGACGACTGGGCAACTGTTCATGCATTGCCATAATTTAAGCTGCTCTCTGGGAGGACCATGCCCCTGAATACCTGTCAATTATTCCGAGCTTAGCATGTTCTCATACTTCGAGAAGGGGTCTGAGGCTCAGGCCCTCGCCAGGGCCTCCCGGGACGCTAAACAGAACAATCATCCTACTTTATAAAAGTTGTTTCAAACTATTTTGTTCGTGCTCTTCTATAGTGCGTTTATTGAAAATCAACCCCAACCTCACATCCATTTCCTAACATTTTTCGTCCGAGAGGGCTTTAGGCACAAACATCTCCGTATCTCAGGCTCAAGCATGTGTATCTTCTGCCCTTCCACGATACTTCTACTGAAAATCAACCTGAATCTCAAGCACTTAAACTTAACAGTCTTTATTTGGAAAGAGTTCTAAGTATAAATATCTCTATACCTTAGACTGAAGCATTTCTTAATCATCTTCTATGGTACTTTGACAATCAACAAAAAAAAAAAAAAAAAACTAACATCGACTTTACACTCATACTCTAACAGACTGTGGGTATAACTCTTTCTACATCTCAGGCTTCTTACTTAACTTCTACAGCACTTTTATGGAAAACTACCCTCGGCAAACAACCTTGAAATTCTACCTCCTCCTCAAGCACTTAAGCTCTAACAACTGTTGTCCGAAAAGGTTCCCGGTATCAATCTCTCTACACCTCAGACACGGGCGTTCTCACTCTTCCCACTTTCATTCCCACCCCAGCCACTCCACTTATATACTCTTTTCACAACTCTTGCACGAGACACCTACCGCATTCCAACCAGTCATGGCCAAAGACATGAGCCTCAAAGGCTCCACGAAGACATCCCATCGACTGTTGAAGCTCCCTAATGAGGTAAGTTGTTTCTTACCTGAAGTTGATAAGACGATGTAGCTAACTGAAGAAACCATAGATTCTCCAAGAGATCGCATGCATTCTTTCAACGGACAGAGATATCTTGAGCTTCTCCTTGACCTGCAGAGAGATCTGGGAGCGTGTCTTCTCTCCCAACTCGGGTATCTGGCACCGTCGTTTCCAGAACCAGTACGATGCACCTCACGGCCACAGCCCCGGAGAGCTGAAGATGGAGTATCAGATCCGAGCTATCGTCCTTCCCCAGAGGATTGACTCCAAAAAAGCACACAATGGGCAGAAGAATTTGTGGATGAGGGTCATCCAGGGAATGTTGGTGGAATTCTTAACCCTTCCTCCGAGCCCTGGTGGTGTCTCTAAGACTTACGAGAAAATCTGCAATGCTCCTGCCATGAAGAGCTTCCTGAAAGCTCCAGCAAAGGAGGGTTCGCACTCGCAGGTTTTCTGTGCTCTTCAAGTGGTAAGTAAACTCCGCGCGAAGAATGAGACCAAAGTCTAACCAACTATTTTATCTCATCCATAGTGCCTGACAGCTTTGGCTCTGGATCCCTCGATATCGGGACAGGGCTGCCTTCGGACCGATTATGACATCGGCATAGTTTATTCGTTTTACAACAGACCTGATGGTCGCCCGCTATTTGGACACAAGAGGCTCAGTCTTACCACCCTACTGCACATGCGCAACTTCTGGCAGCATCATCTGCTGAGCCCTCATGAAATCACATTCCACGAGTCTTTCAGCTTGCTTCCACAGGATCTCATGCCCAAGGCGCCAAACGCCAACGCGACAGATGAGGTGATTCTGGGGACCTCTTGGTTGGGATACTGGTGTAAGTCAGAACCTTTTAGGGTTTCTTCTCTTCTCCTCTCTTTCCTTTCTTTTGCAAAAGAGCTCTGACCTGGATTCGAACTACAGCATGCATCCACCCCATCCCCACCATGGTTGAAGATCTCGAGCGTCGCCAGAGCTGTGCCGATCTTCTCTCACACATGGACCAAGTTGACCCCATGGTAAGTAGCAGCATGAGCGCCTACTTTGACCGAGTCTTCTCTACAAGTCCATCTAATCTAATCTAATGTCTTCTTTAGACCATGGAAATTGACCCATGCCCAGCCCAGCCATTTTGGCCGAGCCCGTTCAACGATATCATCCCCCAGGTTGGAGGTCCTCAGGCCAAGCGGTCCTATTTCAAAGGCAAACAAAAGACCTTCGGAGGGGATGCCGATGAGCATCCAAACTCGGTAGTCGGGTTCATTGAACCCATGGATGTTCCACACGGGGGATTTTCGGGCTGGACACGCATCTGCTTTGTTATCTATGAGCAGGTGACAGACGATGGGTACATCGAAGAGGAGAACCTTCTTTGGATCCATGGCTATGAGGCTGTGGTAATTCCTGGAGGGAATGTTATGCTGGGCCGGTGGGTAGACCTGAGGGAGACCAGTGCCCGAGGGCCTGTGATCTTTTGGGGTGTGTGAGAGCGACCTGCACTCACAATCAGTCATAAACCCGTTACCAATCCGTTGCCAACCCGTTGTGACACAGTCAATCCATGCTCTACTTGGGGTTGGTTTTTCTTTTCTTGTGTTTTTTTTTTTTTTTTTTTTTTTTTTTCGCAATCGGTTGATCATTCATTGCAAACCCGTCGACGCATGCTGCTTTTATTTCAACTTCGTTGCTACAAGCCATATGCTGGACCCCCGAGGAATTTCGAGGGAAAATGAAGTCAAGGTTGGATCGGCGTTGCTAGCAATAAGCAAGATGTTTGCGGAGGTTGAGGTGATCAAGGGGAAGAGATGACAGGGAACAAAAATAATAAAAAAGTTGGCATAGCCTCTACTCCTCGATGTCCTTCACTTTCTCCCACTGTCCCTTAAGGTTCTCCTTCCACAAGCTGACCTTGTTGTCACCACCACTCACAGCCAAGATGTTGCCGCTCAAGCTCCAGCTCACCCGCCACAGGACGGTATCAAACTCAAGTGTTTGGCTGGACCACTGTCCCGGGTTCGAGGCATCCGAGGTCCAGATGCGCACAGTCTTATCCTGTGACGCAGACGCAATGTAGGATTTGGAGAGAATACTCGGCGACCAGGCCACATCCCGCACCCAGTCCGAGTGGCCCTCTAGGGTTTGAGTCGGGTTGTACGACTTGGAATCCGAGCTGCAAGCATAGCAAAGGTCAGTTTCGGCAAGTTGCAACACACGGAGTTAGAAAAGAAGGCAAAACATACTCATAGTCCCAGATCTTGACCAAGTTATCACTGCCACCGGTCACAAACCGCCTCTGCTGGCCTGGCCCAGGGTTGGAGCTGATCAGGCTACCGGCAAAGGCAGCGGGGGCCCAGCTAATCGAGTTGACACCCATTCCGTGGGCATGGAAGGTCTGGTGGGTCCAGTTGTTGTCGCGGAACTCAAGGACACTGACAAGTCCGTCGGACGAGGCGCAGGCCAAGAGGCATCCGCTCTCATGGGGTGCCCACGAGACCATGTTGACCGAGGCCGTGTGGAGGGAGAAATCAAAAACCTTGGTCCATGTGCTGCCGCCGGCGGGGGAGGTCGCATTCTGGGGCTGCTCGCGCCAGATCAAGACCTTGCCGTCGTACGATGAGGAAGCCAGGATTGTGCCGAATTTCGGGTGTGCCTGAAAATGTCAAAATCACTGCAAGACCAGCCAGTTCGCACGCGATGTTCGGGTTATTACTCACCCATGCGACGCACCACACTGCGCCCTCGTGGCTACATGATTTCATCTCCGAGTTAATGACCAGATCATCTTCCAGCAGTGCTCCAGCAGGGGCTCGCTCACCCCTTCAGCGTCTCTACCAGGCGGTGGGATTCCCCTTCAATCTCAAAGATCTTTATCGTTTTATCGGACGAGCATGTGGCCAATCGCCGGCCATAGTAATCCAGGCCGGCATCGTGCTGGATTGAGACAAATACTTGGTTAGTCTTGATGAGGAGAATTTTACTGCGAATTGAAGCAAGGACCAGAACGTACAATCATGTCATCGTGCCCCGAGTTCGAGATCACCTGAGCGGCCGCCTAAGAGTTTTGGAGATGTCAGTGGAGGCAATTGGGGAATCTTCAATTGCATAACCCATACCATTGTGTCGAGACCGCTGCGACAAATATAAGAAGAACAAGGGGGCGCGGGAGAACAAGAAAGACCAGGACTGTGGGGGTGAAGCTCGAGGGTCTCCTGTGCCCAAACAACTGGCCCGTTCAGCTATCTTATCGCCTGCTGACTCAGGGTCACGGGACTCAGGTGACATGCCTCGGTCTGTTGGCAACCCCACGCTCGGACATCGCCATCATCATCTTTAATTGCTCCTAAGTTTCTGGTTCTGAAGTTCTGTTCTTTGCTCCCTGGTTTTCTTGGTTCTATTGAAATGCGCGGTAGTTTGCGTCGATACCTCATTTGTCGAACCTTCTGCCTTGTTGTATCCTGATTCTTCCGAGACACCATGGGGGATGCTCTATGCGGCCCGTCCAACGCGCTGCAAAACTTCCAGAAGCATGCGTCAGTGGATCGGACTCTTCAACAAGACCGGCTAATTACGCGACAATCGCCGGCCCAGGTGAGTGATGGTGTTGACATCAGACGAACTCTCTATGTACTAAATCCATGGCTTTAGGGTTTCCGTTCGCAAAGTCCCCGAGATGGGATCCTGGACCCAGAATTTGCTGCATTCGAGGCCAGTATCGATGGCCCCGCCGCACCCGATTTCCAACACCCTGCTCAGTTTGGAGCACCAGCTCAGTTGCCTGCTCACCATCCGGGTAACGCCGACTGGGCGTCGGACTTTCAAAACTTGCAGATTTCAGGGCCCTCACACCCTGTATCTCAATCGCCAGGACCGTCCATGGCCCCAGTGGCCCATGGAGGATGGCAGAAGGAATTCCTGAGCCATCAACCTGCCCCCGCGCATCACGTTCAAGCGGCCCACCCTACAATGAACCGCGGATTCCAACCAGCTTTTGCGCCCAACTACCCAATGCATTTCTCGATGAACGCGATGCATACCCCACTTGAATCGCGACCCGAGGCACAGGCGCCGATGGAGCGGTTTGATGAGTCGGCATTCGAGGCAGCGTTTGAACAGGCACGAGCGGATATGGAGCTGCAGGGAGCCGAACATGCAACACAAGAGGAGCTACAGCAAAGCTTTGACGAAATAAACGAGTCCCACGCCACGGTCCGTGAGGAAATTCGAATTGGATCGGACAACATTCCCGCGACAGATAAACAGAACGAGCATGAACGGGGCCACGATGCGGACGAACTCGCTCGCACGGCAGGGCAGCTTCTCAATAGTGTCAGTAACAACCAAAGCCAGAAATTCCAGCAAAGCAATTTCCTCGCACTGATGCGGCGAATCCGAGACCGCGAGGTAGAGGTGGAAGGGGAAGAGTTTCGCGAAGTCAGTACCAACCCGTGACGGTTTGGATGTCGAGCGCGACAGAAATGCCGGTATACTATTGTCGATCGATGCTGGATCCTGTGCGTGCTAATCTGTCCGCGCAGACAGCGCAGTCTCTTCATCCCGGCGGGCGATATTACCCAGGCCAGCCGCATTCACCCGACTCTGCCGTCCCAGCTAGCAGTAAGGAGCCTCGGCCCCATGCCACGAGTCCCTCAACCAGTGAAGAACCGCATAGAACCTGACTCGATTGGCGTCCACTGCTCAAGGGGATGTGGCCGAAATTAGCAGGACTACCGAAGAAGACCAGAACGACCGGGGAGGCAGCCCATTAATTCATGGTGACACCAATGCATTGTACGAAGGGTGGACACAGCTGCACGACCGAGGACCAGCGTCAGTGTCCTAGACCGATTGTTCAGGCACCAATGGCATCTAAGGCACCAATCAAGCCCGAATGAGTCAGCGACGAACAATATGCGCACGTGACCATACTGAGCCCCGAACAATAGCAGCAGCCTATTGAGCCTGCCGCATCCCGCTATTCACTCAATGACCGATTGACGTGGGCGTCCGATTGTTTATGATTGTTGGCCTCAATACAAATAGCTTTCCCTTTCCTTCCCTCCCCATATTCATGTTTTCCTCACTTTCAATAGCCATATCAATAGCTTCATCTCTCCCATTCAACTTTGATTGAACTCATTTTCGATTCTGATTGAACTCACCTTCAACTCTGATTGAGCCTATTCTATATTCATTTACTATTCACCATGCGCTCATCCTCGGATGCCTTGCGGCACCTTCTACTTAAGATCTCAAGGGAACGCGCCAACCGCAATGCTCCTCCTCCATACTCGTCCGTTCCACCCCCCGCCGCCATGAGTGAAATGTCTATGGCCACCGAGTACCGTGACATCCGCCGGTCGGACGAGGATGGGGAGCCCGCCCCCATCACCATCACCTTGGACACCGCCATCATCATCAACGGCAACCGCAACACGGTGGTGCTGCCGTCCGGAGCTGGTTCTCCGACGATGCCCACCAGCAGCCATGCCGACGACACCACGACCCCGACCACCACCGCTTCCTCCGCCTCTTCCTCCTCCTCTTCTTCTTCCTCCCCGCGGCCGGCGCAGAGCCTGCGCCAGGCCAAGCTCACCCATATGGCGATCCTCATCATCGCCGCGCTGAACCAGGCCGGTGGTCTCAGCGCTGATGGGGGTCGCGGCCGACCAATTTCCATTGTCGTCAATGCTGGCGTTCGGGTCTCCGGAAACGACAATGTCATTACCATGGGCAGCTCGACGCCCCGCCGCCAGGCCTTCAAGGCCCCCGAACAGCCTCCTGTTCCGAAGGAGGCTCGCAAGCGCCGGGCTAGTTCGGTACATCTCTTTGTTCTAACGGGGTTGTTTGAAAGTATCTTTTCTGACCTTTTCTGGTTTCCATTTAGGAGCCTCCGAGCAGCCCTCCCCCGGCTAGACGCCGGCGATACAGCTGAAGGGAGATGGAAATTGAGGGATAGGGAAGGAGGAGGGGGAATGATGAACCGCCGAGATGACGATCTTGTTTTGTTTTGTTTTGTTTTTTCAAATAGTGCCCAATGGGTCATGACACCCCTGTACATTTCATGCTTCTCTCGAGTTGACCCAAGCTTTGTAAAACCGTACACTCGATTTGGAGCTACATCGAAGATCTAAAACACTTAGATGGCTGCAAGGACGAGGTCTGGGATTTTATGGAATGAGCGTTTTTGCGTTTATCCTGCTGTCATGGTAGTCACCTGAAAACTTCGACTATATCAGCTGGGATAGTTTGCAATACCCAAAAATTCCGCCACAGATAGAGATACTTGTAGAATTCTACGCAGAATAAGAGAATAAAAGAATAAAGTTTCAACATAATTTCTTACGGCATGTACCAAGCATACTAGAATGACTAGACAAGACAAGCCCTTAGTCAAAGACAAAGAGAAATAAGCCCACACATTCATATTCATACATGAACTAAGAAAAAAACAAGTCGAAGCCATCGCCACGCCAGCCCCATTTATCCCTTCAGCAGTGTAAGAAAGACAAAGAATAAAGTAGTCCAGGATCCAACCGCCACCTTCTAGGAGAAGGAAGTAGGATGAAAAACATGAGAATAAGAAAAGGTGGAACCTCAACCCTAGATAGGCGATATTCAATCGACAGATCCGTGCAATTTTCAAGGTTTCCTTGCATACCTACTACGCCTCTTGTGATGAGATAGTGTAGTGTTATGCTCGCGTCAGTTCCCCCGAGAAAAAAAAAATGGTACACTGGGGAACCCATTAAAAGGAACAGAAGAAGATTGCCTGCAAAAGAACATATCCACGGCCTGGAGAAAACAAGGTGGTTTGATTATCGATGATGCAGAGTCCACATCCAGACAGCAATTAAGTCGTCTGGCATAGGGCAGTGGGTTGAGCGATGTGACGGTGCGGATTACAGGCCGGAAAAACACACAGACGAAGATAAGGCGAAGACCATGGCCGATCAGGTAGAAGTAAATTGAAAGGGGGACGAGTTTAGCCAAACCGGCCAACTGGAATATCGTGGCGATGAAGGTCCTTGGACCACGCAGGTGCGACCTTGTCACGTTCATAGAGCAGACCACAGTTGTGGCAGAGTGTCTGGAGAAGATCAACAGTCAGAGGCAACCATTACAACCATGGGGATAGATCATCTTACCCGTGGGCCTTCAGGGCCGTCGCGTACAGCCCAGACTGCAGTACCCCAGACCATGCAATTGCTGCATCTCCAGCTTTGTCGTTCCCTGCAGATTGCGAAGAAATCAAATATTAGCAAAAGACTCCTGCAATTATCCATTCCTCCGGGGAGCATACCACTCAGAAAGCGTGCCTCCTCCACCACCGTATCCAGCGCCCGAGCCCGTTTCCGGAGTACCCCGGCCACCAGGAGTGCCTCCACGGCCCAGAGGGCTCAAGCTACGGAATCGGCGCTTCCGCTTATTCCTCTCTCCTCGGCCAAGCGGGGTCTCGCTGTCGACATCGAAATATCCACTGCTCTGCCTTGATACGTCCGGTGTGATGCCCGCCGTGGAAGAAAACCGCGCTGTTTCTCGGCGCAAGCGTCGGATCTGTCGCTCACGATCGCCTTCTCGTCTCTCAATCTCTTCCTTGGACAACGTTTCGACCTTCGGGTCCCACTCATCACCGAGGGTCTCCGGGTCGTACCGCCAACCGGCCTCCATGCCATGTACGGCTTGGTTATCAATTTCATTGCCGTAGCCGTTGATTCCGCTCATGAGCCCACCGCTTTCGCAAACTTCCTTCTTGAGTTTCAAGACTGCCTCGTAAATGCCATGGGCAATTGCGCTGACCCATTCCCCACCGAGACTGAGGTCAGCGCAGGTGATCTTTGCGAAATCCTCTGCCATACCAGGAGGATGAAGCAGTGACCACTCAAATTTATCAGTATAGAGCTTGTTTTGCAGGTTAATGTTGAGATTGATCAGACACCGGTACGCATCATCTGGATTCAGGATGCTGTCATTGACAAATGCTTCCTTCGTCACTGTCACTGTTGTCCCATTGGCCTGGCTACTGGGAGTTGCGGCATTGGCAGGGGTCATGGATGTGTCTCGGGACGGCTCAGTTTGCGGAGGAACACTTGTGAGGGTCGTCGTCTGTGTGTTCTGGAAGAGGGGATGCAACGCCACGCCAGCGTACTCCTCTAGTTGTTGTCGGATTTGATTGCTGATCGTCATTGTTGTCGCCTGCGGATTGGGGAGGTCGAGGTCACGGACAAATCCGATGGCGAATTCTTCTGGGGTCGCAAGCGCCTCATGCAGATTCCACAGGAAGGTGTCCTTGATGCGAAATGGGGGCAGCGGCTCAGGCCTGCGGTACGCAGGAAGTGCCGAGGTGATGCCGGGATCGACTGCGGTGCGCGGCACAGGAAATGGCTCGAGGGGTTGGTGGGAAGGAACTTCGACGTCGATTCGGATGGGAACGAGGGTCAAAGGAAGCTGCGCTTGAATCTGTAGTTGATCCGCACACCTGATAGCGCCGTAAGTGTGAGCCAGAGAACCGAGGAAACGAAGGAAAGGCTTTGCGCCGTCTAACGTGCGAAACAGAAAAACACAGCAAGAAAAAAGTTGTACGATGGAAGAAATGTCCAAAAAAAAAAAGAACATACGCAGGTCGTAGCATCCTTTTTATCATCCATTCGCGAAACACCCCTTGAACTTCCACCGGCGCATGCGCTTCTTTCCCAAGTTTCTCCGCCAAGGGCAATTTCTCGGTGGTTGAGTCTTCGCGCCGGAGACTCCTCAACCCTGTCGGTCGCCGGGGACCATCGCTCTCCTCGAAATCATCATCATCGAAGCCATCCTCGGCGTAGTTGATGGCTGTGGTTCCACGCTTCGTCGTCCGTGGAGTCGGGCCGGTCTGCGCCGGAGGGGCGACGGGAGTGAGCAACGCGTTCCCATATTGGCGCATGCGCGAAGGGTAAGATGTGATATAGCCTCGCACAGGAGACATGGCTGGCGCTTTAATCCCACGAGAACCTTCCCCTGTGGGGGCTTAGGTTAGAATCGGCAAGAGCCCGCAATTGTTGATCGACTTTCGAAGGGTTGATCACTGGGATTCGCAGGATGGGAAAGGGCCAAGCAGGCCAAGTGGGATTGGCAGTTGAAATTAGGATCTGAGTTCTCCTCAAAATACCAAAAACCAGATGAATTGAGGATTGCAACAGCTGAGTTGAAGGCATCGACTGGATTGTACCGTCGCGTTTTCTCAAGGCCCATTCCACGGGCACGTGACTGACGCCAAGCCATCGGTGGATGTATACAACTCGACAGGCTTTATGACGCATTTATTGACCAGATCTTACGGAGATTGTGATACTGATGACATAAAAGAGCCAACGAGAATTTGATTGAAGGGCTTATATTCAGGATTCAACCAAAGTACAACCATTGTAAATTAGAAAGGCGAACTCCTAGTCGAAATCACACGGAGAAGAGGTAATGGACACCAAACTGCTAAAAACGCCTTCTGTTGGGTAAAAGAAAGATAAAAATGAAATTTACACCACAGGCAGCCTGGAAATGAAAGCTCGCAACATATTGAGAAACTTGGTAGAACAAAGCGGGGGTTGGTATGGATAAAAATGCAGGGAAAAGAAAGTTGGTGATTGTAGGATTACCGCAGGCCGATCACACTCTGCAGAAGTCAGTACATAGTTTCCAATTTAAAGCTTCAGAGAAGTAAGGAGTCTCACCATTTCCAGCGTCCAGACTCGCCGAATCCAGATCTTGATCTTGCCATCGACGCCGTCAACGCCATCCAGATCGATGCCCTCCCACCAGCATCGTCGAGCGGGCTTTCGCCAAAACAGAAGAAGCTTTTGGGCCATGCCGACAGCGTTATTGTTGGACAGGTCACCCCGAATATCGGTGCGCAACTTGGCCAGACCAAGGCTGCAAATCACTGCCTTGTTGGGTTCTGGAGCTCGGTGCCCCCATTTGTCCTCGCGATCAAATCCTCTACTCCAACGATCAGTGGTGTGTTGTAGGAAGGAACCTTATGCATAAACTCACCCAGCAGTCAGCATCTCAATCAGGTGCTGCTCCGTGGACCCGACTTCCTCGCTTTTTCTCAACCCTGAAAAGATCCCGTCCTGCTTCAACAGCGTTCTGCCTGCAGCTCGTTTGACTTCTAGCATCTCTTCATGCCCAATATCAGACCGGGGTGGAATGACATAGAAGTCGAGATCTTCTCGCAGGACAATGATGCCGGCTCGGTCTTGGAGCATATCGCGCGCAGAACCATGCATTGTGTCGGGCAAGTCTGCCTCTGGCGACGTCGAAGCAGAAGGCGTCGAGGATGGGATGGATTGAGCAACCGAGCGGAAGAATTCTAGCATGTATTGCAAGGCTGCGGGGTCATACTGAACAATTACTGTTAGAGGAATTCAACCGACATGGAGCATAGCCAAGCAGAAGGGCCTGGTATTTCACACGTACATCAACAGGATAGATGTCCCCTTCATGGAAGCCACCCATATGTCCATCGGGGAGGAGCCCGTTCGGGAAGAGAGACAGAAGGACGAATTCCGGTAGTGTTAACAACTCATCTCGGGATAGCGTAAACCGAATACCACTAGACTCTAGTTAGCATCCTGCAAGATCACAAGGGAAAACTATGAACAAACAAGCAACCATACCGGAGATCGAGAGTAATTTGTTCATCTCCGCCGATATCTACGCGCGAAATAGGTCAGCGCCAGAATCATCGTTTCAAGGTTTATAGGTCACGTACCTCCCAACGTATTGATCGGTGGCCCTCCCGTCTGCTGCACCTGGGTGATGATACTCGAGGCACCTCCTGCCGCAGCCATCACGTACGTGAACGACTCAAGGGGGCTGTAGCCTTCTGTGTACGGCGGCGGCGGTTCCCCGTCGTCGGCACTCTTCCCGAGGCCGTCACCCTTTGGTTCCGCGAAGGAAGCTTTTGTGTCTGTGACAACCGACGACGAAGGGGCCGGGTCGAGTGGCTCCTCGACAGGTGGCGGAGGCGCGAAGGCTGGGAGTGAAGCAGGCCCAGACTCGGCGAAGGGTTCGGGTGGACTGGACTCGGATGCGGCAAAAAAGAGTGAGGAGAAGGGAGGTGGGCCGACAGAGGAATTGGACGCAGAGGCCTCTGATGGAGAGTGCGGCGGGGGTGCTGTGTAGTAGTCGTCCTCCTCGAGGGAGTCGTTCGACTGGGACGGTCGCGCCGTGGTTAATGAGAGGAATCGGTGCCTGTCGCCCGACACTGTGCTGGAGGATCTTTCAAGTCGAGGAGAGCGATCAAAGTGGACCGACTAAAGTGTCGCGAGGGGCGATGCGATTCGATCTGAAGAGCCGTGTCGCTGCGTCGTCCTGTCGCTGAGTCCTGAGGTTGTCGATCAGAAGTCCAAATCCCTCGTGCACAAGGTCTGCAAATAGACCAATATATCAATAGCTCTAGTTAGTAGACCAAAAGCGAACAGAATCCCAAGATCGGAGCTGGCGGTGGCTCGGTGGTCAAGGAGAAGATGCCAGCGCTTAGAAGGTCAGGAAACCGCGCTAAAGCCATCACGTTTAGTCCGTCACAACTCCGCATTTTACAGATGATGTGCTGCACAATTACAACATTGCTAGATATTTGTTTCATGTTTTTTCTTGTATGAACAGGAATAGGCTCGAATGCTAAGGAAATTACTAGAAAGGCCATGGGAGCCCAGGAGAGTCCAAGGAAGAATACCTGGATTGGTACCATACTGCACTACTTAGAGCACTACTTAGGTACCTTGTCTTTTAGACATGGCGCTCTGCAAAGCTTTGGATCAGACCCTCCAGAGTCGGTTCATATTCCTTCAGAGTGACCCGATCTCCCTCGAGGACGGTGTTGGCCTGCACAAAGATCTTGCGGGGAACCTTGTTCTTCAGGACCACCTCGCGCACCTTGGTGCCCCACCAGTTGTCCACCGAGGTGATCTCATCATACAAACCCTGACCAGCCTTGACATCTGCCGTACTCTTGTAGACGTGCAGTTTTTGCAGGTACTTCTCCACGGCAGGACGTCCATGGGTCAGGATCTTAGACCGGTCCAGGCGAATCTCGAGATCAGAGAGGTCCTCCTTGCTGTAAGACAGCTTGACGAAATCATCGCCAGCATCGAGGAAAGTGCGCAAGATACTGTACCGGGCCTGCATGTGAGCCTGACCCCATTTGTGTGTCTTGGGATCCCAGAACTCCAAGGCCACGAGACCAGCCCGAGCCATTTGCAGGTATGCGGCAAAGAGAACGTCCCCTGCCTCACCGGCCATGTCTTCGGTCCCGTCCCCAAACCCGAAGATTTTCAAGATGCTGAAATCACAGCCCAGCACCATGGCAACACACTCGGCGCGGCACTCTTCGTACGATGAGGCAATGGCCCCAAATACCGAGCTCCACGTCTGCCCGGGCTTATACCAGGTGGACACGGGTTTGTTCGTGACCGGGCTAATTGGAGGGCTGGCAATGTCGAAGTTGTACTCGCCTGGCGCTGTCTCTTGTAGCAGCTTACCAGTTCCATGGCCCAGCAGTTCATGAATGCCAACTTGCACTTCAAATGCCGGGTCGCGACACCGGCGGTAGACCTCTTGGTCCTGAGATGCGATGAAGGGGATTGGCTCATTGGGTGCCTTGGCACTCAAGACATTACCCAGAGACACATTCTTGAAGCCGAGGTTCTGGCGGATGTCATCGTAGTTGGGGAGGTTGATACCGGCCGGAAGACCCGAGCATGCAAAGCTCAAAACCTCCAGTGAGGTGAAATCCGGGCTGAGGAACTTGTCTTTCTCAAAATCCTCACCCCAAGGTAGCTTTGGAATCATGCTTTCAGCACTGTCCACCAGCGTCCCGAAGGCTCGGGTACGTTCCAGGTTGACCTGCAAGAGTCAGCGTGATCCGTCACCGCAAATTAGAGACCAAACATACCAGAGCAACAAAGCCTTCCCATTCTCCTCTCACACCGTGAGGGTCTCGGTAAGTCTCAACAAATCCCAGATTTGTCTCCAGCACAGGCTTCTGGTCCTTGACCCAGATGCGCTGGCTCTCCTTGAACGCTTCGATGGAGCCAGCCCCGAACGAGAGAGCATAGGCATCGAGCATGCGCTTTTGGTTGTCGTTGGCCGCATTCAAACCCGCCTGCTTGAGGCTGTGGGCAATCTTCGCCATCTCTTCCTGATAGTCCCCGAAGACCAGGCGCAGGTTCTTCCCTTTCAATGCCCCGTCCAGCTCAAAGGTGCCCACCTCGCCCAGATCGCGGTCCTTCACAGGAGGCGATGAAACCCCCGATGCGATCAGAAGCTCAAAGTCACCTGAGGAGGTCTTTCGCAGTCTCGTATTCTCCAATGCCAGTCCCTTCTTCTCCATCAGATCTCCAACAGCCGTGATCTCCTCCTTCGAGATCGAGGGCGAGTCGGGATAGTAGGTGGTCATGTGGCCACTCTTCGGGTATCCGAGGTGCATCAAGGATTGCTCGCTGGTCTCGTAGATGCCGCCGCCGGTGCTATTTGCTTTCTGGAATGCGGCCTTGGTCTCTGGCGTGGCCGATGCTAAAGCCTCCAACGCCGAGGCAGGCAATCGAGGGATGAACTTGGAGTCACCAAAGCCCTTGTAGTTACCGCAGTTCCCCAGGAACTGGGCAGCATATTCGAGGAAGAAACGAACATGTTCGTCGCTGACCTGGGTTTTCTGGGCGAGGCTGCCCCAGTCGCCATTGCAGGCACGGTAGAGCGCAAGGATGAGGTCGTAGATGGGTTCGGACTCGGGCGAGATCTGGCGCAATGTCACACGAGTGCCCTCGAAAGCGGCTCTATCATATTCCGAGACCGATGGTGAGCGCATGATCACGACTGGGGAAGATCCGTGGGCATCCTCCCTCGTCCATGAAGCCATGGGAGAAACAACATACCTGCTCATGAAATGCGCATATTTCCTCAGACTGGCATCTTTGAGGTTATCAAAGTGAGACTTGATTTCCAGCCTGACCACCGTCGGCGGCGAGTCGGCCAAATAATGCTGCTTGATGTTGTCATCCATGGATGCTCGAGTTAGGGAGTGGGATGAGAAATGGAGGCGGGGCGAGAGAAGGCGAGGGCGATTGAGGGGTAAGACGCGGGACAAGCGCGAAATGTGCATCGTGCAGCGCAATGTCTGTTAAGAAGCTATGACATCGTGTGCCAATAAGCATGTTCCTGCGGTCCGATCCAGGCTTGGCAGAGCTTTGACTCGGAATTGTCTATGTGATTTGTCCCAAATACAAATATATACAGACATATACAAAAATATTTGCTTCTTCATGTACTATGCACAGCAAATGCCAAGGGCACCAAATAGCAAGGGGTATTGGGGGTAAGCCAAAACAAATAGTGGGCAGATCCCCTGTGTTTTTTTTTACAACAGGCTTTCGTATTTATCCAGCCCCTGTCTTTGTGTCGGGGGTGGTTGAGATGGGGTGCTGGAAAACGCTGTCGATGTCATAGTTGTATTCATCGGGGGTCTCACGTTGTTCGTGCCCACGTTTCCTGACGGAGGGGGTGGTATGGAGAATGCAGAGTAGTTAGAAGCTTGTAGGGACGTTGGCCTGGACATCGGGGTCGAGGAAGTCATGTTGGATAAAGACGACAAAGACGGCCCAGGTCGGCTTCCCTGAGGTTGTTGACCGGTCGAAGCATTCCACAAAGACGACGGCTGCATGGGAGCAAAGGGTTGTGTGGGCGGAGGGGTTGGTCTGGCGGGCTCAAGAGACGGGAATGAGCTCAGTTTCTGGTCGGGGGTGATAGATCGGAAGCCAAGACCAGTGGGCTGGCTTGCGCTGGTCTGCTTGGCCACCCCGGCATTGCTTGAAGACCACGAGAACGAAGGCGACATGCTTGAATGGGAGGGGTTTGCTGTTTCCGGTTCCATACTGCCCCAGAGGTCGGCATCCTGACCATTCGCAGCTGCAGCGTTCTTCCCAAGAACCAAACGTTCAAAGTTGGTTCTTGCGCCGTCTAGTTCGGGCGACGAAGGATCGGTAGAAGACTGGGAGAAGCCGCCTCCGCCGTTTTGAAAGCCCGAGGTATCGGCGCCCGAAGACAATTCTTGCAGCTTTCTCGTCTGCTCCTTTTCCACTCGGGAGGAAAGAGACTTGATCAATGCCATGAAATCGTTGAATTGGCGAAGATTCAGAAGCGGCCCCAGACTGAAACTCCAAAGGACTGGCAAGACCTCCAAAGCCAGGAAATCGGTGTCTGCGACTGCCCCGACTTGTCGAAATACCTTCAGTGCGGCCATCATCACCGAGGGCTCTTTCGTCTTAATGGCCTTCAGTGACGGGACGAGTTTCTCTTGGATGGTGTATTTGTCCAGGATGGAAGATTTGGGCTTCGATTGAGGCTGGAGACCCGAGAGGTCATCGCCAAGTTCGTCGGGGTCGTCTGCAGAGCCTCCGCAAAGCACACTGAAAGCTTCTAAACTGCGAACTTTGATGGCGAGACTGCTGGTGCGACTGAATGTGCTCGCGATGGGAGGAAAAACCTCATTCTTCACAGTATTGAAATCAAGAACAGGAAGCACGGCAGGGAGACACTTAATCGAAGCATCGACCAAGGAATGTGTAGGTGAGTCCAAGCCGAGTCGGATCAGAGGCAAAATGTCTAAAGTTCATCAGCGCATTGAATGGGTGCAGCTGGGTATATAACTTACCGTCTTTAAACTCCAAGCCTGAGCAATTCTGCGAAATAAGCTTCATGTGCTCCAGCACGACCATTAATCCCGCATCTTTCTTGGAGTCCCGCTCTTGAGATGGCTTGCCCGAGCCCGTCCCAAACACCTCCTTCAATTGAGGAATAATCTTCTCGGGGAAAGTGCGGCGGCCATTGGGAATTCGTTGCAGAATGCTAAACACATTCTGTAGAATGAGTGCAAGAAGCTCGCGGTCTTTCATTTCCTCCAACAATACCCCCAGGAGTTTTCTCTCCAACACCGAAACCGGAAATTCCGGCAGGACTCGTTGTAAACCACGCAGAAATTGTGATTTTTCATTTGAATTCTTCGTTGGCAAAGACTCCAAGAAGCGAATGGTCGACACTAAAATATTGTCGAAGTACTGTGATTGCTGGAATTCTCGGGCATTCATGCGCTGAGCAGGCCTTCGAGTAATTAGCCGGGGCAAAACGTGGGACAAGACGTCTCTTGGTATTGGGTTTGCGCAGAGAAAATTGTTGCTCTGAGACGGAGTCGTTGACGGGGAACTCAAGAGCTTCTTGTAGGTCGTTACGTTTGAGTGGGTTTGCAAAGGCGATGTATGCGGCGAGTTATATAAAGCCACTATCAGAAGACCCAGGGAGAACAGGTCAGCCGAGGACGATATGTTTGAGTCCATGGCGAAGTCCGGTGATGTGTAGTCGAGATTCAGCTGGACAGAGCTGGGCAGTCGTGGATCTTGGTAGAGCACCTCAGAAACAGCCAATGGAGGCAACGATGAACGAGTATCGGCGGAGTCTGGAGGGCCAGCGAATCCAAGACCGGAAATCTTCCAATCGGATTTGCCGTTGATATAGATGGCCTCCGGACTGAGATTGCCATGGACTAGACCCGCAGACTCGTGCAGAAACTCAAGGCCCTTTGCAACCTGTAGCAGGCCCTTTTGGATCTCTAGTTCATCAATTTCCAGGTCTCTTCTTCGCCTCGTTCCGTCCTGCTCTTCGGCCATATAACGGCTCGATCGCGACCCAGCACCCGCCGCACGTTCCTGATCGTTCTTTTCCAGTAGCACCCCAGACAGCGAGGCCGTGAGATGCTCCGTTGCGAACATGAGGCCACCGCTGCGCGTCTCTTCTACTGGCTCAAGCATCTGGAGAATAGATGGATGTCTTAGCCGGGCAAGGTTGCTGGCTTCGCGCTTGAGCCGCTCGATCACATCTTCCTGCAACCTTTTCGTTGAGGATCCCGAACGTGAGCCGAAACCGCCGGAACGTGGGTCAAGGGTCTTGCGTTCGAAAATAAACACCGACGCTGGTGTCCCTGTGGACTTCTTTTTGGCATCATGGATTTTCCAGGGGCCGGAGTACACGGTGGGGTTGGGAGCGATCTGGTAGTTTGCCGAGATGTTGGAGCTGAACGACTTGAGTGCCGAAGAAAACATTGTGGCGATCCGCAGAAAGGAATCTGCACCGTGGTAGACCGAATGAGGTCGTCGACTTCGTTTCGCCGTGTCGTCACAGGAGAGCGGGCATGACCTGAGTCGGAGTCAACACAGTGTCATTGAACGTCAATGGTGAGTCACCACGTAGGATGTTATTTTGTTGGGAGCTGCAACAGCCAGAGCCACGGACACCAGGGGCAAGGCAGAAATGGGCACCATCTCATCCACGAGTTCCACGACGCCGCCGCGTTGATACCATCGGGTGATCACGTGATCCGACCAGCTGTTGCGATGGATGAGAAGACTCAATCTTACCTTGGAGTGTTCCTCAGACAGAAATACAGGCCGAAATACCGGGAAGTCGCTTCGCCCAGACACGCATTGTTCAATTGCAATTACTAAAACAACCAGATCGGCCACCAGCAATTGGCCCCCTCCACGCCGAGATCGGGCAGGCGGTGACTCCACGACGCAGCCGGAGTTGTTGCCGGATTCCGGTCGACTCATCGCGATAGTCGGAGTCTTTCTTTTTTTTTTTTTTTTATTGCTTATGCTTACCCTTCCTTGATTTCCTGTGGCATTTTCTTCCTTCCTTACACCCCTCAGTCATGAAACCATTCCAGCAATTGGCTTGCCGAAAGGCGCTGGCTGGACTCACACCGCGCATTGCGCTTCCCCAGAATGTTGCGGCAAACCGGCTATCACAGAGAAGCTTCAGTGCCAGCGCAAGGGCCTTCCAGGCTGCCGGCTTAGATGCTTCCAAACTGACTGTCACCAAAACGAGCACCCCTAAAGAGCTCACAGCACCCCAGGACCTTGTCTTCGGAAAGACCTTCACGGGTGGGGATTTCGCCTCTATTGTACACAGAATCGTTGTGCTGACCCGGCTTACAGATCATATGCTCTCCGTCGAGTGGACCGCTACAGACGGATGGCATGCGCCGCGCATTATCCCCTACCAGAACCTCAGCCTCGACCCTTCGACCTGTGTCTTCCACTATGCCTTCGAGTGCTTCGAGGGAATGAAGGCTTACAAGGATAAGAATGGTGGAATCCGCCTTTTCCGTCCGGACAAGAACATGCAACGCCTGAATAAGTCTTCTTCGCGTATCGCTCTGCCGACGGTGGATGGCGAGGCCCTGACCAAGCTGATCGGGGATTTCGTCAAGACGGATAGCCGATTTATTCCGGAGTAAGTGAGGCTCATGGATTATGGCCGCGTATCTGGCTGATAGTCATAGCGCCCGCGGGTACTCCTTGTACCTCCGACCTACCATGATCGGGACCCAGAAAACCCTGGGTGTTGGGCCGCCCGGGTCGGCACTGCTGTTTGTAATTGCTAGCCCCGTGGGACCCTACTACCCAACTGGTTTCAAGGCCATCTCGCTCGAGGCCACCGACTATGCCGTTCGCGCCTGGCCCGGTGGTGTGGGTGACAAGAAGCTCGGTGCCAACTATGCTCCGTGCATCCTGCCCCAGCTTGAAGCCGCATCTCGTGGCTTCCAGCAAAACCTGTGGCTCTTTGGTGAGGAAGAATATGTGACAGAGGTTGGCACTATGAACCTCTTCATTGCACTGAAGAACAAGGAGACTGGCCAGAAGGAATTGATTACAGCCCCTCTCGACGGCACCATTCTGGAGGGTGTCACAAGAGACTCTGTGCTCAGCCTCGCCCGTGAGCGGCTTGTTCCCAAGGGCTGGGCGGTCTCGGAACGCAAGATCCGCATGTCCGATGTCGCGGAAGCTGCCGAGGAAGGCCGAATGATCGAGGTGTTTGGAGCTGGTACCGCCGCCATTGTCAGTCCCGTGCGGAATATTAGCTACAGTGGCAAGCTGGTGGACTGCGGCTTGAAGGAGAACGAAGAGGCTGGTGAGATCGCTCTTCAAATGAAGAACTGGATCGAGGGAATCCAGTACGGAGATGAGGAACATGCCTGGAGGTAAGTCATTGAAGAGAGTCAACTGGAACAGAGTGCTAACCCTTTGGTAGCTACGTGATTTAATCGACGATTTTGGTTATATTGAGATGGAATTGGCCAAAAGTCTTTGCCTCTACATTGGTTTTTGCATTACTTGTTTGGATATGCATCTTTTCCTCGCTGCGCAGAGCTTGGCTTTTCCTTCCTGTCTGGTCTAGCGCGAGTTGCTTTTCCGGTAACTGTCTACATCCGAGCACTTAGAGAGATCCACGGGGCCTACCATTTCGGTTTCTGTTCTTCATGCTTCAAAGCTGGCTTATGTTACAGCAGTGGCCCATAGAGGTGCGATAAAGGAGTTGGGAGTTATCGAGGTATAACTCCTAGTATTTGGACTGCAGCACATCACCACACGGGACAGTCGCAAGTAGGCAGCTCTCTGCCCCAAGCATCGTCAGCCTTGCGACAAGCGAAAATCCCCACTACAGCTAGATCCTAGGGGATTGAAGTCAACACTCCAGCATAGTGCCTCTTGAGTTACCTGTCCGGCTCCTACCAACCCCTTAGATAAAGGTGTCTAAGAATCTACATTCTCGGAGTTTCGCAAGCTGGAAACTGTTGCCAGCCTTTCCAAACTTGATCTCAACTTTACAAGTAAAAAAAAAAAAAAAAAAAAAGAATGTCCTTGCCCATACCAAGTAGACCTTCGCCACCATTGAGAAAGGGGAAAGCAGAATGTGGAACAGCTCATATCGAGCCATTCGCAAGGGCCACGGGTCGCTCATGCTCATGCTCATGCTCATGCTCATTCCTTGGATTCGAGATGGTCCGCCCCCACACCCCCTTTTAAATGAGAGCGAACATCGTTCTGGCCAAGATCAGCCATGGACAAGTCAAGGTTCGCCTTCTTCCTCGTTTTGGCTTCATTGACCGCCATGCGTGCCTTGGGGATAACATCCCATTTTACGGCTCTATGGAGGAACCACTGCTTCGACTCGATTTCCGGGTCCCAGGTGTCACCCGGTAGGAAGAGCAAGTCAATGGACTCGAGGTTCAGATAGGATGTCTCTGGGTAGAAACAATACACGATCAGGGCAGCGACGAGATTGAAGACGGCGAAGATGATATATGTCTTGTAGCCGATATTTTCGAGGGCTGGAGGGGTGGTTTCGACCTATAATGCCAATTAGTGTGAATTCAGCCCTATTGTGATATTCCTTTGATATGGCTTTCGTTTCATCCAAGAAATCTCACCAGGAAGTTCCCCAGAAAGTCTGCGGCGGCTGTCAATGCGGCGCCATTGGACCGAATCTTCGGTGGGAGGATTTCTGCTGGGTACACCCAGACTGTTGCCATCCAGCCTGTGGAGAGTGAGCGTGTCAAATAAATAACCCATTCTCTAGGAGAATGCAAGAACAAGAGCAACACAACACAAATATACATAGCTCAAGCAAAGCAGGCCTCGAATGCAAAGACAAAGAATACAGCCGCGATTGCAGACGGCTTGTTCCCGATGGCTACGGCGATGGCCTCGCAGACCAACACGAGACACATTCCGATCGCCGTGGACATGAATAGACGGCGACGGCCGACTGAGTCGATCATGTACCCCTGTATTGCATTAGAATGTGTTTTTTCTCATACACCATAAGGGAAAAAAAACATACTGTGAGGAACGAAGCCAGAATATACCAGACTTGGAGAAAGCAGCCCACGAAAAGGGCTCGCTCCTACGACATGCCCAAGCTATCTTTGACGAGGGTTGGGGCATAATAACTGATGACATGTGCCATCCGCGATGACTCGGCAAGTAGATCTCGCTCTGGTAGACCGGCGCAACTGAAGTCAGGAATCCAATACCTAGGATATAGGTAAGCTCTCGTCAGATCCGCAAATTAGTCTACTGCATTGCCTCCGTGGACATACCCAAGCCCGTGAAGATCCTGCCCACCATCATCAAGACTCGTTCCACAGAACCGCCCATCAATGCACAGCCGATGATAAGGAGGGCTGCGCCGACAAATAGCGCCGTCATCACAGTGCTCGGGTCATTCATTTCCTCCAGCCAATATTTAGAAATAACCACCCCGGGCCGGACATAACACCTTGGTCGTACCCAAAGAGCAAAAACGAAGAGGAGCACACGCTGGCGATAGTAGCCAGAAGCGAAGCGCCCTGGAGGCGACCGAATCCCGTCTTATCGATCATGGCGAGAAACCTGCAAGTATCAGATTCGAAGTTGAATGGCGCATATGGAAAATAAAAGAAGATGGAATAGCGGCAAAAGGAAAAGGCGCAGGAGGTCTTCCTTTACCCCTCCCGCGCGCAAGGAGCGCAGGCCCTCGAAAGCAGGAGATAGGCATGGCCCTTTTGTATGGGCATGTAATACCGAGAGATGCGTGGGGGTGGACCTGGGGAATGTGGGGCAAGTTCTCAACTAATCGCGAGGCTTTGGGGCCAAGCTTTGATCAAGTGGACCCCGAAGGCGTCACGATGGTTTCTCCCGAGGATCCGACAAGACAAGCCCTGCCACATCGTCTCCACTGGGGTTTTCGCAAGAAATGCTCCTTGGACGGCATTATCTTCGTAGGCATGGCGCTTCTGTACGGGAGTTGGAAGTATTGGTATGGGATTGCTGGGTTGGCGAGTAGGGAACCCTTTTTGAGTCATGGCCCCGCAAGTGCAAAGCGGCCTTGGTCCGAGACCTACTTCTTTGATAATTATCTCGATTAGATTCTGACGATCGTCAGCGTGGGGTTAAGATATAGACGTTGATATGTGCGTAGGTAGGGTACGTGTGAGGGTAACCCTAATTGGTATACTTCCGCTTCTGGCATGGAAAATGGCTTAAAAAATTCGATGCTCCTGCAATATATATCGCTAGCAGGTCTTCCCATACAAACAGAAGAACCATCGTCGTGCAGAAGGCTATCATTAGGGATGCGAGGATTGGGCTGTTGGAGAGCAAAAGAGTAGCAGATGAACCATCTAGATAAGATATATACAGTATATTGAATATCTCTCTTGGGGCTATGTGTCTAAGTATGAGACTGGCTGCTGAGCAAAACATCACGTTCAGGAATAAGATATACGTCGAACTCGAGAGAGCAAGAAAATGGTTCGCAGCCAGTATCCCGCCTGAAACACCCTGCACGTCACATAGTCAGGTCGTAGATGTTGACTTGCACAAACACAGTGCTGACAGCCATCAACCACCGGTGGTGTACCCACCTAGGGAAAATGATCCGTTGTATCTTGGGCCAAGGGGAAAGAAGAAAAGAAAAAGGCCCTAGAACCTTGGGAATAGAGAATGTGCTACTGGACTGGACTCTGCCAGAATCAATGCAGGTTCCAGGATAATGCAATACCACCTTGACAATAGACATCCGAAGATCATCACCGGGATGAAGCTCTTCCCCAAAGGAGGGAAGATAGGCGACCTGTAGCACGTGGACCACGTGGAATTGACATCGGAGGTAAAACAGAAAAAGAAACAAAGAATTCAAGATTAGAAAACAAAAAAAAAGGAACGAAACGAAATGAGACGCTGATCAGTTTCAGGCTGGGTCTATACGCGTTAGGGTTTGCTGACGGGCGAAATCGAGAAGGGCAATGATGGAGCCCGGTTACGAAGCCTGTTAGGGAGCTGAGGTGTTACCCAAAGGATGCACCGTTTTGGGCCGAGAAAGCCCGAATAGGTAAGCGAGGTTGCTTTTTACGGACATGCCGCCGGGATGAAGGAGTTAAGAGGATGATAGGATCAAATCAAAGTGCAAATCAACCATGTTCGGCGTGCAGATCCGGTCATGCTCCTGTTTTAGGGGCATCGAACGGGTTGGGGCGCCTTTGTCCAACGTATAGGATTGGGTTTATTTGGTTTAATTTTATTTTTTTCTCTAATACATCCTGGAACGGGCAAGTGTAACACCCTAGAGGGTGTCATCATTTTTCTTCACATTGAAAATAACCCTAAAAAGTCACACCACAAGTATACATGAGTATACATGAGTATACAAGTTCTCCCCAGAACCATGTCCACCGCCAGGAACCTGTTTTCAGATGGTTACGAGAAGGCTCCAATGGCAATGCCACCCAAGCATCCGGGGTGCTGAACAGGCAGCGAGTGGCCCGAATCCTTGTCAGCGCTATAGCCATTAGGATTCCGGCTGAAGACATGGGGCACAGCAGGAGCGGTGAAGTGGAGAAAGCGAAGGAATTGGAGGGATTTTAGGCACAGCGAAGTGTATACTCTAAATGGCATCAGTTAATCAGCCCTATGTTGAGGAGAAGAAAAACTGTTGCCAAGGGGGAAATGAGGATGCACGGCTCCACCGAAAGGCCCCCGGCCCCAAAGAGGCTCTTAGTGTGCTTCTGAGTTACCGAAAGCGGCATGGAACTCGGTGGGTAGTCCCGATCGTCTCAATCACTAAAATAGCTAAATTGCTAAATCGCTCAACTGTCCAGAACCTTAAGTCGAAGTGAATTTTGGGAAGGGTATTTGAATGATTTGAATTAGATTCTTGGGGAAAGTGTGGGAACGGAAATGCAAGAGTATAGGATGGCCTGACAATTCTGGCAATGCTCTCATGATTCTCCCGAGGTCAGATCTTTATCCCCCTTAGTTTACTGCCAAGGTGAAGTGAATAATAATAATATGAATATCAATCATAATAAAAGAAAATAAACCCCAAAGGATCACCCCCCCCCCCCCCCCAAAACGTGGTTTTTTTAATTCCTTTTGCTCCACGTGAACTACCGTACGTTGAACTAAGTTTCATCCTGGCTGATCACGTCTCGGACCAGCCGGGATGAAGGGACGGGGAGGACGGGGAGGTCTCAATTTCAATGGCACTTGGTATCACTGGTAGAGAGTGTGTGACCATTAAAAAAAGAGAGAGAGAGAGAGAGAGAGAGAGTCGATCTCCGATCCCGATTCCCGCCCCCAATGGTCGATTTTCCACTGGGACCGGGGAACCCATCTGCTTGCGTATGGCCATTTCTGGGTAGTGATGCGAGGATTATATCGAAGAATAATAATAGTAAAAAAGTCAAATCAAATAAAAAAGAACGTGGACATGGTTGGACAATGGAACTTGGACCCCAAGATCCCTGGCCATGCGTAGACCAGGTTCACACATGGCATATCGAGGTCGCGAGACAAACTAAACCCACTAAACTAGCTAAACTCACACTAAGAAAGAAAGGGCAAGAGACACGGAAGTGGGTTTTATCGGGGGCTTAGCAGGACTTGGGCTGATCGACGGGGTTTAGGAGCCCCATTCTCCGGCTCCGAGTAGATATTCGTCCGTATTTATTTAACACTTCTTTCCCCTCGTCATCTTCACTTGCATTCTATTTCACACTTCCATTACTTCACACTTTCTACTTCTATCACTTCCATCACTTCAATCCCCCTGTCTCTCAGATAATCCAGACCTGACATCCACCATGCATCGGTCCTATGACGGCCGTTCAGCCTCGCGGGGCTCAAATCATGGCAATAGTAGTGCCTTCAGTGCCAACGCCAACGCCAACGAGGACTGGACCAAGATCTCTGACTTGGCGGAGCGCCGTCGCATCCAGAATCGCATCGCCCAGCGAAATTACCGTATCATCACCTTTTTTTTTTTTGTTTTTTGAAAGAGTCTGGCTGTGTGCTGATGAGCTTCTCTTCAGGCAAGAAGTTAAAGCGTCGCCTGGAGGACCTGGAGCGACGGGCTGCGACGTCGCCATCGCCTGAAGAACCCCCCGCAGACCCCGTGCCTCCCAAGGCCCCAGTCAAGACTCGAACAAGACAGCGCGCCCCCAAGACATCTGGGGAGCCTAAACCACCGTCGCAAGCTCCAGAGCGGCCTGCTCCCGATTACTACACCCCCGAGGATCGAGGTGTCTTGTTCGCGCATCAATGTACGCGACAACTGTCGGCGTCTCCACCACCGACCTTCTACCCTCTGCCGTATGATGCCTACCGACAGACAGCCTATGCCCCGCCCATCTACCACACGGTGCCTAGCATGTACCACGGCATGGCGTTCCCAACCGAGTATGGGCACTCACCCCACGGACTCATCCCAGCGGCCCATGTTGGGGCCAGAAAACCCCCGTACGACGAGGACATGATCAGTCCGTTCAGCATGAGCTACGCCACGATGGCGGGCATCGACCTCTGCGCACCGCAGCCACAGTCGCAGCCGGAGCCTGGCATGCCGGTACATTATTCTCGCTGAACCTATTATTATGATTTCTATCGGCGCTAATTCTCTCGTGTTTCTGCCTATTTCCAGATGCCATCACTCGCATACGGCTACACAGAGGATCAGCGCGCCCCGTCAACGTCGCCGGAAACTTCGATCTTCACGTTTCCTCTGACGCCCGAGTCAGCCCCATGCTCTCCTCGTTCTATGCCAGGACTGTACGAGTATGATCTACGCCCGTAAAAACCCATACGAGGGGGGGGCAAGTGATCGGAGACTGGTAACGCCGAGACTCTACGGATATTGCCGTTTCCGTTGCGGAGCCTAGCACGAGGTGTCGATCGGGGCCACTTATTATTATTATTATTTCTTTCTTGTTCTGTTTTTTATACTTGATTTGGACGGTTTCTCCTTCCGACCCGACTTCTCCACTCCACATTGAGTGTTGAGGTCACTGGGTTGGTAGCGGGGAGACCATGTGTGACGAGCTGCATCTTGTTGGCGTTATGTTTTACTTGTTTTATTACTTCTTCGGGGTTATGGACAAGCCTGGTGTTAGGAGGAATTCATCCACGCTCAACTGTGATTTGAGATTTGAGATTTATGAATTGTTTATTATAATTTGAGATTTGGTCTTCGATAGAAACCACTGTATTTGTTTGGGCCTTTTACCTCGTCTTCTGTTGTCTACTTGGCCCCCACGAAATCTGCGGCATTTTACTCGCGTAAAGCCCTAGTCGATGGCCCCCTGAAACGTTCCCTCCCAAATCGCCTATGCCCAACCCCCCCCAAAAGGTCAACTTCTGCTTTTCCATGTTAGGTTAAACGATGATTTACCGGTCCCACTTGATTGCTAAGTGATTTTCCCGTGATATTCCAAGATGCTGGTCCGGGCTGAGTTGGATCGAGAGGGACGCCCTAAAAAAAGGACGAGACGATTAGGGCTCTCTCCAGGTTGGACCCACCGATTCGCTGGAGGCCGTACGCATGGACGAATAAGAGGATCTACTACTGTGCCAATATTGGGTTAGTTGAGGTGAGAAATAAAATTATTGCTAGGATCCTATGGGATCGTTTAGTTTTCATTATTTGATCATGAGGAATTCCTTCTCTTTTTTTTTTTTTAGGCTCTGACAGCGTTCTTATTCCTTGATCCTTCTTGATCCTTTCGGAGTAACCAACGTGAGCAACCCGAAGTTGGTTCCCTCTTCATTGAGGCTCGGGGAGGGAGAGTTGAGCCCCGATTTTCTCTACTTCCTCCCCGAGTAGATTTCTGGCCGTGGGACGCTAACCAACATTCGTTTATGCCATCCCATCGGTAGATTATTTGCTGGAGACTTTGGAGAGCTTATTTTGTCCCAGGAGGATTGTCGCTCTTTCCTACTGTCAGTACCTGTAGAACCTCACCCCCCTTTCATTCTTTTCTTTTTCATTCTATTTTCTTCCAGTTCCTTTCATTTCGCTTAGAGAGCGATTGGCTGCATCGTGCATTCTTTTGCCCTGCCCATCGGTGCATCTCGGTCAAAACAGCCGAGAGACTTCTGGCCAATCGTTGGAAGCAGCACATTCGCTAGGCTCGGCTCGGATGGACGCATAGACCTCTCTTCTTTTCTTACCATTCCAGCGTGTATAGCCGTGTATACAGTAGACTGTTATGCTGGAAGCCTGTCCAGCTGTTTCTCAAGGCCAAGTCACCGTATACTGTATTGTATACTTTACAGTATACCTCCGGTGGTACCTCAGCTATGGAAATCCACACCCCCTGCCACGAGGCACTCTATGCATGAAAGGTAGTGCTGACACTTGCACATCCTACACAGAAGATAGGGTTAATTTGCCTTTGCGTTGGGTATATGTATCAAGCTGAGATGGGTAGATCTAACCCAAGGCATTCTGTTTCTTTTCCTTTTTTTTTTTCCCCCAACTTGTTCCCACACAAATCCCCTTGGCTCTGCCAAAGAAGAAGATGTTAACGAGTACAATAGACCATGTGATGGTTCCAGTTACACCAACCCAGATCCCATTGCCTCGGATTTCCAACCCAACTCACTAGTCTGTCTGTATGTATATGTATGTCGATGTGTCTGGTGACGACATGGAGATCGAAGTGAGTATGCAAGGGAGATCTCGAAATGGAACAAAAGAAAAAGAAAAGAAAAGAGAAACATCGGAAAGCCACCCAGACAGGCACAGCCCAACACGAGACTGTTGTGACAGGTGGGACAACACATTGGTCGCCTTAGGGATCTCTCTCTCTCTCTCTCTCTATCTCTGGTACCTCAAGTTCCCCTCTCTTTATCGCCGAGGTGGGCGCCTGACTAGTGGACCAGGGAAGAGGCTTTGCTTTGTTGTTCTGCCACGAAATGCCTGTTTCGAGTGGGCTTGCATATTGCATCCATGGATAATGAGGCTCTACTCAAGACTATTGGACTCTATCAATCACGAGAAACAAGGTCTTGCCTCGAAAAAGAGTACATCCCACCCAATCAACCACTTTTCTTAGCGAGGTCTCTCCTGATGGTCAACCACCGGAGCAAGGGAAACAATCCAAGAAAAGTTCAAGTCCTCACACAATCGAGGCGCAGCACGATGCGTCAAGGAACCATGTAACCTCGTATCTGGAGACTACACAAGACAACACAGTGTCTGTCCTGGCAGAGCGGGGCGGACAAACATGACTATCACTCTGCTTTCTCTTTTCACTCTCGGAGGAAAAGATCCCAGACTGGGCACACTTGGCATGTCTTTGCCAAGACGGCGAATTTACAGAGAAGACAAGAGACAGACACATTGAGAGAGAGAAGGGTTGCAGAATGGATCCTAATGATGTCGGCTGAGAAGAGGGTGCGGGTGAGAGCTGCCAAAGACAAGACAAGCTCAGATCGAAATAAAGAAAAGAATAAGAATAAGCAAACAGCAATCATCGTCATCGGTTCTCAGTCCACATCATTTCCACCGACCCAACATGGATAGATAGACCCAAGAAAAAAAAAAAAAAAAAGAAAACACCCCGCTGCGAAATGGATGGTTCGTCAACACTGTAAACCTGTAACCCTATAAACCTGCAAGCCCAAAAATTTGCATTGCCCGCCTTTCAGGCCCCCTGAATGCTCATCTGGTCCGAGTGGGGTGGCTCGCCCAGGTTTCGTCGTCGGCGTCGCATCGGCGCTTTCTTGCGGTTGGCAATCGCTACTTCTTGTGATTTTGCGGCGTTCATTTCGGTATCGCCGTCCCGATCCGCTCCGCGCCCTTGGTTTTCCTGCGAGGCAAAATTCTCGTGTCTCCAGAGCTCGTCCAGCTCCATAATGTCCTTGGGCTTCATCCGGAGCCATTTCATGCGCGGGCCGACCCGAGACACTTCCGAGACCTTGAACCCGTAGATCTTCGGCTCGTAGATCTTGCCTCGCCCCAATCCGGGGCAGAGATTCGCCGTCCGGACTCCGTTGATCTCTACCGGCTGGTCTTCTGGTGTAGGCGTCTCCAAGTCATACTGAGATTGCGGGGATCGGGTAAAAGACGCGGGCTGAACTGGGTTTCGAGGCGACATGGTGGACAGCGACGTGTCGAGGCGTGGTCCAATATCCAAGTCAGGGAACGTCATAAAGAACAGACATCCAAAAGTCGTGCCGAAGAATGCACCGTCGACCGAGTGAAAGCGGCTGTTGGGCGGCGTGTAGATATCCATGCATCCGGGACAAAATAGCTTGACCGTCTCCTGACCGGGGGTGTCGGATCGGCCCACGGGGAGAACTTTGCATCCATTGCAGTTGACGCGCGGGCAGACACCAAAATGTTGCATCTCGTATTTCTCCAGCATCTGTTGAATGCCCGGCCGCGAGGTGATGTAGCGTTGGTGGATAAGCCCGTACAGCAGCTCAGCGGAGCTCTCGATGACACTCAAATCACTGGCTACACGGGCGTGTCGCCGGTCGCCTGCCCTCCGATACGCTGGGCGTTCATCCCCCAGCACTTCATCTTCATCTTCATCTTCCTCCTCCTCTTCCTCCTCTTCCTCATCGTCTTCCGGCTCCACATCAAGGATCATCTCCAGCGCCTCTTTGTACATGGGCACCTGCGACTGCAGACCCGTAAGGTTGAAGTCATCCTCAATAAAATCCTCCGAGACCTCGGCAAAGAACTCATGGCCCATCAATGAACAGAACGAGGAGATCCAGGACTCCGGGGCTCCTTCTGACGACGACATATCGAACGAGGCAGAGACGGACGACGAAAGCGTTGATTCAGACAGTTGACTCAGATCCAGCCTTTCCAGGCCGTCGGCCAACGCCGAACCTGTCTCTCTCGACACGTTGCCGAGATTTTGTATCGAAAGGCTTCGAACAGGGCTGGCGACGAATGGATTTCGTCACGAGAGATATGAGGGGGAGTGGGTTTTGCGGGGAGGGGGCGCGCTTGTGAGCAGGAGTCGGGCGAGTAGAAAGGAGAATTTGCACAAGCAAGGCGTCAATGATCGTCAAATTGATCAGGGTCAAGGCGGTTGATGTTGGGAATCGTCAAGCTCTTATGGCAGATTGAGAGGTGAGGTTGTGCGATCAGCGATCAACGATTAGGCGTCGGAACTAAGACCCCACCAAACTCTTATCAGCCCCTTTCTTCCTGATCATAACCAGACCACAGGCTCTTACCAGACTCTCATCGGGATGGCGGGCATGTCATTGCATTCTCCAGCATCAACGTGGGTCGGAATCAGGAAGAGGTTCGGTTGCGGGCGGTGGGATGGTGGGTCACGGCCTCACGATCACGAGTGCCGGAAGATCGAAGGAATCACCTTCACAGGGCACTACAATTAGAGTGAGCTACATCTACCCTCATATATAATACTTTCGACTCCATTGAAAACAAAATGAGAAATGGGTATTCCAATCGCTAAAACAGATCTTGAATGACTCGAGCGAATTCCCCCTCGTCGCCCAGAACTCCCGACAGTCCTTCGCCAGTATTTTGGATTTCTCCTTCGCCCACAAATCCATTGATGCTATCTCCAGGAGGAATAAAGCTGCTGCCAAAGGCCCCAACTGCTTCGAACAGATTCGTCAGCTCGTCGCTCATCTGGATGCCATTCAGAGGGCTGCTGCCTAGTTCATTTACTCCATTCATCGGTCCATACGACAGATCGTCGATGGAGTGCCCGGCCAGGCCCGCCATGGTCACGGCCGCGGCTGAGTGAGGATCATTGTCAGCGCCAAAGGGGCGGGCCATGACTCCCAGCTTCTCTCCAATCTCTCGCAGGCCTTTGATGGTCTTCCACAGTCGCTTGGAGACATAAGATTTGGTGCTAAACCCTTTGATTAGGTCCAGAGCCATGTAGAACTCATCATGTACTTGTTGGTTGAAATCGGCCGGCGCATGCGCCACAGCCAGCAACAAAACCGCAAGGGCAGCGACGAGGAAGTAGTTGAATGTAATCTGTTGGGTCCGGTAGATATCAGACACCTGGTTCAGTCGAGTGAGCACCCGAACCGTGTCCTTGGCCACATCCACTACTGTCTGGGCGTGGCCTCGGTCCTCCACAATGCTGGCTGGGGAATGCAGCACGGGTCGATAGATGAGGATCCGCAGCTGGTTCATGCGCAAGTACAGGAGCACTCTGAGGCGTCTCATGCCCCGGCTCACCGGTTCTCCATTATTGGGTTCCACGGGAGAAAACTTCAGTTCTTCTGGGACTTGCTTCTTCCACCACTCCAAGACCCTGAAATCAAAATATAAGCGCTCCGACCCACCAGAATAGACAACTTTCTGGCTGATGCGATTATAAGCGATCATACATCGCAGATACGGAAGAGATTCATCCTGTGAGTCCGGCAAGTTAGTAAAGTAGGCATTGCAGGTGGAGTAGTACCATGGTCTCACCGGCTCGGGAAGTTTGGAGTCAATATCCTCGTCCTGAATCACAAATGGCAGACCCATTCCCAAACTCCACCGTCTGTCCAAGCTGTAGACTGTCCAAAAGATCCGGTTGACCTCGCGCCATTGATCATTTGGAAAGGCTTTCATCAGCGCATCTCGGCGGTTGAGTCCCATCTCGAGGGACATGCGCCCTGCGATCCCGATGATTCTGTATGCCATGGCGTCGTCATCTGTGTGAAAATGGTACGTCGCCACAATGGCATAGAGCTGAATGTTTTTGATATCGTGTGGCTCCCATAACTTTGATTCAATGACTGGCTTGACACTCAAGTATAACCGCTGGCCGAGTTCACTTTGGCCTCCTCCCTCCACGACCAGCGTGGTGGCAAGGATCAACTTCAACAAGATTGTGCTGTCATCGAGGAGTCCATCGTCACCAGGAAGACCTCGCTGTGCGAAGCCAGTTCGTGTAGCCGCCTCTATGAATGTGTACAGCAGATTGGCCTGATGAACAACACTCGTAATTGTCACCACAGGATACGTCATTCCGATCTCTTCCTCGTAGACTCGTAAAAGGCGAATTGCTTCCTGACGGGGAATAGTCCATATAGGATCTTTGGAAGGATGAATTGTCTGAACTAGAGGTCCCAAGTGGGGAGGCGGAGAACCTGCCGGGGAGACGTGTGCCGTTGACAAGTCATCCGGTCCATCCTCTGTGGGTGTGATTCCCATATTCTGCAAGCTGGACTTGGCAACATCAAAGTTAAAAGCCGAGCTCGTCGGGCCGTGGAATCGTGGATGGCGAATTCGCGGCTTAGCCAGACTGGCTGGAATGGATGTGAAGACTGGTTGGGAATCATCACGAGAGACGTGGTCAAAAGTTGGGGATTCAAATGAAGGCTTGTGGGAGCGTAGTTCATTCATACTACTGAAAAGGCTGTTGACCTGCTCCTGTAGCGTCGAGAGTTGATCGGTCATGGACTTGAACTCTCTAGTCTAATGGTTAGCTTCGGACAACATGACAAGCTTAGTATCCATACTCGGATTCTTTAAAATTATTGCTGCAGCAATTTGGTGCATATCGACACTCCAGATTCAGGTGACCGCATCGCTGGCATGGAACCTGGCCATTGCATTTGATCTTGCGGCGCTTGCATTCATTGCTAAACCAAAAAAATGTCAGCTCGACCCAAGAGCGGAACTGTGTCCACGGAGATTATTTATTTTCATGCAATGCCGCTTTCTACCAACCATAAGGCCAGTATAAGAAGCAGCTGAGGAATTGTGGATGGGCCAACGCGAATCAAGGTATACCATACCATGCGATAGAGATGTAGCGATTCCGCTTTGTGCGCTGGGTTCCGTGGTTCTGGTCAGCCTTCCTTTTGGCTGTATCAGCTGCTGGAGTGGCCGGCTGGTCGCCAGGGCCAGTCTGCGGCGGTGTCCTTTCCACCTGGGGCGATTCTGAAGCCATGGCAGGCACGGCGACTAGAGAGACACTGCGGAGTTGCAGTGCGGAAACCTTCGCGGGGTTTCTTCCCCGGATTTAGCTTACTCATCGATTTCGCCGCGGCGTCATTGGCCAACTCATAGATCCTCCCCGGCTTATATTTCAGTGGCTGATTTTCTAGATCTCTTGAAGAATCCTTGGCAAGGAGATGAAAAGTAGTTGCTGTTGTGCTGGTTGTACAAGTTTGTTCAGCTTATCTTCCGGTGTAATGAAGCCACCAAGTTTGACCAAGAGAAAAGAAACATATCGGCATGAAGTAGATTTAGCCGAGGCAGAGTACCAAAAGATCGGGATAATTACATCATGCCATAGAATTGAATAGAAGAGAAGGAAAATCAAACTAGTTTCCATCAAGCCCTTAAGCCCATATATTTGACAACACCCAATCCTTCCCGGCCAAGAGAGACTGCACTAGCTGTGTCTGAAGTTGCGGGTGTCTCGACAACCACGCGGATCCCGCGACAAGAGCAACCAGCACAAAAGCTTGAGCGGCATTTCGGACACGTTTTTGGAGTAACCCTTTTGGAGTGAGTTTCGCGGACCAGTCCCGCCAAATCGGGAACGCGCAGCGCAGATAGTAGTGGATCTGGGTGTATCTGAGTATCTCGTCAGTGGGATCCAGGGGCTCAAGACACAAGAGAGACTTACGGGTAAGTAGACGAGTTCCAACCGTCTTCAGTGATATACCAGCTGGCGCAGAGACCCCGTCGGAACACGGTCCTCTGCAGCTGGTTTTGAATTTGTTGGGTCCAGGCCAGCTCTGCCTCCTTTTTGATCTCATACGTCGAGACCTGCCCGTTCAGAATGGGCTTGATGAAATTCAGGCTGTAGTTGACTGCATTCTCGGTGGCAAAGATCACACTCGTATGGCCAGTGGCAGTGTTCGGTCCGAAGAGCATGAAAAAGTTGGGGCATGAAGCAACCGCGATACCTTGATAGGCCCCAGGCTTGTCGCCCCAGACATCTTCGAGATCCTTATTCTGGCGGCCAATCACCTTCAGCGGATGAAGCCATCGGTTGGTTTCAAATCCATTGGCCATGATGATCACATCGGCGGGGATTTCTCGCAATTCATCGGCCGCTTCGTTCTTGTTGGGGGGATAATGACGTCCCGGTCCAAGAGTCACACTCTTCGCATGAACCCGCGTCAGTGGCTGTGTGGTCAACTCCACATTCGGTGCGTTGAGACTTTTATACCAAGCACCATCGATGATGCGTCGCTTGCAGCCGAGGCTGTAGTTGGGAGTCAAGATCTCGTGATACTCCTCGGGGGCAAGTCGACGCATAGTTCTCAAGAACTTTTGCTCGATCTGTGGTCGCCGGAGACGACCCCATGCAGTATCGGTGAACATATCCAAAAAGCTCTTTTCACAAAAACAGAACAAGCTGGCTCGAACAACACGCGCTAGCCCCGGAACATGGGTCATCAGGGTCGGTGTCCATCTCTCCCACCAGGCAAGCAGCCTCGGACTAAGGAGGTCCGGCTGTACCCAAGGAGGAGTGCGCATGAGCTGTGTGATGGAGCGGACGTTGGCTTCAGGCTTGGCCAGCTCCGGGACGACTTGAGCCGCACTACACCCGGAACCAACCATGACCACGTCCTTGTTCCGCAGATCGATGTCATCGCGCCATCGCGCCGTGTGCATGATTTCTCCCTGGAAGTCTTCGATGCCCGGGATATCTTTGGGCCATGTTTTGGGCTCGACCAAACCACCCACACCACTGACGACAATCTTGGCCCGCACGAGCTCCGTTTTGATGTAGACACTATGAGAGCCATCTTGTGCTGCGCGCTGATCACGTTCATGCTGGGCTAGATCCCCGGTTCCAGGGACCAGATGTGAGAGTGTCACCTCCCACTCTTCATCCTCTTCAATCCAGCGAATCTGGCGCACATCACTGTTGAATTGGATCTTATCTGTGATTTCATACTTCTCACAGACATCTGTCATATATTGCGCAAGCTCCTGGCCTGATGGGTGCAAAGTGGACCAGTCATGCTTGGGAGAAAAGGAGAAAGAGTAGAACAAGGCTGGTCTGTATTTTGCGTTAGATATATCAAACTCGTGGGGATCAGATCATTCATACATGTCACAGGCAGCACCGGGGTACCGGTTGATCCACCAAGTGCCCCCAATGCCGGACTGCCTGTCAAAGATTCGAAACTGATCGAACCCAAGAACCTCCCTGAGGCGGCATCCCATTGCCACCCCGGACTCACCAGCACCGATGATCAGAACAGGATAGTAGGTATACGCATCTTTGCCATATGCATGACGCTTATGGATACTCGTGATCGAGGGCATTTTGGGTGCAATATGATAGCCCAAGAGCAGTTTCCACCAGGTCCTTGCGTAGTTGCAGGGGGCACAGCGAGAGTTCACGGGGTGTAGAAGCAGTAAATACTGTGCAAGGTGAAATGTAGGACAACCATGTGAATCCCGAGAACACCCTATTGAGTCCGTCACAGCCGGTGAGTATATATGTTTCTCAAGGGAAAATAGCAGAGAAAAGGAAATGTGAAGTCAAAAAGCATTCAAGTTGGATCTGCGGTTTTGTATGGAGGATCGGTAGCCTCGGTAATCGGCATCACCGACTCGGTTGAACATGACTCGCGATTATTCCTGCGTCGCATTATTTTTATGAAATAATAGAGTTTCTCTCAAAGGAATCAAAGGAAGAACCATTGATCTTTGTCTTCTGTGATTGATTGATGGTGATTCTCTCAAGATTCGGGCCAAAAACCAGCCGAGAAAGGGGGAGGAAAAAGGGTGATGAGCTTCTCCGCACGGTGTGAATGAAGATCCGTCAATGCTCCTCAACCGAGTCTGGCCGCGACTTGCGCGCAATCTTTGCACCTCGTCAGCCCGCTACTGGACTCTCGAGACTCTGCAGGATGCTAGCATCGACACCTTCCGACAAAAATGCTTCGTGCCTGAACGACCGGCCCTCCTCCCGCGCTCTCATTTCCGTGACCTACCCGCTGTGAAACATTGGTTCGACTCCACGAATCGCTTGAACGTGGAGTACCTACAAACCCATGCCGCCGATGCGTTTGTGCCGCTCGAGCTCACAGAGCTCGCCGCAGAATCACTACGAGGCGAAACAACCACGGGCACACAGGTCGCGACAGTTCTGAACTTCCGACAATTCCACGCGCCGCTCACACTCTTCCTGGATTGGATGTGCATGGCAGAGACGTCCCCGCAGTCAACCCGGCTCTACCTAGCCCAGTGCCAGCTCCTCGACCTGCCTCTCGCCCTGCGACAGGATTTCCCTACCCCCGAGCTTGTCGCGCAAGCAGGCAAAGGCGATGTGTACGACACCAATGTGTGGATTGGACATCCGCCTACATACACCCCGCTCCACCGCGATCCCAACCCGAACCTCTTCGTGCAGCTGGCCGGTCATAAGGTGGTGCGACTATTGCCCCCGGCGGACGGACAGGCTTTGTTTGCTTCGGTGCGGCGGCAATTAAACCAGAGCGGGGATCGCGAGGCGGCGGCCTTCCGGGGAGAGGAGATGATGCAGGGCCAGGAGCGAGCACTGTTGGACAAGATGGTCTGGGATGTCCCGGTTTCTGCCGGTTCAGAGACGGGAACGGGGTTTGAAGCGCATGTGGGAGCTGGAGATGGCCTGTTCATTCCTAAGGGCTGGTGGCATGGTATTAAAGGCATTGGAGAGGGCGTGACAGCTTCGGTAAGTGTGCTATGTCCTTGGATTGGACCTTGATTGTTGACATTGTGTAGGTGAACTGGTGGTTCCGGTAACCCGTGTAATTATAGACATGATATGCTATTTTAAGACGATTTTCTAGCCTTTTGGGAGTATTACTTCGAAAATCCATGAACCTTTTGTATGACTCGAAGATAAATATTTCACTTTGAAGTTATGTAGAAAAGGTAGGTTCCTTATTTCAGGATGTAATTTCATATTGTCAGATTCTCATATCCTCATACTGCTGCATATTATTATTCTCATTATTTATTCAACGATTTCTGTGTTCAACAGCACTGATGTACTTGGCTAAGCCCAGCTCGGTGGATATCCATTCCGCTCCACCGAGTTCTGCTCCAACACCTCAAAATCCCCAATCAACCACCGTCGTAAGAGCAGCATGCTGGTCTCCCGCGCCTACCGAGCCGCCCTCCTCCATCTCAGCGTGAACCCAATCCTCACACGAGCATCGGCCCCCTCAACAGGCGCACTTGCGCATCTCCCCCAGACCCCAGCGACGCGACTATCGACGATCCTGTTCCCGCAGTGCGCAATCTCCAAATCCGCAGAACCCATCCGCATAGCGCACACAATGGCCGGGTCCAACTCTGCCTTACCCTCCAATTCTAAACCAGACACCCACGAGTCGCAGCCCCAAGAGTCACAGCAACAGCAAGACGACCAGCATCTCTACCTCCCGGCGAAAGAGTCCAATGAGAATGACTCGCAGGGCCAGCACCGGCTCGAGGTCGATGGCTCGGCGGCTAAACTCGACCACCTGGGCCCGATGGTGGTGAATGTGGATGGGACATTGTCGCGGATCTCGAATTGGGAGCAAATGACGGAGATGGAGCGCAAGACTACGCTGCGGGTGCTGGGGAAGCGGAATAAACAGCGGTTAGAGGCGTTGAAAGCTGCTGGGGGAGAGGGCGAGTCGAAGTGATGTATCGAATTGCTCAGATGAACCAATAACTACGGCATCAAACAGTCTGGAAAACAAGTAGCAAAAGGCTACTCAGTCACATCTCATAACACTGGCATAAGTTCATTGAGATATCTCTGGATCATTTCAATCATACTACGAACTCGACCAAGGAAACCAGACTAGTCTTTGTGTATTTCAGCCTAATCACTCCTTGACTGCTTAATGTAGTCTGGCTGGAGACGTAATCCAGCCTCCCTGGGTGTTGATGTCTATGGTCAAATCTTGTCCAAGTTACCCTTCCCAACCATATCTCTATTCAAAGAGCTTGGTAGCATATTTGTGGACAACATTTCTATTCCACAGTTAGCCAAACAAGAATACACACAAATATAAATATCCGAGTTAAATACCAACCTTGGTGGCGCAGGCACGAAATCTCGAGTATACTCCTCGATAGCGGCCAGGCCAGAAGTGAGATCCACCTCCAATGGCTCGAGGAACTTGGTTTTATGGGTGATTTTCCAGCCAATGTACAGCACCGGAAAGACGCCGATCATCGTATACGAGAAGAGGAAAGTAGGAATGGACCAATGCCCCGGCAGAAATACCGTATATCCGCCCACAAAGGCCATGATGGTGGTGGAAATGCATGCGACGTAAGCAATGTAGGGCTGGAACCAGCTTCTGTACGGCAAGTTCTCGCGCGAGATCCCTTGGGCGTCCAGAGCCTTTTTGAATCGGATGTAGGTGAAGGTGACGACGGAGAAGTTGATTAGTTGAGACGCGGTGACCTATACATCGATTAGTAGATTGTTCCGCCCAAAAAAGAAAGATGGAGTCTTTGCCATATTTCATACCAAATTCACAAACCAATTGAGGACCACCGAGGCGCCATTGGATACCTGCAGGAAGCTTAACAGAGCGATCAAGAGCACGATTCCGACGCAGTAGATCGGCACGCCTCGTTTGGTGCATTTGGTGAGAATTCGAGGTGCCTTGCCCTCCAGGGCCAGACCGTACAAACTGCGACTGGCGCAGTAGACATAGCTGTTCCCGGCACTGAAACACGCACTGAGAACCACGGCGTTGACAATATGCGGCAGAATCGGGATGTGCAGACGGTCCATGGAAATGACATAGGGCGAAGCTGCAGCACCAGGCTTGCCACCATCAAAGGCCGCGGCCATGGTATGGTCATTGTACGGGACGAGGATACCAACACAGAGAACGCCCAGCACAAAGAACGCCGTGAGACGGTAGAAGACGCCATTATAGGCCTTGGGCAGCACGAAGCGTGGGTTGATGGTCTCACCGGCAGCCATGGAGACATAGTCGGGGCCGGCGATGGTAAAACTGGCCGCGATGAGGGCGGATAAAAACCCAAGAAAGCGACCGAGGTCACCATCCCTGTAGTATGTATTGAAGGCGCCCGGCTCGTTCCAGTACCGGAACCCAAACCGGTCGCCGAGTGGGTTGCCGCCCAGCATGACGATGAACGTGTAGATGATCAGGCCTGTGCTTAGCAGGACTTTGCCTAGAGATAGCCAGAACTCTGCTTCGCCGTACCATTTTACGGCGAAGACATTGAGTAATCTGTTGGGAAATGAGCAACTGCCTGTGAAAATACCCAGAGAAAGATGAGATATTCACGTACACGTAGAGTACCAGTACAATGATATTCATTGCGGCAATGGGGATTGCACTTGTCCAGTATTGGATGATGAGTGACACGGCTACAACCTCAAACGGCACCAGCGCTGCCTCGAAGATAAAGAAATTGTATCCCGCAGCAACACCCAGGGCCTCGTCGACATAGCGGCCGGCGAATCGGATGAATGGTGACGAGATTGGCAAGTAAGTGACCATCTCTGCCAGACCTAGAGAACATCGTGAGTTTTTGTAATAGATTACAAGTTGAGCGTCAAGAAAGGGAGCAAAAGGCGCAGGGGCAATGAACTGGACGAGTGGCGCTTTCGGAGTTCATAAGTTCAGGGCGCTTGGGATGAAAAGACGAGGGTTGCTGGTGGACAGGATGAATCGTACAAACGGTGATGATCAAGATGATAGCACTCCTAGAAAAGTCACAGTATAAGATCTCCGTTCACCAGAGGTAGTAAAACAAGAAATCAACAGCTCATGGGTGTCCGACGGTTGATCTTTGGTTGCTTCGGGTGATGCATGGGGTTATATCAAGCGGACTACCGGTGAAGTATATGGACATCTGACTGGTATAGATCTGCTTACATCCCTCGGGGTCTGTGAAGGTGTCAAGTGTTTTTCTCCTTTTTGATTCTTCTTCGGCTTTCTTTGTCTGTTTCGCTTGTTCGACTAGAGTTGATATTGATTTGTCGCATAGATAGGGAGACCAGACCATATACCGGAAGAATAGTCGGACAACCCAAAAACAAAACGATAACAGAGCAAAGAAAAAAAAATAGTCAATTGAACAACTGGGAGGAATGGCAACTGACCAAATACTAAATCCCAGAAACAAGCTTGCGGGACCGCTGGTGCGCAGGTTGTTCCCGACTTGGACGTACAACGCCGTACCAATTGTGCCACCGATCCCGATCAATTGCACATGGCGAGGCTTGAGCTTGCGGCGGGTGTGATCATAGGTGTGTTTCATGGACCCGCCATCGATCGAGTCGTTGCGATCCATAGAGTCCTTTTCCGTGACCTCAGTGCCCTTGCCGACGCCTTTGGTGAGCTTTGACTCGGGATCGGCATCGCGGGGAGATTCCGCGCGCTGGATGGCAGCTGTCATCGGCGTATGGGACTGGTTTGAGTTGGAGGGATACATTGTGAAGGTGGTTGATTCACCTGCGAAGAAAATGGAGGGAATTGCGGCATCAAGCAAGAAACACCCAAAACCTGGAAGAAGCCACGAAGGAAAAGAGAAAATCCCTAAAATCAAAGACGGGAAAAGATGAGAAAAATCTGCCTGCTTGGCAGTCTTAGCCTGCGCGCAAGTACATTCGGGGCAATCCGAAGTAAACCGGGATGTGGGGGAGCATGTGCCGAGGTTCAAGTTGGCTTATCGAATGGCACAATCACCCAGCAAAGAATGTGGGAAATGCAACACCAGATATTGAACAATTTGTATCATATCATTCTGATTAATGTCCTTCATGGACCATGTGCCTTTCTGGCGCACGCGAGTTCCTATCTCTGGAACTACTGCGGGAGGAAGTCTCGTCTGAGGGCTTTGGCTGGGATGGAACGGGAGTTTTTTTCCCAAGCCAACTAGGCGGGAAGAAACTGTCATTGTCTTCGAAATAAAGGTGGTGGATCACCTCAGAATCCGTAGAGTCTCGTCTTGGGTGGTTATGAGTGTCGATCTCGTGCGAGGTAGACAGGACACAACGGGGATGCGGGGGATTGGACATTTTTGGTAATGTGCAATGTGCTTGAATATTTGGTCAGGTCAAGTGCATGTCAGAAGAGTCAGAAGAGTTAGAAGGGTGCTGGAGGCTCTGACTGTTAAAAACCATGTCCCCGGCCGAGGTCTCTGACGTCATGGTATACTCCGGGGTACCAAACAGCAGAAAAAGAGAGGGCAGGAAAGATAGCAATAATACCAATAGTAACAGTGGCAATGATGTTCTCCAAGCAGTATTAACTATTTTTCGATACTCGACTTCATATCGCATTGCCATACAAACCCCATCGCTCAATCAGAATGCCGCGTTCGTCAGCATAACCCCGCCTGCCCCACGGCCTTTTACTCTCCCTCCAACTCGCAACTCTCCAACTTTCCCCAACCCTTTCGCATTGAACATCCTCCATAATGGTCGAACACGAGCCCGAGCCCAAGCGCTTTTCTCCCAAGGTGCCGGTCCAGCTTGACCCGCCCAAAGATGACCCCATCTCCAAGGAGGAGCTGGCCAAGAGCGACGGTGGGTTGGACTTCCTTGGATGGGATTGATTTCCCCCCGATCCCCCGGCTAATGCAAGGCATGGATGGATGCACATAGGCACCGATCCCAACCGCCCGACTTTGGTCGCCATCAAGGGAGTCGTCTTTGATGTGAGCCGCAATGCTGCCTACGGCCCGTCGGGGCAATATCGCGGTGAGTTTCTGCCTTCTTCTTTCTCTCCTGCTCAAGGCGTGGGTGGACCAGGCACTGATTAGCTGTAGTCTTTGCTGGAAAGGATCCCTCTCGCGCCCTGGCGAGCTCGTCGCTTAAACCCGAAGACTGTGTGCCCGAGTGGTATGACCTCGAGGAGAAGGAGAAGACCGTGCTCGATGAATGGTTTACCTTTTTCAGCAAGCGGTACAACATTGTTGGTAAGGTTGAAGGTGCGACGAACGCCTGAGTGTTGGGTAAATATAACGGATCTCGAGAGCATCCCGTCCTTGTGTGGACGGCTTGTATGAACTATACCCGCGGTTTCAAACATGAATAAATGCCAGGATAAAACTATAGTGCTTTTGATTGGTGTATTTTTCTTTTTTTTTTAAAGAAAAGATGGTATCTCGGAATGAGCTCTTAGGTACACAGACAACTCGCTGGGTGTAGCCCCGGACATTATCTCAACTCTATACACATGGCAGAACAACACAAGCTCAAGACTTGTTCTTGCGCCGTTGCATCCGTTTCCTGGCGATGATACGATTCCGCTTGGCAATCTTATTCTCCTCCGTGTCGCCCTCACCCTCTGCATCCTTGCCCTTGCCGCGGCTTTCAGAGCGCTTCCGCTTCTTCCCCTTATCCGCCGGAGCATCATCCTGCGATTTCTTTTGCCGGCCGCCCTTGGGTTCCTCGCGGGACTTGGCCTGTAGTTCGCTGCGGCGCTTGACGACCTGCGCGTTCTCAATGGCAAACTCGACAATCAACCGCTTCTTCTTGTCCTTGTCTTTCTCATCGTCTCCGGGGGTCGCCTTGACCTCAATGGCATGACAGTTGAGCCACCGCAGGCCCATGAGCGCATGTCGATGAGTGTAGTATTCGATGAACCCGTAGCCTCGGCTTCGGCCTGCGCCGCTCTTTTCGGTGACCTTGGTACCCTCGCGGGTCTCAAAGACAACCTTGGCCTGGCGCACAATACCCTGACCCTTCTGTTTCCGTTGATGGTCCAGTTCCTTCATGGTTTCGGCGGATCGCTGCTGCTCTTCCTTGGAAAGAGGCTGGCGCAGACCCTTCTTTGCGTCCGTGGCGAATCCAACGACGGCCTGGCGGGCGAGCTGTTTCAAGTCCTTGGACGTGATATGGCGCGGGATATTGCGAATCGCAAGTCGCGTAAGACTCAGATGGAGGGTCGGGTTCTTCTTGATAAACGTCTCGCGCTGCTTGAAACTGTCCTCGCGCATCTTGATCTCGGAGGGGGACAGTTTCTTGTACAGCGGGGAGTTGGAGGAATCGTTCCCTCGGACAGAAGATAAAGGCGGCGCTTGTCCTTGTCGCGCACCATGCGGCGTGAAACTCCTTCCTCTTCCAGTTTTGTGGCTTGGGTTTTGCTCACGGCTCGCGCAACCTGGAGCACCCGCCCGTCCATGGTGTATCGACCACTGGGGTCGGAGTTTTCGTTTTGCAACACAGAATGCTTGACTGCAGGATTAGACTTGGATTTATCCTTGTTCGGGGCCACCGGGTTGGTGTCCTTGGGAGCGTCGCGCACGCATGTGGTTGCGTCCTCGGGCTTCCAGAAACACACAAACCCGGTGCCTCGAGGGCGTTCAGTCTCGTGATCCAGCACCACACGGGCATAGCGCAGTGGCCCGAACTGAGTGAAGTGTTCATAGAGATCTTCGTCCGTGCAGGTAAAAGGTAAGTTGCGCAGGAAAATCGTAGATGATGTTCGATCGTCCTCCTTTTCTTCTTCGTCATCGTCTTCCAAATCCTCGTCCAAATCTTCCATGTCTTCGTCCTCGTCCTCCGAGGCATCGTCATCAGAGGTTTCTTCCACCGAGCCCTCGTGCTCCATGTCCACATCCGCGGGCTCTTCTTCATCCGGTTGCTCTTCTTCGGCATCATCCTTCTTGGCAGTTTCCCATGCTTCCTTATCCACGGCCCAGTCAACAGCCAAGGTGCGCCCGTCCACCTCCTTTCCATTGACTGCTTGCAGGGCCTTTTCGGCATTCTTCTTGCCTCTCAGGATAACGAAGCCAAACCCGGCCAGTTTATTCCCTTTCTTTGGAAGAGCGGTATGCTTAACCTTCCCGAAGCTGCGAAACAAAAGCGCCAGGTCATCCGGCTCTTTGATGCTCCATGGCAAATTGCGCACGATTAACTTGGGCGGTTGGTTCTGGGCTTTCTGGTCTTCCCGCTCCTGCTTTGACTTGAGAGCCTCGGCGGAGGGCACACTCTTCCCGTGCCTTTCATCAATCTCACGGTGGCGGGACTCGGCGTAGTCGACTCGAATTTTCTTTCCGTCGAACTCGGATCCGTTGAGCTCTTCCAGCGCGCTCTGCGCATCCTCGAGGTCGGCAAAGGTCACGAAACCGTATCCCTTGGACTGTTTGGTTTGGGGATCGCTGACAACAACAGCGTGCTTGATCACGTAGGATTGGGAGAAGTGTTCCGCAAGACTCTCGGTCGTAGCAGAGGAGGGCAACGATCGAACAAAAAGCGTTCTTTTGGGCTGGCGCGACGTCGATGCTTCGGCCGTGTCATTTTGAGGGGTATCGATTTCAATGACTTTTTCCTGGTCATATCCATCGCCTGAAAGACGACGTTTCTTGTTGGATTCGCCCATTTTGACGTTGTTGAAAAACGGTTTGAGTGAAAAGCAGCGATGAAAAAAAAATTGGCGGCAGAAAACTACTGCAGCGCATGGGCTGGCGGTGAGGGCGTTCTTATCAGAGCTCCACCCAGCTTTATCGACGCATCAACTCACAGATCTCGCGATGGATGGCAATAGATCAGAAAGTGGCTCCGGAGTGAATTCTCCAGCTCCCAGTGCATCATCGGGGCAACCGAAAGTCCAACAGCCAAAACCACAGACCCTAGTGAACCGACCAGGCCCGTCGGCAATTCTCGTGTCTACACGACAGAAGGGCAACCCAATTCTCAACCATATTAAACTCCTACCGTGGGAATATGCCGACATTCCCGCTGACTATGTGGTTGGCACGACTGCATGCGCTCTGTTCCTGTCATTGAAGTACCATCGACTGCACCCCGAATATATCTACTCCCGAGTGCGGCTACTGGCCGGCAAATACAATTTGCGGATCGTGCTGGTCATGGTCGATATTCCCAACCACGAGGACAGTCTCAAGGAGCTGTCCAAGACATCCATAATCAACAATCTCACATTAATGCTGTGCTGGTCCGCTCCCGAAGCCGCACACTACCTGGAACTGTTCAAGTCCTCGGAACACGCGCAACCCACGGCAATCCGTACCCAACAAGCCCAGTCCTACAAGGAATCACTAGTGGAATTTGTTACGGTTCCACGAAGTATCAACAAGTCCGACGCAGCCAGCTTGATCTCGACGTTCGGGAGTCTCCAGAATGCCGTTAATGCGCAGCCAGAGCAGATCAGTGCGGTGCCAGGCTGGGGAGGGAAAAAGGTCCAGCAGTGGTGCAATGCAGTACGAGAGGATTTCCGGGTGGAAACGGCCAAGAAATCAAGCGCAACTAACACAAGGCTTCCAAGTCAACCACAACAGCCTACAGCCCAACCACAAGAACAGGATATGTACGAAGATGAGGAAGAAATGCTTCGTTCTGCGTTGGCAGAGAGCCGCGCCCGAGAACCAGCAGCTGCGACGGCCAATGACCGCCAGGAAAAGGCTCAAGAAGAAGAAATGAGCGAAGGAATTGCAGTAGCACTTGCCAAACTTCGAGAATGATTGGAAATAAAAGAGCCAAAATGACTACCATAAACACCAGCGTACATTCATACACGTCATAAAAAAAATCAGATATCATCATGCATAACACCAGAAAAATCATTCCCCATCCAATACAACGCCCGCGCTAACCAATGATCCCTAGACAGGTCATGACTCCATCGTAGTTCGTCCACAGCCACCACCCAGCCAGTACTGAGTGAAGAGCTTCACGAGCGGGGTGTTCTTGTGAGTGAAGTCATACAACGGTGTGTGTCGAATGAATAGAGTAGTGCCATCAAAATGAGCTTCCAGTACACGAGCATGTCGAAGGCCCATCAACGAAAACAGCAGTACCTAGAATAATATCAGCACCCTCGTCTAGGAGGACGGGGGAAGGATCATTGATCTTACCGGAGCTACAACATGCGAATGAAGCTTCTTTTTGCTCAGTCGGCCAATCATAATTTGGGTAATAGCCCAAATCTCTCCGCGAAACAATCCGTCGTGATCTCCCATATTGTTATCGATCATCATAGCCTTAAGGTGAGGGCAGTTCCCGACGGGAATATCTCGTGCTTCTTGGACCTCCCACACGAATTCACGGGTGCCATGGATTTCTCCAAGCCTAAAGTCTCCCACACTCCACAACAGTATAAAGGTTAGACTCGCCAGGACTAGATATTAGAGAGGGCACATACTTCTTATACCGATAGCTATCAGGAAGGTTGTCGGGAAAGTGATCCGAGAGAAAATACAAGCACTGGGAGCTGTACTGGGAAAGGAATCTTCTTAAGCTGTAGGCGTTGTGGTATGGTGTGTTCCAACAATCATCTAGGATAACCTCTGTGGCGAAGAATTCGGCCTCCTTGTCGGGGTTCGGCAAGTCGACATGGTAAGGCGTGAAGAATTGGGGCCGATCCGTGGATTCTGGTTCGAGGGACAGAAGGCCGGTGTGAATTTTGGCTGCTTTGAGGGCCTTCGAACTGATATGATTGCCCGTTTCTTGGCAGATCTGTTTTTGAATCGTGCCCAAAGCCTGGCGACGAGTCTTCCGTTCCGCGCGAGTGATTTCTGCCATTATAGAAATGGAAGAGGCGTTTGCTTTGAGAAGAATAAAGTAAAGAAGTTGAAGAAGGTATTGTGAGGTGGGCAATCCGGGGTTATGTATTCGCGCGCCAAAGTCAGCGGTTGCCGGGTCAACCTCTTATGTTAGTTTTCACCGCCCTGCCTTCCGCCTACTCAGTAAGTATCAATGATATAGACTGTATCAGGGTACCATATATATATATATCTCTCTCTCTCTCTCTCGCTCTCTTTTTTTCCAAGTCTACAGTGCTATGGAATACTAATCATGTAGAAAACTGACTAAGTAATATCTAGTAAATAGTATTATCCCATACATAGCAAAACATACCCATGTACTTCAAGACCGTGTTCTGCCCGTCAAAACCAAGGCTACTAATTATGGCGCCAGTCGACTCCACCGCTAAACGCCCTTTCCTTGCTGATCACAGATCACTACCTATTGTTGGCACTCATTACGCGCCCAATATGCATTTCGAAACAACGATTGTTTCTTCCTATTGTTAGACCTCTCTACTTTGGCATAATGCCGAACCATCCTCAATCACGCGCTAATTGAGTGGTCACTAAACGCTGCGCCGTAAATAGCAGCAGGTCTATGAATTTAAAGGCTGAGATAGGTTTGAATATTTATAGTGTTGCTGAGCCATGTCTTACCTTGTTCACTTTGCAATTTGCAACTGCAGAAAATGCCCAGGACCAAGAACCGCGACTATCTGCCCAGTAAAGAAGCAGAATGGCACCACCGGGTCGCCGAATTCCAGTTGACGGGAGAGACAATACACAACGCAAAGCTCAAATCGGCCTCGACAATCGATGAAACCCAGTATCTTCTGCTTCGAGTTTTATGGATTGAATCAGCAGCATTTCAGCTGGACCTGAACCGGTTTGAGCTGGCAGACTGGAAGAAAAAAGCAGATTCCCTTCTCGGGGGATTCGCATCTTGGCACAACTATCGCCAAAGCTTCTCGGGGACGCCCATCGACATTCCCGAAGGGACTTTTGCTGTAGCCAGAAAATATCAGCTACAGGCTGCGCAGGCAACAGACAAGATCCTCAGACCTAGTGTGGAACTTTCGCCTCGTCAAACACGCAGCATGACCGCAAGATTGGCTCGACAACTCGCTCAAGCTCACCTCGAAACGCCAACAAAGTCAACGGGCAATCCGAAGTACCCTAGGGATGACGATTCCGAAATCGATGAGGATTCCGGAGACGAAGAGGAGGAAGAGGAAGAGGAAACGCCGTTTTATTCCCCTGGTGCAGGCGAAATCCGAACCTTGATGTATCCTCAAACTAAGGATGAGCAGATTGTGAATATAGCTCTTGTGGACTTCTTGAACGCGTTGACCATGCATTTTCGATCTGCCAATGACTGGTCTATTCACCGAGTGGCATTCAAAGCAACCTTCACTCATGCATCGTTCGAGGCACGCACCGACGGTTACCTTGAAGACAGCAAGAAAGATGGAAAGGCGCGGGCTTTAATCGAGGTTAAGCCAATGATACGGGCGGATAAAATCAAACCTATTCGCATGCAAGAGGCTGCTCAGATGGCTGCATGGATCAAATATGACCAGGATATCAACGGATCTTTAAATAAAAGAGGCCGGTGCGTTATTTTTCCCCCTTTTGTCCAGATATCTCCGGGCCACACCGCTGATAAGATGCAGTCGTCTTCACATATCCCAAAATCGCCATCAGATATTTATCACCTTTGCCGAATACGATGCTGATTATATCGATTACTTGAATAATGAGTCCCATTCTTGCACGCTTCCATTTTTGAGAATGCATGAGTTTGGTCCCTGGAATACCCGTAACAGGGCAGAGATGGATCAATTTGCCAGTATCCTTTTGGCAATATCACTGCGGGCCCATGTTGATTCCAATTCTCGTTGATATCGAGGACATTGCCATGACTACTTTCGGGGTGTTGAGGGTCTATGTTCGCTAGCAAGCCGCCAAAATGAATTAGCAGGCGTTTCCTTGTGTTTCTATTTTGATCTTTCTTGCCCTCTTTCTTATCCTTCTTGTTATCCTATTTGGTATCCTCTTTTTTGTGTCCTCTATGTGAGTATGGTCGATTTCGGCATGCTCTCCGAACCTTCGATACCACCGACCCAAGACTAGCAAGAAAGAGAACGACTGCCCCACATATACCCATGCGCAATGGCGTCTTCCCCCGGGTTTCTCTGGTCCGACATCTAAGATCCTTGGACCCCGTGGGGGAGACGCAGGAGCATATGCGGGGTTACCCCGGATTATAAAACATGGGGGCAGAAGGCATAGAATTCGAGAATACTTTCATATAATACCTAGCGCTACCTTCTTACCCACCTCCTCCAAATTAAACATCATGGAAGAAACAAGCCCAAACAACCCCCAAACCAAACGAACATGGTACCGCAGCACATTCTTCAACATCTCCGTCGTTTCCCTCTGCGCATTCATAGCCCCGGGGTTATGGGCAGCAATGAACGGCCTGGGAGGCGCCGGAGCCGCCGACCCGACATACATCAACGCCGCGAATGCCGTGATTTTCTGCCTCCAGGTCCTAGTATGCGTCTTCGGTAGCGCGATGATCTCCAAAATCGGGCTGAAATGGACGTTTGTGAGCGGTATGCTCGGCTTCCCAGTCTACGCGTCCAGCGTCTACTGCAACATCAAGTTCGACAACAAGTGGTACCTGATGCTGGCGTGTGTGATTCAGGGCGCGACCTCGGGTCTGTTCTGGCTTACGGAGGGTGCGATTGTCCTGGCGTATCCGGAGAAGCATCGTCGCGGGAAGTATATCGCGTACTGGCTTGCGAGTCGGATCGTGGGACAGATGATCGGTGGTGCGGTGACGCTCGGTGTTAATGCCCAGCGGAAAGAGAGAGGGCATATCAGTGTTGAAACATATCTTATTTTCATTGCCATCCAGGCTGTGGGCCCGTTTATTGCGGCGCTGCTGTCCAGTCCGGGTAAGGTGCAGCGCTCGGACCGGACTCGTGTGGTTGTGAACTTGCCTGCGAGTCTGTGCACCGAGCTCAAGGCAATGGGGAAGCTCCTCACTCGAAAGGAGGTGCTGTTTCTCACGCCAATGATGTTCCAGAGTGTCTTCTCCGAGGCGTTCTTCTCGACCTACAACGCCACCTACTTCACAGTCCGAGCACGAGCACTAGCCTCGCTAGTTGCCAGCACGGGAGTAATCCTGGCCAATTTCTGCCTGGGGTTCTTCCTGGATTGGAAGAGACCCAGTGTAAACCGACGGGCCATCCTGGCATTCATCTTGATCTATGCCTTCGAGCTCTCGCTCTACATCTACGCCATGGTCGCGACAAAAGAATACGAGAATCGTTCAATTAACCCCACCTTTGACTGGACAGATGCTGGGTTCGGGCGAGCGGTATGCGTCTACATCCTCATGCTGGTTGGATTCAACCTGATGTATGACTACTTGTACTGGCTCGTGGGGACGATCAACAAAACCGGCGGAGAGGTCGTGCGATTGTCTGCCATCATCCGCGGAATCGAGAGCTGCGGCCAGGCGATATCGTATGGTATCAACTCGATCGACCAGACCCGGTTTTCACTGTCTGGGGCGGTTGCGGTCAACATGAGCTTTTTTGTTGTCTGTATCATTCCATCGTGGTTCGTGGTCAAGAATGTTGGCATGGTCAATGGAGTCAAGGTGCATGCTATTATTCAAGATGAGATTGGAGGGGACCCGGTCCAGGATGGAGGACATCATCCAGAAGCCGGGCAAGATTCGCCCAAGTCGGACATGGTAGGGAATGCTGAGCATGAGGAAAGTGTTTCTGTAGTAGAAAGACGTAAGGGATAAATTTAGGTGATTGTAATCTAGCGAGAAGGACAAATATTGAATATCTCGTGCGAGTTTCAAATTGATATTTCGCCAGAGTGCTACATCAGATACAGCCTGCTATTCTCAAATCATACAAATGTCATGAGATCTCGCGTCTTTCTTTGGTCGAATATAGTCAGTTCATCTCCTTCTGCAACGCTTGTCCCGAGCAAAGCTGTCATAATCATCACCCATCACGACTCTCTCGAGGCACTTCTCCCGTTCATGCCGGATGCAAGCTTGATCGTCACCCACAGGGTAGGAAATGCGAACGAAGAAATCCTTCAACCCGGATAGCCTGGTAAAATACTCAACGACACGCTGGTAGAGGACTCATTTCATCTTGGAAACTCTCGTGTTTTCTTCCCGCCCCTTCCCTGGTTCGAAGTCCCGCTCACACTCGTCTTTGGCCATATAGTCTTCTCGCTGGCAGCGCCCGAGCACAGGAAGAGGATCAGTCAGTTCATATCAATGTTGCGAGAGAGCTGGAAGCAGATCTGCCGCCAATCCTGAAGCACAGATCCCATGTCTTCAAAGAAAGTCTTATCCTTGGACTAAATAGTACTTGAAGTACCATAGCACCCATCCTCACCGACAAACGAGCAAGTTTGAGTGTCAATGCGGACTTCAATCCAATGAAGCGCGTCCATCGCTAACGGGGTTAGATCCAGCAAAGGAGACAGACCTTCCATGCCATCATCGGAGATCTTGAACTTGTTTTCGAGATAAAAAAAATGAGCGTGCACTTTCGGACACGTCTCGCGAAACATAGAACAGTTGATTTGACAGTGGAAAACAATGAGAGCATGAGCAAGGCTGATTATGTCTTGCGCGTGGCTGCACTTTCTTGCTGCCAATCTGACCATTCGCCAATGGATGGCAGCCCGTAAAACTTCGATTCATATCTAGGGCATATGACCGACGGAGGCCAAGAAGGGCGTAGATTTCATCGAGGATATCCTCTGGCAAGTTGAGGAAGAATGGTTTGTTGGAGGAACCTGTTGGCGCCATGGCTGGAGCTTGATGATGGAACAGAAGAGAAAGTAGTTGAAGTGGACGATGATCAGGAGAAGAGAAAACTAGCAAAGGACACAGATCTGGGGGGAAGTGAAGCAAGACAAAGAATGGAAAGTGGAGTGCAGACAGAAGAGTAGAACAGAGGATCAGAAGGCAGAGCAAGAGCGGCTATCTAGGCAATCACCTCCATAAACTTGATCAAACACGGGTCTGATCGAAGTCAGAAACATTCTGTTTTTGACGGCAACTCCCGCTAATGTATCAACAAGCCCTGACGCTGCTGCCACTATTCCTGCAGACACGCTTGGCTATAATAGATATATCTGAGCTCGATTCTCTATCACCAACAATCTGCAGCCAAGGGCTACTAACCACCCAGGTAACACACGTAATGAGCTCCAGTCTCATTCTATCTAAAAGCGTAGGTCAACATCAAACGTGTGGGTATTATTGCACGTATGGATCGCTAGTCGAATTCGAATGCACCTCCCAGATCCACACAGAAACAAAAGCAGAGTCCAAGACCTCCAACCCAGCCTTGCCGAGACATGGCAAAGAGACGAAAAATGGAAGAAAAGAACAGGGAGATGGATATAAATGAACCCGGCAAAAGCAGAAACAAATGCTGGCAAAAACACAAAACTTTGAGCGCAAAAATAATTGCAGATCATTAGTCGAGCACTTCATTTCATCAATGGTTTGTCGCCGGCTTCGTCCCATCCAGTACATGCGAGGAACTGGGGAGGAAAAGCCAGAGAGATCAGAGCACAGGCAATACAATAGACGTCATGGCATACCTGTGGACGGGAGTTGCAGTGGAAGTCGAGATGTGCGAGGGAGACAGAGGAAAAAGAAAAGAAATTGACAGCGCCTTGTTAGCCGTTCTATGTGGGCTTTTCGCACCCAATGCGGCCCAGAAGAGCTTTCCTATCACTCTGGTCGAACGGAACACGACCACGACCCCGAGCACGCACCGAGGTAGCGCGGCGGTCCAGTCCAGAGGTGCTATCAGCGACGGGGGCGGTGTTCGCGCCGTTGGCAGTCAGGTGAATAGAGCCGTTGGCCGCTGTTTGAGTGTCGACGGTCACTTCATCTTCCTCATCGCTGCGAGTATCCTCGGCATTTCCGGTGCGGACCACGCCATAAGCAACACGGACGATCATGCTGAACCAGACAATGGACAGCCCCTGCAGGCACAGGAGGAATGAAAGGAAGATCCATTTGATGGAGCGGTTCATGCAAATGGGGTTCTCCAGGCTTTGAAAGGGACCGAACATGTACGCGAAGGCATTCGGATAGCCGTCGGTCGAGATCATCGTGGCGCTGGAGCCCGAATAACAGCCATAGGCCATTTGAGCGGGCACATTCTTGTAGATGGACCAGCAGAGAACATTGTAGAGGATGTGGCGAGTGACGAACCAGGTCGCCATGAACACACCAAAGGCGACATTGCAAGCCAGTTCAAACTTGAGGTACTTGAGAATCTTGGCCGACTGTCGAGTCGTAAGTGAATGGCTCCAGAAAAAACAGGACTGCAAGGACATACCGGAAGCAGAAAATCGACAATGTCCATCAGGCACAGCACCACATTGGACACATTATAAAAGCCGTAGATATACGCCGAGGTCAGCAGAGTGCTAGTGATAACGTGGTGAGAGAACATCTGGTAGTGGTCTTTGCGCCGCTCCTCGACGTGGATGACAAAGATCTGCTGCACCAGAAACGCCAGTTCCACCAAGAGATACCATTTCAATGCACCCGACAGCGGGCGAGCGGGCCACTTGACCCAAATGGCGCCGAAGTCGAACCAATAATGGGAGTTCTTCCACAGGTACTGTACACCAGTCATCAGTTATGTCTTGCCTCAATAAATTGGTACGAGCCAAAAACGAACCAATCCCACAGCCCAAATGAACCCATAGTACATAGCCTGCCAGCCCTGCTCGGCGAGGCGAATTGATCCCTTCCGCTTCAACCCAGCACAGCGAGCCAATGGCTGCAACACCCACTCGATAGCAATTGCACGGATTGCGGTGAGCGCAATGGCAGCACTGATGACAAAGTAGATATCGTCCCAGCCTTGCACATACTGGTCGGTAGCGGGGTCGTAATAGGACAATTGGAAAAAGGGCTGGGTGTATGGACGGAGTGACGGATAGAGATTATGAAGAGCCAGCAACATAGCCAAGATGGTCAAGGGGATTCCTGCAACGCAATTTCATTCGATGGTTAGCCATGCAAGGTTGGAAGTGCCGGCCGAGGTTACGGCTGCATGAATTTTCTTTTCTTTTTCTTTTCTTCTTGTCTTGCAAAGCAAGAATGTTGAGTCTTCGAGTCTCATACCGATTTGGTTGGTGACCACCCATTCTCGGAACGTGGTCTGCTTGGCTGGCCGAGGGCCCGTGGTGGAAACATAGGCATTGCGCTCCGAGACCGACGGCGACGGTGCAGATGTTTCTTTGGTCATGACGAGTACGAGGCAAAGAACACAATGTCCGCTTTCGAGGGCTTCTTTTCTCCAGTGATGTTGGGGGCGTGGGGATCTTAAGGTCAAAAAGAAGGGCCAGAAGGTCGGCAATAATTAATCGCAGGATCGGGTTGGGTCTGAGAACCTGGACTCAGCGGGTCCGCCGCGCGTAGTCTCCTGTCAATGGGAGCGAAAGAGAAAGCACTTGAGTTCGTATGGGATTCCTCTGGGAGATGGAGGAAATCAACGAGTGAGGGTGTGAGAGCGAAGGAAGAAAAGCAGGATATCCCCCAACAAGAGAAGAAAAAAAAAGCCCGAATGGAGGGGCGAACGTGGTTGAGCTCGTTTCACCTCCTGCGTGGACGATCATGACGATCCACTCACCGCCTCAGGGTCTGAGATTGTTTGATTTAGATTGGGATTGTCACTGATATATCTTATTTATCTTAGAATCTTTGAGTTGTGGGTATATTTACTGAGATATCGAATATTCACATAGTTCCTATTTAGTGTATTGAGATCTCTATCGGGCGGATCCAACCAGGGAACTGCTCCCAGTATACCAAGTATACCTGGGTATCAGAGCTCCAAACCCTGCGTCGCCCCGCGCACAAAGTCGTTGGCATTCACTCCCAGCTCTGCCAAATCCACCCCGCCTTGACCCGCCATGGCCCGTGAAATGGCTTTCGCCACCTCCTCTTCGTCCCAAAGGCTGTTGCTAACCATCGACCTCGCGTTGCCCGTGTCTCCAGTCGGGTTCTCTGCCGCTACTATCGTCTGCCAGTATAGATCGTCGAGCGACTTGAGCGACTTGTTCCGAACGACAGCATTGCGGGTCACGTTCACAGCGTGAAGCTTACTGCTCGTTGTCATCATCCCCTTCAAGGCCATTTCCAGTGCATCCTCGACCTGCTCGCCCGCGGGAGGCGGCTTGACGAAGAACCGGTTGGTGGCCGAGAGGTAAAGGATGAGGGCGCAGAACACGTCGACAATCATAAACGCCATCGGCCGCATCAGTGAGATCTGGTTGTAGAGACTGGAGGGGGCATTTGCCCCGCCCGCACGGCCGGTGATGCCGTTCGCAAGGCGTCATATGAAGCCATAGTGTACACATCCAGCGCGAACAGCGCCAACCCCGCCAAAGTAAACTTGGTCCGCCAGCGCGCGGACTCCCGGGCTCCGAATGATGCCGAAGTCGCCACGCCCAAGAGCAGGAAATGTACCAGGTGTGGGAGGATCACATGGAAAGGCAGGTAGTAGAGAAGAAAGGTGTGGAGGTTATCGAACGAGCAGAACTGGCATGATGTCAAGGTATCGGGGCCGAAGGTGAGGTACACTTTGCGGGCGCCGAGTGAGGTAAACTTGGTCTTGAGAAGCGAGTCGGCGTCGGTCAATTCGCCGTCGGGTCGGACCCGCGCGAGGCGATGGAAGAGGACATCGGTCGGGGTATTGATGCGTGACCGAGTCAGGGCAAAGACATTGGCTTCAGGCGCATGTGGGTTGAAGGGCAAGCTCAAAAGCAGAAATAAGACAATGCCTCCAAACAGGACATTCAATGACCGAGCGGGTCCGTCAGGGAGGTAGCGCGGAGGGGGGCGAGATGAGGATGACGAGCGGAAATTGCGGTAGGCACGGATAAGACGCGGGAGGATGATCGGTGCGAAGAAGATAAGCACCGATTTGATGCTGTCCAAGTCCAAGATCAGCGATGAGCGGCAAGTACAGAGAACCCAAACACGTACGTTCCCCAGGGGATCCCTGATACAACCATGTCTGCAACCCAAGCAGAAGATGACCTCTACTGGCCCAAGCAAGAATAAAGCGAGCGGAAGGTGGGTGAGATGAAGGGAAGAAAAGAGGCCAACGTCCAACGTAGCCTGAGCGGAATCTCGGGGGGCCAAAAAGCCGAGCCAAACGCCCTCGACCTTCGAGTCCCCAACGGCGCCCCGTCTTGTTACTTTCTTTTTCATCTCTTGCCTGATCTTTTTTTTATTCCTTCTTTTACGATTCTTTGAATATACTGATAAATCATCATAACCATGGACCTTGTTCAAATAAACTAAAATACAGAAGGCTTGTGGTTGAGAATAAACACCATTCGCAAGAACGCCCACTCCCCAACGCCATGCCGCACTATGAAAAGAAAAAAAAGGGGGGACTTTGCGTACCCGAAGATTTACACATGTCCCGAATACATCGCCGGATGGTGCGTCAGGTCTGGCATCGTGACCCCGGCCGAGTCTCGCGAGTACTTGGACGAGGCGGCATCGTTGGTATTGTGATGATTGATGGGCGCCGAGATCTTGAGCGGGAAGCGAGCCGTCAGGCGCTTGGCCGTGCGTTTCATGGGAGATGCGGAGTAGGTTGGGAGCGAGTCTTCACGCTTCAGACTGAGCTGAAATGACCGACGACTGCTGGTCCGACTCACCACCTTCTGAGGAGCCACCGCACCATATACCCGGACATGGCGAGCACTGACGCCTGCTTTACGGTCGGAGAAGACGAAGGTCTATTCAGACGAAGGGTTTGAGTCAGCGGTGATCAACCACAGGAAAACAGAACAATATCCAAATCGACTTACCGCGACGATGTTCACCACGCTCAGTACCATTGCCAGAATCCCGGCCGAAAGGACAATTCTCCAGAATGCCAGCCCGAGCGACTTCTGGCTCATGGCATCTGTGTTGAGGTGTCCCAGCACAGCCACTCCGAGAATCATCATGATCCCGGCAAGAGTGATGAAGCCGGCGTCCTGACCAAAGAGCGGCCAGTTACGGTCGAAGTAGTCCCGACCGATGGGCAGTTCAGAGACAATGAGAAAGACTATATCTCGTTAGCAACGTTCTCGAAACTATCCAGAAATCGACACTCACTGCTGATCAGCGCGACTATGGCGTGGGAGACGGCTTGGAAGAAGAAGAAACTGTTGACCATGTCGATCTTGACCAGCATCACAGCACAGGCGGCGATGATGTCGAGGAAGACGATGATGTTGAGAACGCGAGTAGCATTCAGAATCACATACCCTGGACCAGCCAAAGACTCTCGCAATTTGGCGATCATGATTGGAAATGCAGGTCTGAGTCTGCAGGTGGAAGAGGATATTGTCGATGTATAGATACCGGAAGAGACTTGGAAAGGGAAAAAGAGAGATTTAAAACACAGGAAAGAAGCAACTGACCAGCAGGAAGCTTGGGAGAAAAAGAGAAGGAGCTAAAAAAAAAAACCTAACGAGATCAACTCGAGGACTGGAGAAAGGAAAAGAACAAGAAAAAGAACAAAGACAACAGGGGATTCAATGGGGGAAATAAGGCCTATTCACGCCATTCACCAGCGCCGCCTGTAGGCGCCATGCCATCAACAAAGGCGACAATAGAAGATGCCTATGAATAGAACACCCGTGGATGAAACAATCAAAACGAACACAAAGACCATAGAGTCAGAGGCTCTGCTTTCACAGGGTCCCTGCCCATCGAAATGGCCCGGCAATGGCCGTTTCATCGTGCAGAGTGAGCTATTGGGCCGAAGCGCGCTAAGATCTGAGATGTGGCCCAATTTAGGACATGGCGAAGCAGATGAAACGGCCCTCGATGGGCGGTTGGCCATTGGCTATCAATGATTCCGAAACGAGGTCCAGCTTGCCATTGAAGAATTGAAGTTCCAGTGTTGGATCTCCCCAATCATCATGGCCCTGGAACCGCCCAGATGAAAAGAAATAAACAGGAAGATGTCGCGAATGTATGCTTTTTCAGTCAATGTTCCCTGGCTCCCCGTGATTTGCCGGGGAAAAAAAGTGTCCCGCCCCTCCCAACTTTTTGCCCCTCTGTTTTCCTCTCCCCCCAAACCACTACGCTCTTTTTCGCCTCGTTTCATTCTTTCCAACGCATTCCATTCCTCAGCCCGGTATCTAACATGACCCGAGGAAACCAGCGGGACAACGACCGGGCTAAGGCCCAGAAGAAGGCCCAGGCGCAGGTTTGTCTTCATCCCCCAGATAGATCCACGATCCCAATGACCCAACGACTGACAATCTCGCGACAGAAAGGGAAGAACACCATGAGCGGATCGCAGTTCCAAAAGTCCAAGGAAGACGCGGCGGCCATCATGCGCGAGAAGCAGAAGAAGGGTATGAGTAGAGTGTCTCTACACTCGGACATCAACGCTAATCAGTCGCTTTGTCTTTTCTTATCGAACAGCCGACGAGAAAAAGGCCGCAGAAGCAGGAGGCAAAAAGAAATGACCCGGCACCCGGATATACTCAGTATTTGGACTGGATCTGTGAATACGGCGAGACTTGCGATCGCCACAGGCTGATCGCCGCAGACGAGTTGAATTCCATGTCGGCCTTGGTTGTCATTACCAGATCTATCATACACCGGCCCCCTTTATACTGCTTGCAACTATCACCAACGGGCCGGTGAACTAGCGAGGCGTTTTATACCATGGCGTTCATCATACAGCATTTGCTCATCTCCCTTCATAGATCAACCATAGATTAATCAAACGAGACACGAGACACGAGAGATGCAGTCGGCAGATGGTCTATTTCTTGATACTGGAGTATAAGAAAGAGCCAAGGGCTGTCACGTAGTGAGGTTCTGTCCATTTACAGCCCAATATGCCCTTGCCCGGGTCAGCCAGGTCAGCCATGGCATCTTCTGAGTCGCAGCAGGAATACCGGCCAATGAGGTTTCTGGACACTGCAGAAGATATTCAGCCACATGGTCAAGCTGGAACTGCTGTACGGCCTGGTCAACAAACGTCCATAAGCTCTCGCCTTCCCACCCAACATCCCGGGCAAATCGCAGCACTCTGTCCACCGTATCCACCCGGATCTGCTGCCCAGGCACATGGATAAGGAGGTATAGCCCAAAAGCCCAGCCGGAGATATCTCGCGGATTACTCAGACACCAGTCGAAGACAGGGCCAACCATAACCCGAGCCAATTCAACAGAGCTCGACTGGTCCTTGTCAACCCCGACATCAGCGAGCAGCATATGCAGTTGGCGCATATAGCTGAACGCATAGTAATTCTTCGGGTGTAGCTCCGCGGCGCGAAGAACGACATCCAGCTCCGCGCGCTGGAGTTCCAGTAAACGCTCGGGGGTGCAGCTATGCAGTGGGAGCAGATGCTGCAGCACCCACAGCCGGTGGTGCCACAGAGTCGGAGACTTGGTGTGTCGATGAAGCGGAGAGCACTGGTACGACGACATGAGTCTGAGCTCGGCCTCTAGGATCTGGATTGGCGCCGGGGCCTTGTCTGCACCAGCCCCGCGCTGCGCCATGGATGCCAGCATCCAGCGCTTGCGCCAGTTACATGCGGTCAGGTGCTCGCAGTCAAAAAGAAGGATCACTTCCGAGGCAGCCAAACACGCAGGGGCATCGCGGGGATCGGGGACTCGATTGTTGAAGAGCTGTCGTGCGACCGTGAAGGCTTGGACCAGCGCTTTCTTGGTGATTCCCACTGCTAAGCCATCTTGAAGAAGTGGCAGACCTAGTGTTGGAGAGAGGATCTCAATCTCGAGAACGTTGTTGTCTCTGGAAGCGAGGATGCGGGCGAGTTGTTGGAATGCATCCTCCGAGCTGGTCATTTGTAGAGCTGGTGGGAAGAATGGGAGAGGTTTGGTAAAGGCTTCAAGTCAAGACTGCATGATTTCTTTGTTCCTGCGATCTACCAGAATTGGTTATTTGGTTGTAATCCAGTAAATAACCAGTCAGAGACAGTGGGTGCCTCGGTGGGTGTAGAGGGGCGTGTCAAGGCGGACAGCAACCACTTGGCTGGCATTTCCCACTCCGCACTCGACGGACGTCATCTGGCGCACTTTCAACTTTCCTATGCATAAACGATCTCAACTGCCCTGTCTTCAGACACATCAGCAGGCTCACTGAGCCTCCCCTTCTCACCTCAAGGCTATCTCCGGCTTGCGCTCTCGCACCCAAACCCCTCACCGAGCCCATCATGTTGTCGCTCGTCCTCACGATCCTCTTTGTGCACATTGCAATCTACCTGGTCAATACGATTGGTGCAACCACAATCGACAGTGTGGTGAGTATTCTCGAGAGGCCACACTGATCATTCTTTATTTTTCAATGCCCTACCTATTACAACCAACCCGCTCACCCTCTGTCATATTTAGGTATGGCTCCTCTTCCTGAAACTGCCGACGTCGACCTCCCGACAAGCACGCGAACAGCAGCGCCTGAAGCGCGAGGTGCTCCAGCTCAAGCGCGAGATGAACAACACCAGCTCGCAAGACGAGTTCGCCAAATGGGCAAAGCTCCGCCGACGACATGACAAGACGATGGAGGAATACGAGGCAATGAGTATGCTTCTTTAATGCTATCTATCCATGGATTTTTCTTTGGAGTTTGCCTCGCTAACATATCCCCCTTCCCTTTTTTTTTTTCTTTACTAGACAAAACTCTCACGTCCCAGAAAGCCTCTTTCGACTGGACTGTCAAGACCGCGCGCTGGCTCAGCACCAACGGCCTCAAGATCTTCCTGCAGTTTTGGTACTCGCGAACGCCTGTGTTTGCGCTGCCCGCCGGCTGGCTCCCCTACTACGTTGAATGGATGCTGTCTTTCCCTCGCGCGCCGGTGGGCTCGGTCAGCATCCAGGTCTGGAGCAGTGTGTGTGCGGCGACCATTGCGGTGTTGACTGAGATTGTGGGCTCGGTGCTGGTGCTGGTAGCAGGTCGAAAGAAGGAGCCTGTGCCGGCCAGCAGTGCTGGTGCCAAGAAGGCACAGTGATTTTGATGATATTCTCATATTATAAATTCTGCGGAAGCATGTACCATACGACATACGAGATTCGAGGGGATTCCAACAATGACTAGCATACTCATATTCCTTGCATGCAAAACTACTTCTGGTGCAACCAAAAGAACCCAGGTTGGCATGTTCATCAGATAGAGAACAATCGTTTATCGTCAAGGATCTCCCGCCGTAGCTCGGAGATCTCGGGGCTTGACTCTATGATTGGTATATCATCACGCGAACAGAAGAAATCACAAGAAAAAAAAAAGGCAAAGAGTCCGGCCCCTTCGACAGGGCATCTGCGACGAGACCAGGGATCTCATCACCGCTTTGCCATAAGCTACAGACTCGGAAAGAAAAAAAGACAGGAACTCCTCGCCTCAAGAATGAGCCCCATTGAGTTACCACGTCCGTTCCATGAAGGGAACAGACAATTGGCAATCGCATGACTATCCAAACACGACGAAAGGCAACCCAATCCAAGGAAGACGAACTTCCTTCCCCTCTCCAGCCCCAAGAGCCACACCCCATTGTGTCCAGCCAACGCACGCAAAGGTGAAAAGAGCCGTCAGATGAGCCTTTGGGTCTGGGAAGGAATAGGGCAGTCAGCCACTCTCAAATTGCTTCTATGGCGGCGCGTTTCCGCATTGCCTGGCTTGAGGGAACTCCGGTCGAAACCAAAGCGCAGGGTGTCCGGGGACTTTCTCCCAAAGCAAGAAAAGGAAAAAGAAAGGGGGGGGAGAACCCCCCAATCTTTGTGTGTGAGCTTTGAATGCGATTCTTTGAGCGAGGAGTTGGGAGGGAAAATTCAAAAGAACTAATTTTGCCGTTTTTTTTTCTTGTGTAGGGTCATGTGATCTACTAGCTTGGCTGTCATGTGACTATCTATGGATCCTTCCATGGATTGCCTATTTAGGATGTCTACGATTTCCAATGTCTCAGGTCAGTACACTTCTACTTCTGGGGAGATAAAGTATCTACTAGGAAGCAATACAGTGAATCTCCCATAATTCAACATTTTTATTGCCTGGACATCCAGAGCTAACACAATGCATACATAGAAAATGATGGCTGTAAACATACAAAACAGCGGTCTGTACTCCTAAGCCTTAGCCTTGGACTTCTCCCCCTTCTTGGCCTTGCTCTGGGTCTTGGTGGCCGGCGAGTCAGAAGAAGCCTGTTGCGGGGTCTCCTCTTCCGCCTTCTTGCTCTTCTTCATCTTCTTCCCCTCCTTCTCCTTCTTTTCCTTCTTAGACTTCTTGGGGGTATCATCCTGTGCGGGTGCCTCGATGGCCTTAGGCTCCTCGGCGGCCTTGGGTTCCTCAGGGGTGGCCTCAGCAGCCTCAATGGCCTGAGGAGCATCCTGCATGGGAACATCCTCCACGCTCTTCAGCTGGGGCAGATCGACCTCGTAGCCTAGAGCCTTGAGCTTATTAGCTTTGGCCTGTCTCTTGCGCTGTTCCTGTTCAATCCGCTTCGACCACTGCTCGCGGGTCTTTCCCTTCTCGAGTCGCTTCTTCTCAATGCGGTTCCACGGGGTCCGCTTGAATCGGCGGTTGGCACCCTTCCAGACCTCGGGATGCAGCTGCTCCTGCGGGACATATTTGCACTTGAGGATGTGGCTGTACATCAGGTAGTTGTCCATGGTTTCAGCGACAATCTTGGCGACCGTGGTCGATGCGAACTCCACAAATGCATAGTGCTTCGAGCGGCCAGTGAAACGGTTGCGTGAGAGACGGAGGCGGGTGATTTCGCCAAATTGGGTGAAGTAAGCTCGCATTTGGTGCTCGTAGAAACCGTGAGGAATGCGTCTGGGGATTGGGTTAGAGCTTGCAAATAACAAAACATATGTAATCACGTACCCGATGTAGACAGTGCCGGGCTCTTCGGGGGTATCCTTTTGCTTCTGCTTCTTGAGGATCTTGCGCTGGGTCTTCTTGGAGTCTGGGATCTTGGGGACGGGCTGGCCGGGCTTGTACCCCTCGTCGCCAGACTCGTCTTCGTCCCCACTGCTCTCGAAGCCCTTGATGAGCGCGGCAGTCTGGTCGTCTTCACCTTCATCCTCGCCATCGACTTCGCTCTCATCAGAGACGACGACATCGACATCTTCATCCTCGGACTCTTCCGCTACCTCTTCCACCTTCTTTCCTTTAGAGCTGGCCTTGGCGTTCTTGCGGGCAGCTTTCGGGGTAGCAGGAGCAGGTTCACTCTCCTCCTTCTTAGACTTCTTTGCGCCAGCCTTCTTCTGGGAAGCGGTCTTAGCAGGCGCGGCAGCCTCATCGCTCTCCTCGTCGCTGAGGAAGTCAGCAGCGCGCTTGCGAGGCTTGGCGTGGCGAGTGGACTCGGCATTGGCCTTCACAGCCGAGTCAGTCTTATCCTGGTGTGGCTTCTCGGTGGCATTCTGCTTCTTTTTGGTGACAGGCTTGGGGGCGGTCTCCTTGGTGGCCTCGGAGGTTTTGGCCTCGGCCTTCTTGGTTTTTTTCGCGGGCGGGTCAGTGGCCGTGGCCGCTGGAATAGAGGTCAGTGTCTGTCAAAGAAGACGCTGTGGTTTTCAATTTGGAATCCACATACCCTTTCGCTTCTTTTCCTTCTTGTCAGGGGCCATTGTAGCTGTGGCTGTTGCGAATGCAAGTCGACTCAACGCCGGGAAACTTTTTTTTTCCCGCCGATTGACCCCAAAGGCGGTGAGTCTCCACAAACCACTGCCGCCGCGAGTCCTCGATGTTTTGCTCAAGCAACAATTCAAGGGAATGGGCCGAGGCAATGGGGAAGTCTAAAAATGCCAAGCCCCTGACGCATGAGGAGATTTGGGACGATTCGGCTCTGGTCCAATCTTGGGATGAGGCTGTCGAGGAATACCAGGTGAGCCGCCCAATCATCATCACGTGATCTATATCTAACATGCGACTCGCAGCTCTATCACAGCATCCACGCCAAAGGGGAAAATGTCGAAGACATCTTGAGAGAGGCTCAGGAGACAGGAATTGCAGAAGAAGTTGACGCCATGGAAGAAGGAGGCGAAGGTATTGCAGAAGACGATGCCATGGAGGCTGAGAATTCGATGATTCCTAATGAAGCAGCCACAGACCCCGTTTCCCAGGTATGCCACTTGAATATGTTAACTTGAACTATCTGATTGCAATAGCTAACTCTTATAATGCCTCTTAGTCGGAAGCTGTTCCTCCCCAAAGTTATGCTGCGCAGGAGCCAGCTCCCGCCGCTGCCCCAGGGCCTGGGGTTCCCACAGGAGCCATGCCAACGCTGCACCCAGCTCTTTCACAGGGTACGCACTGCCATTAAGCTCCTTTTGTGGATGTAACTGACAGGTAGCTTTCCAGTTCAAGATGAAGAGTTGAAGAACCTCATGATGGCCTGGTACTTTGCTGGTTACTATACAGGGATCTACGAAGGCAAACAGCAGGCGAACAAGAGCAAGAACACATGAGCGCGCCATGCTTGCCCTAATGATTTGACCCAAGCTACTACTCAATTACGACATGGTGCGATATTGGCAGTACATTTTTGCAGACTAGTGCTTGGTATTCAAGACAGGCTTGATAAATGAACTTAATTGACAATTTGTTGAATTCAATCATGCCGAAATTCCCATATAAAGAACCTGACCCAAAGCTCTGTTCGCCATCAAACAACTCCCGAGACTATTGCATGATACAGGTGGATCTTCATGAAACTCCGACCCATACATATCTGCTCCGTCCACCGATTTCATGACAACGGGACCAGCATATATCCCCTTTGCAATATACCATTCGAGCAACCAGGGCTCAATGATTTACAGGGAACCACCAGTGCCACCCAGAAGCCCACCAACGATGGGAAGCTTACCCAGGGCGTTGGGCTTGGACGAAGCCTTGCTCGTGTGTGTCGGGGTAGGAGTAGCGAACTTGCCAGAAGTGGGCTTCTTCTGGGTACGGGAAGGTCCACCAGTCTGGGTGGGTTTCTTGTCGCCATCATCTTTCTTCTCGTCTCCCATAGCAGAAGCCTCGGTCGAAGCCTGGTTGGTCTTGGTGGTGTCGCGGGTGTCCAGACCTTCCATCATCTTAGGGGCCGACTATTTTCAACTTCATTAGCATAGCACTGGTGAGCCAGGGATTTGAAATACGAACCTCCATCGAGTCAGCCGTAGTATCGAGCGCGGAGCCTTGCTCGTTACGCTTGGTGGGCAGCGACATGGCCAGGGCGGCCAGCACGAGGAAGACAGCGAGGAACGACAAGTTGAAGCGGGCCATTTTGAAGAATGGTGTATTTTATGTTCTGATACAGAGAAAGATTTAGATCGAGAAGGAAAAAATCGTATGTTCAGACGGTCGTGTATCCAAACGAGTGTCGATGGGCGTAAATCTCCAAGAAAATGAACGGAGGTTTCTCTTCAGCCAGGACACGAAGTATTTTAGAAGGATATGCAAGTCCCAGGTTTTACAGCAAGTTATGTGAGATTTATATCTAACCCTTGAAAGCAGGCCCCTAGAGGGAGAGAATGGGGGCACAGGGGGTGTGTTAGGGCAAGACGAGGGATTATGACGTGGGCACTCGCGTCTTCGCGAGGCATCCAGACTACAATTTCCATAAACTACCTTTTTTTTTTTTTTTTAACACTCGGTGGGTGGTGCAAGAAGGTCACTGTCTGTTTAAAGAGTCCTCGATGCTAAACGGAGGCATGCGCCTAACTCAGCGCCACCATGATATCCATTTCGAGCGGCCAATGATCTACAATTGTCTCAAGCAAGGGGAGTAAACATCAGTCTGGTGGGGATTTGGGGTGGATGGGACTACATTCCAAAGTAACAAGTTTGGAGTTGTAATTGTTGCATATCCATACTTGTTGTCCTTGATCGACAGTCCATCTCCCCTTGGAGACTTCGTGGTTATGGTTCGGGACAAGAAATTCTCAAGCCCCAGAGAAGCATTTCTTTGCTTTGGTAGAGACCGTTCATTATTGAAGAGTCGGAACCTCGACCGAATTGCAACGAGTGACAAGCGCTTTGGGCAATGAAGTCGGCCTTGTCCAGCTACGATGACATCAGATGGCGTTCCCTGGCTATCTACATTCCACAAGATTGGAAAAGGTCGTCTGATCTGAGGTTCAATGGTGACCGTGGCAAAAGAAAGATGACTTGATTCAATGGCTCTCTATAACACAAGTATGTATCTCCCTACATTTGACACGCACAGCTCCATCGGGTGAGGAGGGGACGCAACACGTGGGAGTTTTCAGAAAGACTTGGTCCAACTGCAAGATCTTGCTATCGGCACGATTTTGACCTCGAATATCATTGAGCACTGACGGACGAGACTTCGAAAATGCCAGGGATGGTACTACAGTGTACCAATGAGGTACTACGAGTTTGTGAGTTTCGATCCTATGTTAGTGTCCAATTGCCGTGATAGCATAGCACATGAGGGCTGAGAGCAAAAGATGCGAGCTGGAATCCAAGCATTGATGGCTCCATGACCCGACTAGGGAAACAATCCACCCAGGTGAGCACGCGCCAAGTCATGCTGAAATTGACGAGAGAACTCGAGACACAAGCCTTTTCTCTCCACATTCCACCAATTGCACATTCTTGTGTTTTGAGTGTGTGCTCAAAAGCGAACCCGACAACCTCGCGCTGGTCGAGCCAGATGGCAGGGGTCGGGATTAGAACGAGCATGCATCGTTCTAGGTCTCTTGTCTTAAATTTGCGGATGGAATGAGAGCAGGTCTTGGATGGTAGGTCCAAGACCATCCATCGACAAGGGTATGGAGACCGTGAAGTAAGTGAAGAAAAGAAAGAGAAGGAGCCGAAGGGCCGCGGGAGGAAAATTTGTTTCGACAGTAGCGTGTATTATGTCATCTCATCACGTGAATATATCGGGGCCTTGGTCCACCTGAGCAAGGTGTTCCCGGACTCCTACTCAACCGCATCTTCATCTCAAAGTTATTTTCCATGCAATGATCTATATATAAGACTCTTGTTCCAAATCCATAAATTTCGTTTTTATACATTTTTCAGCGCAATTGCTATAACATCTTAATTATTTCAAGCCAGGCTTTTCCCGAAGAACTCGGCCAGCTTGGCTCCGGCTTCATCAACCTGGTCATACAAATCCGCATGTGTGAGCCCATCCACGACAAACAGTTCCTTTGGATCCCTGGCATTCTGTACACCCTCCTCACTGTACCACATGGTGGCCGCTTTGGGCCCAGTAATCATCAACAAGGGCCTCGGACTAATCAAGTAGTTGTGGGCAAACGCATCAAAGTTGGCCATGATATCCCAGCTTCGCGGCAGACAAGCGTTGGTCGCCCGCGGGTGGTGTGCCCGCGGTGTGCGGTAGTACATCATCAGATCACGGAAGGACTCGGGGAACTGCGCGGAGCATCCTCGGGCTTGTTGGGGAGCATATGGACGATGGAGACCTTCTCGCCGCCGACGTCACTGTTGCGGTCCTTCCCGGCCGCTTCAAGCTGGGTCTGGAGGATATCCATGATGGATGAGTCCTGGTCGAATCCTCTGCGGGCCATCGTGCCGACGCAGACTGCGGCCGAGGTGGCGACTGCCTTGATACGGCGGTCAGTTTGCGCAGCGAAGGGAGCGTAACCGCCCGAAGCGCAGATACCCAGCACACCGATCTTGTCGCTGTTGACATCCTTGCGGCTGATCAGGTAGGTCACGGCGCATTTAATGTCCTGACGCGTTGGCCGGGGTCTTCTAGATCCCGGGGCTCGCCTTCGGATTCGCCTTGGTAGGCGGCATCGTAGGCCAGGCAGATGAACCCAGCCTGAGAGAGCACGCGGGCGTAGTTGGCTGGGGACTACTCTTTAATTGAGGTCCATGGGTGGCAGATGATGACGGCAGCACCAGAGCGATTTGGCGAGTTGGGGGTTGGGTGGTAGAGATGAGCCGCAAGCTTGAGGTTGCGGGAAAGAAAAGTAGCATTCTCGGGAAAGGACATGCTGTAGGATGTGTGAATGATGAATATATATTTATGGCGTGGCTTGAAACTTCCTCACTGGCCTTCTAAGGACACTCTTTTATACCCCGCGAAGACCCCCGACAGCTCCGAAATTCTTCGGACTCTGGCGAGCTCATCGGGAGCTGCGGTGGGGTATAACATCAGTGCAGAATAGAGATTACTCCGCACGTAAGTGATCAACTAAATGATTGTAATTCGGTATGAGAAAAGTGCGTTTGAAGTCTAGTGAACGTAAATTCATATACTTCTTGACCTATGCTCGTAGCTTGTTGTACAGCCTGTCAGTTGTCTGTCAGATCGCATGTCTCGAATGAGCTTGACTTTTTGGTTTAAAGAAAGATAAGCTACCTTAAGAAAGCTTGCTACTACACCCTGATTACCGAGATTATCGTATTGCTTTTTAAAAACTAAAAATAAAAATAAGTAGAACAAAGGCGAAAGAGAAAGAGAGATCTATAAATTGTTGATGCCCCAGGCATGAAGCAACTCCACTTGCAGTGTGAATGATTCGCCGCCGTCGGGCGATATCAAACATGCCTTGATCCATGCCCAGGGCATTATACCCACACAATGAGGCGGAAAGCACAAAGATCCCTGAACCAAATAATCTTCTTCTGTGGGGTTTTATTCCTGATCCTCTACTTGAACCGTCCCCAGACGCCAGACCCAATCTTCGCATGGACGAAGATCCGCTACAAGACCGGCTCAGCGACGCTCCCCGAGGCACGGGGGAGCTGTCCAGGCCTAACTGAAACCAGCAAACCAGCCCTGGTGGTGTCGCGCGTGGCCACAGATGGCGATGCCCGCTGGCTAGACGCGCTGAGCCAGCGCTACCATCTCTGCGTGTACCGGGTCGATGAGCCCATCAACCCGAACTCGGACCATCTCCAAGTGCCCGCGAACCGGGGCCACGAGGCCATGGCCTACCTCACATTTTTAATTGACAACCATGCACATATACCCGCAGCGGGAGCGGTGTTTGTGCACGGCTCGCGCTGGGCGTGGCACAACGACGCACCCGACTACGACAACGCGGCCTTGCTAGCCACGCTCGATATCCCGCGCGCCCTCGCGCCCTCGGGATATCACAACCTCCGCTGCGACTGGAGCACCAGCACATGTGTACCCTCTGCGCCGGCGCAGGGGAGTTTAGAGATGCGGCTCCAGTCGGCCGTCGCGCCGTGGAGTGCCCGCGCAGCATCCGACACCGCCCTCCCCTCTGCGCTGGCTGCCATCTTTGGCGGAGACGCAGATGACTACCGTGCTGCCCAGGCCAGTGGCCGACTACTTCTGGGTCGGGGCGAGGCAGTGCGCTCGCAGTGCTGCGCGCAGTTTGTGGTTTCGCGCGACCGCATCTGGCAACATACGCGCGACGAATACGTCGCTCTGCGCCAGTGGCTCCTCGATGGAGGTGACAGTAATTTGGCACCGCGCTCACGAAACCGCAAGGTCGCGCCTCGCGATGACAAGGCTGCCGGTCGCATTTTGTCGTACCTGTGGCATATCCTCTTTGCGCCGCATACTGCTGATGGCGGGATCGATTTGGAGCAGTTGAATCGCGATGCTTGTCCACATGCGGGGGACTGCTATTGCCGCTTATACGGGCGCTGTAATCTGCCCTGCTCAAGGGGTAATTGTGCGGGACAGTATCGTGTTCCGCCTTATTACAGACTGCCGGATGACTGGGCGGCGACGCATTCGTGATTTCTGTTGGGAGGTCAATGTATATATGACAATCAACCAGCTCTATAAAAGTAAAATGTACGTCTAATGCCAGTGCTTTCGACAACCATTAGACAATTCTCACTTCGGATCGAGAATGGAATCAAGTGAAGGATGTTCATTCAGGCTATACACTATATACATATTCCCAGACCCTGTCGCATCACTGCCTAGAACCGGGCGAGAACCCGCTCCGACGTATCGCCCACAGCCCACTCACTGCTGTGCTTCTTACTCAAAACCGACTTGGCCTGCTCAGCCGTGAAGCCCCGGGCCTCGACAGCAGGATTGTAGCCCAAGCCAGTGGCCTTGGCGACCACATCCGACGGCACAGCGGCGGCAACCTTTCCATCAGCGCGCTTGTACACAGTCACGACAACGGCACCACCAAGACCAAGGTTATGCTGCAGGGCAGCAGCAGTACCATCCATCAAACGGTTGTTGGCCCAGCCGCGCAGGTGCCAAACCAGCTCCGCGCACTGGGCAAGACCCGTCGCACCCAGCGGGTGGCCCTTGGAAATAAGACCGCCGGACGGGTTAATGACCATCTTCCCGCCGTAGGTGATGTCGCCGCGGCGGACCATCTCATGGGCCTTGCCGGGGTCACTCAATTCGAGGGCGTCGATGGTGATCATCTCGTTGGCCGAGAAGCAGTCGTGCAGCTCGCACACCTTGATGTCCTCGATCTTCACGCCGGCCTCGGCGACGGCCGTGCGGCACGCGTGCCGCGACATCCCGAATCCCATCAGGTCGATCGAGCTGCGGTTGTAGACCTGGTCGGTGTCGGTGGCGAGGGTTTGGCCCGCGATCAGGATGGCGTGTTCCTTCAGGTGCGGGCGCGCATCCAAGAACTCCTGGGAGACAACTACCGCGGCGGCACCGCCGTCCGAGGTCGGGCAGCATTGCAGCTTGGTGAGCGGCTCGTGAATCATCGGCGCGTTCAGCACCTGCTCCAGTGAGTACTCGGTCTGGAATTGCGAGTAGGGGTTGCGTTTGGAGTGCTCGTGATTAACCCGAGCGATCTCGGCAAAGTCCTCGTTCTTGGCTCCGTACCTGCCATCGTGTTAACATCATCAACCGCCAGGGGAAATCAACAAGAGATACGACTGATCATACTTCTCGATATATTCTCGGCCGGCATTTCCAAACATCTGCGCTGCTCCCGGAGCGTTGGTAATCCCCCGGGTCTCGGCCATCATCATGCCGAACAGGCCTGTCGGGTTGGTGCGGTCGTTGTACATGGACTGCAAGCTGCCAGGATTCATCTTCTCGAATCCAACCACCAGCACACAATCGGCAGCACCATGAGACACCAGGGTTCGGCCCATGGCAAGGCCTGTTGACCCAGTCGAGCAGTTGTTGTTGACATTATAAATGGGGATGTTGGTGAGGCCGAACTGGTAGAAGACCCGCTGGCCGCAGGTGCTGTCGCCATAGACGTAGCAGGCCACCCCCTGGTCGACATCGTCGTAGTTGATCTTGGCATCCAGCATGGCTTTGATTCCGGCCTCATAGCCGAGCTCATTGTAGTCGACCTTGCCTCGGGGCTTGATGAACTTGGTCATGCCGACGCCCAGGACATAGGCCGGACCTGCTTGTTTTTTACCCATGGTGTATGTGTTTTGCGATACAGAGATAATAGAAAAAAAAAAAGACAAATCCAAGAACAGGCGACGTTGAGTCAAGGAGCGAGCGAGCTGATATAAAAGTGGAGAGCTTACGAGCGTGAAATTGCGGGGAGCGACCGAGGTCCCGAGGGAGTCGGCACAATGCATAACTTTTCTTACTCTATCCATATACACTGATTTTAAGAACAAGATGCCGCAATGATAATTTCTGCCTTTGGTCTCTTTCTTTCCATGTGAGCCCTCAATTACCGAGTCTCACGTGGAATGTCTCTATAGTAATGCTGCGCTCGCAACACTTGCCATGTCTGCATCATACAATCCCCCCCCCACATTCTTGACTTGCATAGAGGTATGAGCCTGATGATCATTCTGAAGGATATTTTTTAGGATACAGGGTATGAAGAGATAGAGATGGATCTCAACACTTATATGTTAGGGAACAAGGTAGACATCCAGGAATATATTATTCCCCAGTTGACAGTCCTGTTGGAGACAGTAGAAACAGTGTACCATCAGATTGAACTGATCTACAAGCCATTGACTCGCAGAATGTCTGGAATTTGCCTATGTCTGACCAGGATATTTTATATTCCATTCCACCATTATTGGCCTGTTGGGTCCGCCCGGAGGACTGTCTTCCTTCAGAGCACTAGAAGATCGCCGTGACCCATGGTCGCCTGCTAAATCAGTTAATCAGTGAACCGGGGAAGTTGATTCATGAAAGGCGGGAAAAACGCAGTCTGTCAAAACAGTGCGACCGGGGGGATTTGTTCCACGTATAATCGACGCCGGCGATCTGTAGCGTAATGCAACAAACGGGTTAATTTCAGTGGGCAACTGCAGTTGCAGGTGTCAGGGAAAATCGCCAAACAGTGAGGATTCTCCACTCGGTTCACGAAGACGTACGTCACTTGGTTTCGCCCTAAACCCATTCAAGGGTTCTGCAAAGCTCGGCCCACATGCCGCTTTACTTCTTCTCATCTTCTCATCTCTGGTCGATTGACCTCTGTCTAGCTGTGACCTTCCTGGGGTTGTTGTATTAGTGAGTCTTTGTGGTGTTCGCTTCGCTGCCTTGGCTGGTGCTGGCTTCGACTCTTATTCAAGTGGGTCAGGGGAGTCAACGATGAACCGACGCTAATGACCGATGCCTCTGGACAGCTCCGATCATCTGTAATACTCCATTGTTGCCAAAAGAACACTCTTGGCCACACTCCCTTGATGATCTGAGACTGTGGATGTCAGGAAACCAGCATTGAGACCATCCAATCCCTCCAACGTCGCGGATTCGGTGCCTTGGCCCATCGCGGGGTTCATCCACTTGCCACTATCGCCCTCCCCTTCCTGTTCGCTTCGGATAAAATCTCCTGGAATTACCTCCAGGTCTTCAGAAGAGACTCCTGTGTTGCTCGAGCCAGGTTGATGGATATTTGTGGGACGCCGAACGGTCTACTCGAATGCTGAGAGACCGCTTTGCGTTCCATAGGGTTCCCCAGCCTGCCACTAAAGACGACATCGCCTCCCCTATCACACCCATTGCCTCCAATGGAAACCCTCCAGGGATGACTATTGACAAATCTTCTGAACATGCACCCTTCCCTCCAGCAAATTCCCAAACCACTCCTGCCATTATGCCGAATCGCAATGCCTGGACTATGGATGATGCCACTCGCAACCGACTCTTGAAGAAATATAAAACCCAGGTGGCCTCGGCGACGTCGACTGTGTGTGCGACGCTGGCGGTGGTAGGTGCTCTATCCGCGGGAACAGTTGGGCCTGGAAGTTGGCATGATTGAGCTCTCTTCCCTGGGAGTGACATGCTAATGAAACTGTATTACTTGACAGACCCCTCTGGAGAATGTCAAAACGCGCATGCAAACGTAAGTACCCAGACCTTTACTTCCCATCTTATGGCTCTGTGCTGATGCATCGAAATTTAGACACAACTTTAGGAATATTTTCCAGTGTATCCGCTACTTGTGGCGCACCGAGGGCCCTCGTGGATACGTGGCGGGTATATCCTCATATCTCCCGTGAATCTTTGCAGACTGGAGTATTGACATATACAAACTCACAGGTGCCCTTCCACCTCTGGCGAGTGTCACAGCCGTCCGAGTAGTCAACTTCACGACATACAATGCCGCCAAACATGCCATTTCCGATTCCATCCAGCGCATTACGGGCGAATCCCCGCTGGATGAGTACAATAAACCGGGTAGCACCCCGACGGCGACGATGCTCTTGACTTTTACCGGTGCGGGTCTGTTGGCGGGCCTGGTGACTTCACCGCTTGCGTGTAAGGCCGACTCGACCCTTGTTCAATGCTGCAGAAACCTAATTGCTTATCAACGATGAACCAGGCCCGTTTGAACTGGCCAAGAATGTCGTTCAGACTTCTGTCTTGGTGTCCAATCGCGCTCAAGCTGCCCCGGATGCCGCCCGGGATCTCTCACTGCGCCGCAAGCCCCGTCTCGGCACCATCGAGGCGATCCGACAAATCATTAAGCGTCACGGCTTTCGAGGTCTGTACACCGGCTTCCGTCTGCATGCCATGCGCGACACGGTGGGCTCGGCGCTGTACTTCAGCGTGTATGAAACCGTGAAGCAGATGGCCGCTAGGGAGCTGGGGTCGGATAAGTCCCCGTTTGGGGCGCCTATGATTGCCGGCGCTATCTGTAGCACTGTCCCTTGGTTCTGTGTATGTGATCTGGACGGCGACCTGAATTGACATGAGACAACTAACATCTAAACTTCCAGACCTATCCCTTGGACACACGCAAGACCCGTGCGCAGAGTGTCCTCCTTGGCAAGTCCAAGGAGATTGGCGAGGCCTCGGTAGCCGTGGCCAAGTCTAGCATGTATAAAGGGCTGTCCATTATTCTCATCCGGACCGGAGTCAACAACATGATTTTACTCAGCATCTTTGAATACATTAAGATGCGGATCAATGAACTGCCAGACTAATTCTGGATCGGGAGGGCAAGGGTAGCTCTGGATATTCATTTCTTCATCTCTTGCATTTTGTGTTGACCGCCATGTTTCTTTGATCCACGTACATACCTGGATGGGCTTGAAGCTCGTCATCCGCAAATATCAGACTGGTGATTAGGGTTTAGTTGTAACTGAATGGAAGCTTGACATGGAAAGAGTCCAAGGAAGAGGTTGAACAAGTTAAAGGTAGTAAAGGCTGTAAGTAGAAGTTTTGCGATGCCTCAGGCCAGTCCCACGTCATGGAGTTGCCCGGTGGGGTCGAGCAACTTTCGCGTCAACAAAGCACTCGTCTTTTATTCCGGCCACTCTCTCACAACTGACAATGGCATCGTGAGTACCCTGGTCCGATTCTCGTGGTAGTCATCATCGCCCACTAACCTGGCGCCCCGTATCTTTATTCTAGCAATATCCTCCAGCTCCCGTTCCGCCGTTCTCACACCGTCTCGCTGTCGGATGCCATCACACAGTACATTTCTTCCAAATATGACCAGCGCCCGGATATGTTCGCGGATGACCTGATGATCATCGACCGTTTACGAACTGAGGCCATCAACGTGAAAGAGCCCCACGTCAGTGGGATCAGTCGATTGGTTACGTATGCGGCGCAGCTTAAATGGCTGGGAGGAAAATTCCCGATTGATGTGCGCCGACCTCCCTTGGTCCCGGACGAGTCCGTTTGCGATGAAAATTAACGATCGATGTGTCGCAGGTGGGGGTCGATTTCTCATGGTACCCGGCCTTTGGGTTCAATACTTCGCGGCCAGGTAGGCTTGCATATTCTTCGAGGTTGGCTCCGCATGACGTTGCACATCTGCTAACCATACAATAGTCTCGCAAAATAATCTGCGCTTCGAACTCGCAAACGTCCTCTTTAATCTTGCGGTCCTATACTCTCAACTGGCATTCGCGGTCAACCGGACTACCGCAGATGGACTCAAGCAGGCCTGCAACTACTGCTGCCAAGCGGCGGGCATCCTCAACCATCTGCGATCTGATATCCTCCCGGATCTCCGTACATCACCACCGGAAGATATGGACGAAATGACACTACAGAGCTTAGAACAGCTTTTGCTGGCGCAGGGTCAAGAGTGCTTTTGGCAAAAGGCCGTAAAGGACGGATTGAAGGATGCCTCGATTGCGCGACTGGCAGCCAAGGTCTCTGATTTTTACGGAGATGCAGGAGACTTTGCCGTTAAGTCGAATTCTATCAGTACTGATTGGATCCATCATATGACCGCAAAACACCATCACTTCGCGGCTGCCGCACAGTACCGGCAGTCACTTGATTGTCTAGAGAAGCGCAAATATGGCGAGGAGGTAGCGCGGTTACGCGACAGCCTGAACTGCGTCAATGAAGGTCTCAAGGAGTCAAGATGGATCAACCGGACGGTACTCGGTGATCTGAACGGGCTCAAGAGTCGCGTCACGGATGATCTTAAGCGCTCCGAGAAGGATAACGATGTCATCTACCTGAACCCTGTTCCACCCAAGTCCGAGCTCAAGACTATCGACCGTGCCAGCATGGTTGCAGCCAAAGCGCCCTCGCAAGTTACTGATGCAATTTCCATGCTTGGAGATAATGGTGCGTTGGGCCAGCCGCTATTTGCGAAATTGGTGCCGTACGCGGTCCATATTGCTGCCAGTATTTACTCTGACCGTCGGGATCGACTGGTCAATGAGTCTCTTATCGGGGAGCTGGAGTCGATGACGGATAGGCTACGGGAGTATGTGCCAAACGAACTGCTTCGTTTTAAAAAAATTATGAGTTTGTCGCTGACTTTCTCAGTCTGCTAACATCGATTAACTTGCCCGGATCTCTCCAAGCGCTCGAAAAGCCACTGGGACTTCCTCCCGCACTCGTATCTCATGCCGAGGAGATGCGCCAGCAAGATGGGCTGAACCGGTTGCGGCGGTCTGTCGAAGACACGGCCAAGGTGAAATCCAACGACCGATCGGTTTATAGTGAAGGTGTCGAACTGCTTGCAGCCGAGAAGGCCGAGGACAACGCCGCACGCCGTAAATACGGCACCGATCGTTGGACGCGCGAGACGTCCGAGGCCGCTGCGCCAAAGATCTATACCAGCTCTACTGAGATCAATGGCTACTTCACGTCTGCGCAAAGCAGCGACGATCTCGTGGAGCGAAAGCTGCGGGATTCAGAGGCGGTATTCCGGGTTCTCACAGGGACCAACCGGGATTTGGAGTCATATGTGCCAAGCAGTCGAAGAGCTGCTATTCCACCCGAAGTTGAGCGCGAATCCATACGGCTGCGGAGCTGCTTGAGTGAGGTTAACCGAATGGAAAACCGGCGACGGCGGCGAATTCAGACGTGGAAGGACAAGGCTCGTGCGGATGATATCCGTATGTTTTTCTCCGGGACTTTTCCTGTTAGGATATCAGATGCACTAATGATTTTCATTTAGACTCGGTTCTTCTGAAGGAAACTGCTCGACTCGAGCGAGAATTTCCTATGCAACCCATCCAGGCAAGCCAGTTTGAAGATTTGTTTGAGGAGCAACTCCGGCTGTATGATTCGGATCGGGATACGCTGGAACAGGAGCGCAACGACCAAGAACAGATTTCGATGCAGGTTCGCGAGGCCAACCTTGCTTTCACGCGAGCACACAAGGGCGACGCATCCACCAAAGAGCGAGAAACGGCACTGCAAGACCTGGAGAATGGTTACTTGAAATACAAGGAGATCCTTTCCAACCTCGACGTAGGACGGAAATTCTACAATGATCTTGCCAAGATCGTGGGACGGTTCCGCGACGATGCGAAGGCGTTTGTGCACCAGCGGCGAATGGACGCGAGTCAATTGGAAGCGTATGTCTTCATCATACCCTAGGAGACGCGGCCAACTTTTGTCGTGCAGCTACTGATACTGTTAATAGAGACATCTCCAACGTCACCGCCATGGCCTCCCTGCGCATTTCCCAGCCTCGTCTCCGCCAGCAATCCCACCACCCCCGTCGCCGTATTCAGCCACCCCCTCCCTCGCAGCCGTCATCCCAACCCCCTCCACCTGTTCATGCTCATCGGCCATCAGAGTCGGATGTCCCTCTGACTGCACCCCAGCCCAAACGTGCACCGATAGCGCCACCCGCCGTCTCCACACCCGGTATGTGGACCCCAGAAATGGGGATCCGTTTTGGCTCTGCTGGTGCACCCCCAGGTGCCAATCCGGGGCCAAGTACTGGAGCGGGATCGGGCCAGCCTAATCGAAGCACGCAGCCCGGGACATGGGATCCCAGTCAGGGAGTGCGGTTTTCTTGATTCAGTTTGGTAGACCTGGATGTATCGCATACATGGTACATATTTGGTTGCATATACCCTTGTTGCATATACTCTGGGGTTCCATTGTAAGAGAAGAGCAGATTCCTTGGCTCATGCATGATATACAAGCCTAGCAATGAAATTTCAACGTCGCTTTCCCCCGTCCACTTTATTCTTCTTTGCATCGCAACCACTAGATCTTTTCCCAACTGCCTGGGTCAGTTTGATATCACAAGTTGTGCTGTATTTCCTACAGTGAGTTTGGACACCACGGAGAAGCTACCCTACAAACTCGGGTTTCCCCCTCTATACTAGAAAAAAGCTTTTCTAAAAATATAAGCTTCCTGGTATTTTGCCCTAGATATTATTCTGGAAATTAGACACCCAGTCGAAGGGGGGGGGCGCCGCCTCGCCCCCGCCCCAAAGTTAGCCGTTTTGCTGAGGACTATGACCCTGATTCTTTTGCGCTAGGATTTAGATGACCCCCGAGCTCATACATAATTCACATTTCGGTGTGCCAATAGCCCAAAAAATGCTGTGCTCCGATTAATACCCTATGGCGCAGAAAGTCGTTGACTTCAACGCAGACATGATTAGAGCAACAATCGCTCACGTAAGAGCAATCGTTACCCAATCCTGGAATGAAAAAGTTCCCTGTTAGTTTCTTCGAGATGTCCACATAAGAAGAAAGAGTAGTTAAGGACCTACCGGCGCAGGCACGAGCCGACATGGCCATAGCGAGGATCGTGACAATAGAGAGGAGCTTCATCTTGGATCGAGTCTCGTGGATAGAATCAAGGATAAAGGAGATGGAGAGTAGTTTTTAAGTAATAAAGAAGTGGATGGAAGGTAAGAATGTCGAAGATTCACCCATTATTTATATATTCCCAGTAAGCTTCGAAAAGATGTACATAGGATGATATGATGGTGGTGTATAACTTTCAGAGTTTGAACAAGTCACTCTCGTGGTTTATAGTAGTCCTGCATAGAGCCCAAATTTGGGTTCTTGGGCACACAGTGGGCCAGATCGATGGGCTGATCAGCTCGGGTTCGGCCTTAACCCTAACTTGGTGGATTGACTCAACAGCGGTCTTCTTTTGTCAAGTATGTAGGTTCCTATGACTCAAGGGCTGCTTTCAAGGATGCACTTTCAAAGAAAAAAGGTGACACCCCCTTCTCCCCTATCGGGAGTAATATCTATATCCGTATATCTATCGTCTTCAAAACCCATGCTCCGCAGGGACAAGTAACCATCCACTCTATAGAGGCTTTGACCTCGGTTGATCCGGCGTAACTCCATTGACAGTGGCCTTGGCCATGCCATTCACACTGCCATGGGCAGAACCATTACCGACGAGCAAGTGTTTTTCTTTCTCCATCTTGCGTTCCATTTCGAGCTCCGATTCGTCTTCTTCGGACCGGTCATCCTTTTTCTCGCCGTGGACGAAAAGTCGCCACGCGCTGCGCAGTAGACAGTATAACCAGAAGAGGTTTAGAGACTGGAGGACAGCCAGGAGAGTGAAAGTGATGATGTTCGAGATCCAGCATTTGTATTGCTGAGTCTCCCAATTCAGCTCGTAGGGACCCACGGTTCGGAAATCGGTCAGAAGCGAGTAAAGGATATGCAGATTGAGGTAGTGGCGAAGGTAGATCCAGGCTCCCACCGAGATAGCATAGAATGGAATGACGAGGTCTGTGCCCATATAATGCAGAGATTTCGACACCTACACAAAATAGAGAATGAGCATAAGGTAACTTCCTAGAAGAAAAAGCGAGGAAGGAAGAAAATGACTTACGGCAAGGAAGAAATCACTGAGATCATGGGTTATATACACTCCAATGCCCATATACGTGAAGTGAAACCGGTAGCTCAAGGAAATAAGAACCAAGGTCACGATATGATGTGCCACCAGCTCCTTGAAGTCCTTGCGGGGTTTTTCCATGCCCAGCAACATTACCAGAGCCTGCTGCGCCCAATATGCCGCCTGAAACAAGTAGTAAAACTTGAACGCCGCCTCGTGGGTTTTGTGCGGGAAGAATTCGTACATGCCCCGCGTGTTGAAGTACCAGACCGGGGTTTGGCGCATCACGTAGATCCCCGCGGAGCCCATAATTCCAAAGTAGATGGCCGTGTACATCTGCTCCATATAGCGCAGTTGCTTGCCGCGGGTCTTGATGCAGATCTGCGCGAGGGGCCGCAGGATCTGCTGCATGATAAACTCGCGCGTGAATGTCAAGACGATCGTATAGAAAACCACAAAGGCGATATCCCAGAGGCCTTTGCCATATTGACGAGGGGCGGTGGGGTCGGTATCGAAATCGGGCGGCGATTGCTCGTAGGAGAGGAAAATGAAATGGTGCACGATATTGGATTCGGTTGGATCAAGGGCATAGAAGGCAAAAAATGCAACCAGGATGGCCAGAGGAACGGCCCAGGTGTATTTCGTGGCGATGTATTTCAAGCGACGCGAAAAGGACCGGGACTTTCGGCGATTGAGGAGCTTGTTCGGGCCCGCGTGGCCATTGGAACCGAACGCATTGGTGTCTTTGTTGGCGCCGTTGAACTTTCTCTGGCGCGTAGTGCGATCTGTCGAGGGCAATTGATCCACCAAGGTGCTCAGGGGCGCGGGTCCAGGCGCAACCATTGTTCTCAATTTCCCTGGCTCCTGGGTAGTGACAGAGAGAAAAAGGATAGTCTCACGCGAGATAAACGCGTTCGGCTCCAAGAAGTCAGCCCCCCTGTCCACAGCGTCGTGAATTGCGTCTCACAGCCCTGGCTTTTGTACATTTGTGGTTAGTTTGGTCAAGGCTCGCATGCGACGTGGGGCCCACTGAAGTGCACAATTGGAGAATCGGATCGGAGAAAAGGCCCATATTTTCGGGAAATGCGATATATGAGCATCATTTGGAGCGCAAATATTCAAGAAGAGAAGATTGAAACATAAGTCCCAGCCTGGTCTCGCAATGAACAGTGATGAATCGGAAGCGAAGATTGACCCACAGTTTGAAGCATCGCAAGGCTGATCAACATGGAAAGCAACCGTTGAGGTGCCTGGATTCTGCCCTTACCAGCTCGTCTGCCAAAGTGTGATACCTTCGTACCTCTCCCTCTTCAACACAGACAGCTACCATTATATATCTGCCTTCTCCGCTTATGCTCTTCATCCACAGCTGTTCTTTCCCGTCCTCTGTCACTAACAAACACTTTTGCAGACCCTCGGATAAAACTGACCTCGAGCTCGAATTGAGACAGCATTAGATTATCCTCCTGTGGCATGCACCCGATCCGCCTATTGAAATTCAATACTAAAAAAGAATTGATCAATTTCATATTGCTTGAAGAGAACAATACCGCTCCGAACTAAATATCGAGCCGAGGCAACGTATGTTTGAACACGTTGGCGGGATCAAACTCCCTTTTCAACTCCAGCAGCCTTTCGAAACGGTCCCCATAGATTTTCTTCAAGTCCACATCTTCTTTCGGGGTCAGGGAAATGTAAGTTCCTTCCATGAGACCTTCGGTCTTCTTGATACACTCAGCGAACTGATTCACCCATGTCTTTCCCTCATCAGCAACCTCAGGCGTGGCAGTCAACCCAGAGATTTCTACCAGTTGATGTGGCTTTCGGTTCGCAAAGACGCCCGGCAAAGACTGCCCTTTGACGGAAGGCCCATACAGATAGTGGAGGCAAATCAGCGCTCCTGTCGGGGGCATCGTCTCGGCGTATTTGGCCAAAATCTCGATCGTTGACTTAGATACGCTCAGCCCGGCAAGATTCACCGTCTGGAAATTGCCCGCATACACTTTGGATGGAACCACCGACGAGACCTCGCTGACATATTCCATCAATGAAGTCGTTTTTATGGTAGACATCATCACGGGCGCCAGACTCGAGATCTTCTCTTGCCATTCTTTCGACTGGTCGCTAGAGGAACCAAACCAGGCAAAACACACCCCAAAAACATTTCCAACGTCGGGGATGTTCACCTCGATTGGCTGAAGATCGAGATTGTCGGGGACGGGGGTGGTTTCATGGAGCCGGGTCAAGTTGGTCAACGCCGTGGTGACTGTGGTGGACAGGCTCTTCGGGTCGAACACAATCATACCCGCTTGCATCTGCGAGCTCAGTGGTTAGCCCATGACCGTGTCGACATGGCATAAACGATTCCCTGAGAAGGGTTCACATACCTCCTGCGCCGGATACAGTTTAATTCTAAGTTCGACCACGATGCCCAAACTCCCACCTCCGCCCCGGAGACCCTCCAGCAATCTCTCATTAGCATCAACCACCTCTCCCGAGGCATTGACAACCTTCGCCCCGAAGATCTGATCGACGCCGAGTCCCAGGGTCGTCGCCAGGGGCCCATACCCACCCAATGTAGCCCAGCCCATGTACCCCACGTTACCTACCGATGCTGTCGGGGTCATCAGGCCATGCGGTGTCAAATCTTCTAGAAGCTTGTTGCAGAGGATACCACCGCCAATCCGGGCAGTTTCTTTCGACGAGTCGACATCGACGTAGTTGATGTCCCGCATATCGATCTGCAGGATATCCGGCTGTGTGGACCGGCCGTGGACATCATGGCCACCGGTGCGGACAACAAACTGGGTGTCAGTGGCGACGCAGTGCTTGACGAGAGCGGCCACATCATCTGCGGTTTGAGGGCGTGCAATCGCCGATGGATTGTACGAAAGAGTGCGAAAGGCGGTTTTGACCGACCCGAACTCTGGGGATGTCGGGGTATAGTGCTTGATGGAGGGGTTTTGTTTCAAGAATTCCACAAATGAAGTCGTCGCCATGTTGATGCAACTCGAAAGTTTTTGATGTTGCTTGTCAAGGGGAAAAGAGGTTTGAATCAATTGAAGTCTTCATGTACAATGCCCAGGGCGAGCGCAGCTTTATATCGGATGGCCCCCATACGCGCTGATCGGCATTCAGCCTTGGGGCGATGCAACGCCTTAATTGCCAAATGTGATTATAAGCTGCCCGTGGAATGACTTTTGGTTTTTTTCCCCGTAGGATTTTCTACATGACCAAATTCTTACCACAAAACAGAAGTCAATGTATAGATTCTCTGAGTGCATGGATTGTCAGCAGTGTGGAATTGACTAGTTTGGGTGCAGTCGAAGACAGGATATATTATTCTTAATATAAAACGGCGGCTGATCGGATCACCAGTGATTGGGATGATCGTCGCGATGACTATCAGACTGACGTAGAACTATGGCCCCCACCCTGAGCCAGGGTGTTTCAGCCCCATCGGTTGATCGGAGCACCACATTCTGACTGGATGAAACGCATTTGCTACGTTATTACTCCATTGAGATTAGCTCCATGACGTACTGTGAATTTCTTGTGGAGATTTTCGGATCGAGGTCCAAGCCAAGATATTATTATGCCCGACCCTTTCTCGGTCTCTCTGCCGTCGGCATGATAATGATCGGACTAATGGCATGCAAGTGAATGGTGCTCTAATGCCAATCATAAGTCTGTGACCATAGGTCATTCAGCGTCGCTCAAAGGCAGTCATCAATAAGAGTCACCCAAAACGCTATGGCGTGGTGTATATTAGCATGATCGACCATTGGTTGAAAGAGGCATCTTCAGCATGATGACCGTTGTAAAGATAGGATTCCTCGTCAGATACTCAAAAGGCTTCAGCTAAACTCTGTGAATTATTTAATCTATCAGGCATTGCCAAGGTGGTTATTCGTGAGCCCAAGAGTAAACTTGGATAGGCAATCGAGTCGAGGTGACAACAATACTAATTTAATTCAGAGGCATCTTGTTCCAATGTAAAAATGAGAAATGAACATTTTTCAAAGTGAATTTTTAGGATTACTTTATATCTTCTTATGTGCTTCTCATTTGAAATGACTGGTCTTTCGTGGTCTTGATAATTCGGTGGCCAAGTAAAGAAGGGACTCAGTATACCACGCAAGCGTCAGACCAGAGATTTGATTGCAAAGACAAATTGCTTAACACACTCTAACCGTGCGACAATATTTTTTATATTGGAGCAGGGGAAACTCCACTTTCAACCCAATTTGACTTTTTATTTTGGACGCGCTAGTTGATCGGATCGTCGAGATTTACTTCTCATCCCATCCACCTTGGAGTTGATATCTGTGCTGGATATAAAAGCCACTGTATTTATCTTTTTGCATGGATCGAAGATATCCGTTGTTGAACAGTCCTTCCAATCAATTTCGCATAGAAACAGTCGCAGTCAACGATCGGGCTTGAGTGGATCAAATAAGCTCAGAATTTACCTAATTGTTTCCGAGCCGCTTGGGGTCACTTGGAGTCTCTGTGTCACGTCTTAACTTGGCTATTCTTATTATTCACCATTTCTCTTTGGCGTCGAGATTTCCTTTACCTAACAATGTGGGATGTGGGCGCTTTGGAGTCAATCCTTCGGGTTGGTCTTTAAGGCTTCTACTGCGCCCTCTTTCCTGCCCATATCCCAAGTTTTCTCAACTATTCTCAAGAATCTAATCCACCAACTCGCTCGCCGTAATGGTCCGTAACATCCATATCGCCGTTCTCGATGTCGACATCCCAGCACGCAGGCTCTACGAAGCCCGCGGACTGTGCAGTGCACACTTCCGCGACATCCTGCAAGAGACGGCATCCGCGCTGAACAAAACCGATCTCGCCAATAATAACCCCATTAATATCTCTGTCACTCCCTACGATATTCGCGGAGGACATTACCCAGATTTCCGCCAAATGCGCGGCCACCCGATCCAACAACAATGCCTCGTGGCCTCGCCTATCGACGCCGTCCTGATCACCGGCGGCTCACCGGGCGTCTACGAAATGGCCCACTCGCCGTGGATGCAAGTCCTGCAAAAGTTTGTCAAAACCGTCTACGATGAATACCCGCAAGTGCGCATGCTGGGAACATGCTTCGGCCACCAGCTCATCTCCCACGCCCTGGTCCGCGACCCCGAAGACCCCGTCCGAGATGTGTACGTGGAGAAATGCCCTCTCGGCAGAGAAGTCGGGATCTACACCGTTCAACTCGAACAGAATTTCATCCAGTCATTCCCCACAGCCCTCAACCACCTCGCGGAGGGCCAGTTGCGCATCCAAATGTTCCATGGCGACCGGGTGATGGCCGTGGAGAAAGGCAATGCCGTGACGCTGAGCAGCGCGCCGCCGGTATCGTTGCCCGCGCCGTGGATTAATGTAGGCAGCACACCTATCTGCCCGATTCAAGGACTGTACCATCCCGGGAGGGTGTTGACTGTCCAGGGCCACTATGAGATGGATGCATTTGGAATGAAGAAAATGTGTGTGGAGTCTGCGCCGCAGATGGGATGGAAAGAGTCGAAACTTGCGGTGTTCTTGGAGCAGGTTGGGCCTGACTTGAAGGAAAGGCAGGACGACGCCAAGTGTTTTGCGTCGGCGGTGGTTTGCTTTTTGGCTGGCATTGAGCAAGGCGCATAAAGCGCATAGATATAATACACCCAATAGACAAAAGTGGAGACTTGAATTGACCCAGGTCGTCTGAGCTGGTAAACCGGGAATCCTGTGCGGATTGATGTTGCGGCGACAGTTTGGTGGATTGGCAAGGATGGATTCACCAAAGGCAGCAAGAACTGAGTTGCAGACAAGATGCACTAAAGCCGTCGGATGTGAATCCTCCGTCTCGTACTCTCGGCCGGCTTGTCCCCGACATGGCCTGACAGATGCCCGGTCACGTGGGACTGGCATAAAACAGCATTTCATTCGTGCCAGACAGAGCTGTTTGTTAATCTCTCAAAAATGTCGTCTCCGATTGGACTGCCAGTTCATCCCTACTATCCCCTCAATCTCGAGATTGGGGGGTATTTGGCCAACGAGTGGAAGTCGTGGGATCTGGTGTCGATTTTCGTCACAGGATGTACCATCATCTTTCTGGCCAGCTACCTGCTGGTGATGAGAGTGCAGCCGAAGATTTCGACCAATGATTTGTTGACTCTGAAGTGGTTTGCTCTTTGTATGACTCTGTTTTGACCGCTATTGCAAGTACACACACAATATTGACTGGTCAATTAGGCGGCTGCATCCACTTATTCTTCGAGGGCTACTACGTGTACAATTTCCGCCATATGCCGGGGATGCAGGATCTATTTGGACAGTTGTGGAAGGAATACTCGCTGTCCGATTCCAGGTACCTGTCGCAAGATGCTTTTGTGCTGTGCATGGAAGTCGTCACTGCCGTCTGCTGGGGCCCGCTGTCTTTTGCCCTGGCATTCATGATCACGACCCAGCACCCTCTGCGATACCCACTGCAAGTTGTCGTGTCACTTGGTCAGCTCTATGGAAATGTTCTTTACTATGGGACTTGTCTCTTTGACCACTATATCTTTGACGTGTCATACTCGAGACCCGAGGCATCTGTGTTCTGGGGGTACTTTGTGTTCCTCAATGCATTTTGGATTGTGATTCCATCGCGTGAGTACTATCAACTGTCCAATTTTGATTGACATATTCTAATCCATTTTCAAGTCCTGGTCTATACCAGTTTGTCAATGGGCAAAAGAGCCTTCGAGGCTTTGGCAAAATCCGAAGAGTCACTTCGCCAGACGGATTCGGCTTCAAAGATAGCCAAGAGCGAATAAAAGGCTTTAATAGACTGTCAGCCCGTTCCAGGGTGCCAGAATTGCTTAATGCATCACAGGTGGTCGTCGGCACACTTGTAAGGAAAATATGCTTTCATTGAAGATTGGCCATACATTATATCCCAGCCGCACGAAAGCCACATCCTTGAATTCATGTCAAATAATCACCCCGCCCGAATGATACCATCACTAAAATGCACCATGAAATCGCCGTTTAAATTGATATTTCCGGACATGTTTCCAACGTCCTGAGCTGGCGAAGACTCTGTTCCCCAGTATCGTGTATATTCCGCCTATGATCCATGGATGAAGGAATCTCAAAATGTTGAATCAAAACATGATCAATTTGTGACGGCTGCTCCGATGGATTCAAAATATTCACTGTCGCCCGCGGCTCAACAGGTTTAGGAAGTGGGACTATCCAGCATGTTAGCATTAGGGTATGGATGCATTACGAGCTCACCTCCATACCTAGTGTTGACTCTGGCCGCACAAACACCACTGGCTTGCCTTGTTGATTTCCATGGCATGGTTTCTCTTCTTTCATTCTGAGGTTCCATCGCCGCTTCGAACGAGGCGGAATGGCCTCTTTAACCGGTTTTTCTGCGCCGGTGTATCGTCCTCGCGACGCGATGCCGCTTCCCCAACGCAGCCGGACCTCGTACCCTTCACACACAAGCCCTCGGCTGCTACATCTTTCACAGGCTGGCCGAATTTCGTCGCATTGAACGCGTTTGCGCTTGCAGGTCCAGCATCCGTTATGGGATCGGTGGCGAGGGAGCGACGTGTCTTTCGAAGATGATCGAGGCATAGCTGGGGAGAAAGGGACAGCAGAAGCAAAACTTGTGAGTGGGATATGCTATTTCTCTCTTTCGCTCCAGTCATATATCTTGAAGTGCCTATGCTACGATATAATCCTCCGCCATTTGATTGGACGAAATAAACATCTCAGACGCTACGATAAATCGCGCTCTCCGGGATAGGGAGTGCTTTCCGGGCTGAATATGACCCTTATATTTGTTGCGCAAATTCCCTCGCAGGAAAGGTAGACCACACACAAAGGATCCTTTCATTCTACCATATACCAGACACGGCCCTTGGTATAGATCACCACGGCGGAAACTAGCGCCTGTGGCCATTTCGGGCAGGTACAAGCAAGCGCGATCCGTCCGGCTCCACGTTGACACCGGGGAAGAACGGGGTTGCTGAGTTAAGAATTTGGGAAATACTGGAGTGCGAAATCCATGGATTGCAATGTGAGCTTGACTTCATTCCACAAGTTGGTGTCATGGCTGTTCGGTCAACCCCCACATCAAGTAGTTTCGCCACTTCGGGTCTGCCACCAGAAGTCTATGGTTACCGTGTTGTGTGTGTCAAGGAATCGGGATCCAAAGCCAATAAGTGTCGCGGATGCGACGATACTCACGCCGAAGGATCTGTTAAGTAGGAGATCTTCCGATCAATTGACCTCAGCCTTCCTTGTCGCCCTACGGCCCGCATATACTTTCTAAACAGGGAATCCTGTGCCTGCGCAAGCTGAATGTGGGGATGACGAATCCGGAATGATGAAGAGACAGGATACATCGCTCCACTTCATTTCCTTCAGCTGTCCCCGGTTCCGAAGACACCAAGTGGGCCGGTCTCGGTGGGCATAGGAACGGGGTACCCCTCGATAGCCACTCGACACGGTGCCCGTGGGGTTCCCCAGAAAATGAAAACCCCATGTAGTTGCATAGCGAGATGAATGTGGTATTCTGTGTATATACAACACCAAGGTCCAGACGAAAAAAAATATATACCGAACAGCCTTCAACACGCTGAGAATATCTACAAAAGTCCAACTTCGGAAATGAGCGCCCAGCACCAGGCTTAATATTTCCGTTTCTTTTCATTACTGAACCTCCAAACAAAACAAAATGGACTTGGAAACAGACACGACCCTCAAGCCAACTGATCAAAGCATCCAGGATGCACACGACCTCGCGGCCTTTGGCCATGACCAGATCCTTGACCGCAAGTTCAACATCTGGAGTATGCTCGCCCTTGCCTTTTGCGTGCTGGGAACATGGTCCACTTTTGCACAAGATCTGTCCGACGGCCTCATCAACGGCGGTCCAATTTCTATTCTATGGGGTCTGGCTTTGGTGACATTCTGCAACACCTGCGTTGCCATCTCCCTGGGAGAAATCTGCAGTAGTATGCCAACGGCATTAGGCCAGGCGTATTGGATATACCGTCTGTGGGACTCGCGTTGGGGACGCTTTGTTTCCTACATCTGTGCCTGGATCAATGTCTTTGGCTGGTGGACGCTCGCTGCCTCGCAGGTGGCGTTCATGACGAATTTCATTCTGGGGATGAAAGTCATGTTTGATGTCGAATGGACCGGAGCACAGCAGGGATGGCTGGAGTTTTGCGTTTATCTCGGAGCGGTATTCATCCTGACACTGATCAATGTCGTCGGATGCCGGAGAGAGAAGTTCCTGCCGTGGCTGAACAACTTTGTGGGCGTGTGGTTCTTTGGTTTGTTCTTTGTGTTTTCTCTGGCACTGCTCATTTCTGTCGGTGTCAGAACTGGCCTCTCGTTCCAACCTCCTTCCTTTGTGTTCGGACAGTGGGTGAATCAGACGAGGTGGCCGGATGGGGTCGTGTGGTTTATTGGTCTTGTGCAGGCCGCCTATGGGTTGACTGCCTTCGACGCTGTGATCCACCTGGTGGAGGAAATCCCTGCGCCGCGGAAAAATGCCCCCAAGGTCATCTATTTGGCCGTCCTCTCCGGCGCCACCAGTGGCTTTATTCTGATGATGGTGTGCCTGTTCTGCATTCAGCGAGTCAAGAAAGTGATCGATGCCCCGAGCGGACTGCCATTTATGGAGCTCGTTCAAGACACCGTGGGTCAGAATGGGGGTGTTGTGTTGATTGCGCTGTTCATCCTCAACGGCCTCGGCCAAGGCGTCAGTATCGTGACGACCGCATCCCGCCTCACCTGGGGCTTTGCGCGCGATGGCGGCTTGCCGTTCAGCCTATATTTGTCCCACGTCAGTTCAGAGTGGAAGGCGCCTGTCCGCGCATTGTGGTTCCAGGGCGTTCTGATTGCCTTGGTGGGAGTGTTGTTTCTTTTTGCCGAGACCGTCCTGAACGCTATACTGAGCGTGAGCACTATTGCTCTCACAATTTCTTACGGCATACCCATTTTCACCGTTCTGATGGTGGGACGCGATAAACTACCGCCCGGGGGCCAGTTTCACCTTGGAAAGCTGGGGACCCCCGCGAATTGGGTCAGTGTCGTCTATTGCTGCGTGACGACGGTCTTCTTTTTCTTTCCCAGCTCTCCAAATCCTTCGGGCTCTGGCATGAATTATGCCATTGCTGTTTTTGGTGTCATGCTTTCGATTGCGCTGTCTTTCTGGTTTATTCAGGGCAGTCGCACTTATCTGAATACTGAAGAGTCGATGGCACAGGTCATCCAGGCTCAGGGAGTGAGAAGTGAGCCACCGCCTCCGGAGCCGAAAAAAGATGACAGATGAAGTGCTGTTATGTGTCTTTTGTGGCATGGTTATAGAATTGGTGCGATGATATGAGAGTGAGTTGGCAGTGCAAGCCTGTGGGATATGGTTGTTGTCGATTGGGATATAGAACGGTAGAAAGATGGATTCGACGATTGAGAAAATGATTTCCTTATCTTTCACCTTATTCTTATTTTGTAGTCAGTTTGTAGTCTTCAAAATATATAAGGTGTTTTTGTATTTCCATCTCAAAATGCGCAATCATCTAGCAATGAATCAACTCCAAGTCCAGCGTGCCCCAACTTCAAAGCTTTGACTTCATGTTGACATGCACGGCCTTGATGCTAGAATATGCATCCAACCCAGCCTCGCCCAGCTCGCGACCAATGCCACTCTGCTTCACACCGCCAAACGGAATGCGCCAGTCGCTATCATTGCTCGAATTGACCCACACCATGCCCGCTTCAATTTTCTTCGCAACGCGATGGGCACGCGTGAGATTCGTTGTGAAGAGAGCGCTACCAAGCCCATAAGTGCTATCGTTGGCCATCTCGATAGCATCCTCCTCGGTACTGAACCGAGCAATGACCACGAACGGACCGAAGACTTCTTCCTGATAGATGCGCATCTTCGGCGACACGTTCGTGAAAACCGTCGGCTCAACAAAGAACCCCTTGTCATCGCCCACACCCGTAAAGGGCTTCCCGCCAACCTCAAGCGTGGCCTTTTCAGATTTGCCCACATCGACGAACGACATAATCCGGTCATATTGAGCCTGGGTCACCTGCGGGCCCTGGAACGTGCTCTCGTCGAACGGATCTCCGACCTTGGACACATTCTTGACCTGCGCCTTAAAGGCCTCGAGGAACCGGTCGTAGATCTCGTCCTGCACCAGGATCCGCGACGTGGCCGTGCAGATCTGGCCCTGGTTGTACATGATCCCGATATGGGCCCACTCGACTGCCTGCTCGAGGTCGGCGTCGTTGAAGACAATCAGAGGGCTCTTGCCACCGGTTTCCAGAGTGATGTTCTTCAGGTTCCCGCTGGCCATCTTCATGATGTGTTTCGCGGTGGCTGTGCTGCCTGTGAATGCGATCTTGTCGACATCCATGTGCGATGCCAGAGCTGCTCCGGCTATGGCACCGTGGCCGTTAACGATATTCACCACGCCGGGAGGGAAGCCGGCTTTGGCGATTAGATTGGCTAGGAACAGGATTGAAAGAGGGGTCTGTTCGGCGGGTTTGAGCACCACGGTGTTCCCGCAGGCCAGTGCAGGGCCTAGTTTCCAGGCGGCCATTGCAAGGGGGAAATTCCATCTACAAGGTATCAGTCATGGTGGGCCAGATCACCCCGAACTCTTAAGAATGAAGAGAGAAAACAGTGCACTCACGGAATAATCTGCCCACACACCCCAACCGGCTCGCGCACAGTATACGCAAATTTGTCCGGGGTGGTGTCAATTACCCGCCCAAACACCTTATCAGCAAAGCCACCATAATACCGAATGGTTTCGGCGGCCTCGGTCATATCGTCGTTCAGCGAGACGCTGTATGGCTTGCCATTATCGCAAGTCTCGATTGTCGCCAGGGTCTCTCGGTTTTCCTCAATGAGCTGGCTCAGCCGGCTCATCAACTTGCCGCGATCAGAGGCCGGCAGGTCGCGCCAGCTGGGATCGTTCAAGGCCGCACGAGCTGCTTTGACGGCGTCGTCGACATCCTGGGCTGATGCAGCATGCACGGAAGTGATCTCTTTAGCGGTTCTGCAGGTTCAGAATAGGTGGGTTAGCACAAAACCTCCAGTGACTATCGGGTACTCTCCGTGTTGACTTACGCTGGGTTGATACTAGCAATCTTGTCGCCATCCGAGGACTTCACCCATTGATTGTTGATAAACAAGCCCGTCGGCTGAGTCCAAGTACGACCATTAGGAGCCGTAAGCTGCACTGACACGTCCGACATAATGTTTGAAACGAAAAACAATGTCAATTTTTCTCTCGAACAAAATGTAAGTGCATCGTTGAAGATGATTGCAGACAGTTCTTAAGTCCCTACAAGCTCCCTCAGCCGTATCAGCAACAATACCTCTCTGTCTCGGCTGTACATGCCCATTTTAGGAATAGAGCAGAGAGACCCGGGTTGCCATCTGGTCCTCCTTGAAACAGATCCACATGGCAGGCCCACCGTGTATAGTTCAGATAAACGCGGAGGTGGAGTCGACTCGGTCTTCGGACGCGGGCATCAATCACGGCGGCTCGCCCTAGCGCTATGCCTAAACAGGCAACTCTAGCCTATCTTCAAGATGTGCTCGGTCGTATTCCACGAGAGGGTTTGTGATGGATAGGTGGCGTTCAAAGTAATGGAAGATACTACTTTGCTCTCATGCATTTTTTTCAAACAATAGAAACTGGAATGAATGTACACGCTGAGTATTGAATCTTGAATCTTGACAGTTAGACTGACATGTCACGTGCCATGCAAGAATAAGCTTGAATTAACGCTACATCAACGTAGTAAGTTAGAGATAAGACAAGTCCTTGTTTGTCCATGACGGATTCATGTGGCAATGCAGTAGAATAATGACAACAGTGCATATGCTGTGGTCTGCCATCCCCGCACAGCATAGCTCGATTGACTGGATAGTGTTCCTGCAAGGCATTTACGAAATATTGCAAAGACTCACAATAAATCTAACATACAAAGTACGTAAAGAATATGATTTCTCCAAGGGTTACCTAAATAGAGAAACGAGGTGAGAGCCCACAGGTCGGGAAGAGTCGCGAGACAATCGCGAATGTTGTATAGAGCACCCGAGCTTCCCGACACGGAAAGTCCATGCGAACACAATCGATCTGATACCAACGAGACCACAATATATAAAGGGCATCGAAATAATGAGGATGGGATCGGTTGAATCTCCAAAGTATTCCAAGCTACTGTCTTGATTCCTTTTTTCTAATCTTTCTTTATCGTTCATCATATATCGTCACCATGGCGTCTGCCCCCGATACCACATCGATCCCGGGTTACACAATCTTCCGGGAGGGAGACTATGACAGTGTAGCAGCAGCGGCATTTCTTCCACAAGGCACACCGCACCCACTAGGTATGACCTCAGACAAGACACCAACTCAACGCTTGAAACCCACTAACACATCCCAGACCAGTTGTCCATCACAGAGATCCCAGCGGCAGCCAAGCTGATTCGCGAATACGCCAGCCCCCGAACAATCAAGTTCAACTGCCTCACACTCCGTGAGCCGCGCAAGGCCGAATATGCCGCCTTCCGACAGGGCAAAACGCCCATCCCAGACCGACGAGCCTTCGCCATCATTCTGGAGCGCGAAACGGGCCAGGTCGCCGAGGTAGTTGCCAACCTGAGCAAGGCCACCGTCGAAAGCTGGAAGGAAGTGCACGAGGTAATGCCGACACTTACACTCGAAGACCTCGACGTGATGGAGCGCATTGCGCGCAAGGACACGCGTGTGATCCGGGCATGCAAAGAGCTGGGAATCAGCGACATGTCGAAAGTGTTCCTGGATGCATGGGCCATTGGGGTCGACGAGCGCTGGGGCTTTGAGCGGCGGCTGCAGCAAGGTCTGGCGTACTACCGCAGCTCGGAGTTCGATAACCAGTATGCGCACCCGCTGGATTTCACTGTTGTTGCCGATACCGAGACGGAGGAGGTGCTGAGTGTTGATGTACGCTATGTGAATGGTGAACGCACGGCTGTTCCTCTCAAGGAGCACAACTATTTGCCTGAATTCATCAGCGATAAGTACAACCATGATCGTCTGAAACCTATCGATATCACTCAGCCACAGGGAGTGTCGTTCCGCGTGCGCGGGAACGAGCTGTCGTGGGCCGGGTACAAGATGCATATTGGTTTCAACTACCGCGAAGGTATTGTCATCTCGGACGTCCGGGCTCACGACATGTACGAGGACCGCGAACGGACCCTCTTCAACCGAATCAGCATCGTCGAAATGGTCGTGCCCTACGGCTGTCCCGAGGAGCCGCACCACAAGAAACACGCCTTCGACGTGGGTGAATACGGCACGGGACTGATGACGAACTCGCTCAAGCTGGGCTGCGACTGCAAGGGGGCAATCCACTACATGGACGGGGTGATGGCGACCGGCAAGGGCGAGGCGGCGGTGATCAAGAACGCGATCTGCATCCACGAAGAGGACAACGGGCTGCTGTACAAACACACAGATTACCGCGACGGCACGGTGATTTCGGCGCGCGACCGCAAGCTCATCATCTCGCAGATCATCACGGCCGCGAACTACGAGTATGGCTTCTACCACACGTTCACGCTGGACGGCACCTACAAGCTGGAGATCAAACTCACCGGCATGCTCAACACCTACTGCATGCACCCCACCGAGCAAGCCGCGCCCTACGGCACAGAAGTGGCGCCGCAAATCACCGCGCACAACCACCAGCATCTCTTCTCCCTGCGGATAGACCCCGAGATCGACGGCAGCAACAACTCCGTGATCCAAAGCGACGCCGTCGCCTCCGAGCACGCCGTCGGTTCCCCACAGAATCCATACGGCAACGCCTTCTACAGCAAGAAAACACCGCTGCGCACCGCACTCGAAGGCGCCGCCGACTACTGCTACGAAACCAACCGGTCATGGGACATCGTGAACACAAACCGCGTCAACAGCATCGCCAAGAAACCCATCGGCTTCAAGATCCTCAACACCTCGTGCCCGCCCCTGCTCGCCAAACCCGGCAGCGTGGTCTACAAGCGGGCCGCGTTTGCACGCAAGCCGTTATGGGTCGTGCCCTACAAGGACTACGAGCTATTCCCCGCCGGCGACTACGTCTGCCAGTCGACAGGCGCCGAAAACCACCCGCACAACCAGACCGTGCTGGACTGGGCGCAGCGCGACGAGAATATCGAGAACACCGATATCGTCTGCTACCTGCAGTTTGGACTGACACATTTCCCGCGCACGGAGGATTTCCCGATCATGCCGGCTGAGCCGGTCAGTATTATGCTGCGGGCGTCGAATTTCTTCCAGAAGAATCCGGCGCTATGGGTGCCGCCGTCGGCGGTTTGTGTGGATACGATGTCGACGAGCGCGTTTCCGTCTTCTTGTTGTGCGGGCGGCAATGCCTCCGCGAACAACTCCAGGCTGTAAGTCGTTGTTGGGAAGAACTGGGGTATTGTAAAAAATTAGGTCTGTTATGGGTTGGATGAATGGACATACCCAGGTGTTCTGTAGATAGCCTCATGTTGGTTGTTGTCTTGAAAAATTATAAATATTTTTGCATCACTTCCTCATACTGAATCTAGTTCAAGAAACAAAAATTAGTAGTAAACAGAGCAAATTGAATCACCAAAATATAAATGCGCTGGGTATCAACGGAACAGACTCTCCAAGAACAATAGAGCAGCATACACATCGTTCAACAAATACAAAATACATGCGAGAACCAAAAGACAGAAATTTCATGCCCTACGATCCACCCATCTTCTTCTCATGAGTCAATTCATGCTCTCCCTCCACAGATCCCGTGCCAGTCAAGAAAAATTCCAGCTCACTGGGCCCGCCTTGAGAGCGTTCATTCTCCGTCAGCTGCTCCAGCAGACCCAGAAACGGGTCTTTTTCCAAACCCCCAGTCTCGCTACCCGCGGTATGCGAGGTGCTAGATTGCGAATGGGCACCTGGGGTCAAGGCAGCTGTGCCGCCAGCGCCGGGTTGTGCAGCTCCACCCATGCCGGCGTGGACAGAGTCGAAGGGAAACGTGGCGTATTGCGGGTTGGAGGGTGGAGTTGGGGCTAGGTTCAGTGCTGGGTCGGAGAGGAAGACTGAAGGGGAGAGGCCGAAAGCGGAGGGGGAAAAGGCGCTTGGGAGAGCGAGGTTGCTGTTTTTTGTGGCTGTGGTTCCAGAAGGACCTGGGGACAGTTCTGTTCCGCTGGGCATAGGGAATATTGTGGACATGGAGGGCGAAGACTGCGGTTGGTGGGCTTGTGGATGGAAATGCAGGGTTGGGGAGAAGGGATTAGGCGCTGTATTTGTTCCCATTTGAGATTGAGAACCTCGACGGCCCACTTCGTGACCTTGCATGGATGACAAGGGAGTGGGCGGTGCTGCTCGTGAGGTAGAATAGAAGCCAGATGGGTTCTGGAATGAGGGCGTAGGAATTGATTGCTGATAGTAGTGATCTTGCTGGTCCCCAAAATTCGCCATACTATTGCCTGATCAGTGAAAATCCAGAATATAAAACACCGGTTGTTGCGCATAGGGAAAAAGAAAGATTACCTTGATACTGTTTCTTCCCCCATATCAACCAGTTGAATGTGGGATCCATCGACCGTCAGTCCTGGATACCTGTCAAGGAAATCCTCGAGGTGAAACACAGGAGAGAAGCGAATAGGACTGCTGGCAAGGTTGTGCACCAACTCCGAATGACAAGTATAGATGGCTTGGAGCAATTCTCGCTGATGCTGAAGCCCTGTCCACGCATTGCGCAACCAGGCCAGCTGTTGCATGCCACGAGTGAGAAACTCGTCACTCGACGAAAACACTTCGCCCTCCCGGCCTTTGTAATGTACGCCATGCACATGGACTGTGCCAGCAGTGCACACACAGTAACCCACAAATGCAGGCCACTCAATCAGCGGGGAGCTACGACCGAGCTCGACGAGTTCGGCAATGGCATTCGAGTGCGAAAAGCAAAGATTAGTCGCCTCGATTTGCCATGACTGGTGCTGTCCTGTACCCCGCAGCTCGACGAGGTCAATCGGGAGGAATGGGCGGTAAATTAGGCAGTGCACAAGATGGTATATCAACTTGCTCAGCAGAAGTGTAGTGCTTTCTGGATGCCCAAATAAGGCCTCTATAGAGGTAAAAACATCTTGCGTGCCGGCAGCCCAGATATCCAACTCCTGTCGGATCTTGGAAAGATTCGAGAGCGCATGCCACGGGAAGTGTGAGTCGCCCTTGACGCCCCCGGCGGCCAGATAGCGATTGGTGACACCAAGGATACGTGTAATGTCAATGAGCAGAGATGCAGTGCTCGGGGATTTTCGGCGCGAATCGGCAGAGTATTGAATGTTTGGCCCCATATGGAAAAGCTCTCCTTCAATATTGAGGCCGGCCGTGTGGGGAGCCCAGGATGGAAGGCGCAGGACAATGGAGTGGTCTGAGATAAGACAGGGACGCCATGATCCACAGTTGATAAATCTGTCCATAAGGTATGCCATCCAAAAGAGGCGTCGTTGCATCTCGCGCTCGGAAGGCGAGAGGTTGACCTTGGATGGCACCTCGCGGTAAAGGCCAAGGGCAACCACCATAGCGACACAATTTGCTAGTAATAATTAGCGGTGGGTCAGAGGGCGCAGAGATGCAACATACAAAATGTCATATAGGCTTTCTTCCCCAGGCCGTAAGCGAAGAAAGCCTGGGAAAGCAATAGCAGAGTCTGCAGACCCTCCACGGTAGGGTTGTCCACGTCGACCATGCGACGAGCCTGGAATGCCGCATCCAGTCCCATGCGCAGGGACTGGTCAGATTGACTTGGTACATTCATATACCTACCGCCGTCAGTGATATGATTCATAGAGAGGAAACAATAATATCACTTAAGATACCTTGTTGTCAGTGCAAAAATGGCCATTGACAAACACGCCGGCAATTGGCCCAACTGATAGTTCTGCCGCGTCGTCGCCTCGTCAAGAATAAAAAAAGGTTTGCCATGCAACCGCGCAAAGTAGGCATCAAGCAGGGCATTGGACAAACCCCCATTCTGTGGTGGACTCGGCTGCAAGCCCGGCGACGAGCCGTGGCCGGTCGGCCTGGCGAATTGCGGCGCATGCTGAGGCAAGGAAGCTGATTGAGCAGGCTGGGGGTCGGTGGGGGTATATAAATTGAACGAGGATGCGTCGATGGTATTGCGCCGGGCAATGGTATAGTTCGGGGGCTCGTCGGGTTTAGGGCCAGGTGAGGTAGGGGAGATGGAGTTAGTATCATCCTGGAGCCGTTTTTCCAGTCCATCGACTCGTTTCAAAAGGGCTTCCAGTACATCGGTCTTGGGGCCACGCTTTTTGGGAATGGCATCTGGGGATGAGGACGTCAGACCTCGCAGATCGGCATGTTGCCCACGCGGAGGGACCCACCGTAGACACAGGGACATTGGAACACCTTGCATGCCTCGCAGCTTGGTCGCAAGCGATTGCATTTGATCTGAGAATGAATCTTGAGTCTTATGCTTGCTGTTGGTCGAGGGTGACCGACCTTTCTTTTGCGACAGGATTTGCAGTTCATCGACTCGCGCGGCTCGGTGGCTACACGGCGGGGCGTGAGACGGTCGATGCTGACCTGGGGGCGAGACATGGCGGATACATGGACAGTGACGGGAAGGTGGAAGGCGAGGAACAAGGAGAAGGAGAGGAAAAGAAAGAAGAAGCCAAAAGAACAAGCGTCTAAGCCCAAAGCAGTTAATCAGGAGTTGTGGGGAAAAGGAAGAAAATGCGGAGAAGTGGGATTTCCCCTTTCTTTCTTCCCGCTATTATTCTTTTTTGTTCTTTATTATTTTATTCGTTTATTTCCAATTAGCTCTACTCTTGAATCATGCTGATCCCTCTGAACCCTTGACTTGCATAGTCTGCAGCATCGGGGCATTTGCCTGTTTCCCTCTTGCGCCGGTTAGGGCTTCGACGCCAACATCCGAACAACCCGGGCCGCGCAGCGTGGTCACAGCACATGCGTCTCTAGATTGGGCATAGAATGTTGCCTCTTCCATGTTTTCTCTCTTGCAGACTGCCAAAATTCCCGCTTTCCCGGTTGTTGACTATACCCCGGATCATGGGCAACAAAGAAAACAAAGGATGCCAAACATGCAAAACTACCCCCACGGACCCAAGGATGTGGTCGCACGAAATGAAAGGGGCTTCTGAAGAGCCGAGGCCTGTATTTACTTGCGATCAACGACATTAGCCACTGCTTTGGATACGGCACAGCTTCACCCCCGGCCGTTTGGTCCCTGGTCGATGCTCGGCCGTGTAGCAGCAATACTAGCAGGACTTTATTGTCCAGGTGGGAGAGAACAAGACTGCGCCGAGGTCTGGTGGTGTTCCTGCAGAAATGCTCCATCCCTCGGGCGCCAACAAGCATTTATCCAAGCGAGATGCCGGACATCGAGATATCGATGGATATTCTAGAGAACAAATAGCCGAACTACTAAGTAAGAGGAAGCTAATGACAACCTTGGAAGTATACATTCAGTATCTCTATTTACTTACAACCTCCCCCTCCGCACAAAATCAGCCATCTCCTTCGCCCGCGCCGTCTGCATCCTCTCCAGTCCCTCAACCACACCCCCACGATCATTAACCGGCCGCTCCTGACTCACTTTAAAGCGGCCCTCAATACGCACAATCTCAATCCGCATACCGACAATATTCTTCAACAGAACCGCAATATATCCAGCCGGCGCATCGGCAATCTTCCACGGCGCAGGCGCGGACTCAGACGAACGGCCGCTCTGTTGCTGTCCCTGTTGCTGGCTCTTTTTCTTTGACTGGTTCTCTTCCGTAGTATTCTCATCAAACCCCATAACCCCCACCTCACCCAACCGCGCCAGATCAGAGATCTGTCCCCGCAGAAACGCGGCCGTCGCCTCTTCCTTGCTATCATGGTAAATTGTCGCGCGCCCGTAGACCTGCACGGCGGCATAGTTCCACGTCGGGGCGACTTTGCCCGTGGCGGGCTTGGATTCGGTGTAGAAGTGTGGGGTGATGTAGTGGTCGATGGGGCTGGTAAAGACGATGAGGACGTCGTCGGGGAGTGTATATTCTTTTATAGTGTTGCTTGTAGCTGAAGCTGGAGTCTCACTGCTGGTGGTGGTGGTAACAGCCTCGACTATGGCTTGGCTTTGCGGGTTTTGGCGGGCAATGTGGCCACGCAGAACCCCCAGAGCGGGTCTATTCTCTGTCCCATGTGCCGTCTCCGTGTCCTCGCTGTCCAGCACCCAGGGGATGTGGCTGCATTGCAGTGTCGGGTGGTTCTCCGAGGGAATGGACGTGGTGAGCACGCCGAGGGGGTGGGCGTGGATGAAGGCGTGGAGGGTGGGGAGGTCACGCACGGCGTGGTCGGGGCGGAGATGCATTGTATCTAAATATATCAATCGCTTCAAAAGAAAAGGAACGAAAGAAAGAAAGAAAGAAAACGAGGAAATGTCAAGTGAATTGACAGCTGGTTAAAGCAGTGAGGGGTTGACCCCGGATTCCGCGATAAGACGCTTATCATCTACGAGGGGAAAAATATAGAGCCCGCAGTTCAAGAATATAGAGGATCTATTGCATTCAATGCCATGGTATAACTCCAACAATAACACCTAGAACAGTGGGCGTCCCGACGCCATGCGCACAAAGTCGAACGGCACATTCTGCCCGACGAGCAGCCGCAGCGTCTCAACTGTAGTCCAGGCACTGACATCCTCGAACCCGTACGCCGTCCACCCGGCACTAGTCGCGACACCGAGCGGATCACCCTTGCGAGGCCCGCTGGTCAGATCCAGGTAGACCTTTCCGCGGGTTGAGGGCGGCGACGAGCGGCCGTTGGCGCGGTAGTGGCGCAAAAGCGGCTGGACAAGCAGCGATTTTTCAGGCGGAAGTACCGAGACAATCACAAAGGGCTGCTCGACAAGTTTGACGGATTGGATGGAAGTGAATGGCTCCAGACCGGCGGCTAGCGGGCCCGTGGCTTTGAACCCGACCGTGTAGATCGCGCCAACGCCCAAACTGCGCAGCGCGAAGATCGCTGCCGAGGCGTCGGTTTCGGACCCAGCAAGGATGATTGCTGCTCGGCCGTGATAGGCTGACGGCACGTACTCGCGCGTCAGAGTTGCTCGGATCCCTTTCCACGCAGCGTTCTCTCCAATGAACCGGGTGTTCCCGTTCGTCGGATTGTCACCCGGCGCGGCCATGGCGATGGTATCCACCAGCCCAATGGCGCGGGCGGCATCGCTCACAACAGGGATATAACCAACTGTACTAGCCACGGGCGGGTTAAGAGAAGCACCGCCAAAATGTGGCTGCATAACCACCGACTCCATGGACCCCTTGGGCCCGCGGTCAACGGAGGAAAAGATATGCGGCAAGCCCAGTTCGTTGAGACACTTCTCCATGAACATAGAATGCGGTGTGGACCGGAACGACCCAATTGCATATAAATCGCGTTTGGGCAACTGGCCCATGATGTGCAAAGCCTCATTAATCTCAGCCGCAGTTAGCTGGCCGGGTGCCGCGATCATCGGGAGAAGAGGATGAGTGATGGGAGAAAACACCGCGTTGAGGGCCCGCGACAGCTGTCCCACCTGGCCCATATTGACGGCCGACAGCAACGGACCGGGACCGCGGTTTTTGATAGTGGATCGGAAGTACTCCAGCTCGTAGTTTTCCTCGGGCGTTTGCACCATGGCGATCATCTTCACGATGTCAGCGTACTTGGCACTCTCGGTGAAGATGCGCTGCGCCTCGGGGGATGTCCATTTCCACGTTCCCGAGAAATTGTGGAATGCCGACAATATGATGCTGTGGCCTTTGACCTCGGCCAGCCGCCGCCGGATGTCCTCGGGCAGCCACAGCTCTACATCAATGTACTCGACCCCCCATTGAATAGCGCGGCGCAGGTACTTGTAGAACAGGCTCGGGTCATCCATGGGGAATTTCCCATTTTCCTTGGTACATCGCGTCGTGAAAATAATCGGCAGCTCGGTATGTTGCCGCAACAGCATCAGCTGCTGGCCCACATACTTCAGACTGGGCACGGGGCTGGCGGGGGTTGCATCCAGCCCAGGCTCAACGAGTAGGTCCACGCGGATCTCCACGGCGTCCGACCCGACAGACAGAATATCCAAGTTCGGGAGTGCGGCATGCACATCCGGGAATGTGGTCGAGATGAAGTTGGTGCGGGTTTTCGTGCGAAGATCCTCGTGCGGTCTTGTTTGGCCAAGAATAAGGGACAGAAACCGGGCGAGGTCCCGTCTGAGGAAAGGAGTGCGCGAGTATAGGAACTCGTAGTCGCAGCTTTCAGTAAGCCGGTCGTCTGGCGCAGACCCATCCTCCACACAGTGCGTGTTGATAATAACCAGAGCCGATCTGTCGCATCCGTGAAGGCCTTGTTCTAGCTGATGCGCCAGAACCCCAGCTACGGTCGGATCGTTCGCGCGCGCAAGGGTCGCTGGCGACGTCTCTGTTGTCCATGATTTTCCCAGTACCTCCGCGACCATGTGCACAATATGCTCCTGGTTCGACCCGAACACGATCACGATACTCCCTGTCGGAGCCTCGGAAGCTGTCACCGCTTCTCGAGCCTCCGCAGGAACGGTGGTAGAAGCTATTGTGGCGATACTGGGTGCGGGGGCAGCATCCTTGGGAATGACGGAATCCTGGCCCTTGGGCTCTGTCGCAGAGATCGGGTCGTCAAGCAGCGGCGTCGCCATGGGCTGCGGAAGAGCTGTGGGAATCATCGCATAGCAGACCGAGGCGTTTTCATAGCTGAACCGGAAGGCAACGACGCTCGGGGTTTAAGAAGAGAAGAGAACAAATAAGCGGGAAATAAAAAATGAATTGAAGAAGAACCACCCGGGAGATTCCCCACAGGTCAAAAGAAGCGGGATATCAAGGAAACCAAAATCCGGGGATCAACGAAGCTGGGGATAGTCGGGGGAGCGCACGAATCGAATCAGGGACTTTGGTCACTTGCATGCGAGGCCAATGTAGACTTTTAAGTCTTAAGTCTCAGGCAACAACAGCGATCGTGCGGCATTGGAGACGCTGGAAGAACTTGAGCGGCGGTTTCCCTCCAATGCGCGCGCCGCGGATCCATCGCGGGGGAAAACTGCGCGTTGCATTTCTCCGCCAATCACCGGCCGCGGTTGTATAGATCGGCGAGAGACTGTATGGCATGGCATCCGGATATATTTTGGCATAAGAAATATGGAATCTATATTGGAGTCGAATGCAGAGGGTGAGATGTATACAAGAGAGGAGCATACAATTCACCCATACATCAAATAATGTTTCTGTCGTGAGATGCGTGGCAAAGTCATATTATGTGACAAGGCAAGGTTGCAAAACAAAATGGCCATGGTGGGACATCGAATACAAGTCAGAAACCAGAATTCCACCCAACAAGTGTATGTCACAGGAAGAAACGAGAGAAAAATACCAGCCAAATCACGGAGGGGTATTGGGGAATGACAAGATTCAGAAACACAGCTGGAAGAGATTTGCCCAGATGAAAGATAACAAGGAAAAAAAGAAAAAGCTTCAGAGCAGGTGTAGATCCGGTAAATGAAGCCATATCACAGCCGAAAGTGCACTTTTTTGTTTCGTTCAACTCCGGCATCAAGCCGGCGAAACACTATGTACGGGGACGGGGGGACGCGTTCGAGGAATCGTCACGTCGACGCGAGGATTTTGAACCGGGGTTCGGGTGGAGTACATGATCCCGGAAGTAATGTACTCCACGCAAATACATGACAAGCGGAACGATATGTTCAGGAGAATGAAGCAAATACGCAACAGATATCACTCGACAGATGCAGAGCTCGTGAATGGTAGATGATGAAATGGCCATGAAGAGCAATGTGCAGACAGCCGCCACTGAGAAGGGCTCAGCATAGGAGGGGAGGTTGTAAGAAAAAAAAGATGTGGTTTTGGAAGTTCAGCCGGGCCAGCGGTCTGCCTTTCTGGTTTTGCATTGGCGTGCGTTGTCAATGGCCGCGATTGGTGGCATTCACGTACTGCCCTCCAGCGGGATATGTACAGATAAGACAGGTCGTTGCCACGAAAGGTGAGCACAAGGAGTGCTGGAATCGATAATTCAGGTGGGAGACGGGTTCATTTCGAGAAAGATATGCATGGATTGGCCCAGGTGGATAGATGATATTCGGACAGTTAACCAGGAATTCTCCCAAATTAGCTTGGCGGAGAAATCGCCAATCCGTTCATGAGCTTGGGTAACGGTTTCCTACGCGCATTATTGGCCGCCTTGGAGACTCGCGGAGCACCATGGATCATGCGGGGTTCTTTCATCAGGCTGGTGTCGAGTTTTGCCGGTGCTGAAGATAGATTGTTAGTGGAGAAAGGGACACCAAGAGCCTTCTTCCTGGACTTACCTCGTGTGACTACCCTGCTGTAATCGCCTGACAAATTTTGCTGACTGCGACTACTCGGGGCAAAGAATGAGGCGCTAGCAGTTCGCCAGAGATGGTTGGATGTGTCCGACAGGAAGTCGGTGGTCGACCGACCGGAGAAGATCGACGTCCGGCCGCGGTTACGCTTCGACAAAACAATCTCATCGAACAACGCCATCCTCGAGTCCTTGGCCTTGGGACTGGTTCTCTCGCGTTCACTGATGAACTCGTTGAACCCTGGGGAAATGTTAGCAACCTCCCAACACAGCCGACGACTGGAAAGACAAATCAAAGCTTACCTTGAGTCTGCTGCAAAATAGCAACGTACTCGGCGTGTTCATGCGGGAGACTCTTCAAGAACGCCTCCATGTTGAAGGTGTAGTACAGACCCGCTTTTCTCTTCTCGCTGTTGGTTGGCACGAGGTATTTCTTGTACGTATAAAGCAAGCTGGCAAAGCACCTGACGAACGCAGCGCGGATCTGGTCTGGATGGAAGGCTGCGTCGCACACCAGACAGACCTGGGACGCACAACGGTTGTGTACAATCAACTTGCATGCAGAGCACTTGTACATTCCTTCCTCAGCCCGTTCATCACAGATAGCACAGGTCAATTTCTCATCCCACGGCTGGACTTGGAAATAGTGTCCCTCGACCCAGCAAGTGCCCTCAGCGTTGTTGACTGGCTGGACCGTAGCTTGGGGAACGATCGTCGAGGCGGCGATGGTGGATTGCGCATACACGGAGGGCGCATAAGTGGAACCAGCACCATGGTCTGTGTTGAGGGTTGTCACCGACAAGTTGGGCGCATGGCCAAGGAACGGCGCACTGGGGCGGCGAGTGACCCCAAATGATGAACTCCTTCGCGATGCCGCGTCGAAATGACCGGAGCGCTTTTCACGCAGTGAGGCCTGCAACGCCATTCCGGAGTCATTCCGCGATGGTGGAGTAGGCGGAGGCGGGGGAAAGTGACCCGAGGTGGGCGAGCTCTCTCTCGGGGAGGGAGGAGACGCGCCGGCTCTCGATGTCGAGCTCGTGCCAGGCCGGTCGTGCCCTCTAGATGAATACCCACGGGAAGGAGTTTGCTCATGTCGGGCGTATGAAAAGACGTTGAAAACTGGGGCCTGGTAGGAGCCTGGGACAACAGCCGTCGAACCGAAAGCACTGGAATTGAGACCGACGTACTTGGCCAAATTGGTTGCGGGCGCTTTCGAAGAGAAGGTGGCCGCATTTTCTGTCACGAAGGAGTCCCACGGATATGTTTCGATTGCATGGGCAGGAGGGCCAGTTGGAACTCCGCAGCGGCTATGATGAGGGGCAGCCATCTGCAGAAGAGACAACAGCTTTCTGCGTTGGTGACGCGGGAGCGGAGTAGGACGGACGGTGCTTTCAATCATATCGGAGTCCAGATCCACCAGAACAAAGTCGTCCGTGGGCAGTTCCACCTTCTCATACCGACGCTCGATGCCCACGATGTACGGACAAGGCGCCTCAATCGCTTGAACCAGACGGGCAGGAAGAACCGGGATCAACACACCCGACCACGGGATAGGGAACAAGAGATCCACCAGGGCCCTCGTTGCGAGGTAGAGCATGGATGTGTGGGAAGAAAGAAAGATGATACGTGACTCCGTAATTGCGTACTGTGTCTAGTCAGCATAACTCTTAAAGATTCTGACCTGGAATGCTGACCTCGAAAAGAATGATGATGTTGGGGACCGACAATGTTCGGAACAAGGCATAAAGATCGGTCTAGAGAAATAATTAGTGAGAGTCAAGACGACGAACATAACTTGAAATCGAAGTTTTGAACGTACATTGCGAGAACCCGGCAGTTCATTGGGGGCTTCTTTCCGAGCGAATAGCCGCAACTCTCGGATGGCAAGTTCAACCTGGGTCTTGGAGGAAATCGGGCAGAAGGCTTCCGTGCACAGGTTCATAACATATCGCTCGAGTGGCTGCCACACTCCCATCCGCGGAGAACTGGGCGGTACACGCTGCACACTCCCCTCGGTCATAGGAACCACGATAGCCTTCAGCCATTCCTTCCAGAAGCTTGTCATCGTGCTCTCTCGACCAAGAATACCGTACGCACGTGGAATCCAAAACCCAGTGTCGCCGTCTGTGAGCCCCTCGATCTTCGAAGCTGCGCCGTGGCGGACGGGGCGCAATAGGTCGGTCATCAGCCCAATCTTTTCCTCCACGGTGCTGATCTCATCTTCGAGTTGTTCACGCGAGTCAGACCCCGAGGGAACGGTAGGTAGCTTCGCCAAGAGTTGAGAGAGCTTAGCCCGCTCAGAGGCCAACCTTTCACCCAAGCTCGCCGCTAATTCGCGCTCCTCATCGGTCATGTTGTCTTTCCGCCATTCCTCACAGCGTTGCTCCAGCTCGTCCGCCGCTTGTGGGTTGAGTGGGATCCAGATAATCACGCAGATGGCATGAAGTCTGGAGCCGTTGTCCGTCGTCATGGCGAATCCGTGCCAGGTAGAGCGCGGTCGCTGGTCCGAGGATACGATGTTGATATCATTTGGGAAAGCGAACATCGGAACGTAATCTGGGAAGTTTCCGCGCTGTTTCATCTCGTCCGCCATGCCTCGAGTGGGGTATCGGTCGAGGAGAACGGGCTCAAACCGCCGTTTCAATGGGTGCATCGTGGGAGAAATCTCGAGCGGTTGCGGAACGGGAATCACCGAGTTATAGTTACTGAGTCGTCGCGAAGTCCGCACGGAAGCTGATGAGCGCAGGCGTCGGTTAGCAAGACCTTCCAACAACGCCTCGGGGTGGCAAGGTTGAAACAACATCAATTCGGGGCCAATCTCACCTTGACGAGCAACGGACGGCTGTCTCTTCATACTATTCATATCCCGGAACGCCATGTGTCGGCGCACGCTCCCAATGCCCGATCTGAGAAGGTTGGACCCCGGCGAAGGCGACTCGTCGTTAACAATCTTCTGCGTGCGAACGCGAGAGCGTGGGCGAGAGTTGGATGTGATAGCCCCGGCGCTCAGACTCAAGTCCGTCAAGAAAGTGTCCCGCTCCGAAGCAAACTTAAACAACGCTTGGTCGAAATCGAAGTCGTCGGAGAACATGGCAGATGCCCGCAACGGAGACGACGCCCCCTTGACCGTCAAACTGCTGCGGTTGCTGCTCGCCCCGTTCGTTTTTTCGGAGTCCTTGGATACGGTGGAGAGTCGCTGATACGAGTTGCGTCGGCTGGCGCCAGTGAACAGCATCGAATTGGGCCGGGACACAGCGTCCGGCATGTGTTCCTCCTCTGCGTCGGCATCCTCCTGGATCGTGTCCGTGAAAGCCGGTCCGGGAGACGTGGCACCGTTGGCGCGATAGTCCTCCCCGAGTCGCTTGAAAGTATCCAAGATCTCCGACCCATCCACCCCAGCGATCCAGAAGTAGTCGGCGAGAGGGGCACCCTCCGTGGCGCCCGTCGATGGCATCGTGGCGAATCGCAATATACCGATTGCTCTGACGGGTCAATGTTCCACCTAGGTCTTGTCACCACATGGATTAGACTGCGATCTCCGACCGCAATCAATCAGGGGGGTGTGTGGGCTGTGGATGCTGCAGACGATAGCAACGAGACTTCCAAGCACATGCGGTTTGGCGAGAGAAACGCCGAGGTCGGTGAGGAAAAGGGCGAGCCTTGCACTAATTGCGAGAATGGGGGGGGAGAAAGAGCAGGGACTTGGGAGGGGAGGAGGGGTTTGGGAGTGAAGATCAATTTCGGGGGTGGGTTTTGGCGTGGTGGCGGAGGGAAAAGGAGAGGAAATGACGATTGTAGAAGCACACTTTCAATGCCACCTGAATATTGTGTTATGGGGCATTTTCTTTTTATTCTTTTTATTCCTCTTGTATTTTTGATTTTTACGATTTTCTTTTATTTTCGCCCAATTTTTTTTACTATTTCAATTTTCCTTTCTTTTTCTCAGGGGAGACCGGCTGGTTGCGTAGGCATGTAATGCAGTTACTGAGGTACTTTACGCTGTAGCTGCGCACACAGAGTTCCCCACTCTACATACATTCTCTTTTCTTTTATCTCTTTTATTTCCTTCTTTAATTTTCTCTCCCTGTCGAGTTCCAAGAGAAGGTCAAATAGCAGACTCAGGAACAATCTCTCCGACCCAACGCAATGCCACTGAGAAGACGGCGATCAGAGGACCCGTTGGCGGCACAAGAGTCTGACCCGGTCGGCGCCTGCAGCCATATGCCGCGTAACGGGGCTTTCTAGACCTCCGGGGTACACACACCCATCACTCGAGACTTCTCATCATGCAAAGATGCCAGGGAAATCAAAAGAATCTTTACATACGAGTATGCTCCCATACGGACGTTGACTACGGGATTCAGACTGCCCTCGGCTCCACTCTCCCAGGGCAGTACAAAACAACCGATGCCAATCTCAGGGCGATCTCGGTGGAGCATATCGTGCACTGTTGCTTGGCTCGCTAGGGGTCGCTCGTTGAAAATCAATGAACCGTTCGGACTTGCCGTGAAAAAAAGGGAGAAGCTCAGATGGCCGGTCCCAGGGGTCGGCAGCGATGATTCCATGGTTGAAGGCGTTCGCCTAGTCCACCGAGCACAGGAAAAAGGGAACAATCACCGATAATGAAGATCATATGTCTTTTCCCTCAGGGATCCTTCCAACGGCCCGGAATGTCAGAAAGGGAAGAAAGAGCCCTTTTTCTGCAGGTATTATCTGCTTATTGGGGGCGGAATTGCTGATGATCACTTTTTTCTTTTGACGTCGCAGTGTGAGACATGGCGGTCTTGGGAGTTGCTGACCGACTTCGTTTTTGTATGTGACAATGTCATTCTTGCCCTGCAGAAGCCCCTGATATTCGGGGCTTTTTGTCTCACTCTCTCGCTCAGGGGGCCGCAATAGCGTCGGACGCTACCGATGCCGGACTGATTGCCATACGATAAGACTGATGGTATTGCTCTGGACATATACATATCCTTGACTCTCGATGGGTCATGGCAATGCGTTCGCAAACCGCCATTGAGACTTTCCGTTCGATCGAAATCTACCATATTCTTTCTGGGGAGACAAACCTCGACTAAACTTTGCAGGTATACCAAGTCTTTGCTCGCGTCAGGAGTCGACCAAGTGGAGGCATTTTGCCTCCGGGGAGCCGATCTATACTGAAGTTGGCAGTGGAGCCCCGAGGATGAAAGACATTCACACAGTTGCTAAAAGAGAAAAGAGATGGGTTAGACGTGATCCCAGAGGCACTCAAAGCATGATTGTATAGCTATCTTTCATAGTTCGCCAAGTCAAACCCGGGTGAACAGCATAGAGTTCGTCCCAATGTTCTGGGACCTCCAGCTAACAAGACACCCTTCAAACCCACTCTATCTCGCCCGGGGATCTTCGGGTCCGTGTTCAGCCCGCCACACGCTAGTCCATGAGGATCCTACAAGTCGATCGCTCGGTTGCTGTATGCACCGGTAGCTTTTTTCGATCGCCTGCATTCCAGCTGCACAGTACTTAGGGCAAGGTTATCCTGACCTGCATCTTCCTCGTGTACTTACTGCTTTGAGAATTGCGAATAAGCGGTGGGAAAGTATTTGAACATCCAATTCTCCAATGTATCAATATCAATAGATCGAAGACTCTACGATGGTCTCGACCCTTCTTAGTCCCACTGCAGACTGAGCAAGTGCCCGAATCCTCATTGTGGAGGCTGTGTGAGGGTTGATCAAATATCGATAAAACATATAAAACATTTATGTCTTGTCATTTACTTTTTGTTTCTGTGTTGTTAAGCGAAACCAATATATGCACGGAAGCAACTACATATCTCCACGCCGCACAACCAGGGTGTTTTATCGAGTCCACCGTGTAATAACCCTGGTCAAGCATCAGCTGCATGGCCAAAGCCGCCGGCCGACTCCCATGCTGGTGGCGCCAGGGACTTGGTGCGTGGCTTGGCAGACTACCAGGATACCATGGAACCTTGCTGTAGGGCTGGAAGCTAGCACTACGGGAAAAGAAAATACAAGAAACATGGCTCATTATGGCATGGTATAGTACATCTTGCGACGGAATTGACCCAAGACAAGTAACTATATCCTGAGGGTACAGTATGAGCTACAATTCCTGTACCATACATTTCGCCCTTGCAGCCGGTCAACTATGGGAGTAGTCGTGGCCTTCATGCAACGAGGCGGCTACATGCACCGAAGACTCGGGTGGCATGCTGTTGTACAGCAGCGGGACCCATCGGGTCTCACACCGCGGTTTCAGCTGCGTTTCCGGCTCATCAAATTGCCCGTCGTCAAGAATCCCTTGTCTCCCATAGCGCCGCGCCATTCAATCGACAACTGGCCTAGGGTGGCGCGACCGTCCCGCCGGAGATCCTTTTGAAGCGTTTCAAGACCGTCGTGTCGACCCTCTTCTTGCTCCACCACGAACGCGACCTGTAGGACGTCGCGCGGGTTTAAGGTCGGGAGCGGCGCCGCCGACATATCTGGGCGCATGGTATCCCAATTGAGGGACTGGGATTTGAACGGTGGCTTGGGGTTCAATCGAGTTTGCTGCCGGGTGTACGTTAGTTGAGACCAGGGTTGGAAGGTGAATACGTAATATCCGCATTGTATCCATTGACAAGAATGTCGAGGGAAGGGAAATGTTTACCTTGACCACCACAGCGCCATCCCCGACGTTTTCCAGTTGCGCCTCCAGGGCGAACCGGAGCAGTCGCGTTTTCCCATACGGGCCAAGTGACTTGTTATTTACCTCCAATGGCGGAAGTTCTGACGCCTTTGTTCGCACACTGAGACACGGCTGCGCGACAAACTGATAGAGCTTGCGAAAGGTCCGGACCCGGCCACTGGCCGCTTGGGCATCCGGACTGACTCTCGTCTCGTTATAGCTGACACTGACAGCTAGAATATGATTCCCTTCCTCTTTGAGGTCAAATCGCACAATCTTCTGTAACGACTCGCCGATCTGGAGCCCATCGGACTGGGCCGAGTCGCCGGCCGGCTCAAGCTCGAGAGCTGCGACTGACGACGGGGTTTGCATTTCGGCGACGATTCGTACTGACGTGACGGCCCGCCCCGGCTCATCGGTTGGGATCTCATTGTTCGCGCTTAGTGTGCAGCCAAAGGTCTCTCCGACATAAACCGATCCGAATGCTGGGGGTAGTGTGAGCTATTCCCCGGGTGTCAGCCAAAAACATCTGGGTGAAGAGCGATGAAAATCCACTATTCACCCACCAGAGGAGTAAGAATGAATTGATCATCCGAGCCTGCAGACGGATAGCTTAAGGGGGCCTTGGTTGAGATCTTTGTGATGGCGGCGGGGAGGGGGTATTGATAAGACAGAGAAGGTCGTGAGAGGCTGGTGGGCGTCAGGAGAAGTCAAGCGGCTGGCCATCAAGGAAAGGCCGAGCTTACCGTAAAACTATCATACAAATATAGGGTCAGCATGCAAGATCTATTCTTTAAGTCCTATGTCACAACTGCATACCTTTGAGAGAAACCGCATGGGGTTCTTTCGGGGCATCGGCGCCCGATGGGGCCCGCGGGCGAGCCATGAAGAAAAGAAGGGGTCTCAAATAATCAAACCAAAAGCAAACTTATTGATTGTAGTCTTTTTGGGCATTGCAGCATGCTCGAGGCATGTTGACAGCAATGCGAAAGCACAGCGGCGGTTCGTCTCCAGGCTGATACCGATAGCTCCTCCAGGCAAACCACGCAAACCGAATAAACAATGCAAACAATGCCCTCTTGCAATTACGTCATTTATGGTAGCTTGAACACACCTACCTCACTGTTTCCTCTATGGCTGATGTGAAATAAGCTATCCTTCCAGAATATGTGCCTTGAAGTAAATGTGCTTCTTCTTTGATCCTCTCATTACTATGTCTATCATTACCGTCACACCCATCTCGTGCTAATGGTTAGAGCACTCGACGTCTACTTGCTTCATCAAGGTCAAAGTGTCAAAAAATAGCCTCCCAGGGTCAGATGCCAGTAGAAATTGCATACCGCAGGAAGGTTGAATGGATCCTCTTCTATAGGCTGCTTTGTATTTTGGTTATTCGTTGATTTATTCTCTGCCTTGACAGTCTCGATAAGCTCCCGTAGACAAACAGTGCAAACCTCCACGCTTCTCTTTGAGAGACACAGCTCTTCGATGGTGGCGACCATTGGTTTTTCCAGCATATGCCCTGGACGGCATTGCTGTTCGTTCATCGGCTTCCCCTGACAACATCAAGTCTATCAAGTCTTCATTCTGCTCAAAGTTGAATTCTCCACATTTTTGTGATGTCGAGATCGGCACGCGCAGACGTCACCAATAGCATCATATTGTACCTCGCATCGTCAAGCAGTCTTCATCATCCGTCATTGCTTCATTAGGTCGTTCATTTGAATACGAAATTTCACTCAACGGATCTTGGGTTAGATCACATCATGGGCCAGGCCATTCCTCCCACTGCTTCGGGCTCCGTCGCGCCCTGTGCATCGCGAGCCACGCGACAGGAACTCCGCAGCACTAACACTACTGGCCATGCGACGACGCCGATCAATCAGTCTCGAAAAAGAAAGGCGCAAAGTACGCCAACGTCAAAAAATGCCGAAGTCATTGATTTGACCAGCGATGAGCCTCCAAGCGCGGCCAAAAAGGCAAAACACCGACAGACCAAGCACACCAAGCAGCCAGATGCATACATTATCCCGGAGCAACGGGCTCGCAGGTTTCGCCACCATCCACCGCAAACTTACTTGGCCAGATTGGCCCGGGTGAGAACTCAGAGGTATGTTTCTCCGCAACTGATCATTTGGTTTATTTTCGTCGACTAATAGCTCAATCCAAACTGAGTAGAATGTTTATTGTGGGCCATACAGTGGGGGGAACGGAGGAGGTGCCGGAGATCTCATTTGACATCATTGGATCCACAGGTAACCTCTACAAAACAATCATTGGGAAGGTGCCGACCTGCGACTGTCCGGACTCACGGAAGGGCAACCAGTGTAAACATATCTGCTATGGTATGATCTTCTTCCCGTTCATCCCTATCAAAACCTACTATTTTTATTGTCGTGCTCTTGCTCATGGCATATCAAGTCCTTGTCCATGCTCTCAGGGCTCCAGGTCATCTCCAGTACCAACTGGCTTTCCTGTCCTCGGTAAGCCTTTCGAATACCCTAGTATCGCGAAGGCTTGGCCTCAGCAGCTCGAGTCTAACACGTTTGCGTTCAAACAGGAACTGCGTGAAATGTACGAGAAATCCTCACTCAGTCGCAACCAGGACATATCAACCGAAGACAATGGCGGTAACCGGAAGCCCATCGATGGCGAGTGTCCTATCTGCTTCATGGAATTCGAGGCCGACGAAGCCATCGTCTGGTGCAAAGCTGCCTGTGGAAACAACATTCACAAGACTTGCTTCTCGCAATGGGCAGCCAAGTCACCCACATGCGGCGTCCGCTGCGTTTATTGGTAAGTGTCCTGGTGTCATTTTACCAGTGCCGTCGCCATTACGCATCTCGAGACCGGTTTGAGCTAATCGACTCGTTTATAGCCGCGCAACCTGGAAGTTCGACAGCCCTACCCTCAATCTTGAATCGCTCCGAAATGCCGAATCTCCCAGCGAAGAAGGCTACATCAATGTGGCGGAACAATTCGGGTTGTCTGGTGAACGTGGTACGGAGCCATCCCTGTAGCTGATCCCTTTTGAACTATACCGAACGTTTTCTTTTTTTTAGTATCTTGCTGACCACCCTGACTCCCTGGGCAGACTATTCCACATACTCGCCTTTCTCAACTTTCCCGGGATCGCCCTTTTATGGGCGGCGTAGGGATCACTCATCTCGTTACGCCAGATTTCCCTTTGGGGATGCATTCTGAGGCTGAGGCTGAGGCTCGACGAGACTGGCTCATCTGCCAGCTCGAGGATCGAATTATGGCACCCTTAAGATGCAACAGGCAAGCTAGTCAAATAGTGGCGGGCGTTCTTGCTTTGGTGCTTTACTTTATTGTTAGATACCCCATCAATCATCATGTTCAAAAACTATCAAAGGATTTCTCTTCCACCACTAAATACCAGACCTGTAGCAACTATAGATACCAAAATTCAATTTGAAAATCAACAGCCCGAGAAGCCCAGACAAAAATCAAAAGGTAGGGTTCAATACCCAACCATGTCATCGACCAGCGAACCTATAAAAATTGGGTATCACAACAAACGCCCACAATTGTAAGGAAAATGACCCATGATAGCCGAACACGCCCCATGCAAAACAAAACAAAAACACAACCAGCAGCACCTCATACATCTTTCCGTAGCCTTCGGCCTTGTCGCACAACCGCCACACTCACAGCCTCCTCGCCAGTCATCCAAGACGGCATGCGCTCGGGATCGACAACACCCAGTTCAGCGAGTTTGCGGAATCCAGCGATGATATCTGATCCGGCGAATGTCAGCGATACCGATGGGGCAGTAGCGGCAGCGTGGTCTGCAGTGCCACCCCCCTCATCATCGCTGTCGTCGCGAGATCCTGGGGTATCAAGAAGGCGAATATCCAGACGATCCAAGGGTGCCGGAGCCAGTGCGGAACCCGATGTGCCGAAGCGGGAATGGATGGCGAGGCGCCGCTTCTTCGAGGCTGGTGAAAGCGGGACAGAATCATCATCGCCGATGGGTGGACGTTTTGTTGTGCTGTTTGTCGAAGATTGAGGATCGTCTTGGTGTTTTGCGTTCTCTTTGTCTTCGGCTCCTCCGGAGATCTTGTGGGATCCGTGCAGGTGTTCCTCTGGAGTAACCGTGTTGGAGGGACGCGGATCCAACGGGCTTCCCTCAACAACGGCATCCGCGAATATGCTGAATGCGCCGTTTGCTACTGTCGTCCTGCCAGGGCCACGTAGTTTCAAGAGAGTCGGCAGGTTCTTTGCGGCCAAAGACGTTGGTTTGAGGGTATATCGTTCCTGAGGACGGGAGAGAGCCTTGGGGATAGCCTCGCGCACCAACCGCTGAAGGCTCCTGGGATCGGTTCCTGCGGCATTCGTTGACACCGCAGGCTTGGAGCCCGTGGAGGCCGCAATGGAGGTATAGATGAAAGGGCAGCTGTCGGGGAAGGCGACATAGATGACGCGCGAGGAATCGGTAAAGGTCTCGGGGGTTGTCGGGGAACTTGATATGGCGAGTCCACGACCAAGATTCGAAGAAATGTCAGGGGTAGAGCGGCTGAGCGAGCGAGGTGAAAGTGCGCCTTGACAAGAGGAGAGATTTCCCGCTGGAGAGCTCTCACAAAAGTCGCCGCTTGCATGCGCGGAACGCATCCAGACCAGTCGGCGGGTGCGGGCTTTTCAGCGGACTTTTTCTGTCCTGCGTGGAGTCGACTAAGCTCAAGCGCTGTCCATCGCAGGCTCGCCGGGTGGTCGTCCATGTAGCGCAGATCTGCCATAGCCAGCTGGCGCAGCGTGATCCCATGTCGCCAATCTCCCTCAAGAATATGTTCCAACACCTCGCGCTTCCCGCCCTTCCGCTCCTGGTAATCTTCGTATGCCTGGCGGACTTCCTCCACAGTCTCGGCCGCGGGGTAGGGGAGGGTTTCCTGGTCGTTGGGGCCGTCGGCCTCTTCATGTTGGAGATAGGGCGGGAAAGCCGCGAGGTTGCGATCATCCAGCCATAGCAAAGCAAGATCGAGCAGTGCCTGTCGGGACAGTTTGCCTAGTGTCTTCACGAGAGAGGGGGTCGTCGAGGGAATGCGCAAGTTGTTTGGGAGACTGGCCGTGGTTGGAGCGCGGACAGTTTTTGGACGCGCCATGACTGGGGATGATCGGTCCAGATAGCAAAGCCTACAAGGGTCAGTAAAGAGCTATACTGATATCAAGTCAATGGCAAGATCATCTTCGTCGAGGGTAATATCGCTGGCTTCGTCCCCACTCGCGTCCACAGATTCCAACGCGCATCAACAAAGGTCACGTGGTGATAACCAGGACAGTCACCTGATCTGTCAACCATATAATTGCCCCAGTGTTGTGTGAGGATATTGTCGATTCCTACGTGACTATAGGGACTATATAATAAATGAGTACACTTTAGCAGCCTATTTTGTGATATTTATGATATTTGTGATATTTTGTTTACCCCTTTCTACTATAGTATTAATTGGAGTTCAGTATTCGAACCCTAAAGAAACATTATAAGTTCATTGATATTTGGAAGTTCAGTAGAAAGTTCGAGGTAGAATTTATAATAAGAATGCTAGAGCACATTTTGACGAATCAAAGCCCTTGAAACTTATATACTTGATTATTAACAACCTGTTAGAGTAATATGGATGTTACAGTGATATAGTCGTCCCCTTAAGTCGGACCCATAGCTTACAGGGGACGACTACTGTAGAGGGGCACCCAGCTAAGGGGGGCCCAAAAATGCCAAGCGGGGCCCAAAATTTGACCTAGCTTTTGGATCCCCGTCGACTTGTAGCCCGACTTGCTTAATCGACTGGGGCCCAAAGAATTCCTTCTTATATGAGCTAATTTTATACACAAGTCTTTTTTTTATCTTTTTTATTCAATATCTACTATATTATGGCACCTTCACAGTATTTCCATGATCCCTTATTTAGACCCCGATTCTGACCACTACGAGAAACTACCCCGATTGAGCCAGGGTCTGAGTTATCTTCCAGTCAACGTATTATTTATGCGTTAGATCATCTTCTTTATAGTATATCTAATATAAGTTTGTTAATCTTTGAATATGTTATATAGAGTTGATCTATGGATAAAGAAAGTATCATTAGTAAGAAATTTTATTATATATCAAGTATTTTGGGCCCCCGGTCGACTCAGGAAGTTGGGGGGCCGACTGTTGGACCCCCCTGGCTGTAACCCGGTACAGTAGATGTGCTAGTGGAAGAATTTAGGCGTGCGATGAAAGGGAGCCAATAATTAGAATAGAATATTTGCAGCATGTGGTAGGCTAATTCACTTATCCATACTAGCCCTTCTAATATCCATGGATAGTTCCCCACATTGGTGACAAAGGGTAAGCTTAAGGCATTTATATAGGTAGTCGATAGCTGCTATATCCACCCATAACCCGATTAGAACCCGACGACTTCTCACTTCCAAGGGTTTCTTTTCGCGCAAGTCTGTCACGACTCATGCGCAAGGCCGGCTGGCCCCTAACAGCCCCCGGCAGCGCCCCGGCCCACTACGAACTCTTGTGGTGATTTCCGAGAGTCGATAAACCCACTATGTAATTTTCCATCCAAGGGTTAAGACTACTTAAAGGAAGGATTCTCAAGAAGAAGGAAGGATGAAGTCGACTTTTTCATCGCCCCCTTCCTCTATAGTGGTCTTGCCCACCACGAAAGGGATACCTCTCTCGGACGCCAAATGAGCGACACGCCATGAAATATCAAAAGTGGTTGCTGGCGATTATCGGGTTAACCGCGTCAACTATCCATGCTCTACCCTCAACTAGGCGTGGGTCGTATCCCGACCCAAACGCCCCGCAACATCTTGAAAAATACGACTTCGACGACTTCGAAGATGTTGACTCGGCCGACCTCGTGAAACGCGATCTCACGACGCAGTATAATGCAGAGCTCCCCCAAGGCAGTATCTCACGACCGCGGACAGCACCCCCGTTCCACGCACCTTACACTTATGTATTTGACGAGTCTGCCGGCGATGGCACTTTTGTCTACGTGATTGACACGGGGTTTAGCACTATCACTCCGGCATATCAGAAATTGGTACACGAGCCACAATGGATAATACCTACCTTTACGCCCAACAACTGGGACAATTTGAAGAATGACCCTACTGACCATGGGACCTGTGTTGGTTCTTTGGTTGCCGCCTACTCATATGGGATTGCCAAGAGAACAACGCTGGTTATTGTGAAAGTGAGCGACAAATTAGATCAAAAGGGTGATATTCGCAATTTCCTTGAGGGCTTAGACCTCACCATCGAGGATATCCAAAGAAAACTCCAACGAGATCCCAAGCTCAAGGGGAAGATCTTTATCAACCTGTCCAGGGGGTACATCGAAACATTGCCCAGAATTGGAGTGACCAAGAAATGAGGCGTTTCCGAGCCGCCATGCATCGTCTCAACGCCATGACCATGATCTTCGCCGCGGCAGGGAATGCTGTTTCTCGTGCCCCTGAGCCCCAAAATCGCCAGCTTCAAAGCTATCCGCAGCTTTGGCACAACGAGCTCCCGAATATGATGATCGTGGGCATGGCCACTCCTGCGGGCCATCGAAGCGCCGGGTCCTACTTCCCCCTCCAAGAGGTCTATGGGCCATTTCCGATGGCATCTGGTGTGCGAGTCAACACCCTAACCCAAGGGGTTATTTTGAGAAAACGACCTGGGGAACTTCCTTGGCCGCCCCGCAAGCTGCAGGGCTGGCGGCTTACATCGCGGGATTGCCCGAAAAGCCCAAGGGGTTTCCAGACCCTCTGGAAGACTTTGATGGCTACGTGGATGCGATGAAAACCCAACTGCGATTGGACTCGTGGATACGGCCGGAGTCCAAGAAGGGTAACCCCAAGCCGGAAGCAGTGCCTCTGATTTCCAATCAGCTCCAGAATCATTGTAAAGGTCGCGCCCTAGACCTCTGCAGATGCGCCATTATATGAGCTATAGACCGAGGACGGGTATACACTCGGCGTCTATAGAGTTGTCCATGGGATGTCGGGAGAATCCGGGTGGCTTCACCGGGACTTGCCGATAGCCTGCTGACAAATGCGGCATTCACCATCCACCAATCATGCGCGCAGGAGCCAATTACCGTTAAAAAACGTCCGGCCGCGCTTGACGCTGGATTTTCTTCTTTTCACCAGATGCGGTCGTGCTGTCGTGCTCTCATGCTGTCGATGCTGCAGCCATGTATCTCGACACCACCTGGAGTATTCAGAGTTGCGCATTCTGAGCCTCGTGTTTCTCCCTCTGCTCCGATCTTCGGCCACCCGGAATTCGATCGCCGGTCGGTTCCAGTGGATCGCCCTGATTTTTGCGGGAGAACAAGCCGAGATGGCCATGGTGACAATGATCATTGAGAAAGAATAAAATACAATAAAAGTTGACCTGAATAGCCAAATATCAGATGTAAAATATTCAAGATCATATTCAAAGATCGCAATAGATTCGGCAGGATTGCAATGCAGAATGCAGAAGCCCTGCAGCGCGATCGGCGGATTATTCATCGCCCCCTCCGGAGACCCCACCACCGCTTCCAGAGTCAAAGGGAACCAGAAAAATCCCACTGTGGCCCCAACCTCGACGACTCTCTTTCCTTCCCTCTTCGCCTTCACCACGTCCATCAATTCTATCTGGTCGCCCGTCGAATTTACGTTCATTCTCTTCGACTGATTCCATCCTGGTCGCTTTACCCGTTTCACCGGCTGACTGAGCCGCATCCGGCGCGACCGAGACACGCCCCTCTGCGTGTACGCGAAACCCATCGTCCATCGAAAGGACCAAATAAACTGGCATCGTTGCGATCGCTACGTCCGAATTCCTCCCTTTTTCGCCATGGCCGGTTACAACGGACGCCGGGCACCCAATGTGTCACAGTACCTCGATGACCTGAACACCATTCCCTCGGCCTACGACCAGGCCCTGCAGCAACAGCAGCAGAACTCGTTCAACGTCGATGAGGAACTAGCCCTGTTCACCAACACCGAGTTCTTCGATTTCGACAAGTTTACCGATCTGTCGCTGCCTTCTTTCGACGTGGAAAATGATAAGACACATGCCGAATCCCTCTCCGACCACTCCCCGCAGAGTGCGGATATGAAGTTCTTGGATTTCTTGAATGGTAAGTTTGTGGCTTGAAAATGGTTCCTATTGGTCGTGTCACTGGTTGGACGGTTGCACCTGAAGCTGCATGGCTTTCCCCTGATCACACCATTATGGGCTTGTCCACGATATGGTGTTCATGGGACCAAAGACTTGCATTGCATATCTCGCTTCATTGGCTCCTATCCCATACTGTCCTTCTCTGGCTTATGGTGTGCTTGTCATTTGTCGGCCTGATGTCGTCTTGTGTGTGTTTTTTTTTTTTTTGACGCTTCAAGCGCCTATGATCGACCTGCACATACCAGAAGCTTGGGCCTCTCACAAATTTCGAAGCCCCTGCATGTCATTTGTGTGGCTTTCCCAGGGCTCATTTCCTGCTCGGCTCAGCCGTCGGAAATTGGCGATTGCAGACGTGCGCGCTCTCCGCTATTACGCCATTTCACGTGATCGGAGGGGAGCCGTGCGGTGCTTCTTAGCCTGTCCAACCAGTTCGGCCCACCGAAAAGGCGCGACAATGTGGATGCTTTGATGTTTTGATGTAAAGTTTCGTGCTAATGGCTTTCTACTAGATGGTTTGGGTAACATGCCCGAGTACCAGCCTCACTTCAACAATGCCAATGCTCCGTCGGTGCCTATGCCCAACGCCTCATTTTCGGTGCCGTCCGTTCCCAATGGGTCGGTGGGTACCAGCCAGGCTGCGGTTTCGGCTGCCCCCATGGCCCCGCCTCAGAGTGTGGCACCCGCTCCTGCTGCGAACGATCACGCGCCGGCGTCGGCCGGCCCCAAGCGCAAGCATACGCAGAAGTCCACCCAGGCAAGCGCTGAAGAGGCTTCATTTTTGGCTGCCGATGAGGACAAGCGCCGTCGCAACACGGCCGCTAGTGCTCGGTTCCGAGTGAAGAAGAAGCAGCGCGAGCAGGCCCTGGAGCGCACGGTCAAGGAGACCACAGAGAAGAATGACGCCCTGGAAGCTAGGGTGTCCCAGTTGGAGCTGGAGAACCACTGGCTACGGGGGTTGATCATGGAAAAGAACGGCACATCTGAGGGCGATGAGCAGTCAGAGAAGGACATCTCTGACATGTTCAAGAAGTTCCTCGCCGCCCAGAAGGCCGAGTCAAGTCTTTCCGCGTCGAAGCGCGGAGTGGAACTGCGTAAGGCCCCAAAAGAGAAAAAAGAAGAAGAAAAAAAAAAGGATCAAAACCATTAAAAAAAAGACACCTCAACTCAACAGCCTTGATTGAATGCCCTGCTATTTTGCCAGTCCTGCTGCTTCAGACGTGACGAGTTCACCGTCTTTTGCTTCTTGTTCATATTGTTCTCAGCGATTTTGTTCTTATTTTCCAGCAGACAAAGCTAGTCAGGATGGCCTCTGCAAGTTGAGGGGACGGCAGACCATGAGTGATGATTTACAGTGCGTTAATTGAATAGACGCTTCGATCGATTTGAGACATCCACGATGTGTTCGTAGTTGGGTATGCCATGTAGGGGTTTTGTTCATTTCTATTCCAGAGTAAACGGCGAGTCATTCCTGATTGTTTCAATTTGCCCATCAATTTCTTATTCATTTTTTTTCCCAGTCGCAAATCGTGGGCATGAAGCTGTTAGTGCTTATGGGGATTGCGACGATCGGCGTCAAGCCCTGCCCACGCTCACCAAAGTTGACCTCAATTCCAATCTTACAACACTCCAGGGCCGGCAATTGCAAGGCTTTCGCTGGCTACAGGAGTCATCGTCCACTGTCCAAGCAGGCCCAAAAAGTGTTCATGTTCAATTAACCACAATCCTTTGAAAATGTCGACCTCGCAGGACACCTCTCAGACCAGCAACACTTCGGCGGTGGTGTACCGCTCACTGCCCATTCTCATCGCCTACCTCAGTCTTTCCGCCTCACTCGCCCTGCACGCCTGTCGAAGCATTTATGTTCGATACAAGACGCGACGGATGCAAAATGACTGGGGAAATGCCCAACGTCGCCGCCAGTTCGCGCTCTTCGCAGGTCTGGCGGCGTTGAGCCTCGGCACGACGTGGTACTACATGTTTGCGTTTTTTGCGCACTCGTACCGCAACTGGGAAAGCGGCGCCTCACTGGCAATTACTGAGAACTATGGCCCCTCTCTGGCGTGGATCTCGAAAGTAGAGCTGTGGCTGCAGCACACGAAACTGTTCCGCGAGGCTTGGGAGACTGTCATCGAGACGCCGGCGCGGTTCTGGTGGAGCGGGCAGATCTTCTTGTGGACTACGGGGTGGAGTGTCTTTCTGGGGACTATGGGTATGGTTTTAGTCTCCTTAATTCTCTGGTCGATGGCTTGTATTTCTCACTTCTCTTTCGCAGCCCGGAGATATCGCATTCCCAATCCCTGGATCTATATGCTCTTGGGCCAGATTGTTGCTATATCCTTTGCGCAGAATCTGTTCCTTGCCACCATCCTTGTGTCCAGACAACAGTCATCTACTCCCAAGAGCAATCGGGGCAGCAAGGACGATGGCGATCATCAGGATGAAGGGAACTGGACTCCCCCTCTCTTCCTGGAGACCTTCCCCGTCGCCCTGTCTCTGGTCAGCACAGTGCTGGTGCCATTAGTTGCACACACCCGATACTTTATGCTCATCTTGCTGATCCCGCATCTGCTACTTTTTGTTCCCGCTGTTCTACGTCCATCTGCGGGAAGTAAAACTCCTACAACCCGCACTGGAACAAGCAACGACAGCCGCGTGTCTGGCAAGACAGGTGCAGCGACGCGGCGATATATTGTCTTCTTTCAGTGGTTCGTGGCTATTTGTGTTATTGTCCATGCCCAATACACGTACTCGGTGTTGGGAAGTGTCGCAGAGACCTCATCTGGCGCTGCCCCGTATGGTGCATTGGCTCGAATCCTGCTCGGTGCGGTATATGAGCATCCGGCTGTAAGCAGTGTGAGTTGGGATGTTATCTGCTGCACGCTTACTGGAGTGGCTTGGATCACCGTTCATGAAGGCGATATAGGCCGGATGCTGGGTGAGATGGAACCTGTGAAGACTCGTGATGATTGAGATGGATTGAATGGACATCCAGAATTGAAATCATGTTCAAAATGTATGGCAAAAGTTGTGTCCTAGAGAAAAGCTTCATGCACCCCCAAAACAAATCATTTTGCTCTATATTATCGAAAAGTCTACTTCTATTCAGTCTCGTCTTGCAACAACAACCACCCCCTAACAACTCCACTCCTCGCCCACCAGTCAAAAACCATCCTAGACGCTCCAAACTTGCCCATTTTCATCCCAAACGGCTTCGCCTCCACGACCCTGCGATCCAAGAACGCCGCCATGCCCGCAAAGACATGCCGCGAGATATCGCGGATCTGGATCTGCGCAGGATCATACCCGGCCGCAACCAGCAGACGCCGGTACTCCTGACCAGAAACAAAGTTTGTAAACGGCGCCCCGGTAACCCAGCACACCAGACACAGCAACAGCCTATCGAACCAGGAGGCATTGTCGGCAACGACCAAATCAAAGGCCATCAGCGAAGCATGCAGCGTCGAGTGCGCATAGCTGAGAAGAGGGAGTCGCGATGGCCGGAAGTGGTACATGCAATCCAGGGCGAGGAGCCAGGTTGATGATGATGGGTGGTCTGTTTGTGCGGTGCTGGTCATTGTGGTTATAGAGTGCTGCAGGTCGCCTGTCCAGCTGTCGGGGTTGGAGGCGTCGGCGCAAAAGACTTCTGCCGGCGGCTTCTCGGGGTTGCTGTGCTTGTCCTGCAGCCGGTGCCGCGCTAGGGCTGCCTGTGCGGGCTCTAGAGTGATTCCGATGTAGGAATCGATCAGCGGCCGCGATGGGGGATGGCGGCTGTCTCCGCCGTGACGAGGCCGTAGTTCTGGATCCGACAGCAGAGCAGAATCTGGCTTTTGCGGCGTGGAATCAAACCCAGAGCCTCTTCCCTCTTTGCCAGCCGCAGACGATGAATGACCGCGCTGTCGCAGTCCCATCAAATACAGAGACTGGTCACCACAGCCACAGCCAACATCTACCAGTTGCACAGGCTGCCCAGGTGGGTGGGCCAAAAGACCCATCGTCAACACCTGGTTCAGCAGAGCCTGGCAAGCCTCCGGAAAGTCCGAAGTGTGCTGCGTGGCAACGGTCAGTCCATTGAAGGGTTCATCTGATAAACCCTTCCCCGATCTGATAAGATTGTCAAAAAAAAAACTTACTTCCCAATAGCCCATGTTCATCCACATTGCGCTCGGGGGCAGCGGCACATTGAGCACCGCATGGTCCAGTCCGTATACGCCGGGGCCGAGCTTGTTGAACAGCCGTTTGAGGAACCCCAGCATCTCCTGACTCCTCTTCTTTCTTTTGGTTGGTTGGTTCTTGTATGGAATTTGTCCGAGAACTAGTCGCGAAGGACTGTCAAAGTCTCGGTGAGGTTGGCCCGTAGACCCCAAGCGGAAGGTCTTCATGTCGATCGTCGGACTTAGCTACGCAGGGATCGATGCGAGGCGCCAAGACTGTTGATTACGTGGAAATGAAACAACTTGGACTTGTTTTGATTTGACACCGTTGACTGAATCATTGAGTTTATTAAGAGTGGGAGCGATGCAAGAAGAAAAAAAGGCTACATTAGCTGCTGGGGCGATTGTCCACGGGAATCCCCCGAGTCGTCAACCGGCGAAGCTAAGTATATCTACGATAGGCTTGCCTCTGTCATTTCGCTGACGACGTTTGATAAGTTCTTATCCGGTGTAGGCGCGTGGTTCCAAAAGCACGCGTCGTACACGGGGTGGATATACCGAGTATATGGCTCTGAATTCGGCCTCCGCATCCTCAACCTCGAGACTCGCAAGCAGCGCGTGTTGACCACCGCCAAAGACAACCTGCCCTTCTACTCACCGGATGGGAAACGCATCGTCTTCACCCGGCGGACGAGCTACACCAACTTCGATGTTGTGACCATCCGTCTGGATGGCAGGGACCCCCGCCGTCTTAACAGACAGTGGTGCCAACGACGCTCATGCTACCTGGACCATGGATGGCCGCATCTTGTATTCCAGCGGCATGTACGGCTTCCGCGATGAGTGCGCTCTCTACGATCAGACTTTCCAGCCCTATGGACAGATCATGCAGATGAACAGTGATGGGTCCAACAAGACTCTCTTGACGGATAGCAAGTGGGAGGACTCGATGGGGCTTTATTTGCCGAATCATGGGCTTGAATGAAATAAAAGTGGTATGAGGGATTGATATGTCGATCTGTATGTAAGCCTTGTATTTTGTAGGAGTTTTAGCATTAGCCGATGGCCAGTGTAAAAATGACCATAATTCGTCATTTCCACTCCCTCATATCCTTCTATTATAGTACTATGCAGTTCCTATCTCTACCCACCGGTCTCCATACATCCAAATAGAAGATAATCTCCCATCTCCATATGACTGTTCTCGCCGAGCCCACATTTCTGCCGAAAGCAGTAATACGTGTAATGGTTTTGCCCAATGTCGCTGCATTATCAATTAACAGCCATGCAGCGCCTTTGCCATTGGGAGTGCCAATGATGGCATAGAATTCCTCATCGAATTGGTCAAATGTCATCTCAGGAGTCCACATCGTTTCTTTCCTGGCTGCACGAGCCAGGCCGACCTTTGCCCTGGCTGCAGCCTCTTCTAGCACATCGAGAGTCTCTTCGTTCTTTACTTCGTTCTGTATAATGACACTGAGACTGGAGGGAGATATGCCCTTGTACTTCAGACAGGCCTTCACCCAGAAGTGCCAGGCCATCTGGGACCATCTTTCCCGTAGGCCTACGCCTTCGTTGTCAAAGGCAAAGATCATGCCGCGCGGAGGGTTGAAGTAGTTGTGATAGTAGAGCTCGTCGTTCTCCCTGGATACCGCATCCACATCGAAAAACTCTTCGGTGTCGGGGATTCCGAATTTTTTTTCCAGATATTCGTCGTCGGGATGATCGGAAGTTTTTCTTTCCCATTTAACTTGGTATTTAGCAGCCACTAGCTCGTCTGTGAGGTCGGCCCGATTTTTCCTTCTTCTGCGCGCGAGCACAGACTCGAGATGCTCTATATAACCCAGGCCCTTCCTGGCGTATTCTCGGAATTGACTGGCGGTCAGGGCCCGGGATGCTAGTTTCTTCGGCGGCCGGGAGACGTAGGAGCCTAAAAAAAAATACAAAGAATTGTCAGCTAGCTACATGCTTTTCCGCACTGCCTCACAAGACCGACCTAGGGGAAGGGGTTCTTACTCAAACCCCATACTTTGCACTCATCCACCACCAAATATCCCCGGAACGAGCTGTGCACATATTGCACACCGCACTGGTAGACGATCTGAGACAGGTATTGTTCACACAATTGGTCCACACGGCCAATACTGAAAGTGGCATGTTGGCAGCTGGCTTTAGAGGTGTCGATCTCTGCTGCTATTTCAAGAGTGTTGGATTCTATCGTCCATTTCCTTGTCAGGGACTCGTCTGGCGTAACTGTGACTCGGTGCTCTGGGGTGCAAAAGTCTTGGATATAGGTGAATACATTATTGGCGCTTCCGTTCGACGCGGGGGCGGCCTGCGGGGGGAAGTCCAGCACGAAGCAAGTGGGGTTGTCGAAGCCGAAGCTATAGATGTTAGGGCAAGCAGCGCTGAAATCGCCGTTGTCCATGCCATTGTGCAAGACCCATGGAAAGAGACAAAAAACTGAGACTGCAAAAGAGAACAATGTTAAGGCTCATTTTGCTTAGTTCTTGGGGTAAGACTTCTTGGGGGCTAGTTATTGATTACTGCTTTGTTCTCTGTATTCCTTGCCGATCCTTCGCTCTTCAAGCGCCTCGTGCTCATTATTGCTGATATGCCAAGCCAACCGCCCGCAATACCCAACACCTCAAGGATGGTACGAAAGTTTGATATCTCATCCTGGGCTCTTGGTAAAAGAATAAATGAAAATGACTAGATACTGCCCTCGGTTTATGTGCTTGACTATAACAGAGAGAGTGCTTTTCTTCAATTTCTAGCAGAAGACAGTAATTCCAGCGCTATGGCCTTCGTAAGCGTGAACAGGGCACAAGATAACTGTGTAGATCTGGAGGAGGTTGGTCTCAGGCGCCATGTATTACCACACTACTAGTAGCCAATGGTTTACACCAATGGCATCCCCCGGCAATCCCGAATAAGACTTAGAGATATATCTTGATTTGTTAAAAAGCCCCATTTCTCCCAAAACTGCATCGCAAGTGGAGACCCAGGGCACATCTTCTCAGCTGATTTCACATTTGATACTTCCTTCATTCATTCTCAGGCCATTTAGCGATAGCCGAGGGTAACACAGCGTGATTCCTGCAACTGTGACATGGACAGTGGATAGAGTAGCATGAAAATGAAAATGAACTAAAATAAAGCTTACTTGCGTTTAAAACCCTTTGTTTTTTTTTTTTTTTTTTTTTTTTTTTTTTCTTCGAGCATAATTCATCTGTTGCAACTGGAAGTTCAGGTGAGCATCTTTGCCTGATCAACAACTCCGTGAATGGTTGGGAGACTGAGGGGTGAAATGGGGCTCGAGGACTTGCTTGGAAAAGATGAAAGGGATGTCAGCGGTTTAAGTGAAGGGTCAGTCTTTCATTTGTAGTAAAGATAAGTTTCATTATTTTCGATCAATTTGACACAGAATGCATCACTCTGTAATTAAATGCGCACAAGCAGAAACATTTCATGAAAAGCCCCTCGTAAACCGATATTCTCTATCTGTCTTCATAAATGCAATCAGGTCATGCTCGTATAGACAAAGATTCCTTGCCGCTGAATATCAAGCATCGGTCTTCCCTAATCACCCATTCACCAGTCATCGTGTCTCATTATCCCACGGCGTCCTAACGTCCAGATCCGCGGCAACTCTCATGGCAGAGACGATGCACCCCTCCAACAAGACCATTCCATCCCAGCACCATCCACCAGCAAGGTAGACGCCATCATCGCCGCTGCGCCAAGAAGACGATGCGGCATAGGAAGAATCGCAAGTAGAGGGCACATTGCTTTGTGAACGATCTCGAAAGATAGAGTTGACAATAAGACGACTGCGCGAATCGCGCAGAACACGCGTAAAACGGGCGGAACGAATCACTTTGGCCTTGTTGACAGGGAAGAGCGGGTTGGTGGTGACCAGGATAGAATTAGACTGTTCGTGCACAGACTCTGTGGTGGAATCTGTCGAGAGGAGATGGATCCGCTGTGTGTTGAAATTAGTGGCATTTGACAAGGGGAGCTTGTTTGAAAAGAATGAGCCCGTCGCACGCAGCATGGGCTCAACGCTTGTGGTGTCGGTGTGGGCGACTGTCTCGACGCTGGTGGTGGGAATGGCTGTGAGTTGAGCCTGCAGCGGAGCGAACAATTTAGCAGCAATATCTGGAGACACCGCCAGCACGACCATGTCGAAGTGTTCTGATACAGTTTGCCCTTTGAGTCCCGAGTAATTGACGTGTACCCCATCAGGCTGTGGGAGCACATGTGTCAAGTCAACTCCGAGCCGCACGTCTATCCCCTTGAGCAGCTTTCCTTGGACCGATTGCACCCCTGATGACACGACATAATGCTGTTGATGATGGGTACGGCGCTTATATTCCAGGACGTCAGAGGCAGGGAAGCGCAGCATTTCCTCATGCGAGCAGGTGCAGACGCTTGAGACGAGCGGCAGCAAGTAGTCGGTGACATAGGACTGCGGCAGCCAGACGCGACGGAGATAGTGGTCGAGTGACTCGCTCGGGGTGCCATTTTGCGGGTCTTCAGGAAAAGGCGCTACGAAGAAGCAGCAGATGGTGAACCAGCAGTAGAACAACAATGCGTATGCTGCCTCTAGAAGCCACTGCACCAGATCCATGGTGCGCGGAATCGGGGGTATTTGATGGAAATTGGAGGCATAGACCATCCGTGGGCCGGGAATGGGTGATGGTTTCAATGGTGATGATGATATCTCCTGCACTTTTCGAGGCAATTTGGTGAAGCTAAAGAGAAATGACTGCGCATGGTAGCGGACACCCAAGTAGTCATACATCTGGATCAAGTTGCGATAGAAGCCCCCTGCAAATGCGCGCATGGGCACATCCGCCCAAAGAGGGGAGTTTTTCTCATCCTGAGAGTGAATCGCAATTGATTCGGCACTCAAGGAGATTTGGTCTCTCTGAGAAGCGAGTTAGCGCCACTGCTATATAGAAGATGCATAGAAGCAAAGCAAAAACCAATAAATCAACGATAGAAGAACGAAGGAAGCTAACGAAAGTTCCCTACCTTCTCCAGCAACGTCACACGGTATCGCTTTTGGGGATCCTGGTGAAGCAAGTGTGCAGTGACCAAGCCTGCCATGCCGGTTCCCACGACCGCGACCGACCTCGGCTGCGAAGATTGCGGGTCCATGGTTGTGATTGCCATCTCCCTTAATACACGACAGCACTGCACCAGGAGCAAAAGGTGCAGGCTATGGCGACTGGCGCTTGTGTGTAGCTTTATATAATTTTCTTTTTTTCCCCAGGGGAGACCAAAGGAAGTCAGATCGAGTCAGCGTGAGAAAAACATGGCGGTAGACGATCAGTTCTGCACAAAACCATTGGGTTTCCCGGTCACCCGCATCCACAGTTCTGGGCATTAGCGAACTGCTTTCCCGATCTAGCACGATCGGCAGAGTAAGCATGGTCATCGCTAATATCATAGTGCTTAATTCTGACGGGTGTTCGAGAAAAATCGATAAGAAATATAAATAGAATCAAAAAAGAGCATGCTCTTTGTACTTACAGAACTTCATTTGCTTGGGCCGAGGCTGGTTGTTCTCGTAATTTCCCTATTCCAGGGTTCTATTATCTCTATCACTTTGACTTCTCGCTGGTTTCCTCCGTTTATATGGTAGATTTCTTTCATATTCAGTGCGATCGGCTTGGATAAGCAGCCGCAAATCCTCAGTCGAGCTCTTCCTGGAACAGCAGCCGTCGACTCAGATCGTCCTGGACCCATTGCTCAATCAGGGCGACAGTATCCCCAACGAGGTGATCGTAGTTTGCACCATGCGGGATAAACATGGATTGATGCGCTTCCACTTCATCCATGTCCTCCATCAATATCGGCGTCCAGTGGGAATTGTGCATGTACTTCCAATGATGGGAGGGTAAGAGAATGAATTTGCGCAGTTTCTTTTTCGATAGTTCCGAGCTCAACCCAGACTCGGTCGTTGTAATGGAAACGTTTTCTGAAAGGTCATGACTGTCTTTCCGGTCGGGGGAGCTCAACGAGGTGGTGCTCGTGTTGTCCACGAATGCTTGTTGACTCTTTTCCGAACTGGTCTCTTCAAGTACCACGGCAGAATCAGAATCCGTGGGCTCTGGGGCTTCTTCTTCAAGTGCCAAGGTGCTCATGGCCTTTGTTGCCTCATCTTCCTTTGAGGCATCTAACGTTTCTGACTTCTCCCGCGAAGGGAGTGTCGAGGTATGTTTGATCTGATCCTCTTCTGCTTCTGTTTCCTCTGCGGGCTTTGCCTTCGTTTTCCGCGATATGCGACCCGTACTGGCAGTGTAGTAGTTGACGAACCGTACCCTCTCAGGGCTATTCTCTGCAGCCTCCAACTCCAATATTCGACGATACCGCCGCCGAAGCTCTGAGAAGTTATTGACACAGCCAGCAAATTTGAAAGGCGATATGACACGGTTCAAAATAGATCCGGAGAGATTGTCCACGTTCTTGTTGACAAAATGCATCATGCCCTTAAAAAAGCCCCGATCTACCAGACGTACATCGTTCTGGAATGGAGGGTCAAAGTTGGGATTGGAGGCGGGGTTGTAAACTGGAGTCATGCCCAAGGAATCTTGTTCTCCCGCGAGTTTGTCCTCGGCTGGGATATCTTTCCTGGGAATCGAGGCACCGATCCCCGTGGGGATCACGCGGGGATGCAGCCCGAGAAAGGGGACGTCAAAGTTGATGAGTCCCAGGATTCGATGTCTCTGCAGAAGCGCGACGTCGGCGGCCACGATCCCGCCGAGACTGTGGCCCAGCAGGATGATATCCAGATCATCTGCCTCATGCGGTGATAGCCTGAGAGGTCCGGAATCAGTATCCCTGAGAGTGATTGAATCCAGCGGACACATACCAAGCGCTGAATTGGTGCACCGCTGTTCGCATCTCGCCGTGGGACTTATATCGAGGGTAGATGCGCGTATATACCACATGCGATTCGCTCAACAAACTTGTCAACAGGTTGTGAAGATGTGCCGGGAGATCATGGAAACTAGCCTCCGAGCCCATGAAGCCATGGACATAGACCAACAATAACCTGCGCTTGTTCGTGTCCTGAGGTCCCGGCCGAGGCAGCGACAGGCTGGAGACCGAGTAATTGGCACAGCTGTGCATGTCGCCCTCCATGCTGTGGAGTATCACCAAAGAGGTGGATTAGGGAAACTTGACAAGCAGGTTTGTCTTCTGCGCATAAGCCACAAGATGCATTCCGGGGGGTCGTCTCTGCCCCGCTTGCCACGGCCCCAACGCCGTTCGAAGTATCCACAACGCGGAAGAGCTAAAATGTCAAGTGGAACGAGGTTACTCTAGTCTAATTTATGGGTTTATTTGGGACGGAAGAGCGGGTTACAGCTTGAAGTATGCACTATCATTGCCCAGCACTCGGGCTGAAATGGATATACGAATCAATTTAAGGCTTCAACCGAATGCGCAAAAGAGAGAGCATACCGCTGAGGGTATCAAAGTGCCATCCCCCCCCCAAAAAAAAACGCCACGGATCAAACGCCAGCCCGTAAAGAATACCAAGTCCTGCCAAACCCATGCGTCCAGTCATTAAGATATTAAAGTGAGTCGGCTTTCCCTTTCCAAGGAAAATCCGGTGCGTATAGTCCGAAACTTCAAGTCCCACCGTGGAGCCGCTAAGGCAGAGAGGAAGCCAGTGAAAACGATGATTAGGCTTTCCTTGACTCATCGGGACCGTCGTCGGTCCTTTCGTTCTCTTTGTTTGCGGTCGGCTGGTCGTCGTTCTCTTCATCGCCGGTGATCTCCCCCCAGCCAGAGCTTCTTCGACTGATGCGACCGGATTGCATGGCAAGAGGACTGCCCACACCACCAGTAACACTGGCAGTGGTGCTATCATTGCGACTATGGGAGTGCGCGCCACTACGGACGCTAGCTCCATCCGCTGCCACAGGGCTCTGTTTGGCAGTATAGTAGCTGCCTCGCTCACCAGCGCCACTGGCCAACGGCGTAGCTCCAGACGACGAGTAGACACTAATGCGCTCGGCACTAGCAAGCCCAACCATACTCGGCCGGCTCAGCACCCCCTGCGCATTGAAAGCCGAGGTGTTGGATGGTTCCGCAACGTTACCGCTCAGAACACTGAGTGGTAAACTTTCGCGACTGCCGCCGAATACGGACGATGGTGCCAGTGCCCGAACAGATGCATTTGTATCTAGAGAGTTGCGACGGCGGCGCTTGGAGGAGCTTGCTAGCGTCAGGATGGAGGCGTTGTCGGTCAGGGCATTGTTCGCGGTTGCAGTGCTGTATGTCATGGCATGTCCATGAGGGGCAAGGTGGGAAGGTACGGCAGTCGCGGGCGAGGATGACGACGGGAACTGGTGTGAGAACTGGACTTGTTGGTTCGCCGAGCTCTGCGTCGAGCCACCATGCGCGTGGCCAGGCTGGGTGTTCGGTGCCGGATATAGTTGGGTGGACGGCGCTGCTGACTGCACAGTGGTCAAGGTTGTCGTCAGGGATCGAACAGAAGGAGCCGGCGACGAGAACGTGCTACCCTCTCCTCCTCCTTGGGAACTAATTCCTTCACCACCCGTCGTCAATGTCCCAGCTTTGGAATATGCCATGTCTGAAGCCGCCGTCTCGCCGTTCGTCGACACGGTCGGCGCAGTAGATTTAGCACTTGTCGCAGGGACCGCATTCTCGTAGCCTGAGTAGACAAGGGACGGGTCACTCCGCGAGCAAGACTCTTGAACGTCGTGCTCAACCACCGGGTATGACTCGCTTGGGTTTTGAGCCCCAGCGGGGCGGCTGAGGGTTCCCGATAGCGGGTACGGGTTGTTCGCCTGGTCGCCCTTCTTTCCTTTGGTGGTTGCATGTCGCTTATGAGGCCAGCGATTGGTGCTAGAGTCGGAGTTTTTCAGGTTTGCGAGCCGCTTCATCCAACTGGAAAATGGGTGGCGGCGTCCTGTTCGGTCTATGTTGTGGTGATGTCGATTAGCAACTCCATCACACCATACAAAGAGCTAGAATACCACATACCATGAACCCGCGCAGGGCTCTCGGTGGTAGCCATGTTGAGAGCAGCAGGGGGTTGGAGGGGGAATGCAAACACGCAAGTCGCCACGCTGCGCAAGCGTCGAGGCACGTCATGTGCCCACTAGTCCTATTCAGGGAGTCGCCCTTTGCTCTTGAAGAACTTCGACCTTCACCTATTTTCTTGATTTTCTTTGCTTGGTCTGTGTGACTTGAGTGACGCCATGGAGTGTCTTGCTGAATGACTCTGTCGGAAGTCCTGTCATGTCTTCCTCTGGATCCACCATCCGCCCACTCCCCTCTGATGTGGCCGCCAAGATCAAATCGTCTACGTCGATCACACACTTGACTGGCGTGATTGTCGAACTTGTCAAAAACTCTTTGGATGCCAATTCCCATACTGTTTTTGTCACGGTTGACTTCGCACGTGGGAGCTGTGTAGTCGAAGACGATGGCCATGGGATCGCACCCGCCGAGTTCCAGTCGCATGGAGGACTTGGAAAGGCACATCGTATGTGGAGCTCGCGGCTGGCATCATGAAGCTATATTTACTCACTCGGCATAGATACTTCTAAATTCCAAGTGACAAGTGCATATGGCCACCGGGGTCTATATCTGGCTTCCCTGGCCTCTCTTTCATTGCTCACCGTGACATCCCATCACCGTCACCACCAAAGCACCAATTCCATCATTTTTCATCACTCGACGCCTGTAGCTAGATTGGTACCTGCTCCGGTACACCAGGAGCTTCGATTTCGGGACCATGGCACCTGCGTTACTGTCAATAACCTCTTTGGCAATATGCCAGTGCGTGTCAAAAGTCGAGCACTGGCTCTTCAGAGACCGGATGAACTAGAACGCGAATGGGACACGTTAAAATACTCATTGGTTGCCCTGATGCTGCCCAACCCCCAATTCTCGAAACTAGTTCTTTCCGATGCAGCCAAGACCAAAAAGGTCACTGTTCGCCTTGATGGGTCGGTTTCCCAAAATCAAGCTGGTCTGCAAAGTGAGCTCAATCTCCGCCGGATTGGGTCAATTCTAGTGCAATCTGGGATGGTTGCTGCCAGAGGTTTAGACTCATGGCATGTAATGTCGGCCTCTATTCCCGATCTGATGGTTTGTGCTGCAATATCCGTCGCCCCAAGCCAGACCAAGCAGGCCCAGTTTATCTCGTTGGGCACAGATCCAATTCTCTCCCGGAACCAATCCAATGTATTATACAACGAAGTCAATCGTTTGTTTGCCCTGTCGGACTTTGGTACCATGGGGGCAATGCCTGAGGAAACATCTGCGGCATCCCAGGCGTCCCTAGATCGGTCTGAATCTATGACTGTCACAAGTGCCAGGGGATGGGCACGCCCTCTCAACAAGTGGCCAATGTTCTTCATCCGTATCAACTCGAGTGCAGCCCGAAAGTTGCATAATGATGGTCATGAAGCACTGCCAGAGTCTGACCAGTCGCTTCAGCGCATTCTTGATGTGCTTGAGGCGATGATTCAAGAGTTTTTGAACCAGCATAACTTGCGGCCGCGTGCCACAAAGCGATCAGGAAGGATGCCGGACCGGACTCGGCACGCCAGTGGCAGGGGGCAGGAAGCTGCCGGTCAGCCCGTGGGCACTGTTAAGCAAAACTTTCCAACTGCAAGCACGGAGGAGGCTTTCAGCAGTCGTTTGAAACTCCCATCTTTTCAAAAAGCTCAATCCACTCTTTCTGGCCCCAGTTTCAACAGCTGGTCTAGAGTCAAAGCAGCAAAAGATCCTAACTCCCAATCCCCACGCCAAGTTCAAGCTGAATCTGGTGGCATGCCTGGAAGAAATGCCAGAGATCATACACGGAATCCTCATCCTGATCATCAAGAAAGGCTCAATGGCCAAGGACAGGAGATTGAAGGCCAAACAATACAGTCCAATGTCACTCCTTCTGACGGCGACTACATTGGGACAGTAAATGATCTTTCTTGCAATGCGAAAGACAGTCTGATCCCGTGGGTTGATCCACATACGGGGGAAAAGCATATGATCAATTCCAGAACTGGACAAACAATGGATCCACGGAAGTCCATTATTGCCATGGGAAGCCGGACCACTGATTTCGCGGCCGGTTTCTCGACTGCCGATCAAGTACGACGAACACAATCCGCACCCACCCAGATACAGAACCTTTGGGTGGACAACCTTCTCAAGTCATGGGAAAATCCTACATTCACCCGAACCGAGACGCCTATATCAAATTTGCAGCCGATAGCTCCTGGCATCCAGAAATCAGGTTTTCAGGAGTCCCTTCATGAGATTGGGACTCTGGGAATAGCCCATGTTGCCAAATTTCGAGGAAGACTGCAGCGTCACAGCCTCGAAGCCGCTGAAATCATCGCGCAGGTGGATCGAAAATACATCGTGGCTAAAATCGGCGTGGCATCAGTCAACGAAGCCAGGGAAAACGCAGCAGAAGAGGTTTTGGTCTTGATTGATCAACACGCGGCCGATGAGCGGTCTCGTGTTGAGCAGTTATTTGAGGAGATGTTCCTTCCAACGATTCCATCTCAGACTTTGCCTCGTTCGAGGAGAGTTCAAACTGTTCAGGTCGAGCCTGTTGCTTTTGAAATATCACCTACGGAAAATCTGCTCTTTCGAAAGTATTCGCATTTCTTTTCGAGCTGGGGTATCTGCTACGACACAGACGAGACTTCGGGCTCTGCTGCTCTCGTGTCTGTACACACCCTCCCGACGCTTATAGCTGAGCGCTGTCGGCTGGAACCCAATCTGGTGATCGACCTGATTCGGCGAGAGGTCTGGGAAAGGGAAGACAATGGTGTTGGGCCGTTGGGGTCAAAGACAGCACCTGAGGAGAAGGACATAGCGAGGCTGAACTTCTTTCCATCGGATGAAGAACCACCCCCCATGCAAAACACGGACGCAGCACGACACGCCCCCTTGTGGGTTCAGCAAATAGGTGGCTGTCCCCAAGTAATTATTGATCTCCTCAACTCTCGTGCCTGCCGCAGTGCCATCATGTTCAACGATCCATTGAGTCTTGACGATTGCCAGGCTTTGGTCTCGCGGTTGGCTCGGTGCGCGTTTCCATTCCAATGTGCTCATGGACGGCCTTCGATGGTTCCCATTCTGGATCTTCGGTCGCCGTCTTATGCCTCGGATTCATTGGTTCCACAAGCAGACGTTATGTCTACGAGTCTTGATCAGGAGGATGGTGCAGATTTGAGCTTCCTCGAAGCGTTTCGGGCATGTTATGCAACTTAGGCCACTTCTCCAGATACAATTCCAACTGTACGATAAGATGATGAATCCAGTTTCTGAACACCCACACTGCGTGCTTCCCTCATTGCAGTTGCTCTGCAAGTAACTGAATATGCCATTGTAGTGGCTCCTTGGGACATCAAGTGTGAACACATTCCAACTTGATATAGCTCCCACACATGTCAGGGGACTTTGATCCAGAATAGCTAGTATCAGCATGGATGGCTTGATCGCATGTCTGAGTAAATTTGAAACTGGTGAAAATGGTGAAACTGATGTTTTGAATGATATGAGAATGAGAGAAATGAGTTACAGGGGGGGGGGGGGGGGATGATAGGTAGGAAGGGAAGAGATGGTGGGGATATAAAAAGAAAAAGATTAAAAAAAAGATTCAGGGACATGTCCCTAAATTGAACCAAGGACCTGCGGAGTGGTCCCACCCGAAGGTAGTAAATGTTAAGGATAGAACAGTTATCTCAGTTGGGTCTTAGGAGCAAGCCAGCTGCCCTGTGAGTATCCCCACTCGATGATCGCATCAGCCGGGATTTCACAAGACAGTATCTAGCAGGTCTGCCGAGAGCTGGTAGCCACAACTATCAACGGCATTACCACTAGGCCACCTGCCCTTGGTTCGTTGAAAGGTGACCCTGGACCTAAAATCTAAGGGACGAGAGCAAACAATTTCCTATTCGGGAAATAGGCACCTTCCAGCCACATGTGTGGTATTTCTCCTACCCCCATACCCCGTGTCTGCATCCGCTATCACAGGCACTGAAGAATCCAAACTCGCAATGAGCGAGGCGTTGTCCCTCATATCATTCAACGTGGCGAGGCCCAGGTCCGGCATGCCAAGGCGCGATACAGACGTTCCGGAGCCAGTCTAGATGCGATTTAGCCAACTGCCTCGATATCTCCGTGTATTTGGCAAGGTACCATATACAACGACTTGAACCCTGCATGGAGGGCGATCCGCGCACTCAGTCCGTCGTACACCCCGGGACAGACCCAATGTCATCCGTTTGAGCCAGCTGGCTTCGCAGCAAGGCTGCTGGGGAGATTGGCATGGTCGTGCTTCCCATCGTTTTTCCGTGTTGATTGTGGCTGATGCGACAGCGTGGTGATGCAAGAAGGTGAGTCGCAACTCGCAATGCACTGGATCCGGCGGATTTATACGCCGTTGATGAAATTGGCAACATTCAGCAAGGAAAAATGTGGGATCTCCGGTACTGCAATCCATAACATCCTGGTTGGTTTGAGAGCCAATGTGGATCGTCGCGGGGATCGGTCTTTTGATCGAAATCGGCAAATCCGCTTGAGGCGACGAGTCGTCCTCATTGATGATTCACAGAAAGTCAATTTTATGCAATACTCTCTATATCTCCTTTAGGGGTGCCGAGATCCGACCTTTTTTAGGCTTCAACTTCCAGTTGCGTGCGTGCGTATACTCCTCCAGCTTGAGGCAATTTGCGAGTCGAGTTGAAATACCGAGGTCGTGGTGACACAAGCTGTGCCACTAATGACACGGGGATTATTGATTACAAGACAATAAAGCAGGATAGATTTCAAAGAGACCACCGCTTTTCATCATAGGCAGTCACGGAAAATGCCGAAAACCGACCCTGTTCTCGGGACTTTGTCTCAGAGGATCTCTCATGCACTACAGACTATCCGCGGCATCTACGTCAAGTTGTCTTTGGGGTGTCAAGAAGAGATTCAAGATGCAGAAGAGGCATCGTTTGACAACTTTGTCACCGTTCTCGACAACTTCATCCACACTCTGAAAGTCCAACACAAAGAGCGCGAAGCAGAGGCACTTCTACGCGCCAAAGACATTTCCTTAGAGTCCAGATCCCATGGTGGTCTGGATATCGAGCTATGGAAACCACTTGAGCTATCCAGCTGCGACGCAATTGTGTTTTGGGTCGAGGCATGGCTTCAATCCTTGAGCGCAGCCGAGAAGAGCCGACTGCTTCCATATCCTCGTCCCGAACGACCATCTCAAAGACGGGGGATGACATTGACGGAGAAGATCTTTGCACATCACTCGATCGGTCCCATTTCACCTGCTGGTCTCCGGGCAGGCGACTTTGTGCGCGTGGTTGTTGACTGGGTTGCCGCGTCAGAAATATCCTACTTCGTGAAAACCTTTCTCTTAAACGATATACCCTCGAAGTTATTCAAGCGCTCATGCTTCTCTTCATATCCAGTCAATCTCCAAGACTCTTTGGCAGTTGAAATCGTTCAAAACCTGGCGCAATGATCGGGTTTGGATTGCCGGAGACCATGTCGTCGATCTGCGGACGTACAACACGCCATGGAATCGTCGACTGATCCACGCCACGGAAAAGGCTGCGCGGGACTTTAAATTGACTGATTACAAGGAACCCAACGTGAGTAGTACCCTACGCTAAGAGAGTTTCTTTCGTGTCGGCTTGCTGATTCTTGAGCTGCCAGTATACCATCATGCACACAGAGTTTGTGTGAGAGCGAGCAGAGCCGGGGTTACTAGTTGTCGGCGCCGATTCTCGTATGTCCATCAACCCCATTCACAAGTCCAGAGATAATAATCTGACACTCGTTTAGATACCTGCTCCTCTGGTGCTGTGGGCTGTCTCACAGTTGGTCTAGGAGCTGCGGATGTGGCGATGAGTGCCATCACAGGAGAGACATGGTTCAAGGTTTCTGAGTGCATCCACATTCGATTCTTCGGCGTGCCTCACTTGGGAATTGGAGGGAAGGACATCATCTTACACATCCTGGGTGAGCTCAAGCGTAACACGGTTGCCGCCGAGAGGATTGTTGAATTCTCCGGCCCTGGGTATCGGTATCTCTCCGTCGATGCTCGATTTGCAATTTCAAATATGTGCACTGTAAGGCGCAAACCAATAGACCAAAGCTTTTTTTATCTTACATGGGGAGACTGTGTAGATGCTAATGCTTTCCAGGAATTCGGCGCAGTCACCGGGCTTTTTTGTCCCAGATGATATTGTCAAAACCTACGTCTCTGGCCGAAAACAAAAGCACAGACGCTCTTCTTCCATCTGTTTCCAGCCCGACCCAGACGCAGTCTATGCAGAGACCTGCGAGATCGACCTAGCCACAGTTAAGCCTCTTTTCGCAATCTACCCATCACCCGATAACGTCGTCCCCGTCCCCGAAAAGGCTGGCACGTACCTAGATGGGTGCTTCATTGGAGCGTACACAACGACCGAAGAGGACCTCATCCTCGCAGCTCTAGTGCTCGATGTCGGTTTAAAATGGAACCTTTCACTGGCGCCTGGCAAACGTCATCTGACTCCCGGTTCCATCCCCATCCGCTTGCGACTCGAGGCGCTAGGTTTGCTGGACTTGTACCAGTCAGCCGGGTTCTCACTCAGCGCACCGGGATGCAGTTTCTGCGTGGGAATGGGTGCCGATCAGGCTGGAGAAGGCGAGGTCTGGTTGTCGTCGCAGAACCGCAATTTCAAAAATCGAATGGGCAAAGGATCAATTGGCAATCTCTCTTCTGCAGCGACGGTGGCTGCATCCTCGTTTGGAATGACTGTCACTGACCCTGCGCCGTTTCTTGCCGAGATTGATGTTGGCTTTTTCAACGCGCTGAAGAACCGTCCAGGGAAGAGCAAGTTCCTTCAGAATTCGGTCCAAATGGAAGATATTTTCTACGTCGAGCCTAGTTATGAGTTCTCTTCCAAACCCACAGTGGAATCTGGCTCTTTACCCTCGGAAAAAAACTGGGATTCCCCTATTGAGACTGTTTCGATGAGACCTCCGATCGGCGACAGGGTCATCAGGCTAGGGGACTTTGTTGACACGGACGCAGTAGGTCCTCTACCGTGTGGAAGAAGGGAACTCACAAACTAACTGGTATAGATTGCACCGGCGGATTCCTTGGTAACAGCCACAACAGACGAGGCTCTTGGAGACCACTGCATGAAATATGTGATGCCCGAGTTTCGAGACAAGGTCCGACAAGGACAAAAGGTTCTTGTTGCAGGTAAAGCTCTGGGAGTTGGATCCTCGCGTGAGACAGCGGTTCGAGCTCTGAAAGGTAAACAGAAACCCAAGACATGTCTCTGAACTGATATGTATTCTATCCCCTAGAGACTCGCTTACAATATCTCTGCTGACTCTAGGTCTTGGAATAAAATGTGTCATAGCCCGTTCTTTTGCCTTCATTTTCAGTGGCAACCTGCCCAACATCGGCATCCTACGCTTTACCATTGACGACGACAATTCTATGAGAATGCGGGCGATAGTGCTGAAATTGAAATCAGCTTGGATGAGAGACAGGTCCGGGTTGCTGGCTTGAGCTTTTCTTTCCAGCTTGCCGATATGGAGCTTGCTCTTATCGAGAATCAGGGCATGCCCAATGCCTATGAAAAATTTGGCAGCGATATCTTCCAGAGCCTTTCCAGTGGAGGAACCGTGTCAACCTCGGAATCTGCATCTAAGCCATTGAATGGAGATACAGATATCCCTGCGACTCTCAGGGAATTGCAGTGGTAGCATAGCTCTGAATTTCCTCTCTTGATAGAACGGACGAAATGAAGAATAAATGGTGTTTTTGTAACTATCATTGTTTAAGTTAGTTTCCTTGCTTTAAAGAGTATACCTGAAATCCGGATGCGCATCGCACAACTTCATAATCCTTTACACTCTCCGGGTTAGTCTCCCCTCGCGCTGCAAACTCAGTAGCAACAGCATCACGTCTCCGATTCTCACGCTTAAACAACCACATAGTAATCAAGACAGCCACGGTGCCGAGAGCATTCAAACCAAGCAAAGTCCCATGGCCCTTGAAAAAGCGCGGCGGGTCAGTGTAGACCTGCGTGCTGATGATGCTATAGCACTGGATAAAGATCTGGGATATAGCCCAGGCCGCGGCCTGTTTCGTGAAGCCCGCATGCGAGATCATAACCCAGGCACTGCCCAGGACGGCTGCGGGGAACGCGCCGGCCGAGACGAAGCAGCATCCTGCCATGAGGACGACGGAGTTGGTGCTGGTCAAGAGCATGATATATCCAATCAGCCCTTTGTCAAGCCGGTCGGCGATGATGTTTGCGATTGGGAGGGTGATGATGCCGAATGCGTAGGGGATGATGGTGTAGAGCTGTGTCATGACTAGCATAGAAAGAAATCAGCCAATTCTCCCTTCTGTGCTTCTTCTGTGTCTTTCTGTGCAGTACTCACTTCGCGTAAAGCCAAATAGTTTGACAAATGTTGGTAGAAAGGCCCCGAATGCAGCTACATTCAGACACACTGCGCCGAGGGGCTGCCTAAGAGGCCCATGTCTAGAAATTCTGCTTTTTCCAAACAGAAGTGGCAATTTTCTTCAAAGCCGGATCATCGAGAGTAATGTCCGTTTCTCTCGGGGTATTTGCTGGACGCAAAAATAACTTCTCGAAGTCGATGACCAGCGGCTGGCCTTGTAGGTAGACGTGGTTGTTATTTCCTTTGTAGACGGTCACAACTTGTTGGCGCTGCATCCGCGAATTCTCGAGAACCCATATCTCTAGCACAATTTGTGGTCTGTTGCGGTCAATCTCAATGGTCAAGACCATTTTCACGTCTCCCCCGGACTCGTTGAGCCACCAACGAACATCAGAGAACAACTTCGACGATGACTCTGAAAAGCCCGTCTCTACCACGAGTGTAGGCCAATAATCGGTCCGACCCTGAGGGAGTTGATCCGGTGCAAAGGAAGAATCCGCCTGTTTTCCAGCGCCGCTCTGCGCGCGAAATGGAGTAGAACGGAGAGATTCAAGACGGTCCTCTAGGCTCATTGGCAGAAGAGCTTCGAATAACTTTCGCTCAAAAGTACCATGGGCAATCTCATGCGCCACGGAGTTCGGCATCCTAACGAGAAGGAGATGTTGGGAAATGTCGTAGGAATTCCAGCAACGGTACATATTTTTATCGTTCGAATTAAGGAAGTCACGAGTGAATGCCCGAGGATCAACACCGGTAAAGAGAATCCAATAATTTATATTGGGATCCTTTTGATAACGACGAGATTGCATTTCAGCAATTCGTTGGAACTGTGCTGTGCCATCGTATGGATATCTTTGAATTGATGGTTCTAAATCACCTAGAAAGCTACCACTAGGGCGCATTCTTTCGGGCTCAAGATTTGTATTCAAAGACATACTGGGTGATTGAATATAAACGGAGGGCGGAATTCTTATCATAAAAAAAGAATTAAGAAGATCGAAAACTGATTTTAATTTTCAATCCCGACGTGGATATGACCACTCTATTCGCTTAGGCGTCTAAATCATAAAAGCTCACTTTGACGTAGATATGACATACTCGCTACCTCGCTGGCAACTGCTAATTGTCTCGGTTCAGTTGAGGGAAATGGCAACCAAGCGAGAAGATGGGTATTGGGCGTCGGCGTGGAAGAAGAGAGCTTTGCTGGTGCCGCCTCGGTAGAGGGCGACTGGGAGGCCGAAGGTATTGTGGTTGGGCATGATGGTATGGTAAGTTGGGTGAATCGCGGATAGAATGAAAGGGAATCAAATGAGATACAAGGAAGGTAAATGCTAGTAATCAGAATATGAATATAAATGCCAGCAATATCAATGGCTTGCTACAGTTGTCGACGTCACTATTTACTGCAATCCATGATATACTCCGCCGGTCCGTTCACGGACTGTACAACGAACAACACCGAGAGGGGATGATACAACTTTGGAAACTCGCTCATCTCCATCAAAGGAAATGTGAATATGTCTTATGCTCAACTCGATCCTGTATGCATTGTCTGGGCGCAATAATTGGCAAAATAGCAGGCCGTTACTGGTGCGTGGTTCATGAAGGATCAACTGTGGAGCGAGAAAGGCCGACGTTGACGTGAAAGTCCGGCGCCGTATTATCCGGGGCCGCGAGCGGACCGACGGCTTCCCCAGGATTTTGAAGACACTGAAGACACTTAGATCTACGGGTGTTTGTTCAGGACTTCTGTCTTTTTTTTATTTAAATTTGTTAAATTCAAGCTTCACTATCTACTACACTCAACTTCTGCAACTTATCTACAAGAATCCCATACCATACATCCTCCATCCAGGCCAACAAATCCGACAAGAGCAAATATAAAGAAAGGTATCAACCATATTAAAGCTCTTTGCATTCGAGAAAGCTTTTGGATTGTTCTGCTCTTGTATACAGAGGCCCTGAGACCGATCCCTTCTAGAGGATTGCGCTTGGAAAACAAGAAAAGAAAAAGAAAACACCGGTTTTTTTTTCTTCTCGGTGAATCCCCCGAAAAGCAAAACAAAACCAGCAGAAAAAAAAAAAAAAGGTCCCCGTGGTAAACGCCATAGTTGCAATCCCAGACCCCATTCCATAGCCCGCTTTTTTTCAGACGCCGGTCCTCTTTTTTTTTCGAAGACAGCGAACAACAAAAAAAGACACGAGTACCGCCCAGAAAAGCAAGGAAAAGATATTCACAGAACATGTGGGTGAGAAAATAGGTGAGAAAGGAAATGATGTTGCTTGCATAGTAGAACAGAGGTCGGGGATAATAAAACACCGGTGAACCAGACGCAGTAAAAACACAGGTCGTGAAGTCGTAAAAAGCGGAAGGTAGGAATAGGAGGATGGTGGAAAGAAGATAAGAGGATGGTTGGAAGTAATGCAGAGTAAACTTATGTTGGTGGCAGCGCTCAACCGTTGGTGGCAACCGACTTCGCCTTGGAGTTGTTGGACCATGACAGGAAGTCGAACTTGTCCTTGGCGTTGTCGAGGATCGAAGTGTTTGCCTCGGGCTGCATGTTGGTAGCAGTCCGCGAAGGTTCCCGGGGCTCCAGCACCAAAGATCGACGGTAGAAGACCTGCGCTGTGGTCTCGCCGTTGGAGCGCACACGCACAAGCTCGTTCTGCATCCATGTCTGGAGTTCAGGGACTTCAGTAAGACGGTAGGGGATCTGGAAACGCTGAAGCTCGCTGATAATGCGAGCGGTCTTCATGTGCTTGTCGAAGTTGATCACCGCCATTTCGCCATCATCGGTAGGAAGATTGCGCAGCGACTGGTTTCCGTGATCAACGAACGTCAGGTCGGTCAGGTAAGTACCGACGAAGGGCAGGCACGGCGGAACGTGGTTCTGCAGACGCTGGCGCAGCACGGCGTAGTTGCGCGACACATCAACGATGCCACGCAGGTGCTCCAAGGTCACCTTGGTCTTCTGGGAGACGATATCCCAGGTCCGCTTGAGGCGGGAGATCATCGACGAGTTCAGCGAGCAGATGATGGCCATGAGAGAGTCGTAGTTGTTCAGCTCCAGGCACTTGTTGGCGATCTTGACCCAGTGCTTGATGGTGACTGCGCGCTTCTTAGGTTCCTCCAGACACAGGATGGAGTCAGCAACCAGGTGAGCCAAGTCCGTGGACAAGGTCGACATGGCGCGAACATTTACAGCCAGCGAGCCAGACTTGCGGGTCCACTCCGTGTCGAGAAGCTCCTCCGGGAGAATGGAGCAGAAGATGCGCGACTCCTTGATGGTCAACTGCCGGGCCAACTCCATGGGGTCAAAATCCAGGATGGAGATCGAGGCCTCGCCATTCTTCCACTGCTTGAGAAGGTTGGTCTCCTTCTTGGCGAGGATGGCAGGTGGGAGAGGGGTGTCAGGATGAATGTACTGAGCCGTGGCAGTGTTGGTTTTGCCCATCGACGATACCAGACGGGGCACAACGGGGCCGTGAACGGCAGAGACCTTCTCAGCAAGGTCGAGGATGCGCTTGGAGGCGGTCGGGAGATCAGTGGCCAGGCGCGTCTTGGCAAATTCCACGATGAACTCGAGTGCGCTGTTGTCTCGGTCATGGCGCCAGTGCGACTCGAGCCAGCCCTTGAACACGTTGTAGACGCGCAGGCGCACCGGCCCAGCGGCGTGTGGGGTATCCCCGATGTAGTCGAACCGTTCGGCCAACGCCTCGGCGAACTCGACAGGCGTGGCGAACAGACGGAAGGTGAGGTAGAAAGTCGAGACAAACATGGCGTCAGGGGTCGACTGGTGGGCAGTGAGCTTCTCAATCAGCGCCCGGAGGCTGCCGCCCATCACCTGGCCCTCCTTGTAGATCAACTCATGCGCGTAAGTCTTCTCCAGGATGTTGGCCTCGGTCTCCTCATTTTCTTCGGCCAAGGTCGAGTGGCTCACGCTCTCCTTCAACGAGGGCACCTGGAAGCTGCCACCGATGTCAGGGGAGGTGGCTCGGGTGGAGGTCTGAGAGACACCACTCATCTCCGAATCGCGAGTGTGGCTGTTGTAAGTGAAGCTGCTACCCGTGCTTGTGACACCTCGGCCAAAGGATTCACCCATCTCCGACTTGGTGTGACTGATGCGATTCGCACTGTCAGTCGAAGAGAAAGACGTGCCCTCCAGGTGGGTAGGCATGATGGCAGAGGAAGGGAGAGAAGACAAGGCGGAGAGGTTGGCGGGGCTGTGAGAAGTGAGGTGAGAGTGGAAGGAAGATGGGGTGGTAGAGTCGGTGAGGCCAGGAGTGGAGGGAGAGTAAGTCGAGTTGGGAATCTGGAGAGGTGGCGGGGGAGTTGAAGCGAGAGCTCCTGAGGTCGCTCGTGCTCCTGCACGGTCTCAGGCTGGGGTTGCGGGGTGATGAGGCCAGGCACGTCCTCACTCGGAGCCTCATTTTCTGAGGGCTCCAGCTCAATGTCTCCAATCTGCTCAAGCACCAGGCGAGCTTTGGCGAGGCAGTTGCCTGCTGCTCGCACACAGTCCGTCGCAGCGTCAACCAGCCGCTTGCCCTCGTCCGGCATAAACACCAAGTCGTCGTCAGGCAGGTGCGCTGGACGGAACACGTCGCGCGCAGCGTGGACGAGCTCCGACAACTTCTCACACATTGACTCGCGCGCTTGCTCGAGGAAAGCGCTCCGTTGGGTATCGTGCTCGCAGACGGCCTCAACCACAGTCAGCAGGGACCGACAAGATTGCACAGCCTGCTGGGTGGTGGTGACGAGCTCTGTAGAAGAGCGCGACTGCATGTGGAGACCAATGAAGGAGCCCAGCACGCCGAGGAAAGCATCATAAGTCGTGCCGAGTCGCTCTGACGCAAGGTTCTCGGCGCAAATGGCAGCCGAAGGCCCCGAATAAGAGACGCGATGGGAAACGGAGATTCGCTTGGTCGAGACGGAAACCGGCCTGGGCTGGTGGTCGAGCATTTCGGTGCGCATCGACGCGCGACTGAAATCCATGCGGCTGCGACTCATCTGGCGCGAGTCGTTGCGCTCGGTGGTGTCGGAGTACGGCGCAGTCTCTGCGAGGGTGAAAGTCTCAGAGGCCGGAGTCGGCGGCATATCATACAGGCTCTGGTTGTCGCTCATGGGCTGTTCCAACTCGACAATGGTCCTGCTCAGGCCGACCTCCTCATTCCATACGTCGAGGAATCGAACGCCGCGGGTGACGATCTTGAAGGCCTTGAGCAGCATCTCATCCAGGATCCCCTCGACCTCATCCTCCTCGGGCGTTCCATTGGCAACTTCCTGGAACCGCTTGGCGGTCTTGACCAACGACGACAGGTCCGACAACAGTGCCTTGCGGATCCTTCGCAGTCCGTCATACTTCCTCACCAGGGGAGCCTCTCGCGTCAGGCATTCTGATTTCTCCAGAAGAAACCGGACGCCGGCAATGGGGCCTCTCATCAAATCTTGGTTCCCAAAATCCTTGAGGGATGACCCGCATCCTCCGCGAATGATGTCCCAAAAATCGGTCAGCGCCTTGAGGAGCGGGCGCATGGGGAGCTGGTCATAGGCCTCGCAATAGTTGGTGGGCAACCAGCCTCGATTCCCAGAATCTAATAAGGTACCGTCGGCCCAGCCATTGGTGTGAACAGAGTGGACCAGGATGATATCGCCCTGGTCGAGCGGGAGAGTGACCGTCGACGGCGAAACGTCTCCGGCCGGGTGGAAAGGGTAGAATGCGCGCAGGTAGTTGTGAAAAACGGCTCTCGGGGCTTCTGTTTGCTCCATGATATCGCGAGCTCCTTGCGGAGTCAGCGGCGGAGTAATCTCAGACTGGCCGTGAGCAGAATAGAAACGATCCGGTATATACTTGGTGTCGTCCGGGGACGTCGACACCGATAAGTTCGAAGTCGGTTTGGCGATCTTTAACGGGGGGATGTGTGGCTTCATGGATTCCATCGCTTGCCCATGCCATTCAAAAAAAAAAATAAATAACCAAGTAGTTGCGATACTGAAGCCGCTGAGGTCACTGACCGAGGCGTTTATGCGGTAGATGCAATTAACATCCTTCAGTAACTCAAACGGTAGCGAGTGACAAAGTGGCGTATCGAGAATCAAGGACTTGGAGAAAGTGGATAATCCTACACAAAATCCAGGTCAATTCCCAGATCCAAGAGAGGGCGGGTATAGGGATCTGTGGAGGGGTGGAATGCGCAAATTCCAGGGAGCGTCGAAGGAGAGTGGCTTGGGAATGCTGGGGAGGAGACACAAAACACACCCTTTTTTTTTTTCTCTTTCACCAAGTCAATCAATCAAGTAATCAAAAAGACTATAAAAAAAAAGCCGCAAAAAATAAACTTCCTTTCAGGGAGTTTGCGAGGGGTGACGAGTCGCAATCGAGAAAAAAAAAATAGACAGGGCCGATAGGGATGTGATCAATGCGTAGAGGAATAACAATGCACCACCTCTACCTATTGGAAAAAATAATAAAAAGGATAGAGAGGGCACCCTTGAAGATCGCAAGCAAGGAAGACAAAAGACCGACTGGCTTGCAGCAGGTGACGAAACAGGATTCCCTTATTTAGAAAGCCCTACGCAAGGACGCAACGAAGGGATGAATGTGAGCAATTGCCACCGGCAGCAATGAATGATCGATATACAACTTCAAGTTGGGGGCAGGGGAGTTAGAAAGAGAGACTGCGGAAAGGGAAGGGGGAAAAAAAGACTGGAGAAAGGTGAAATGAGCGGGACCAAGGCAATAAGAAGAAGAGAGAGAGCTCTGGAGTCGAGAGAACCCAAGCTTGAATCTTCTAGGACTCGATCGGGACGATCCATGCTCCACCACCGTATTGCCTCCGTATGCCAGGGTGCTTGATGGTACTTCTGATATTACCTATGATATAATGGTACTGATTCTACTGCTTACCATACACGTACTATGATACTAGGGCATTACGTTCCCAGGTACCGGACTTTATACTTTATGGAAATAGTGCTGTTTCCTTTTTTCCTTTTTTGATATTTTCTTTTCTACTTGATCTCTACTAATGACAGCGTATAAATGGAAAGGATGAAAAGAAAAGAAAAGACAAATATCATTCCCACTCCATGTACTCCATATGTACAGTATACACCGGGTGGGACCCGTGGACTGTACCGAGAGAGAGGGTACCTCGCGTAAGCCCTCGAGGGCTAGAAGGTACTTGGGCCGGAGGTAACTCCGTGGGTCCTCTTTTTTTTGGTTATTTATTATTATTTTTCTTTGTATGTGCCGAACACATCCCGTTCCAGACCTTCCCTCCAAATTGATTTGACTAGAAAATAAAAATTTTTGTTATAAAAGCACAAATCACATAACACCTCCCATAATAACATAATAAATATAGTGGACCCCCCCCCCCACATCCATGTCTTGAAAAATGCACTGACCGTGTGCTAGAGCCTGCAGGACCAAACCAGGGGCCGGGACTCGATCCATCATTCGCAAGTTCCTCTCTCCCTCACGTTGCCTGTCAACTATACTCCGGGATGGGATCGACAGCGCAGCAACCGCCCCTCAAAAGTGACAGCCAAAAAATCTTTTCTTTTTCTCTTCACATTAACAAGAGTGTGCTGAACTTGTGATTGCAATTTGGCCTCGGTAGAACTACAAGAAAGAATAATAAGATGGGAATTGTATCCCTGTTCCCACCTTCTGTATATAGAATGGAATATGATTATTTTCATATTCTCATAATTACAGTAATTCAAATTCGGAATTTCCCCTCTCTCTCTCTCTCTCTTTCTTTCTTTCTCCTCTCCCGCGTGGGGCGACCAAGTTCCCAGCAGAAAGGTTCGCGTTGACAAACAGATCCACAAACGCGAAAAAAAAAAGAAAAGAAAAGAAAAGAAAAAAGAAAAGAAAATCGAGCTATCGCGAGGGAATGGCCAAGCACGTCGAGCACACGGGCCAGTGCAGAGCATGCATAGTGAGGCATAGTCGACTCCAGGGCTGTTTATAGCTGGGCTAAGGGGGAAATCACGGCCCGTGTCTAAGACCATATGGCTTCAATAGCCCAACCGGGGGAATCGGCTTTGAGTCTCCGGTGGATCTCCGCGGTTTTTCTTTTTCTTTTCCTTTCTTTCTTTTCGAGTACTTTTGGTTGCGTGCAAACCTGCCCTAAACATGGGACCCAGCGATCGGGAGAACTGAAGTTCTGGAGAAAGAGATCCCCTTAAAGAAGATATAGCAGAGCGAAGTCTCAAAAATGAAGAGAATCAGAATATCAAGAAGACCCGCCCTTTTTCATGGTCTAGACTTGGTATCAATTGGAGACATAAGCATACGAGCATACTCCAGTACAGACTACAGAGGACTAGAATTATCATTCGCCCTGTTAATGGCCCATCACACCACGACTCGGTGATTCTGCAGTTGCCAGTTCAATTCGCAATATGGGAATATCGAGAGAAAAGATGCATTGGTCGCTCATCACATGTTCTGGAAACCCCCCAGCCCTGTCAGCACCGAAAAATATAATATACAAAATAATCCTTTCTCCCCAGAGCAATACAAGCCCCCTCTTCCTTCCCCCCTCCTCCACATTATCACAATGCCCTCGAGTGGACTTGGGTAAAATGCGATCTGCAAGCCAGCTCTTGAATTGGGAGAATCTCCGTGCGCTCCCAGTCGGGAACGAACCATGGAACGAGGGTGTTGGAGGGGTGCTCGGACCAGGTGTTATCAGATAGCCTCATGTTTGTTTACTGTGAAACACGGAGAGCAATCGGGTCTGTGTCAAGCTGTTTGTATGGAGTCAACATGACTATATAACTGGATGACTAGATGAATATGTTTATCCACTTCTGGTGCGCTACGAGCGGTAAGACGCAATTTCAAGATTGCTTAAGCTGCATCGCACGAGCATATCACACACACACACACATATATATATATATATATAGTACACACTGGGCAACAGAAGACGCGAAGACTCATGCCCAAGTAGTGGAGCCTGCGACGCGCCTTTTTCCCCCGCCTCCAAGTACTTTTGCATCTATATATGCAGGGCTAAAGACATACACCCAATGGCCCTTGTAGGGTAAGCCAGCCACACAGTCTTACAGGATTTGTGGTTGAACAGGGATGAAAAAAAAGGTCGCACTGATGATTGATGCTGTACGCCGAGGTCGGGCATTTGGATCATCCATGTGCAGTATTTAGAAGATGGGCAGCTGTATCGAGGCGATTTCTTTCTTTTTTTTCTTATTTTTATTATAGCCTAGGTTGTCTGTACAGCCTGTGACAATCACAAGCAGAGGTAAGATACCATGGCCAGATGGATATGTAGTTGACTGTGTCGAGTATCATCTGTATACTGTACACCGTGCATGCCGTCCAACATGACACGATTCGCGGGGTACGGCAATGATGTCTCCAATTGCCATAGATGTAGACAAATTTTAGGACATCGCAGAACAGGCTAGACTCGACGGGACCAAAAATCTCCCGAGACAAGACCCAAACGAACACCGTCCAGATCTGAGTCACGGTTTCGCGGGAGCGGCGATCAGAATCATGTCCACACAGGCGAGGATCAGATCTACTAAGAACATGACAAATTACAGGGAGCATTCATGAACACACTCACAGCAACATAGAGGTTTGCAAGTTTGCGATTGGCAGAGTGGATATCAAGAGTTGGCCTGTTCGCCGAGCACATCGTCGGGAGTCTCACGGCACACTTTTGAGTCTAGACAATTGTGGAGAGATTTTTAGTGAGTATCGAAGCATTCCTTGATTAAGAGTCAGGTCGGGCAATAGGGCAATCCTCCTTTTTATTTATACTAATAGACGACGATATAATTCCCCGGGCCCATGGTTCGTTCCTGATTAGGAATGCCCCGAGATCCTCATAGGCGCAAAATTGGGGATTTCCTGCTTATCTCATGGATTAGCCATAATAGATAATTATTGTTACTATATTGCTATTTTATTATTTCCCCTATCCAGGGTTTTGTTGTACAATCTCGTGGGTAACTGTTAGGTGCATATGCTAGTTCCCACGATCGGGCTCGGTACCTGCAGATGCAGAACCCCGGCTAAATTTTGTGGGATCTACAATATCAGAGTAGAAATATGTGTAACTCTACTGTATCTTCTGAAAATGATCCGTCGCATCTTTTTAGTGTGTTCCTAGACTAAAGTGCCTTGCTCATGCAACAAACCCTCGGGAATATATCCATCGATTTGATCATTCATGCATTTTCCCCACGACGACCCATCATGTGTAACCTCGAATTGATTCTTCAGCTCGCCACATGGACTACTTGACAGAAAAAGCAAAGGGGGAAAAAAGCACTTATATTCATGCATGGTACTATCCTCGTCCATGACCTATCGTTAAATTCAGTGGATTGACCAGAATGGGTGATATCATTCCACGATGGATTGGCGCAAGTCTCACCACTGAGGACACAACCAGCGAGAAATTCTCCACCGGGGGATCTGCAACACGAAACAAGAGTCATAGCAGCAATCCATATCATCAACCCCAAACAGGGGCCCATCGACTTTGACGCAGGCTATCCATGGAACGCGTGTGGAGCTCCGGGAAGGATGCAATAAACAAAAAAGACATAAACACATAAACACATCTAAAGCTTTCCATTCAGCCGAACAAAACTACAACCACGAAGATCATAGTCCCTGGATTCCGACAAAAATTAGACCGTTCCGTCGAGGTAACTAGCTGATCCAGCATTTTGGTCAATGGGAAAGATAGTTCATAAACCCCTATGCACCTCCAGGATAGCGGATGGGGGGAGAGCCGAGCTTATAGTACATAATACAGTACATTTGTATATGATGTACACGGTACTTGGCAAGTGTATACTAACGAGCCGCCAGATACCGGTATCAGATACACACAGGAGACCGTTCTCCAACCGATAATACCAATACCAGCACC